TATTAAGTAAATAAGGAGTTAGTAAATAAAATATATTAGCAACTTGCTTTAAATTCATATTTATAATAATTACTTTCTAAGATTAAAAAGAAATATTATAATAAAAAGATTAATTTAAAGAAAGACTATAAGAACTTTAAGCTTAAAAGATATATTTAAAAAGAAGGTAATAAGAATAAGATATGCTGAAATTATTAATATATATATAAGTTGCAATAATAACTATATAAGAATATTAATAATATATTAAGGTAAAATAAGGGGAATATATATACCTTTATTAACAATTAAATTAAATAACTTAAATATTAATTCATTTTATTTTATTTTAGCAATATATTTAAAAGATAAATCTATCTTAAATATATAATGTTTTTTTAATATATTTAGCTGCTTTAAGAAAAAGGTAATAAAGAGGTAATTAGTTCCATTAAAAATAATTTCTTATAAATATTAAAAAAGCCCTTAATTAGCACTTAAAAGATAAAATAATATAGTATAATATATATACTTAACTTAAGGACTTTAAGTTAAAGTACTTATATTATTATAGCACAGCATTAATACCCATTCCCTTTAAAAAGTAAATTTAGTATATTTTATGCATTAAATTACGCAACTTATCTATATTATTCCAGCTTTTATAAATATTTATAAATATTATATTATTATATTAGCATAATAGTTTCTATATCATAAGGTATTAATAAAGCTTTCTTAAAAAAACCCTTAATTAATACTTAAGAAATATTATAAATTTATTAAGAAAGCATATTAAGATTTATTATTAAGTTATTTATTATTAATATAATGTTTTATAATTACATTTCTTTTAACTTAAGTATTTTATTAATAAGGCTAAATTAATACCCTTAATACATTTTATATACTATTATTACTATTTTAATAATATAATTTTAATCTTTAGGTATAAAGAATTAAAAAAATATACTTAAATAATTCCTTAAAATCATTTAGCCTTAGCCTTAAAAATGGTTAATACTTAATTATAATTATTAATTATAATACCCTTAAATTACCCTTAATATTAGCTTATTATACTTAATAATGCATTCTTTTTTTTTCTTAACTTAGCTATAAAAGCTTAATATAATATATATATTAACCTTATCTTAATGCCTTAATTATTCTTAAAGAAAGGCAATATTTATATTTTAACTTACATTTAAGGTTTTAAAGAAATATTATTTTAATAAATTTATCCTTTAATTAATATATTAAACAATATTTTGCTTTTATATATATTATATTTAATTTATAAATAATATTAATAATGTTTTTATATATAATTAAAGGAATTTATACTTACTTTACTTCTTATAGTAATAAGAATTAAATAATATAAGCTATTATAATCTTTATTATAATATTGCTTATATGCTTTACTAGCTTTAAATGCTTAATAAGTTGCATAATATTAGCTAAATAATATTAATAAAATACCTTTTATTAAGCCCTTAAGTGCTATACTTTGTAATTATTGCATATATTATTAGCTTCCTTGCTTAATATTAAATTAACTTTTACTTCTTCCTTATTTCTTTTATAATATGCATAAAGATACCCCTTAAGTCTTTATATAGGTAGGGATAGATTTTGCTCTTAATATATATAAACTCTTGCATTATATAAATAATCCCTATTAAGAGGCCATACTTATATTTAATACTGTATTTATACTTAAAGCTAAATTGCATTTAATTTATATATTAATACTTAAGTCCTTCTTATATAATAAATAAAACTTATATTATTAAAAAGCTATAATGCTTTATTTCTTATATAATATTATATATTAATAAATATAGCAATTCCTTGCTTATTATTATTTAAGTAATTAAGTATTAATAAAGCATATTTAACTTTACTTATAATAATTAAAATATTATCATTATTATTGCTTTTAATAATATAATATATTAGCTTTAATAAAATAAGATTTAGCCTTAAGCTATTTCTTATATTCTCCTTAAATTATATATATATTAATTTAAAGCATACTTAAGAGTTTACTTAAACGCTAAATACATACTTTATTGCCTATTTTTATTATTTCCTACTTCTTATCTTAATCCTTATTTAAGTTTACATTATTAACTCCTTAAGTTGCTTCTTATTAATCCTTATTTCATTAAAATAAACCTTTTATATTAAGCAAAATAAAGTAATTATTCTTTACTTAAGTTAATAATAATAAATAAGTAAAAGGCATAATAAAATAATAATAAAAGGCTAATATAAATAATATATAAGTATATTTATAAAAATATTTTAAAAAGTTAATTTCTAAATCTTATGCAATATAAATAATCTTTAAGGTTTATATTATAATTCCTTTTAAGTAGTTTTAAAAATACTCTTTATAATTCTTTTAGCCATCTTCTTTTAGCCCTTATTTACCCCTTATCCTACTAATGCATTATTCTTAGCTATTATTATTATAATAGCTATTAATTTAAACAATATTAATATATCTTTATATATTAAGTATTACTTATAATAATATAAATATTATATTATATAATATATTTTACCTTATAATGCTTATTTTATAATATATATATAAGATACATTAAAAGCATTATTTTAAATATATTATATTATAAATATATTTCCTTATAATTTCCTTAGTTATTTCTTAATAATTTTCTTTTTATATTAAATTTATTTTATATATTTTTTTTAAAACTATTTTTAAATATATTTTATTTAAGTACTTAATTCTTATTTTATATTGCTTAATTCTTAATAAATATCTTTTATTATATTATAAAGGTTATTTTATAATTTTAAATAATAACTTATAAGATCTTGTATAATATTTGCCTTAATTATATTTAAGATTTATTTAAGCTGCATTTAAAATGCATTTATAATATACTTTTATTATCTTTTAAAAGCCTTTAAAACTTATTTTAAATAAATTAATCTTTTATTTAAATGCTTACTTAATTCCTATTAACTTACTATAAAATATATTATTAAGCTATAATTTTTATTTCCTAAGTATACTTTTTATATATCTCATTTTATATATGGATCCCTATCTTTTTTATACTTAACCTCTTTAGGCTAATATCATCCTTATAATTCCTGCCGAGCTTTAGCGCATTCTTGCCGAGCTGCATACCGAGTCAGCCAGTCAGTCAGCTGGATCCTCCGGGGGATCTGATAATGACCCAGTGGCAGAGATGCATCTGATATCCGGTGCCAGGGGGCCCGGTGCTCGGACTCATCCCTCCCTAGGGCCTTGCCTCGTGTGTGCATGGATACGAGTAACATGCGGTGAAGAGAAGGGAACCCGAGAGCGGCATCGACGACACCACGGGCGGAAAAGAAGCCTGGTATCTCGTTGGTACGGCTTCACTCTAGTGTGGCCGATTGTAAGGATCAGGGTCGCTGGGTTGAGTTAGACTTCGCAAGGGTCGTCCATTCCCTGAGTAATCCAAACCCGCTGATTGGTTTGGAATGTGTCAAAGTATCTGGACGGAGTTACCAGAGTAATGTCCTATGCAGCCCAAGCCGGCCGTCAGTCATTCAGTCGGTCCAGTCGCCAGCAAACAAGCAACCAAGGCGCCTGCTGCTGGTTCTTGGTCAAGTCCCCAGGATCGTACTGGCAGAACAAGAATTCAATTTGGGGAAATTGCCGTCCGGGGGGGAGGGAAAGAAAAAAAACCACCACCACCACCACCACCACTACCACCCCCAAAACTCAACACAGGCCAAGCCAAGCAAGTCGAGCCGGCAAGCGGTGACGTGACTACGGTTCCTACCCCCTTCTCGCTGCCCCTTCCCACCCCCCCCCTTCCAGCCCCGAGGATCCAGCAAGAGCAAGACCATACCTGCCATACCACGAGTGCAATTCACACCACCTGGCACACACCAGGGGGCTGATTCTTCCAGCCTACGGACAGGCTACTGCAACGGCTGCCATCCCCGGCATGCTACAGTACCCCGTCAAACCTTGGAGCACCAGGGAGCCTCCTCGTTCGTCCTCAGGCATGATTTGTATGCTTCCCTCGTGGCCCGCCGTACATTCCCTATGACACACAATCGTCCAATACCTCTTCCCACCTCTTGTCCTCTGCAACGCCCCCAGAGGCCCAAGGCCCAAGGACCTAGGACGGCAACTCCCAACCAATCGCCTGCCTCCTATCCTACTTCTTCCTCCACTTCTGCCACCACCACTACCACAACCACTGCCATCACCAGTACCAACACCACAAGCCAACCCAAGACACCAAAAGTCACCACCCAGAAAAGCTTCTCCATCGTCCTGCTTGCCAAGGCGGACCGGCGACAACACTCCCGCCTGCTCAGCTCTATAGCCCACGTAGTCGACTGAGCCTCCTGCCGGCTTGGCTGTCTTCGTGCTCCATCGTCGTCTCAGAGCACGCCGTCCTGGTCTCTTGAAGGCCTTCCTCCACATCCGGTTGGCTTCTCTCTTGTATCCTCACCCCTGGGCCCTGTCGATACCCAGGTGATACTCGATACTCGTATTTGGCCTTGATCGAGACTGGCTAGGTTTCTCCTCCTTCGTGGTCCGGCCCATCAGCGAGCCATCTATCGCCGCATCACGCTCTGTTTCCGTCGCGACTACGCCCGATCCGCGTCTCGGGTCTGTCTCGTGACCCGTCTTGCCACTCTCTGCTCGGCGGCCGACTCTTTGAAGCCACCTTCCCTCTCGATTACAGCAGACCGAACCTCACGCCGCATCAAGCACAGTCGCTGCCAATCCTCACAGGCAGGCGCCTCCGGTGCTGGTACGGCCGACGTCGTCACCTCGATAACTGATGCAACACGAGCGATCGAGCCCATGATAGCCTGACCAAACCTAGCAGCACGAGTGACTGTGCAACGCCGGAACAGACGACTGTCACCAGACCCTGGGGATCTCGCCACGCGCGTCACTGTCATATTTCGGCATAAGCTGACGACCCCAGCGTGATCAACGCCGGCTTTTTTTCTCCGTCACCAAGATGGCCTTGAGTGAAGACGCAGCTGCCGCTGTCCGGCGTATTCCCAAGGATGAATCGGCACCCCTTCGCACCGCTCTACCGAATAGGTCCGTGGCGTCCAAGGCCGACAATTCTAATCTAAGGGCACCATCGCCTCCGCCCGAAGATGGAAGTCAATGCGGCCGGTCCCCAAGTCCTCTGAAACCAAGGCATCTTGACAGGAGCCCATCCTTAACCCACGCCCAGACTTCTCATCCCATCAGTCCTGCTTCTTCTGCTCATGAACGCCTGCAACCAGACGCCATGTCAGAATCACCGAGCCAAAGTTGCGCACCGGTCCCGACCCAGACTGGCCAAGTCTGCAGGTAAGCATCCCCCGTGCACCACAGTCGACCTGCCCTAATATTGTCGATCAGCAATTGTGGAACAAGTCGGACCCCTCTCTGGCGGAGGTCCCCCCAGGGGGCCACCATCTGCAATGCATGTGGTCTGTACCTGAAAGCTAGAAATGCGGCTCGCCCAACCAACCTGAAGCGGCCGCCAACGATAGTACCAAGCGGGTCACAATCGGCGACGGGCTCGACATCGCCCAAGGAAGCGAGCCCGCAGGCTGTCCAACAAGCGGCTGGGGCCAAGTATGTTGCTGCGGACCAGACGCCGAAGGGGACTTGTCCTGGCGGTGGCCGGTGCAATGGCACGGGAGGCGCGGAAGGCTGCAGCGGCTGCCCGGCATACAACAATCGTGTTGCCAAAAGTGCAAGTCTGAACGTCCTCCAGGGCCAGCAGTCTACCCCGAGCAAAGTAGAGCCAGGTGTTGCGGACGACTCGAATGCCATCGACATTGCAGCGTTGCAGAGCCAGGCGCAAAACACGACCGTGGTCATTGCTTGCCAGAATTGTGGGACCACCATCACACCCTTATGGAGGAGAGACGAGCAAGGCCACACGATTTGTAATGCATGCGGTAGGTTTGAAGTGTTGCATTAGGTAAGGAAACAGGTTGGCTGATGTGCTCCAGGTCTCTACTACAAACTCCACGGCGTCCATCGACCTGTTACGATGAAAAAGTCGGTTATCAAAAGGAGGAAACGGGTTATACCGGCCTCTCACGAAGGCGGCCACGAGGGTAGCGCTCCAGTCGAGTCCGTCGAGTCGAGCTCCCGCCGCCGGAGATGTCCAGTGCGCGCGGCTCGATGAATCCGGATGGGTCGGTCAACCTCGGCATGCGCCGGCGGGAGGAACACGAAGCTCTCCAGTTGGTCCCCGAAAGCGTGCTCCGGCAGAACCGGCCGTCGCCTCCCTTACCATCTGGGGACCTGACCCAGTACCAATCTTCTCACCCGCGCCACCACCGCGAACTAGCCCCGGATTCCCTCAATGACGACAACCGACTGGCCCCAATCACCTCCCTCGCAGGGACAGTGGGTCGGCAGTCTTCACTCTCTCCGGCGTCGTTTCTCTCTCCGACCAGGAAACGCTCTTTTGGCGAAGCAGGACACCCAAACTCAAGCGAGTCCGAAAGCAATAAGCGGCTGTCATCCATTAAATCGATACTGAACCCGACCAACGTTCAGAGGGCGCCGAGTATTTCTCCAAGAATGAGGGGCGCCGAGGAGCTAGCACAACAGCGAATGTATCAGGGATCACCAGCTGGCACGTCGGCGTCAGCTCCAAGTCCTAATATGTACCCGACCGCAAGTTTAGCCGCACCACACGATCAGCATTACCACTCGAGAAGTGCGAGTGGTGAGAGTGACCCATCCAAGGCAGAGAAGCGGGCGGCGCTGCAAAGGGAAGCGGAGAGGATGAGGGAGCTCCTGGCAGCAAAGGAGAGGGAGCTTGCGGAGTTTGGCAATTGATCACAAGGCGCGGTCGATTCAGGGAGTTTCGGCAACTAGAGTACGGCGCTACTCATTCGAACAAGGGGAAGGACAGCAAACGTCAACGGCGCCTAAAATCGAGGAGTGCATAAGGGGGAAAGCATTATTACAGGGTGTCAGCACTATTCCCTCGGAGCACGAGCACTGATTCAGTGCCCTTTTCGGCGTTCCGGGGTGGTATAACAGCATACGGGAGCTACACAAAAGGGGAACCAAAAGGGGGGAAGGGGTTTTCCAAGTCTGTTTGCACTGGCTTTCATGGTTCAACAGATTATGGGCGGGCGTTCTGTTTTGCATCGGACCGGCCCTGGCCGCTCTGCATGGGCGGTGTCCGAGGACAACGAGAGTGTGCGGTTTTGGTTGCAAGACTCAAGGCAAGACCTCAAGGTCACCAGGGGATATATGTACTCATCTTACATCATGTACTTGTTAGTGCAAGACGCTAGACTCACCGGAGCAGCTTAGAAGTTGCTATCGCACTCGGCCGCGGGAGTTCTGTCGTTGCCCATCACAGGCAACAGGCAGACACAGCTTAGAATGCGAAGTATGTCTTTCCTGGTCTACGATTCATAGTTATATGTTCAGATGCCTTGCCCTTCTGCGCCGCCTTGCTCGCCGCCGAACCCCCTTCTCAATGCCGAGGCGCGTTGAGCGCGATACCGCCCGCCGTGGAAACTCGTACAGATATGCATTTGAAATGAGCATCAGCAAAAGCCAACCGCACTCGTGCAAACTCCCCATCCCCGTTCCCCCAATGCCGCGCGCGTCTTGATCGTTTAGAGAAAGCCAGTCCCCGTCCCAAGCCATCGTACAAAATGAACCACCAGGTAGGCACCACATACATGCCGCTTTTTTGAGCGACAAGATGCGCCACACGAGCCCCTCCTTCCGCTTACACCCTCCTCGCCCAGTGAATTTTGTGGTCCCAATTCCGTCGCAAGTCAGCGTGACCCCCGAATCCCCTCCCGAAGAAGACCCCGGCACAGTCGGTGTGTCCCCGGGCCTCCGCCCTCCACAGCAGCCACTGACGCGCCCCGCCCATAACTGACGAGTTACGAGGAGGCGCAGAGGAGCTGGCGCCCGCGGCTGACGTCGGGGTGGGCTTCCGGGCCGCCTTGGCTCCTCCTTCTCTTTCTCTCGCTCTCTATACCTGCTCGGCACCCCAGCCGGCGTCGGCCTCCCTCATGTTGGCGGGGGGCTCGATGCTGGGGATAAACTCAAGAACTGCATAACAGACACCAATAAGGCCGACGATGGAGCCCGCGATTATGCGCAGGACGTGGCCGTCGAGCAGGATGGAGCCGACGAAGATGTAGAAGGCGCCGCGGCCGATGAAGCTGAAGAGGAAGGACGCGTAGCGCGAGACCTGGGGCGGGATCTGGAACTCGAGGAGGCCGGTGGCTGTTTTGGGAGAGCGATAATGTTAGTCAAGAGGGAAGTGTGGGAGGGGGATTGGCTCCGGAGCAGGAGGAGGATGCATACCGAGACCGAAGATCATGACATAGCATCCAACAATGATGGATTGGCTATCAGGAGAAGGTCAGCACCGACGCCCGCGCGTGATTATTCTCTAGGGAAGCACGCAGCGCCCGGCCCAGGCGCAGTCTCATCCATCGAGGGCCATGGCCGCCGGTGTGGGTTGGCAGGAGCCGGAGGTTGGCAACGCAGCGCAACGTAGATAGGTAACGTACAAGCCGAGCGGGAAGAACTGGGAGATGCCGCCGAGGATCATGATAACGGCAACCACCAGGTTGACGATGCGACTAAGATACGGGGCGACATGTTAGCTTGGGGGACCTCCAATGGCGCGACGAGGGACAGGCTGGTGGATTCTGCTGGGGAGCTCTGGGGAGCTGAGAAGAGCTCCCTCCAGACAGCTCTGAGCCTTTTTCCCCCCTGCAGCGCGCGGATCAGGGTCGAGTCCAACTCACAAGCTGTCTGAGAAGTCCATCTTGGGCGGGCGCGGGCTGTCAAGCAATGCGGTAGATTGGGCGGTGGCTAGAGTTGGTGCTGAATGTGTGTTGAGAAAGAATGCCGTTTGTCTCGGTGTCTTTGTGTGAGGTGGACGGGTGTCTCTCACGGGGGGCTGAATCGATCTTTGGACTAATAAGGGGACAGTGGCCTTGGTTGGTTAAGTGGTTGGGAGTTGCGCGTATGTGTCTAGGTGTCTGACGCAGGTGCGGCCCCCCTAGTGCCCAGGCCACCCCTGGCTGCCAAACCAGCTTTGTTTGCATATGAAACTTCCCTCAGCGGCCCCCCCCCTGAAGCCACTTGTCTTGACCAGAGATCCTCACAATTGGATAAACGTCAAGGCCAAGCAACGTGCGTAGCGCGCCTTGAAACATCCCGCCCGAGCTTTTGGATATAAAATCTCTCACTACATCGGCAGGTCATCATCGGAAGGATTTACCAGACTGCAACGTCGACAGTCGTCTCCAGGGCATATAGTGATGGAGGTGAGCAACGACGGGGACATGACAACATTATTGAATGAGGACGATGGCTCTCCTGACACGCGATTTGTTGAGGGCTCTAAGGAGAGGGGAGATATTCACACTTGACTGAGTTTCCATTCCGAATACCTCAGTATGCTGGCCTCTTAGTCCTACTTCCCTTCTCAAACCTCAACTGGCACCACTGGTGGGCAACCAAATCAGCCGGAGATAGCGCAAACAGGACAGTGTCGACGACTTACCTCTCCACAGGTGATGGGTTCATACTTGGGCGGGTTGCTCTCACTCGTGCACGTCGGGAGCACGCCGCACTTCTCGTTGAAGTTGAAGCCGAAGAAGAAAGGCATTGAGTATCTATCGACCGGCGCGTGGTTATAGACTCGGTGCACGGTTGATCTGAAGCGGTCGTTGGAAAGCCTCGCCAGGAAGTCGCCAATGTTCACCACAAACGTGTCCGGGATCGGGGGCACCCTGATCCATTGGCCCTCCTTGGTGAGGACCTGCAGGCCTCCTACCGAGTCCTGCCAGAGGAAGGTGAAGGACTGCAGGTCCGTGTGCGCGCCTAGGCCGACGTCGATGGAGGCATCGGCTGCGTCCTCGTTCTTGGGGTCTGGTAACAGTCAGTCCTGGTCTGGAATCACCAACCCCCGGTGGAACAGACTGAGCTGGGCGAACAGGTGAGGAACATAACCTACAGTAGTTCAGCACCCCATCAGCTCCCGGATAAGTGACAATTTCATCGAAGTAAGTCTCGGGAAGGTCCAGGGCGAGGGCAAAGATCCTGATCATGCGGCGTGCAAGCTTCAGGCACTCCTGCCAGTATGCGATCATATCCCGCTTGAAGTCGGGGATGTGGCTCGTCTTCTCCCACACAAAGTCCTCCCCTCTGATCCACGGCTTGATATCCTCAGCCACAGCATCCAGGTCCTTGGGGCTCCGGGTCATACTTTGGATCGTAGCGCCACCCGAAGCCCTCGCGGTAGTCGCGCGTCTCAGACGGCGAGAGGTGGCTCCCGTGCTTCTCGGTCCACCCGTTAAACCACTTGGAGTGCGCCGTCGACACCGCGCGCTTCTTCTCGTCCGGCTGCGCGAACAGGTTCTTGGCCTGGCCGTAGGCGGCATCGATAACCTCCTTCGAAATACCGGCATTTTTGATGTAGAAGAAGCCCGTGTTCTCGGCGGCCTCGCGCCACCGCAGCGAGGGCCTTGCGGGACTCGAGGTCCCCGTAGATGCCGGACAGGTCGATTACGGGGACCTCGGAAGGGTCGCAGTCCCGTGGGGCCGTCCTCAGCACGTCCCGGTAGACGGGCCCATAAGCCGTCATCAGCTCCAGCTTATAAGACGGGCCGGGCTCGGTCTTGGTTACTGTTGCCATCGTGGATGCTCTGTGCCTTCTGAGGTGCAATATTAAGGGCGGAAAGGGTGTGGGTATGTTTTGCTTGCTACACGATGTGAACTCTGGAATTGGCGAGCGTGACAATCCACGCGTCTGTAAGGTCGCAGTCGGAGGTAGATATCGGCACCCGGCCCTGCTGCCTGTTAATCAGGCCGGAGGACCCTGGCGGGGCCGGCCGAAAGTCTGTCACGCCTTCGCCGCTGCGTGATGGTGTAATTCTCCCGGAAACTGTACATTGGCGAGACTCGCTTCGCTTCGCTTGGCGACTGAACTAGCCCAGGGATCATGTCACGATGCATTCAAGAGGAATACCACCCTGTTTCAAGCTAGGCCTATCGAACATAACGCTCACGCGGTCTGCCACTGTTCAACACCAGGCATCGGGCGCTAATTGAGTTGATAATGATGGGAGACTTTGGCGGTGGAAAATGACGGGCACACCATGTAACTAACATTGACAATCCCGCCCTCTGCACACATGCACTACAAAAGGGCCGTTTTCATCAGGTTGAACTCGTCTCGAGACCGAAAAATCCGTATAAATATAGGCTCGCTACATCGTGTTGCACCGTCTCCTAACAAGCTTCTGCCGAGTCCATCTCGTCTTCAATGTATGCTTCATTTCAAACCTTTTTGCCATCTCCGCTTCGCGATATGCCCGACCTACATCTGTTTTTCAAGGCTGACGGCTCGGCCTACTACTCGGCGAACGATGGCAGGGAAAGATTGAAAATCGCGTCATTAGCTCCTGAAAGCCCGTTCCCAACCGTGCTTCCAGGCGAACCTCTCGCCCCACGTAGGCAAACCTACGTGTTGATGAACTCGAGCGAATAGAGAGCATAACAAGGCAATGAATGAGGAATCAATCACTTGGGGCGCAAGTTTCGATGTAAGCATGAATGATGCTTCGAGCACAGCAAAACGAGGGGATATGCCCCAGGCCCTCAAATCGTCACTCAGCCAACGTCAATTCACAATCTTGGTTCCCCCCCAGGAGCCTGAAGCAATTTTTTTTTTTTTGATCATTAAACAGATTTACCGCCATAGAACGCATCCCGCCAAGAAAACCGCTCGAACAGGAAACAGGAATCATCATCGTGATTAGGCCTGGGCAGTGGCCAGAGGAGTAGGCTCACTTAATGCTTCGATGTTAGCGACTCATCCTCTCAGCCCATCAAAGGAGGGAATGGGAGCTTCCGTGCCCATGGAGGACTGCACATGAGGATTTTACTTACACTCCAACACGCTCCTTGGACATGATGTCCAGCATGAGCTGCGAAGGCCTGTTGTCCTTGTAGACGTTCTGGCTGTTCTTGAACATGTGCACGTCCTGGAGGTACCTGTCGAACAGGTAGGAGCTGTCCATGGGACCGCCCTTGGCCTCGGGGTGGAACTGGGTCGAGAAGATGGGCCGGGTCTTGTGCATCATGCCCTCGTTGCTCCCATCGTTGAGGTTGACGAAGTACTCCTTGAACTCGGGGTGCAGGGTGCTCGCATCAACAGCATAACCATGGTTTTGGCTGGTGATGTGGCACTGGCCTGTCGTCAAGTCCAGCGCTGGGATGTTGTGGGCACGGTTACCGTACTTCATCTTGATGGTGCGAGCGCCCGTTGCCAGGGCCAGGAGCTGGTGGCCAAGGCAAATGCCCATGACTGGCACAGGCGACGTCTCGATCAGGCGGGCCAGGTTGTAAATAGTATCCTGGCAGTGAGTAGGGTCGCCGGGGCCGTTGGAGATGAAAACGCCGTCAAAGTCAGCGGCGACCTTGTGGACGGGGAAGTCGTAAGGCAGCACTGTCACGGCTGCTCCCCGGCTGATCAGGCTTCGCAGGATGTTCTCCTTCACGCCGCAGTCGATCAGGGCAACGTGGAAGGTCGCGTTGGGCGCAGACACGACGAAGGGAGCCTTGGTGCTCACCTTCTTGACGAGGTTAATCTGGGCCGGGTCCATGAAGCTCTCGTCCTCGTCGGCATCGTACTCGTCGCCAATGGAGATTCTAGCGAGGGAGGAACCCTGCTCTCGGAGGTAGGTGACAATGGCGCGAGTATCGACACCAGAGATGGCAGGGACGCCCTCACGAGCACACCAGTCGGCCAGGCTCTCCACGGCGGTCCAGTGGCTGTACTTCTGGGCCACGTCGGACACGATAATTCCAGCGCACTGGATGTGGGGGGACTCGAAGTACTTCAACAGGTTGAACTCGTCGCGAACATTGGACGGGACGCCATAGTTGCCGATCAGAGGCTGGGTGAAGACCAGGATCTGGCCCCGGTAGGAGGGATCGGTCATGGACTCAGGATAGCCGACCAGAGAGGTGGTGAAGACGGCCTCGCCTGAGATGTTGGAGTTGGCACCGAAGGCGGATCCGTGGAACACAGGGCCGTCCTACCTCGGGAGTCAGCACAGCCCTAGGAGACACGACTGGGCAGAGGCTTGCCTACCCGGATAGTGAAGGTGGCATCAAGGTTGTCCACAGGAGCAGTAGCCCGAGGCCTGGCGGAGGGCATTGCCCTTCCCTTGCTGCCATCGAAGGCCTGCTTGCTCAAGTATCGAGCCTGGCCGGCCATGGGCCGGAGCCGGAACGCCATGCCTGCGGCACCGGTGGCCGAGGACTTAGAGGCAGCAGCGAAAACACGAGAGAACATGATAGTAGGGGATTATACGGTAGATTTCACAGCAGCTAGATAGGGAGCCTCTTAAGCTTGGAGGGACCTCCAGAGATGGTCTAGGGCGAGGGAGGTCAGCATGGGAGGGCGGTGAGTCAAACACCTGTGCGACATTGGGCAACAAACCTGAGAGATAGTCCTGCGAGAAGAGTCATGTTAGCCACGGACTGTTCCTGACAGGTGCACCGACGACCAGCGCGTCCCTCCACAAGGTCTCCATCATCAAGAAGGGGACCGAATTGGCAGCCGCCGTGAGCTGCACGGAGCCGAGGGACGCGCCGGGGGGCCAGGGAAGAGAAGGTTTGGGCAGTGAAACTGGGCATGGTTTACCTGAGAGGTGAACTCCGATGGGCGCCCGTTCATAAGGGCTGTTGTCTGGGACGCAATGGTGGGTTTATGAGAAAAGTTCCAGCGGTGCTGTGGGTGTGAGGAGTCCAGGATGTCTGCTTCGGGTGGGCGAGGTTTTGTTTTGGCTGTCACGAGCGTTGAGTCTGTTTTGTGGGAGGAGATGGGGACGGGGGGGGGGAAAGGAAGTGAGAGTCAGTCAGGTTAATCTGTGAATCAGAAGTGAGTATAATTTTGGCGGTCCGCGTCCGGATAAGCAGAATTTGCCGAATGCCATTGGGCAGAGCTGGGCCTTCAGCCTTTTGTCTGGTTCTAGCCGTTTGGGGGCACGTCATTCCCCTGGATCTGAGCCCGGCGGGGCTAGACAGAGGCCCCATTCCCTCCGATATCGATCGCGGGGGGCTCTTTTTGCGCGAGGCGGGGCTTGTGGGCTTTTTTACCCCTGGCGCCTATCTTTCCCTATCTCTGCTAGAGAGGGGTCGCATTGACTTTGTCACTACAAGTATGATATCCAACCATACGTGCGTTTCTCGCTTTTACTGCATGAGGTCGCTTTTATTTTTTATTCATTTATTTCCTACTTGTCGATAACAAGTGCTGTCCAGGAATGATATCGCAGACACAGGAATATTAGTTCCCAGCGCACGTTTGGTTGGTTACCAAAATCTCTATATGATCGCTTCCAATACGTGATTGCTAGGCTCAACATCTGATTCCAAAATTAGATCCCAAAATCGGATGCCACTCTATCTAGAAGTCCAAATGCGGCCGAGCTTCCTCGGGGACCCCCTTGGTGTCCTCTGCCATGTCTGCACGCGTCGGGTAGTTGGATTGCCAGCCAGCATGGGTAGTTTCCAGGCCGTGTGCTCGCAGGGCGCCGTCGACAAACCGGCCTTTCTGCTCCAGCCGGCCCAGTAGATCCTGCCTCCTCTGCTCTTCCTGCTGGATTCTCTCCTGCGTGTTGGCCTCATGTGTCTCCAGCCACTGCACCTGAGTCCACTGCTCAGCCGACTTTGCGGCGGTAATCTGCTCGCGTAGGGTATTGACCGTGTTTTGATATGACAGGATGGACGTGTTCAGCTGGTCAATCTCCTTGTACACGTCATGGACTGACAACGTCGTCTGCTCCGACGCGTCTTCTAGCTGCTTGAGTGGTCCACGGACCAGTGGCTGTTCGTTCACCCTGGCCAGATTGGTGGCATTTAGCTCTGCCACAACCTGATGCTGTGATCTTGAAGATAATGGACCGACATGGTCCTGCCCTATCTCGTAAGCGAATCCAGTCTGTTGGCCTCCGGCTGAGGCATAGTAGGAAGACGATGGTGCGCCATGGTGCGGCCAAGCGCTTGATCCTTCTGACCCTATCTCGTGGACGCGCTCACTCGGTTGGCCTGCGACTGAGTCTCGGTACTTGCTCGAACGTCGGTGTCTTGACGACATCTTGATGGTACGGAGGTGTTGGCTGGCGTTATTTTGACTGGAGACAGGGCACCTTTCTCTTCAGGCCAGGTTGGGTCGTTGAGGCAGTGTCTTGTGGCTCAATTATGTAGATAAGAGCAACAAACTGGAAGTTGTCATAAAAAGTGTGTATTCTAGGCAAATTCGTGCTTATCCAGAAAGAGAACGAAGACGGATATCTAGCTGGCTAATAGCCTGCCTTATATACTTGAAATTGTGGATGCCTTTGAATCACTCTCGGCTATGAGATGAGGTATGTCATCAACTATCGCCCAGTGTTCGCCTGAACAGCCTGTCAGAGTAACCTGTTTCCATAGCGAGAAATCATCAAGAGTGGTGACTCACAGTAATAGTAGTACCGGCCGACGGAGTGAAGGAGAAGGGAAGGGGTTCCGGGTCACATTCTGTAGATGTCTATGCTCGAAATCTTTTACTAGGCCAGTAGAGGGAGAAAGACGAGGATTCACACAGGTGGCAGGAGGCGAAGATGTGTTGAGAGCATGCAAGCCCTAACAGACTTCAGTACGGCTTCTACCATGTGTGCCCTTGAAGCTGTCGTGTATCCATACCCCAGAAAACCAAGGAAGCACTGATTAATATACACAAACCAGGCACACAGTCAGGCAGCCCACACGCTACTTTCAAAACAAGCGAGGAAGCCTTGTCCCCAGGATTGGTTCATCGGCTTCAGAGGATAGAAATCACACGTGGGTGGGTATCCAAAATGATCGATGCAGACTTCTAGCCTCATATGTATGTCCGATTAAGACTTTGTCCACCGCTACCGCCTCTATTCGTATATGCTGCGCCTTGTGGTTCAATGGAGTGTCTCGAATTCTGGTTTTGTACATAGCTTGCCCTCTGGGCGGTGTCGCCCTCAGATGGCGCCCAGCTCCTTGAGCTTCGCCACGAGGCCGTTCACATCCTCGACCTTGCCGCCACCCTGCCTCGGTGCGGGCTCTGCATGATTTCGTCAGCACATTTCTCTCGCGAACAATAACGGCCAGGCCGTGCGGAATCGACGTACCCGTGACCTTGAGGACCTTCAGCCTCCGCTCGTTGGTGATCCCAAAGTCCGCCAGCGTCTTCTTGTCCAGCTTCTTCTTCTTTGCCTTCATGATGTTGGGCAGGCTTGCGTACCGGGGCTCATTGAGCCGCAGGTCCGTCGTCACCACCATGGGCAGCTTCGCGCGGACCGTCTCGACGCCGCCGTCCACCTCCTTGGTCACGCTGACCGAGTCGCCCTCGCCGAACTGGACGCTGCTCGCCTGCGTCGCCTGCGGCCAGCCCAGCAGGCCCGCCAGCATCTGGCCCGTCTGGTTGGCGTCGTCGTCGATGCTCTGCTTGCCCAGGATCACCAGGTTGCTCTTCTCCGCCTCGACCGCCTTCCGCAGCAGCTTCGCCACCGTCAGCGGCTCCAGGTCCTCGCCCTCCTTAACGTCCACGTGGATCGCCCGGTCGGCGCCCATCGCCATCGCCGTCCGCAGCACGTCCTGCGCCTTGGGAGGGCCCGCGCTGATGACGCAGATGTCCTCGACCCCGCCCGGCGCCGACTTCTTCTCGCGGATGCGCACTGACTCCTCGACCGAGAGCTCGTCGAAGGGGTTCATGCTGTGCTTGACGCCGGCGGTCTCGACGCCCGTCTGGGCCTTGTTGACGCGGGGCTTGACCTGGACGTGGGGGAAGTCGTTGCGTCAGTATTGGGGATCGCAGTGCGCCATGAGGCGCGAGGTGGGGGTTTTAATTGCGGAACCAGTTGAGATCAGACTCACAGCATAGTCAATTACCCGCTTGACCGGGACAAGTATACGTAGGGCAGACATGCTGGCGAGAAAGGCTGACAATGGCAGGGCGTAGCGAGAGCGAAGGTCGAGGAGAAGCGGAAGGCAGTGTCATGCATCCGAGTGACAACCTCGAGGCCGCATCGGAGCTACGCCGGTTAGTAGCGGTCTCGGCGGACCCGCACCCAGTCGTGCACTGCACCACACCCTGCACGGTAGTCGGCGCCAGAGTCTACTATTGCAATACCCACGCAATTTAGGTGAACGCATTGTCACATGCTTTTCTCTGACACCGCCGACTTCTTTTCATTATACCACTCCGTCTTCGTCCCCCTCAGCCGGGATATAGTCTAGAAAGATAACATTTATTTATCCATCCACCCAGCACACCTCGCCTAGAGAGAAAAAAAAAAAAAACGAATAAAAGAAACAAAACCCTAGATTATACAGAAAGTGGTAGCTAACGTGGGGACGCCTTAAATCAATACCTCAAGAATCTTCGTCCACTCGTCTCATCTCCTGGGGCATCATCACCAGTCATCCCACTCGTCCTTCTTGGCCGCAGGTGCCCTTGCAGTGCTATTACTGCCCTTGCCCATCGCAGACGTTCCAATCGAGCTGCTCTGCGGCTTTCGCTGGTCGGCCAGCGAGGCAAAATCGTCCCAGAATGACTTCTTGCTCTCATCCAGAGGTGCGGCACGCGACCCACCCTGGTTTGATTCTGGCCCCCCCTCAACGAATTTGTTGAAGTTCTCAGATGCGCTCCTGGCACCTTGCTGGACGGACTGGCCAATTCGCCCACCGAAGACCTTTGCCTGGGCCGCGAAGTCTGATTGTCCGACCTATATAGTACATCAGCATCTACAGACACATACGGAACAACGGCAGGATCACGTCCTGAGCGTTGGAGGACGTACCTGCTTCGCCGTAGGCTGTATGAAGTCCTTGTTCACTGAAGTCGCCGTCTTCGTCACCGTGGATGTGAACCAGCCGAAGCCCTTGCCCAGGGCCGCCAGAGGATCCTTCTGCAGCTCATCCAGTTTCGGCAGGCCTTCCTCTTGGCTGGCGGGCGCCGGCGTGTTCCCAAACCCAGCGTATTTTCCACCCTGGCTGGGCGGCAGATGGTCTGGCCTCGACGCGTTGGCGGCACCAAGGCCTTCAAAGTATTTGTCGTCCACCTTGACCTTTCCGCCGCTCGTGCTGGGGCTTTGCGGCCTGCTGCTGTTGCTATTGTTGTTTGCGGTGCCGCTCAGGGGTGTCGCCGACCTCGACGCGCTGCTGGTGTTGGTCTTCGCCGATGCTTGCTTTCGCTCGCCAGGCACGTAATCCTTCCCCTCCACCTTGGCGCTTAGTCTCTCCTTCCATTCCTCGCCGACCTCACCGCTGTATCGCTCGGCAATGGTGGCGTCGTCCCAGCTCATGCCCGTCATCTTAGTAGTCTCGTGTTTGTCGAAGAAGCTTTTCCAGTTGTCATTTCCACCCAGTCTCATTCGTTCGATCTCGGTTTGCTTGAATGCGTCCATGGAGATGGATCGAACGAAGCTGATGTGTACGCCCAGTCCACGGTGGACGCCTGCGCACGACAAACAGATGAAGATACCGAACTTAGGGGATGCCCATTGAGGAGAAGGCGCATTGCAGTCGCAGCAGAGGGAGTTTCCGGACTCTTTTTGGATAGCGAGGAGCTGTTGAACGGGGCCACGTCAGCGGACCAGGCGTGCAAAAGGAGGGAGAGGCGAGCAGGCCGGTAGGGTCGGTACGAGGACTGCTATCCCTTTCTCCTCAGCTTCAGCATACCTTGGAACGAGTCTCTGGGTCGACCTCCCACATGGCTTTCGAGGCCATGTTGGGCAAAAGTTGGTTCTCCTGTCGTCACGAGATTCGCCAATGATCAACGGCAAGATTGAAACTTGTGGCTTGTGTGGCTCGCGAGCCTCTCTTCGGTGAACTTGACTGGGAACAAAGGCCAATAAAGGCGGAAGCAAGAAGCCGGACTAGGGCTTGTTAGGCTGCGAATCGAGTCGAGCAAATCTAACTGTCGAGATCTCTCCTCTGCGCTGGCACTCGTACTTGGTCGCGGATGTTTCGATTTCGTTTGAGCATTTATTACAGGTGAAATGGGGACTTGGGGGACGATGGGTACAGGGAGTGTGGGGTTAATTCCTGATAGCAGCCAATAGCCTTCTCCCATTCCGATAGCTGACTTAGAGCAAAGGATACCACAAGTCGCAGGGATCTCGCAAGCTCGTTAGTTGGGCACTGGTGACAGGACTAGGTACTCTACTATGGTCTAGACAACATGCCTAGGTATTTGTACATGTACTTGAATCGGGTAGAGACAGATACATCCTGCAGAAGAAGATTTCACCTACTTGTGGGTTGATTCTACAGAATCCGTGTAATCGTCCGTGAAGTTTTGCCATCCATGCAATGAGTACTTGCCCACAAGAAGGGCTAAGTTACACGCCTACGTCTGGTATCCGCTTGGCTGGCTGGCTGTACGTATGTGCGCGTGTGTGGTGCTGGTCGTTGCTCTGCGGTCACAGTCAACAGCCTGGGAATGAGGGCATTTGAGAATCATCAACGGTCATTCATTCAATTTCTCCCGCACGAACTTTTCCCATTCCCATCAACACCTTCTCCGGATGCGACTAATGTACAAGGCCGGGGAGAAAATGAGAGAAATGGCGTATCAATACAGAGATGCGAACGGGTGATGAGATGCTTCATGGAAATTAAGCTGCGCAATGCATGCATGCGAAAAGAGGCGATAATGGTTCTCCTGCTGCCCATATCACATGTCGATGCCCACTCGGACGCCGAAGACCATCCCGCCCCATTCACAAGTCCAAGTCAGCCAAATTCACCTTCCCGCACGCTGAATCGTAGTATAATTCATCTGCCTTGCTGACGCGCCAGGATAAGACTAAGATGATGGTTCCAAAATCACAGCCCGCGTGTTTGCTGCTTAGTCGATGATCTGGTCGGGCGATTTTGTCGGTGTGTTCTCCGCGCTGCATTTAAGCAGCAGCGGGGGCAGCAGCAGGGGCAGCAGCCTGCTCGGCGCCGTTCTCACCCTCAGTGGTAGGAGCGTTGGCCTCCTCGTCGGTCTTATCGGGGCTGTCGATGGCGACCTTGACAGCGATTTCTCGTCCCTCGATCTCCTTGCCGTTCATCTCGTTGACGGCCTTCTGCTGCAGCTCCTCCGATGCCAGCGTGACGAAACCGAAACCACGACCCTTGCGGGCCTCACCACGTGCCTGGAGCTTCTTGATCATGAAGCGGGGGATGGGTCGCAGGGCAATCTTGGCAGAAGAAGGCTGGTAGGCGTTGAAGAGCTCCTTGAGCTAGAGAGAAGATTCCGAGTCAGCACGAAAATCCCCGCTTTACCTAGAATCCTATCATACCTTCTCCTCAGTCAGGTCGTAGGGCAGGTTAGCCACCATGACCTTGGTCTTGGAGGGGATGCCATCGGCCGGAGGACCGCGTTCGCGCCGCTCCCGGGCAGGGCGAGCAGCCTGGGTCTTGTTCTTGCCATCAGGGTCAGTGTTGTTGGTCTTGTTGGTGATGTCTTGCAAAGGTTGAACCTCAGTGTCTGCTGCGGCATCGGCGGGGGCCGCAGCGGTGCCCTCGGCGCCTTCCTCCTTCTTGTCCTGCACAGAGCTTGTGAGTTTCTCGTCGTAATGAAGGGGTCAACCCGTGGGACAAAATCTTACCTCGCGGGCACGGCCAGCCCGTCCGCCACGAGCGCGGGCGCCACGGCCACGGCCACGGGTGGACTGGCGGCGACGGTTACCCTCGCCCTCTCCGTTGGCATCCGTCTTCTCGGCGTTGGCCTCGGGCTTGCGAGCAAGCTGGACAGAGACCTTGCGCTCCAGGATCTCTTTGCCAGAGAGCTCAGCGATAGCTCGCTCGGCCTCGGTGGGAGTGGAGAGGTCGACAAAGGCGTAGCCGACAGAGCGCTCGGTTCTTGGGTTCTTAGGGATGGTGACTCCCTCGCTAAGAGGCAACAATGTTAGCAAGCCATGCACGAATCTCTGTCCTGAGATGTCGACATAATGGCAAGAGCGTGGCACCGTGCAAAGCTAGCAACGGCGCAACAGCAGGTGCCGGGGGGTACGGGCGGGCTCGGAGAGCACGACAGGTTGGTGACTCACACAAGGTAGCCCTTGAAGAACTCCTTCAACCCCTCCTCGGTTGTCGCGTAGGCCAGGTTTCCGATGTAGAGGCGGCAACCCTCAGCAGGGCTGGGGGCGTTGGCATCGGCTGGCTTCTCAGTAATGGCAGTGTTGGACAGAGCGGCAGTCACGTCGTTGACGGCGGCGTCAGCGGTGTTGTTCTCCTGGGGGGCAGACATTTTGGCTGGTTGATCTGGGTGATTGACGGATGGGTGATCTTGTTGGGTCTGGGGGGTGTTAGTCAGGATGGAGAGTTGTGCTGGATCAAAGCTGAGCTGAGCTGTTGCTGTGGTGGACCGGCAAGTAGAATTAGTTGCGAGGGTCGACGACGTGCGGGTACTTGACAGGTGCAAAGGATTGAACTCTGTTCTCAATAGGAGGGGGAGGAAAAGGGTAGCTTAGTGCCCTAGATGACTTGTGGGGGGAGGGGGGCTTGACGGTGGGGTGAGCGTTGCTGTGATCGATCTTTGGTGTTGGGAGTGAAGATGGAGGGAGGAGGGAAGAAGAGGGAGGTCGACGTTGCGACTTGGAGCCCTTTGTTGTCGCGCTGGTCAAATAATTTTTTTGGGGCTCGCCTGCCCGTCTAGGTGCCTGCAGTTGCAGTGCCAGCGGCCCCTGGTGCTGGTTGCGGGCAGGGGTGAGGGAGAAGGAGGGGAGGAGCCAGCTCCAAAGCGGGAAAGTGTGGCGCATCAAATGCCTGCGACGTACCTGCTTGACTGCTCAAGAGTCTGCTCTGCTTGCCCTCGACTGTGCTTCTGTGCCGTGCTGTAACCTGATTGGCTCGTGTGAGGGAAAGCTCAACTTCCACGGGGCCTGCCACTTTATAGGGGAGGACCCATCGATTGGAGACCGGGCATCAAGGCAGGGCGGGAAGGGGCAGGCTGGAGGGTACTTACACGCAGGTGGGCTGTGGTATTGTCGACTTTGGTTGACGGTGGCAGAGACGGGACAGAATCAACGCCCTCGTGGCTGCTGCTTATTCAATAAATGCTGTGACGCCAGAGACGATGTGGGTCAACATACGTATAGGTACCTGAAAAAGAGGGCTGTCACTTCCAGAGTCCAGACGGGCAGGCGAATTAACAAGGCGGAGGCAAGCCCAGTTTGTCACAGCAGCTTTTGTTTGATAAGTTACACAGATTGTGTAAGGCCTCTCTGGCTTATTTCGAGAGAACCTTACTTCGACGACAATCGCATCCCGGGGCAAAATCAGACGAAAGATGTAAACACACAACTCCATTCAGGGTTGGCCCTCCTCACGCCTTCGCCCTCGCTCGGTCACGCTCTTCCCCTCTATCCGTTTGGCTTGAACTGCCGCTTCTAATATTTTCACGTTCCATTGCCAGGGAGATGGCGATGCCAGAGGCTGTTCATACCCCCCTCCCCCAAGCCTAGGCTTCTCCTCAAGATTGAAATTGTGATTTTGCGGCACCTGCATCTATCTGTAGCTCCCTGCTAAAGGCTGAGACATGGCTCACATGGCGGTGTCCAGCGCCAACAAACGTTGATGCCAGGCTCCACATCCACGGCCCAAGGGTCTGATGTAGTTAAGGCGTTGGTGAACAAGACTTCAATGTCCGGCGTTGGTTCAACTGTCCCACACGCATCAATAGCCACAGTTTGTCTTCAGCAAACATGGAGGATTGTCGCAACAGAGGATCAGAGTGATGCACGGGTACCCACTCGATGTGGCATTCGCATCCACAAAGCTTCCGCGCCGTCAGCGGCAAATGGAGCCCTTCAGCCTCGCCTCTTGTTCTAGAAGGCCCCCTGACCCGGCACCTGGGCGGGAAGCGGTCAAGGGCACCTGGACCGGCTGACTGGCTGGCAGGCAGCTCCATAAATGATGCTGCTGCCTCTTGGCCCCCCGTCAATGCCGGTCTCGACCCTCTAAGCAGCTCTATTGGTCGTGGTGCACCGCCACATGCTGTACCTGTCTTGCTATTTCCCAAGCTGTCTACGTAAATGAAGTAGATATGCGCTGTGCCTGTCTTTTTGAATCAACAGGATCACGAGACCGGAGACCGCACCCCTTAATTGTACCTCCTCGTTATCAAATGCAGGATAGCACGTCCATCGCGTCTACGTTGGCCTTTCGGGCGGGCATCATTGCAGTCTATGTATCTAACTTGTTTGAGTACGGACATAGACCAGCGCACAAATGTCCACCTGTGTACGTAGCAACACTCCTACGATTATACTCGTAGCGTGGCTCTTGATGGCTTGTCCGATGATCCATCGGCAGCCACATGGGCTCGCACACGGGCTCGCACACGGGCCGAGATCCCCAGATTTCACGGACCGCGGAGTCACGGCTGTGCGGCGTTGCAGTCTTACTCACACACCTCGGAGCCAACGCAAAACGGGGCCAACTCTGCAATGTTCCCTGCCGACATCTTGTTTTGGTTCCACCGCACTGTGAAACCGCTCGATTGTTCTTTTGGCTCCGGAATGTGATTGTAGAGTTTGTAGAGCTCAAGGCTGCAGGTGGAAGTGGTAACCTGGGTTGACTCAGCGTCCGACCTCGGCTGGACTGGTGAGTAGTGCTTTTGCCGCTACTGCGATCGACGACCTACCTAGCCTGGGTTCCCTGAAGATTTCGCCTCGCATCCCGGATGTATCTCCAGACAGAGTGGCATATGCGGGGATACTTCTATTGCTCAGCCTTGTCATCGGTGCCGTCCAATATTCTCGCCGTCGAGCCCTACATATTTAGTCTTCAGTACCGCTCATCAGGAACCATCTGAGGACCTTGGATTATCTGAAAGCATTGGCTTCAGCACCTTGCAACAATTTCACAGCCAAGTCAACCGGCACTCTCAGAGATCATCATTTGCTAGCTGAAGCAACGTCATTCCCTTGCGTCTCTTTTTCCAAGCTCATCAAATCCAGATTGGAAGCACATATAGAGGAAGGGAAGTGCTCTAACCGTGGACGATTCCAACGTTGTTAGACGGTTCGCTACACCAGGAGTGAGGCACAGCAGAGTCATTGAGAAGGGCCGGCCAGTCCGTGCCTTCCGTACCGCGGGTCACTTTTAGCCATGGAGGCAGAAGAGAGGACGGATGGCACAGGCGGGGAAGTTGCAGAGGGTAGCAGGTCGATGCTTGTTCTTTACGGCACGGAAACTGGCAAGAGCCAGGAGATCGCCCAAGAGATCGGTAGAGCAGCAGAGGGGCTGCGCTTTCAGACGCAGGTGGAGGAGATGAACGATGTGCCTCTGGTAAGCTCGACCAACCACCAGCACCACGCCACACCACACCAAAGTGGCACCAAAATCGGCGGAAGTGAATGTAATTGACGGCGTCGCATCTAGAAAGAGCTAGCCCACTGCTCCCTTGCCATATTTGTTACTTCGACGACTGGGCAAGGCGACATACCGGCCAACGCCACCTCCTTCTGGAAGAGCATTTTGAGAAAGAAACTACCCGCAGATTGTCTGAGCCACCTCAGGTTCACCAGCTTTGGCCTTGGTGATAGCTCCTATCAAAAGTGAGGCCCACACCCGCCTGGCCCCCTCAATCCGAGAGGATGGCTGACTAACAGTCCAAAGGTTCAACTGGGCTGCGAGGAAACTGCACAAACGTCTCCTGCAACTGGGCGCCGCCGAGCTCTGCCCCGCCGGAGAAGGGGACGAGAGGCACGACAACGGGTAAGCACGATACCTATGACATCTCTTGGTGCCCTTTGTATCTTCTTGGTCTCTCGAGCGGCCACCGTCCTCAGGCAGCAACCCGTACTTCGACGCGGGCAGCAACGGTCCGACCGTCTGTGCCTTGACCCTTCGATTCTGACTTGATTGCAGCATCGACAGCATTTACCTACCCTGGTTTGAGACTCTCAAGGCCCGTCTTTCTGCCGAGTTCCCACTCCCACCGGGCATTGACCCCATACCAGACGACGTCCTTCTTCCCCCAAAGTACCCCATTGAACTGGCCGAGATGGATCCCATGTCGGACGAAGAGCGCTGGGAGGCGAATCGTGAGAAGCATGCAGCGCTCAGTCATGTTGACAGTCCCAAGAGCCAAAGGGAAGAACGTGATGACGAGGCTCGTCGACGTTCCGATTCCTCAGGCAAGACTTTTCGAAGCGACCTTTTCGGCGACCAGTCCAGCAATGATCACGTCTTCTTCAATCCTGACAAGGACAACATCCTGAAAGACTATCCCAGGAAGTACGACCTTCAGTCTACCGGAAACGACGAGAAGCTGCTCCATAACGAGGATCTACCTCCGCCAAAGCCAATCGCGTACCCCCAGTCTTATCAAGCACAACTGCTCCGCAACAACCGTGTTACTCCTGAGACTCACTGGCAAGACGTGCGCGTGCTCGCGATTCGCGTCCATAGAACGCCTTGGAACGATAATTTCCTGCCGCCTCTTATGCCCGGTGACACACTAACCATCTATCCCAAGAACTTTCCTGCCGACGTAGAGGAGTTCATCCATCTGATGGGTTGGGAGGGCAAGGCAGACATGCGCATAGTTTGGCAATACAGCACAACTGCAACTGAGAAGGCTCTGACAAACGTCAAGGTTGGAGGCTTACGGTGCCCCCGAAATCTTCACCCACCAAAGAACGCGACCATGCGCGATCTGCTCATCCACAATATCGACTTCAATTCGATTCCTAACCGGACTTTTCTAAAGGACCTACGGCGCCACACCGTAGACGAGCGCGAGAAGGAACGCTTGTCGGAGCTCACATCGGAGGCGAACAGCCAGGAGTTCTACGACTACACGTCTCGCCCTCGGCGTACAATCCTAGAGGTGCTCCGCGACTTCCCTGGTGTCAAGATACCGATGGATTACGCCTTGGAGACGTTTCCCTTAATCCGTGGGCGGGCTTTCAGTATCGCCAATCACAGCGATTCCCACGAATCATCCAAGGCAAAGTACCACGATGTTGAAATCCTCGCGGCGATGGTCGAGTACAAGACGATTATACGCAAGCCTAGACAGGTATGTTTTCTCACACCATAGGTCTGGTAGTCGGGCCCGGCTTTCTCAATCATCTGTCTACTGATGCTGACAGCTCTTCTCAGGGTCTTTGTTCAAGGTATCTCAAGTCCTTGAAGAAGCCAGGAACAATATTGGCTGTGGGGCTCACCAGAAATCCTCATCCTCCACCACGCGGCGAGTACAATGTTGAGCGGCCACTTATAGCCATTGGCACCGGAACCGGCATTGCCCCAATCCGCAACCTCATCCAGGAGCGCAATCTTTACCACGTCGTGGGCCAAACACTGCTATTCTTTGGCGCGCGGAGCAGGGAAGCCGACTACTACTACGGCTACGAGTGGGAGACATACGACAACGTTCGTGTCTTCGAGGCCTTTTCGAGGGACCCCATTGCCGAGTCTGACATGCCCTTCCTCGACCCTTACTCCCAGAAGAAGCGGGATGCACTCAAGCCCGAATCCGACAATTTGTCTGCTGCGGAGCCCATGAACGCCGAGAATACACCGTGGGTGCAGAGCGTCGACTACGACCGTGGAAAGATGTACATCCAGCACCAGATACGGCGGCACGCAGAAGACATATGCGCTGTTCTTGATCAATCCAATGCACTACCGATCTTCGTGATCTGTGGAAACGCGGGCAGGATGCCGATTTCTGTGCGCCGTGCGCTGGAGGATGCACTGGTCATCGGGGCCAAGGCGAAGGATAACGAGGCGGCGAAACGTTTTCTTCAGGCCGTAGGAATATGGATGGAGACCTGGTAGGCTGGAACATAAGGTCACGGCGGCATTGATTGTGCCTGGGGAGTTCGCTATAGGACACTCACGGTGAAGTATCCAATGGTGGGCGGGAAAACCTGGACGGCATTCGAGACCAGTAGGTTATTGCATCACTAAGCCTGTGTAGCAAGTAGCCATGAATTCTCAAGATTTTCAAATGTCCGTGGGGTCCTCGCTGTGTTTGTTCCCTCCCCACATCATCCGGGCGTCTCGACCGACAGCCGGACAGCGGTGATCGAACAACTTAGGAGAAGTAGGGGACTTGCTCGCCGGCTGAGAGAATGGCAGGCCCGTTCATTCATATCACACTCGGTCGATCAGATCCTACTAGTGCCTGGTCTTCTTGAAGGTACAGGATGTCATTTGGGCTTACTAAGTCGTGTGAAGACAGCATCTTCGACATGAGTATCGTGTATTGAGCTTGATGGCTAACTCTATATTGGCACATGTCCAATAGCTCCTCGTTTTGTTCATCTTCGTACAGCCCCGGTGCATTATTGTATGTAAACAGTCTGCATGGCCGTGGCAGCCACACCATCGGCCTGCCTACGTTCCGAAAACCACCAGCACTTCACGACCAGGTCAAATCAACACCCGTGCCCACCCGGGAGATCAGAACGCTCTCCACAACCATAACGCCTCGCGAAGCCTTTTATTGGCCTTATAACCGTACATATGTCGCTCGTGGTCTTTGTTCTGACTCTTGAGGTCATCGATTGCCTCCCACTTCTCAAATCCCAAACTCCGTCGCGTAATATGGTTATCAAAAAAAAGGCAGTTTTACCCCTGCCAGAGGTTAAGGTGATGGAAAGGGTGAGAGATATTGAGACATATAGTCGACATAGAAAAAGTTGTCGGTGAAGGTATTTAGACAGGTCCAGGGCGGACCGGCATTATAACATCGTATGGGAGCATATAAAAAAATTGTTGTCGGTCCGGGTATATCGGCTGTGGCCGATATTGGGGCAGGGCATCGCTGCACTGACACTCTGTGAGCCCCTAAATCACATGGTCTCTTCCCAGCTATACCTCCTGGGCGAGGGCTGAGGGACGTGCACGATATCGCCCTCGCCGCCCACCCGCTCGTGGCCGAGCATGGACAGGTTCTTGACGATCTGTGCCTGGATGCGCGCCTCCTCCTCGACGGTGAAGTTGCTGCCCAGGCTGTCGGTCGACCCGCGCCGGTCTCCCTCGCGGTAGGAGCCGTCGGCGGTCCCCTGCCGGTTCGAGTGAAGCGAGAGCTCGCGGGTGAAGACGGACTTGACGGGGCTCTGATAGGGCGCCAGCGGGCTTTGGTCGTGCAGGAACAGGTCCTGGGTGACGGGGCTGCTCGGGCTGCTCGGCGATGCGGGTGAGCTGTGCTGTTCGTTGGGTATGACCAGCCTGGGTGGTGAGCGAGGGTTTTGCTGGGACTGGGACCTGAAATGGTTACTTGAGGGCGACGGAAACTGCATGTTGTCGGGCATGGGGCCGAGACAGATTATGTTCTCGGTGTCAATCGGTGCCCTTTGGCTTTGGTGGTATGTCGGCGTTGGCGGGGGTAGAGAGCGAGATTCCACCGGCTTAACAGCCGAGTTGGTCCTGCTGATGGAAGACACCCGGCCGCGCGATGACAAAGATACTGGAGAATGTGATGCTAGGCTCGATTGATCTGATTTGGATGAGTGCGAAGACGAGGGCCCGTGTCTGGGAACTGGGCCGACGTCGTCGGTCGGCAGGGGGGAGACGGTGTGAGGCGTGTGGTACTGATATGGCGAGTAGGAAATGAAGGTTGAGTTGGCGTTAGTGGTGCTCGTCACAAGTGACGCTGACGCCCTTTGGGGCGCAATGTTCAGTGGAGGGGGGGCGTCGAAGCGGCGGTTCTGCCTTGTCGAAAAGCGGGGTGTTGCTGGCGAGGGCATTGATGGCAGCGAGCTGTAGTCGACTTGGGTGTACGGCGCAGAAGCAGGTGGTGATGGTTCTTGTGGCTGGTAGTGGTGCCCTTCGAGGCTGATGTCATGCACCGATTTCCTCGTCGCTGGCGCGTGAGCTGGCGCCGGTCCCAACGCCTCCCTGTCCAACTTCTGGATAGCCCTCTGGTATGCCGTTAAGCCATCCGTGCTCTGGTTCCGCCAATACCTCGCTCCGCCGCCTGAGTTGAGCTCGGTGCCGTCCAACTCGGCGTGCGACGTGCGGAAGGCATGATCTCTGTTGAACGAAGCTCGCCCCGGGTGAGAGCTGTCCCTGGACAGCTCGTAGAACTCCTGGCCCCGCGGTTTCCGTCGCCTGGAGATAATCCTGGAGAAGACTCGCCCGATCCGAGTCCTCGGGGCCTCCTCCCTCCTCATCTGGAAAGCCTCGTCCTTCAAGTCCTCTGAGGTGGCTGTGCGCGGCATTTGTCTCGGGTTCCGTCTTGTGCAGCAACAAGACCGCAGAACAACGGCGGCGACGCAGAGGACACCGATGATTCCTAGACAGATACCGACAATGACCCCAACTCGTAATGTCTGGCGTGCAATCATCTCTCTTGTCGTTTTCAGGACCGGGCGCAAGAGGTTCCAGGTCGGTCGCGCTGTGGGTCACGGAAATGGAGTCATGCCAAGGGTATCATGACGGTACTGTGAAGTACGGTTGGCTGGCTGCGAGTTGCTCGAACAACGCAACCGAACAGCGGATGCTCGTGGGGGTGGTGCCTGTGGAGCCTGTGCCGGTTCGTGTCTCGGTTGTAAGTCGTCGTGCATCAATCAACCGTCGTGCTGCTCAGGATTCTGCGGCGGTGGTTGCTGGTCCCTTTGGGTGTCCAGTGGCGGCACAGACAGGACGTCCTCGGCGAGGGCGGGGAGTGGCAGGACAGAGAAAGCTGGTCGGTGGACGGAGCACGGTACAAATGTCGCGAAGTGGGAGGCCGGAAAGGCAAATGGCCATGGGAGGGATGCTAGTCCCACAGAGCGGGACCGCGGGCTGGACCACGCTCAATCGGCCGGGTCTTGGGTGGCAAGGATCCCCTGCCGGGCCTTCGCTACCAAGAAGCGCGTGCAGGGCGGCGTGGTTGCACCTTGCTTTGCCCAGCTTAGAGTTTGTCTCAGTGGCCGGTGCGTAGCGCGGTGTGGTGTAAATTAATGTCGATAGTGTGGTGCACATGGAGTGGGGGGAGACGCGAGGTTGTGCTGGACGAGGCAGACGTGTCAGCGGGAGAAATTGGTGATGCGAGGCACATGCGAGGCAGAGATTGCAGCAATGACCCGATGCTGCGCTCGAGTCTGCCTCGCCATGTGGTTGAGCGGGTCTTGACGAGATGAGGCGTGGAGGAGAAGGAAGATAAGGTGAGAGCAGCAAGGGGCAGTGGGAACAGCATCCCCGACACCAGCTGCCCTCTTGCGGGTTAGCATGCCTGTGGCACGCCTATGGCACAGTATCCAGGCCTGCTAACTAACACATCCATCCCAAGTGGGGACTTTCGCATCGCTTCGCTTCGCTTCGCCTGGCTACGCAGGGCCGCGCCAACGTTTAAACTTCGAGATCCCAAACAGCACGTCGCACCCCGTCACCATTGTAGAAATCATTCGACCAGTCCACATCCCCACGCCGCGCGCATATCTCCAGGGCATGAAACACGTCCTTCGTTCTTCAACGCCCTAAGCTCCATAGCAGCCTACCCTCGCCTCGGCAACCGGCCGCTGGTTTTTCTCGCGCCCTCTGCACACAACAACGCGCAGGCGGGCCTGGCGGCGTCATGACAGCACAATGCCGCAGGAGTTCATCGGATAATCTGTCATGGCAGTTTCTACCCCTGACTGCAACAACATCGCGCTGCCACGGCAGACATGAGGTCATGTCATGCGCAGGGATCTCGTCAACGGCCAAGCCGTCAAGCCGTCAAAGTTTTACCTCGTCACGCCCTTTTGGAACCTTAAGAGAGTGCTAGCCCCCAGCACTCGGTGCTACTACCATGGCCACGGCCGCGGCCACTACCACCTCAGACGCGCGCAAATCGGCAGTCGGATTGCGGGTCGGCCATCACGATGGCAAACGACGGGTGTCAAAGCTCCCAGAAGGTCTGGGGACCAGCGGCCTGGGGGGAGGCTCGCAAGCATGTCATCGCAAATTAGGGCCGCTTGGCCAGGATCTCACTCCCACTGACGGCCACCACGTTGCGCGCGATTCACGTGGGCCAGGAATCAGACCAGTAGCTAACCAAACTTCTCGTTGGTCTCACTAGTTAGTGCCGATAATGGCGGCCGAACATTTGGGCCTTGCGTTTGGTGAGGGATCGAGCAACGTCGCCGGCCGAGCCGCAACTATGCCGGCGTGCCTGTACCGCTGGGCGTCTACCGAAAGAAGCGGGCGCGGGCATCATGCTTTAACCTTGGCAAAGAGACCAGCCTTCAAACAAACTTGTCGCTTGTCGAGCCAGACCAGCCCAAAAGGAAACGGTCCCCACGTTCGCAATCACCTTCCCATTTCTGCTTCGCCCTGATGCGGTGACAAGCGAGGAAAGTCTTGTGCTGAAAGCTGAATTTGCACTCTGCAATCGGCAAATGAGGATCTGATCTTCATTGAAGCATGGAGCAAGTCAAGATCAACGACAAGATTGCTGGATCCACAGGCTCGAACCCTCGCTCTTCGACAAATGGTCGGAGCCAGTCACCCAAGGTCGACCCTCCCGCGTGAGCATCTAGTCAATGACATGGCACATCATTCTTGGATTTTGTGTGTCTTGTGCTCAACTGCAGTCGTTCACTGGCCACCAGGATGTGTTTTTTTCCGCCCTTGGTGAGAGCGCGCCTACGCGCGCCTGGCTGAATTGACTGTTGGCGATTGCCCCTTCCAGGGTATGTGGAGCCCCCGGGATGCTGCAAGGGCTGTGCGCAGGTGGAGCCCGCAGGATCAGGGGTCCTACGCATGGGCTTTGATACACATGGGGTTCGGCATCCGCCCAGCCTTGTGCTGACTCCAGAGGACCAACTTCGTGTCCTGCTGCCATGGACGTTGACACCTAGCCGCGTTTGGGAAATGCCGGCCATGATAGTCCAGTCGCTGAAGGTAAGGGGACTTGGACAGCAACTTCCAGCCCTTTTAGCGCTGACCCAACATTTGAAGGTCGTTTGGGGACCAGCTTTTTTGTGCATGCGATCCAGTGACCCACCCACAAGAGACGTGGGCTTTGGATATTCTGGGCGTGAAAGACAGAGTGCTCGTGGTCGGAAGTCTGCTTGTATGGCTACACCTCCTTTGATACAGATATATTTCCGTCAACAAGTGTGGGGAATCAGCCCAGGTGTCCGTCAATGCAAGGCCAAGGGATATGTAGAGCGGACACACTGCCGCAGTCCCGTGGCTGTGGATTACCATGCGCCCCAGGCTCAGCCCTGTCTGCCAGATGTGGAAATTTGTATTGGTTTGATACTCGTCGCCGACCTTGTGCGTGGGGGTGTGTGTGTGTGTGTGTGTGTGTGTGTGGGGCGCACCCAAACCTGTCCGTTTCGCCCCGAATCATTCAGCTGTCATGCTTCATTGCTAAACCCAGAGCGCGAATACATTTCACCACTCACGCTCTCGGCCTGAGTCGTCTTGCCTTGAATTTTCGAGAGGGTGGAGCAGTCCATACCGGTGAAGTCAGTGCGCTTGCAATCTTTTGGAATTAAATATTGGGCTTTTCTAAGGAACCCATCGTGCACACGAACATCGTCGATCTCTTGGCCAATTCAGCAATTGTCCTGGAGATGCCTGACCGCATCCATGGTGGCCGGCGCAACGCACGGCACCCTTTATCAATAGCATATTGCGAGGCGAGGCTAGATGCTTGGGTTGACTGGAAGTTGTCGTCCAGGCCCTGGCGCAGTAGCACCCATGGTTCTGGATTTTTCTTGTACAGATGAAATGACATCGCCCAGAGGCACCCTCCACCTGCGGGCATGTCAGATCCAGGGCCATCCGGTGGCTTACTTGTTAAAAGCAAGCTTGATAGGTTCTCAAGCATGAACGTAAATTGCTTGTTGCATGTATACATGTGTGTACATTGCGAACAATGCTCGGACTCGGACTCTTTCTGCGGCCGGGACACCAGCAGATGGGAGTACTGTATATTGTAAAGTGGAGGCTGGATGAGGGACTGGACCAGCGAGCACCTTCTCAAGTGCTGAGTTTACCATCCAGTTTCGAGGCAATTAATCCAAGACTGTCCTCAAATCCAGGCGAAGAAGCCCCCAGTATCTCGTGGTTCCACTATCACCATGTGTTGACTTGATGATGGCCTTCGTCCTGGGGCTCCGTGCCCAACTTCTGCACCCAGATGCCCGACTCCTATTTCCAGGTCCTGCTTTCCATCTAGCTCAAGGGCAAGAAAACTTCTGGCGGGGATGAGGCGACGATGTCGGGAACTTTGACTAAGCGACACTTTTGACGTCCTACAGTCCCAAGCCTCGCCATAGGTGCTTTGCGAATAACTCACAGTTTGTCCCGAAGAACGAAGTCGGTACGACCGTTCAGACCAGAAGCCACATAATGGCAGACCTGCGAAATGCACATTACAGTGGCTACCCCCCTCCTCCATTTGTCCTAGCTGTACGACCAGCAATTCTGGTAGACACGCACGCCAGTCTTCCAAACTGAGACAATGACAAGGGATCGAGTGACTGGAAGCATAGGCGCGTCATCATTTGTGGAAAACTACACCTCTGATGTCACTGAGCCAAAGGTAATATGCGTGAGACAGCGAGTTTCGTTCCTCTAGAGGCTGGCAAAGTATCGGCCGTCGCCCACTGAGCGCCAGGTGGGATGATGGTATCGCCGTGGACGGTTCGGCAGCTCTCGAGTTTCCCTCTCTGTTGTACGCCAGATAAATAAATCTCCTTCGTGCTCGCAATGGACGCCCGTGTAGATCTGATCGAATGCTGCGATGCGAATCAAACGGCTTCCAAGGAGATGGCTACAGGGAGCCAGAGGTATCCCGGAAGACTTGTCTAGCAGTCTGGGGCTGGCTTGTCTGTAAATGCCGGCTATGTCAACGCTCGCATTGCTGTGGTCGAGTCGTAGGAACCCACGATCCTGACGCGGGCGTGAGACAATCTCACCACTGACGTGGAGTTGAGATCTATACCTGCAGCCGTGTCGAAGCTTGTGCGCACCGTCTTGCTCGCCGTGTGTTTTCGAGGCTGCCTTGGTCGACGGTCACTTGCTATGTCTCGGTGGATTGTCTTTCGATGGGCCAGAGGATCCGCGTGGGTATGGTCGTTATCCTCCTCGTCACTGTCATTAGCAATACTAGCAAAGTCATTTTCATTCCGACGGATGAGAATATGTAGGCCTTTTCCTGCGTTCCGGACCATGAGGTTTCCTATACCCGTCTCAACTTTCAGTAGTGCACACCGTGACACAAACACTCGGCGATGACAGCAGGAGGTCGAAGCGGAGGCAGCCAAGGGCGATCGTATCGGTAAGGCCAGGAATTTTGGCCTGTGTTCTTCTTTACTGCATCGTGTTCCATATTGTATAAGCAGGAAGCCTCTGTGGAGGGTGGGAAAGCAGTCATCTTGATGGATCGCCCTCGGGCTTTGGGGCTCGATAAGAGGTATGCAGAAGAGGTCCAAGTGACCTAGGCCGTCAACATAGCCTGACGAGGACTTGCAGAAGGCAGTGGAAAAGAGGGACGACCTCAATCGTCTTGTTCATGACCAAGCTGGTATAGAGCACAACGTGGCCCTCAGCGTATCTGAGAGAATGAGAGGCCTCCATTTCGACCCAATGTCATCTTGGACTTTGCCTACACCTCTTCCTCCAAAAGCTGTCTCAAGCCAGGCCTTCCGCCTTCGAGGCCTCCTGACATGCCACCGCACAGGAGTAGACTCAGAGATAACGCAGACAGAGTTCCATGGGCGCAACAAGACGTTCGCAGCTCACGTGCAAGACTTTGTGCCGGTTGTCACACCGACACAATCGAAATGAAAGGACATCTAGGCCAGCAGATGCAGCCGTCCTCGAAGTCGCAGATCACTGCGGGATTTCATACCGTACCACAGTGATGATCCGTTGGCGTACCAGACTTTTTGCCTCATCAAGCACGGGGGCCAGCGATGGCCGCGGCCACAAAACTGTCTCAAAGCAGCGAAAAGCAATGGGCCACCATCTGCGGGCTACATACTCATGCATAATATGTGACGTGGCATTCATCACACTGCCCAAGGGCAGACGAAGTTGGATGAGTTTTGCGGCCATGTCGCACTCCAGGGCCCCATTGTGGGAGCCGATCATAGCAGTGGCTTGGATAGCCCAGGAATCGAGGCTCCGGCGCCGTTGCTGCCCAGCGGGTCACGGCCTCTCTGCCTGCGTTGCGTCGGTCAGCGGCAAAACATGGCTTTGTCCATGTGTCGCAGAAGGTGTGTCCTTGAGGACGGAGGTGTTCCGATCTTGCCTTTGCTGCCCTGGCATGCTGTCGTGGTGAAGTTCAGACGGCGTGGGCCCCCCGGCTTGCCTCAACAGAACTGCAGCATGAACTTGGTGGAAGAGGGCGAGGTGTGATGAGACAGGACTCGAGCCAACATGTCTCGTGTGTGGAAGGCATGATGTGCCACCGCAAGCTGCCACTGAATCGTCGGTCGAAGTATCAGGAGTCATTACCTTGGGCGTCGTCGGTGTTTGGAGGCATGAACAACCTCGAGGAAACAAGCAAAAGGGCCGGGCTGACGACCCTGAGATGAGCAGCCTATCGGTCACGCAGCTGGGGGCGGGGGGGAGGGTGGTGGCAGCTGTCACGGAAGTTTATAGACGACTGACGGCCGCCGATAGGCTGGTCAGGCGTGCAGATGCGATGCTGCGGTGATATTGTGCGACGGCAAGGCTGACGGGACTGGTCTGGGTGAGTGACAGGTCCAGTGCACCGCCAAACGAGGGCACAGACGCTGGGAGGACCCTCGTTTCACGAAAGGCCCGAGCCAGCACCGGAGCGTTGTTGCGGGCCCCAAGGACGTGAAACCGTGTCAGCGTGGAAGCACGGAGCAGAGAGGGCACGACGGGCATCTGTTCTCGAAGGGAGATCAGCACAAGTCCCGAGGTGGCAGCCGGGAGAGTCGAGATCCGATAGGCTTGTGAGGCCTGCTCGGATCTGCGCAAGGGCCCCCCCACAAGGCGGAAAGCTCAACAGGCCTCCCTCGCCCTTGGGCCGTCCAGCCCTGGCCCGTCAGCCGTCAGCCGTCAGCCGTCACCGGCACAGGGGTGCTCCAGGCCTTGGCATTCCTCCGTCGTCGTGGGCCTGGTGTAGGGTCGCACACACCCGCACTACCGACAGGGCGGACGTGACTGCCGGCATCGAGGGTTACGATTGGCTCATCACGTCCGGCCCGGGAAGCTTGAGCTGGCATTGCCCAAACAGGCAGGCCAGACGCCTCTTGGACGCACCATCGGACGGGCCTGCATTATATAGCGAGCCTGCTTGCCAATCCTCCGCCCGCCAGAGGAGACGGAAGATGGGCTGAATATTCTCCTTGACCTTGTCTGGGGGGTTGGACATGATTTGACCCCGACCCGACCCGACCCGACTCGACCTGCCTTGGCCTGCCTTTTGACTTGTCATCGTCGTCGTCTGTCATCACGACAGGAATAGGAACAGGACAAGACAGGACGGGACAGGACAGGACAGGGCAAGATAGGAAAAGACAAAAAGAAAGAGACCATGTCGAGCCACACCCGCCCAAAACTCACCGCCGGCGAGATCTCCAGCCTGCTCGGCATCCTCCCCGCCGTCGCCGGCACCATCCTGTCCTTCTTCCTCTCCAACTCGTGGCGACAATGGAGGCAGGGCATCCTGTGCGCCAGGTCCCTTAGGCGCAACGCCGCCGCCAGCTTCGGCACCGCCATCAGCCTGCTGAAGCCCCGGCAGCTCCGGGTCTTCGTGTCCAACACCACCGGCAAGACCGTCGCCGACTACTGTGCCGCCAATGACCTGACCCACCAGCCCGTACTGGTCGAGAACACAGATGGCTTCCCACCGGCCATGCTGCACTTCATCGACTGCAAGCTGGCGCAGAAGGGTCCCATCTTGCTGTACTTCCAGTATGCTTGAGTGTCTTCCTACTTCTTCGTCTCTCGTCAATAATGCTGACCACATCGCAGCGGCGGCGGCTTCATCGTTCCCCTCCACTCGCCCGCCTTCGCCGTCTCGTCCGCCCGCATCGCGCGCGCCTCGCCCGTGCTCCTCGAGTACACGCTGGTGCCCGAGTGCGAGTACCCGGGCCAGCTGGCCCAGGCCGTCGCGGCCCTCCGCCTGATCCTGCAGCACCGCAGCCCGGCCGACATCATCATCGGCGGCGAGTCGGCCGGCGGCAACATGGCCCTCGCCGTGCTCGCCCACCTGCAGCAGCCCAAGCCCGGCATCACCCCGCTGGCCCTGCCGCCCGCGCCCAACAACAAGTTCAGGGGCGCCGTCGCCATCTCGCCGCGCACCGCCAACCTCGCCACCGCCGACAGCTTCCGCACCAACTCGGGCAAGGACTTCATGAGCGAGCACAGCCTCACCGCCATCACCGCCAGCTGGAAGCCCGAGGCCGACGTCTGGGCCGCCCCCGTGCTAGCGTCGAAGGGGTTCTGGAACGGCTTCAGGGCCGAGAAGCTGCTGCTGGTCGTCGGCGCAGACGAGGTCTACCGCGACGACGTCTGCCACACGGCCAGGATGATGGGCGCCCGGGAGGTCGGGGTCGGCTCACTCGACGCCAAGACAAAGGCCCCGAAGGGCGGCGGCGGCCCGGACGCGCAGCTCATCATCTGCCCGAACGAGATGCACTGCCAGGCAAGCCTGGACATGTCGGTCGGCATCAGGGACGGCTACATGACGAGAGGGGTGGCCGGCTGGCTGGCGAGGTGTTGAATATAGAGGAGTCGGGGTACGCCCTTGTACATAAGTCTTGCATATAGCTCACTCACTCGATCGATCGCGATATTTTGCATGTCAGAATCGAAGGAGACGACGGGAAAATGACGTGAAACGACCAGGCACGGAGCATACTCAACTTTGTTTAGCTGTTAGCATGGGTACTTCAAGCGAGCTCAAGATCCACCACTGATGGAACCGAACCCGTATTTGATATGCACCATGAATTCTTGGCTAGAGCGTGCATTTGACGCCCATGCCCTACCCATACACATTGGGCGGCCTTTTCAGTAGGCAACCCTTCACGAAAATCAACATATTCTCTTCAGGAAATTGAGACTCTGTGCCTTGGCGACGTGGAGCCCATCTTAATGACCTACACTCTCATTGCTCCGGTCTCGACATCCTTCACGCTCTAGGGCCTAGAGTCTAGTATCTAGACATGGGTCCTTCTCAACAGATTAGCCAAGTCAACTGGAAAACCATTTGGAAGAGCTAGGTGCAGAGTAGAGACCATTTCCTGTGTCTAAGACGTAAGAGAGGAGAGAAGGGGAGCCTTGCAGAAGCAGCGAGATGTCCCTTTAACCGTGCGCCTATGTTCGCCTATCCCGGAGCCCATCAGAGTATGGACCGCCTGTGAATGAACATATCTCTATAATCACCGAGCGCTTCGTGCCTGACAGGGGCGTTGACCTGGCAGAGCTAGCCCGCCATACCACTTTTGATGTCAGCGATTCCGGGTACTGTAAGCCCCCGGTGTGGGAAATGTAGTGATCATCCTCTCGAGTCGTCGTTCTTGTTGACCAAGGCGAACGATGCTTCCAGCTCTTGTTCACATGTCAAACACCTCGCGTTGTGGTTGGACTCGGAGCATACAACCCGATGATAACGCCTGAGTTCTTGATGAGACAGTTCTTGGTTTGTTGACTATGCAGCACAGCACTCCCGACGGATTCAGTGAACGGAAGAATTATGAGGCTCTGGGCAGTCACAAAGAGGCCTTCATGTGCCGTTCAACGGCAGTGCGTCGTGATCGGCAATGAATTTGTGTGCCCAGCACCTGAACCCAGCACGACACACGGTCCGATCTGACGCGCACCGCTCGAGACGACAGTCACTCGGATGGCATGTCCCGGTTCCAACTGCGGGCGGCTCCATCCCAGTGTGTACGCTGCCAGAAATAACAACATCAAAATTAGACCTGCCATGTGGTTCAAGTCCTTGCTTGTTGTACTTCTGGGAAAACTGTTCCGAATTTTGTCTTTTCGTTCTACCTAGCATTATAAGGAAGTTGAAAGAAATTTGACACACCACGCCACACCACCGTCAGGAGTATATGACCACTCTGTGTCTTATCGGATCTTATCAATACCGCAAGACGCCTTTCCCCTTGCCGCTTGTCTCCAAGGGCGGGAACCCATCCTCCTCTATGCCAAGGCCGGTATTCTGAGATTGCTGTCTCTGCTCCTCTTCTTCGAGACTCAAACGAATTGCGAGTGCCAGGTCATCGTCCGCTTCATCGATGTGATTCGGGGAGGGACTTGTTTCCCAGACTTGACTAGACGCTCGTCCACCCTGCTGGGACGGCGTGTGGGACTGACTTGCTGGGCCCGCAACTGATGTGGACCGTTTCTCTTTGGTGGGTTTGTACCTGACATGAAACTCGAAGTCTGTCGAGCTGCTTGCTCGAGGTGACTGGCCCGCTTCGTTCACACCTTCCATGAGAGAGAGCCTCAGGGCTCGTTGGATTTGCTGCTCATAGTCGTCGTCATTGCCAGGATCAGCTTTGGCCGGTCCGGCTGCCGGGGCTATGCCACTGATGCTAGGATCTGGCGTGACCGTGTCGAGGCTACCAAACGACGAGGTGTTTTCGCCAATGTCTGCTGAAGAGCCGTTATCGCTGGCACTCGTACGCCGCTGCTCATCGAGCAGGAAGGCCTCCTCAGATACCATCTGTGCATATGTGATGGCCTCTTCCTCAGTCAGGTCGCCCAAGCCGACCCCGAAGCGTTTTCGAAGCCTTGCATTCTCTCGCGCGCTGTCCCTTTCCTCACGGCGAAGCTCGGCTTCTTCGGCAGCGATGTAGCCCATCACGGCATCACCCTGACGGCGACTCGATAACTTCCCATGAATGTCTGAATGGCGCGCACGACGTCTACGACCGAGACTCTGCAAGGTTGAGCTGTAAGTCCAGTATCGCACAAACGTCCCAAAGCATAGAATACCTCGCAAAATTGTTGGGTCTGGGTCCAGGAAAATGGCTGGACAGGTCGAATAGTCCGTGCCGCAAGGCCGGATTAGCGTTCAGAATGTGCCGCGGCGCTCGACCAGAAGACCGCGAGTTCAGTGTTCGAATGGGTTCCGCCGAAGAAGCTAGGGGGTCCCAAGCCTGTACAAGCCCATCGCTTCCTCCGTGGACGAGATACAACGCCGAGATGGCCAGACTGGTGACGTCGGGAGATTCTGTTTGGACCGCAAATACCGGTTCTACCAGATCTGAAGATGTGTCACGCACGTTCCAGACAAGTATCTTGCCATGGTCACTACCTATGCCAAAGAAGCGAGCTCTTCGCCCAGGTATCTCCCCGGTATTTTGCTTTGAAGTCGGCGTGGTCGCTCCCGATTTCAGGTGCTGAGAGTCAGTGTTGAGAGGATCTTCAAATGGGGCCAGTAACGCGGGAATGCAGTTGTCCATGGCAACGGCTGTGATCTGGGCCTTGCCGAGTTTCTTCAAAGACAGCTTCGATGTTTGCCATTCCCCCGCCTGTGGCATAACCGTCGTGTCTGGCTTCTGAGGTCCAGGAGAGGAAGCAAGGACAGGGGTGTTGGCACCAGAACCAAAGATGGATTTCAATGGCGTGGGAGAAAGGACGTTTGGAGTGAGGACAGTCGGAGTGGAAACCTTCGAGTTGTCAGTTGCCCCGAGAGTAGATCTGCTGCAACGAATAATCTCGGCCGGCTGTTCCTCGTCTTGTCCGGTGCAAATAGTGAGGATTATCTCCTCGGCGAAGTCCACTTCGAGCTGCCTCCTCATATTCCAGCCCTCGCAGACTTTCCTGAAGTGAGCTGGCTCATATCGGAGGTATTTCTCGATCTCTCGAGCCTCAGCGATAGTTTGGCTCTTACTTAAAGCCATGGCATCACAGGGCGAGCGTGGCGAGTACGTGCCGCGTACGGCGTTCTTATCAAGATCATCCGGGCGGGCTTGACGGCGCGTAGACTCGATAAGTTCCCAGTAGACAGTGCGACCAGCGATCCAAGCAGATTTAATGGTGTCTGAGTTCTTTCTTGTAGCCTCAATCGGTGGAACTGGGGTCTGCGTCAAAACGAAGCACTCCCCAAGAGCATTGAGAGCGCATGCCCAGACGCGACCTAAAGACATCTGCTTTTGGTTGAAGCTGTCGTCAACTTTGAGCGCAACAATTGGAACACCAGGGCTGAGGACCCAGCGCGCCGTCATGTCTCCAGCCTTGTATTGGGGACCTGCGAAATCGTGACCTAAGGCGTACGCAGTGACCACGCCCAGTGTGGACGCAGTCATCATCCCGATCATGTTTTGTGTTATCGAGGGAACTGCTGAGGACTTGGCGATCCACACACTGCAGATCGACTCCAACAATTCCGGTATCTTGGGGACTTCAGGGCTCATGTCGATGATGCTGTCTTGCCCGCCGAGGTACCTTCCACGCAGTTCGTTCGTCGCACGGAAGTATGGGCGGCCGCCGGGAAAGCCCTCACCTCCCACCATTCCGTAGGGCTGACTCACGTCCATCACATTGTATACAGCAGCTGGACCATCTCCAACGCCGTAAGGCTCCAGAGTCGGGAATAGCTCGTCCAATTGAGCGAATGCGAAAGGGTCATCGAGACCCCATTTCTCGACCTTGCCACTCGACGGGTCACTCACGGTGGAGACGCACAAGTCCCTCGTGCCAACGATGACCTTTGGACCTCTTTTGTTGTTCTCAAACACAGCGTGTATGTTGCTGATCATCCACGGTAGCTTAGTATTGTAGGTGAGAACAGCGCTGGCTTTCTTGGATGAATGACCAGGCCTCAGAGAGCTTCCCACACCCCCAACTCTGGCTCCAGGCTTGCCGCGGGCCACGCTGCGCAACAGCCGGGTCCGCAGAAGGTATTCGCTCCGCCACGAGGCCAGGGAGGTCAAGCGGGTGAAGTAACGGAATTCAGATCGCACTCTGTTCGCATCCTCGGAGTCCGCGTCTTGGTGTACGGCCTTCCTCTGTGAAGTGCCCATGGCCTCTGGGCCGGGGAAGTAGCGGAGAAACGCCATACGCCATGCATGCGGCTCAGCAATCAACGAGTAGAAACGCTTCGACACGAGTGCGACGGAGCCGTGCGAGTCCGGGTGGAGGTGCGACAGAATTTGGGTCAGGATTTCTGTAGAGCACATGTTAGTCGAAGTGGTTCTTCTCGAAAGTGTGGCTGTAATACACACCATTGGGGCAGTCTGCCAGCGAAGGACCCTCCGACGAAGGGCCAGGCCGCTTCGTGACCTTGAAGCCCGTCGGGACACTCGGTATCGTAGCATGCTCGTAGGCAGAGACACGCTCCCCAGGAAGAGTGGAACGGTCCTCACGGCTACCTGGCGCGCGCTGTTCTTCGCCAGTCTCGTCTGCGTTGACCCCTTTCAGGACTGGGCTCGCGCCATTTGGCACGCGGCCGGACGGGGGACCGCAGAACCCAGGCTGAGAGCTCCCATCGAGAGAGCCCGGTTCAGGAGAACGAAAGCCATCTTGGGTGGTAGGTTGTTGGGGAGTGGAAGCGTTTGTCGACGGTTCTTGGTCTATACTCTTGGTGGGCTCTGTTTGCATGGAACTTCCGGAAGACGGTCGCGGTGGGGTCAGACTGCGCAAAATTGACATGCACAGCCGAAGAAGAGAAGATGATCTGGAATGACGCGTGATAAATGCCTTTAATGCTTCGAGGGAGCTTGATGTCGCGAAAACCTTTTGATGACGTTATGGATGTCGGAATTGGGAACTGCTCAAATGTTCGTCTCGTCACAAAGCTAAGAGATGGTAACTTTAGATAAGGGGCTGCTTATCCTTGTCACCACGATAACCGATAACCGGCCCAGGAAGCAAATTGAGGTTTCCATACAATCAGATGCTCGGTATGACATTCGAAAATATCCCCTACATGGTGAAATACTCGTGGCAATGAACCGCTTAAAGCGAAATATCTCGTCCATTACCATATTTTACTCCATGAACATTGGTAGCTAACACCCCTGTCACGCTGAGCGTGCAAGCAAGGCTTGGAACTATAAACAAAGGTACAAAGGCATCCTGAGCAGTGTCTGTATACGACGTAATGTGAGACTGGCAAGTCATTTCCATGGGCCATTCCGAGCAGCAATAAATAATACAGCCTCAAATTTGAAGCCCACATAATCGTCTACGGAAATTATTGGATAGGAGTGCTAGGCAATTGCTCGGTATTCTCTTAATGTCCTTGCACCTGATGGGTAAGGCTCCAGAAGCACTTGCTGTGCCTTGTCTGATTGGATCTCGATTTATAGCATCTTTGCCATCCACTGTTTCCTATCAGCACTACTCGCGCAGGAAATAACGTCCGAACACAACACTGTAGCAATGGCGAGGAGGGGGACTCCTGTCAGCGAGAAAAGCCGTCTCCTTCCAGTTCCAGTTCGGCCTCGGCAAACCGCAAGCTGAGCTCCAAGCGTTTTTCCACCGGCAACCTAGCTGCAGAAGCGGATCCGCAGCAATTGACGACTGGCGAGCAACAATCCTTGTGAAATGCCGCAAGCTTGCACGGACTCGTGCACGCGTTTCACCTCGATCATACGAATCTTAAATCTCTAGTTACCGCGCACCCTGAGTGCATCGTGATGGACGCAGGCCAGAAAAGTGCCCGCGTGGAAGAGCGCGGCCGTTCGCTGTGCAGCCAGAGGTTATTCCAAATCTTGGGGCAGAGATCAAACGGCAATCGAAGATATGTGATCCAGCCTTGGCGAAAAGCTTCGTGCCACCGGCCGTCACGCAGTCCAGCCGTACTTGTCCTATCGTGCCAGGCCTTGTGAGTGTGCCAAAGTCGTCCGGTCAGTTTGATGGTCCCGACAAGAGAGTTCGGGAATGAGACCCCCAGACTCGGCTAGACGGCGTTTGGCTCATATATCGCTGTTGGGGATCCAAATTGGAAAATGGTGAGTAGCTGCCGCACTCTGCAGCTGAGAATTGCTGGAGTGTGTGGTCGTAGGCGTCCGGGAAATTCCAGAACTTTGTCAATACTTGTTCGAAAGGAGCTGGCTGCTGTCGGTCTGTATAGAATGAATGTGCAGCACTGGAGCTATCAAATGCGTGCTTCCAGTGCCTTCGCATCATTGCGCACCTGACAGCCGCACTTCACGGCCGTGGAGCCGCTCATCCCGGGCGACCCCCTAAGTGCGAAGCGCCCAACCGAGCGCTTAGCATATTCAGCCTAAAACCGGTTTGATCACCAGATCATCACCGGACTTGTCAGACTGCCGTGGGTCGTCATGACATGTCCTGCATATACATGGTAGAGATAGAATGTCTTGAATAGAAACATTTGTGGAGAGACAGAGGTAGAGGTAGTGTGAGCCCGGAAAGCTACAACGATTTTGGAGTCGACCGCAGGCCAAGGCGTCGATTGAAGATGAATATGCCCGTGCAAGGTGGCAGCAAACTCCGCTTCCACTGCAGTCCAGGATGGATCTTCCCAACGATTGACCGCCAGCAGCCGTCAGGAACTGATTCGCGGCAAGGAGCAATCTTACTGATTCCAGCAGAGCAAATCAGCCATGGCGGAGGATCCGCCGTTCATCAGCACCTTTATGGGGTTTGGGTGCTGACGCGCGGAAACGGCCAATGAGCGGGTGCGCTCCCAGACCGTCGGGTCTCGCAGCCCAAGGATCGTCGCTTCCGGGTGGTCGGTATAGCTGAGCCCAGCGCGGCGGTACGTGCCGCTCCTGTGCCGCAAACGCAGTGGGCTCCTGTTCCAGGCGGGCGGAATGGCCGGCCGGCAACGGGGATGTGACAGCTCTGATGGATTCCTGTACTTCATTCTTCGCCTCTCATCTAATTGCAAAGATCACCAAACCTGTCACTGGCAGAGTGCAGCCAAACTGCCAACCAGGCCCTGAAACCTGGCTGTGCCGGTCCTGGGCCGTTGACAGCTCATTCACCGGGTGGGCTGGTGGGACAGCCCCATTGCGCTGGCCCGTCCGAGTGGGGTGATCACCAAGGGGGGCATGGGGGGTCTTGCAACTGTGGGTCCTGCGCTCCCACTCCCCCGGTATCAGGGAGAATCAAAGGCCGCCGCCGCTCATCGTGCAACTGCCGCTGGCCGTGTGTCAGTCAAGCTACCCAATGGGTCATGACACCTGTCCCAACGCGTCATTCCGGATCCGAGCCCGACAAAGGCCAATCGCGGAGCCGCAGCGTAGCGGTGTGCGCAAGGGACAGAAACCAGCCCAAGGTTACGCCAAGACACGCCATCTCGACTCGCGCGAGTCAGAGGCCGGTGCCAGTGTGCCGGGACGCTCATCGACAGCATGAGTCAAGAGTTTAGGAAGCCCAGGCCGGTGGTTAATCTCGAGGTGGGCGGGCAGGTGGGTCAGGAAGCGGTGCCCGGCACTCCGTACATGTACATGTGCGTAAACGCACCCTGAGTGGGTGGACTGGGTGTGGGCTTTGTCTCCCGTGGTTGGGCCCCCGTGTTGCAGGCCTGCTGCGTGTGACAGGCCATGCGATGGAACTCTAATCAAGTCCTCAACGGTGGTTCGGCCGGGTGGCATGTGAAGGGGTGTTGCCTCGAACATGCGTATTGGACCCGAAGCTTCCGTTATTGTCGGAATGGACTGACTGCTGCAGCCGGTGGTGGTGATGGCGGTGCGATTGGCAATTGAGTTCGTTGCGGAGAATTGTCCTTGTCATGCTGGCCTCTGGTGGATACCCGGGACCCAACAGCGTGGTTACTCCCGAGCATTCCAGACCCCCTCCCAACCATTGCTTGGAGCAGACCACCGGACGACCTACACCACAACCAGCCATAGCCTCCTGCCTAGGTATGGTAGTCAGTAAACTTGAGTGTCGAGCACGCGTTCTAGCGCTGCATCCTTTGGACGAAAGCGGTGCCTGTGGAGAGGAAACCACTTTGGCCAGCCAGCATTGCACGCATGGCTGTCCAGCCCACCAGCGCCATTCGATGCGTCGATGGTGTGGACTGGCTTGATGAGATCCGACAATGCACGACCCGAGCGCCTGGGGCGGGCATCCAACAGGTCGGCGGTTAATGTTAATTGGCCGAGATGGCATGGCTTGGGACGGTTGGAACTGAGATGATGCTTGATGTTCGCGGGACAACAAGGCAACGTAATCACAGCACACAACACAGCACAATGCAGCTCAGGACAATGCGGCCCAACACAGCATAGAATAGCCCAGCGGAGCGCAGTACCATGGGAACAATTAGGTTTGTTGCGTGGTGAGTGAGGGGGACGGCGAGGGCGGCTCGCTGTGGTTCGGACACGGAAGCTTGCCGCCAAGGACAGACCAGGCCAGGCTTGTGCTGCGTAACGTTACGAAGCTTGTTAGGATATGTCAAACAAAGATTTGGTGCTGTGCCGTACTCCGTCCGCGAGCCATGGGGGGGGGCAGTTAAAAGTACCTGGCGCTGAGGGCCTCTCCCAATCTGGGACAAGCGCCACGGTCTGGCCAATGTCTTGGTTCTTCCTGGCCGCCGAGACTGAACGAGGCGTCGACTGGTCTCGAGTTCTACAGGTTAGCTGGCGCAAGCTATCATCTCGAACACAATGAGGCAGGGAGATGAGTTTCGAAGAACAATGGGCGCCCACGTGTCTGGCTTCCGAGACGGCCGCCGCCCTGGCCCTTGGGAGAGGGGACAGCGAGAGCTTGCATGCAGACTTGCCTACCTGGGCAGCCGGAGGTCGTGTGCAGCCGTCCGCAGGCCGTGCGACCTCACATGTTGATTAGCTATCACTCGCGTCGCTGGAGCCGGGGATCAGAAACAGAATGACGAATCTGCCTCTGCCCGCCCCGGCGGCAGGTGCTTGGTTTGGGGAGGGCGGGAGGTGGGAGGAGACGCTGCTGATTGCAGGTGCAGGTCATCACCCAGGCTGGGCCCAAGGCCGGGGCACCTTCCGTCGAGATCTCATCCCTGCAGCTGCGGATCAGCATCTGCCCAAGCCCGCGGGTGCATGGAAACAAACTTCCAGGCCCCCCTCCCTCCTTCCCGCACAAGCTGAGCCCATGTCCATCGCGCATTGCCGGCTGGCTGGGGGCCAGGCACAACAGCGCAGGAGCTCACAGCTCACCTGGCACAGTACTTGAAGTACGGACGTACAGCTGGGCAGGCTTGTACAAGGTTCCAGAAGCCTGGCTGAGCCATCAAGCTAGGGGCAGGCTGGCACCTCGTTTCCCAGCCAAGGGCACAGGGGCGCAAGGGCACACCTGCGAGGTACGCCAGACAGGTACCATGTATCTACCTGCCTCTGCCAATCACCCCGAGGTCCTGGCATGGCCTTCCATGCACGGTGTTCTCGCTTCCTGGGCCGTGCTGCAAGTCTGGCGTGAGAGTGACGATGTCCTCCCCTCCCGAGTCCAACTTCTTGCAGCACAAATGGCACCGGGCACAGCGCACGACATGCATGCATGCAACACCAGCTACACCACCGCCAGCAATGGCTCGCCCGCCCACTGGCCCGTCTCTCCGTTTCTCCTCTCTGCGACTGTCTCGCCCTGTCCGAGTCCCTTCTTCTCGGTTCCCTGTGATCAACCACAGTGTCGGGGCCTCGTAATGCTCCGACCTTCACTCGCTCGACCCCAGACACGTGCGTGTTTATTCTCCCGGTCCATGGCACCCTTTGACATCTTGATACTTTCTGTCAGGAGCCCCCTTTCGTGGTGGCCCGTTCATCATTCTCCTCGTTTGATAATCAAAAGTCTCGCTCCCACCATTGCTCCTTGCCCGTACCCGCAGACGACTCCAAGATTTGTTGCCTGCAGCTTGGCATGTATTGATCGATCACGACCAATCTCCTGTGGACAAGCTGTGGAGACACAACATTCTGAGCCTGCCGCGGGCCTCTTGAGACTCACTTTTTGAATATCTCCAGGTTGGCCGTGAACAGGTGCTCGAACCATAGGCCGGGCCGGTCTGCACCCCCTGGGACGACTGGCTGCATGCAATTTTGCCTGCAGGGTTCCTGTTTAACGTTTTCCTTGGTGCGGCTGCTAGTCGGTCCACCTCGACCTGCAACTGCTTGTCCTGTGTGTCTTCCCTGCTAGACCCCCGGGGCTGCATACATGCGAGTACTGCATCACTCCATCTTCATCCCTCCCTCCAACCTCTAACCGCTCTCGCCAATCTCCTCCCTCATTCGTCTTCTTCACTTATTTTCCGCCCCATCCTCTTTGTTACCGCACCAAAGCCTGGATATTCAAAGGGTTCCCCCCCCCGACTCTACATACCCGACTGTTTCTCGCAACAAGCACGGCGGAGTGCGATACATTTCAACAAACACCGTCTTCTAGACCTTGGCCCGCCCCTGTCCGTCTGCTCAGACCTCTGGATAGGAGACATCAATGCGAAGAACCCTTGCCTCGCCACACGGCCCAAGCGAAGCTGTTGTTGCATTGCAAGCTGCACGCACTGCGATCCGGACTTCTGGACATTTGGCCTGTCGGCAATTGAAGACGACAACCACCGGATAGTGGGCTTGTATTGGCGGGAGGGCATTGTTCGTCTGGTCTGCGCCGGTCTGCTGCGCTGCTCAAAGGTGTTTCGTCACACCTTAGCCTGCAATCATAGCCCGTCGGCCTGGAGTTGGATTCGGTCTACCTGCCCAGGACCCTACCGAAGCCGTCTTTTATCTTCTCTCTTTTCTCGGGAATTCTTGAAGGCTCCGGATCCTGTGGCAAACTCATGAGGACCAGTGATCTCACTGTCTATCATCTTTAATATTGCCCGTCCTGCGTCTTCCCGCTGTCGTGGCTATATCCAGACCCGGACGACATGAAATAAGATATCGCAGCCGACTACGCGACCTCTTCCAGTGACACCAACATACTGTCTCTCTGCGTCTGAGACCACCAAACCTGTTATTAACCGATATGGCTTCCAATGTGGGAGGCACGCCCGCCGAGGGCAGGGAGGAAAGGGTGAAGAGCGTTGGGAAGAAGCTACTAATGAGGATGAAGACTGTCCTGAAAAAGACAGAATCCTCGAAAAGAACATCGACTGTACCGACAACTGCTGCAGTTGCACTTCCTGAGCCTGCAACTGGCCCGTCTACCACGCCGGCCACCGTACCTGCTACAACGTATGTCACCAACCTGATCTCTGTCCCACATTTTACTCCGCCTTCCTTCCTTTTCTGGTTTTCTTGTACTGTCTGCAAATCGTCGTCTCGAGACAGGCATCATAACTGACCCCCAGCAGCGGAACCACCCAGGTGCCTGAAAGCGCACCTCCACAGTTTGATGATGCTCAAGCCATCTTCGAAGGAGAACGCATTCCTCGGGCACAAATATACAGTCAGCGAGCCCAACAGCTCGCAGAACGCTTTGGCCTCGACATGGACCCTCATACCTGGTACCAGATGGACGGCCATGTCCTTCGTGTCAACAGACCAATCCGTATGCGTGTACACCGAAGCTGTCACCAATGCGGTCACGGACTGAACCAGTCTGGCAAGTGTGACAGCTGCAACCACAGCGCTTGCAGCCAGTGCAGTTACTACCCGCCTAAGCGATCCGAGGCAGAGAAGTTGGCCAGTCGAGAGAACAGGGACCAGATTCTGAGAGAACGCACAGCAAATGCAATGATTGTGCCGGACTGGAACTTCAACCCCAGCGAGAGGGTCGTTCTCAGGAGGCCCGGGAAGCCGGGTGGTCAAGAATTGGTGTACAAGAAGGTCCGACAGCGCGTCAGGAGGACCTGCTGTCAATGCCTCGAATTCGATGGGTTGGAGACTTCCTTCCAGGGCGGGAAGCTGAGCTGTCCAAAGTGCAACCATGCGCGGTGTACAGACTGCCCTCGAGACCCGTACGTCACACCACGTCTTTCCACAAGTTTAAACACGAATTGTCAAAATGCTAACCCGTGGACTTTAGACCCAAAAAGGACAAGTATCCCTATGGGTACCCTGGCGACGAATTCGGTGCAAAGTCGATACCATACTACAAGTGTCACGAGTGCTACGCGAAGTTTCCTCCGGGAGCCAAGGACGGCGAGACGTGCCCCAGATGCTCGCACGGAAAGTGCAACAACTGCGAACGATTGAGACCGCAAAAGGTCGAGCCGGCACCGGACCCCGAAGTTCTACGAAGCGTCCAGGAAAAGTTGGCTGCAATCAAGGTCAGCTGAATGTACGCCACGGCTCAGGGCAATCATTTGCATGGGAGGGGAGGATGAAAAGGCTCTGCCGGTCTTGGGATCCTAGGTGCAAGGCTTGGTTGTAGTCCCCTGAAAGTATCTACCGGGGCGAGGCAGGGCGGTCAAGCCACTGTGGCAAGTTTGAAGACACCGAGGGATGCTGATCACGGTGGCCACCACATCCAAGAACAGAATATCAAGGGGACTGAGAGAGGAGGAAAAGCGACTCATTTACTTACGATTATCATTGCATATACCCGGTTGGCATACTGGGGTACTACGTAGCGTCTTCTTTTTATCTACGATGTTGGGACCAACATCAATAGCTAGGGAATCCTTCTTCGAAATATCAACGGACTACAATCGTGTTCACTCGACGTTGCGAGAGTCCTTTCTGTAACTAATCAGGAACTCCAGCCGTATATGTGCGCCCTCAGCTCAGCATACAAGGCTTGTCTCGTGGGACAGTCGGCACGATGCGCCCATAGTACGAGCAGCGCAAGCGATCAGCCCGGCAGCCCTCTATCGGCGCCCTGCCTCCAGCTTTTGTCTCTGGGGGCCCGCTGGGCCCTCCCGAGCCCCGTGGGCTACTCCCGTCCGCGTGGCTAGTCGAGTATTAAGCCACGTGGCGAGAGTAGCAGGGCTTTGTCGTACGGAGAAGATCTTTACAGGCGATAATCTTGTCTCATGCTCGACTATACGCCCCTTTCCCCTTCCAAGGACGAGTTTATGGGGTGGCTGTTTGTGCCAGGACTAAATGGACTGGCTGGCGATGACCACTGATGATGTATCCTGGGTTTCGATGCAGATGTTAACCGAAACCCATTTGGGCTACTCTGTGACTAGACGTACATTTCGGGGTCTCGTCCCTTGCTACGCTGTGGTCATTGGAACTTCGTAAACTCGTGGAGCAGAAAACAATACCACAGCCACTTCGTTACACAGAGCTGCGATTGGGGCAGGAGACCAAAACGAACCTGTGAAGGCGGAAACCCCAATTTATTTTTGGATTGAATAGTGATGTATATTCTCGTGATGCCGTTCTGGATTTTACCACAAAAAATTATTTCTTCCAGCGCCGATGTACTGAACAGGGGAACTTCCTGCCTCATCGAGTGTACTGTCCTCTGTTGTTCCATGGAAACTTGCCGTTTTTTTTTTGTTTTTTTTTTCCTTCTATCCGGGCTTGGTTGAACGGACGACCCTCCGGTCGGAAACACCTCGACTCACACCACTGAGCTATTCGCTCACAATGTGGGAGGAGGTGCTCCGGTTGGTGGCAGGGTGAACAGGCGTTCCTATATGCCTTCGAAGTTGGTTGGTGGGGGGAGGAGAGGAGGGGGGCGGGGGCGCAAAATGAATTGGACAGAGACTCTGCTAGACCCGCCCTGCGGAAGATGTCTCTTCGGGGCCAAGCACAGATACCAGAACCAAATGGCGATACCTTCAATACATTTAACAAGTCAGTGAGCATTTGGGCGGCTGTATCATCTGTTCTTTGTAACAAATTTCTTGAGCCCTTGATTCCCACGCGGCCCACACAAGCTCGAGGGTACCCGTCAACGACACCAGTGATCCCAAAAGCCGTCCATGGCCATAACACAAGACCATAACACGAGCAACAAACAGCGTCCAATGCCCCAGCTCCCAGTGCACCCTAGTCGACACCCTCCTCGACAACGCCCTCCCCAAACACGAGCGGCTGTCCCGGTGCGACCGCGGCCCCGACAGTCGTGCGGCGGTTGATCTTCCTCCCAAAGTCCTTGGACGCGGCGTTCTGCATGCGGTTGTTGAGGTACGCCGTCGCCTCGCTGAAGGCGCCCGTGGTGACGGCCGTCTCGGCGGCCTGGGCGCCCTGCGTGACGCCGATGAGCTCGTTGGTGACGTAGAGCCTGCCGCCGACGTCCCGCTCCGCCCAGACCGTGTCCCACGACTGTATCGTCCACACGCACTTCTGCTTGGCGCCCGTCGCCTTGGCCGCGGCCGTGCGGAAGGCGCTGTCCTTGACGAAGATGGCGCCCTGCGGCTGCGGCCCGAGCGCCGCCTTCTCGGCCACCAGTGACGCCTCGTACTCGATGCCGCGGAAGCTGAGCGTGTACGTGGCTGTCGGCATTGTGTTCGCCGGGTCAGCCGGATTGGGAACCGAGGTGGCCGTCGTCACCGTGATCTCGGTCACCTCCATTATGCCGTGACTCTTCTCCCGGTGGCGGATCGGGTCGCCCAGGCGGATCATCTCGGCACCCAGGAAAACCCCCCCGTACATAGTCTTGTTGGGAGGTTGCTTGGGTCCTGCGTTCAGCCGGTTGAATGTCGACCAAGAGCCGTCGATTTCTAGGGCAGCCATCTTGGACGCCTCAAGGCCGATGAACTCGGGCCGTTGGGCATTCATTTTCAGCAGGGCTTCCCAGTCAATCTGGGGGAAGGTCTTGTTCTGCAGATCAGGAATCGAGATGGCTGGCACGCTGAAGGTGAGAAATGGTCGCATTTCATGCTGCTGCTTCGGCACGTCGGCGAGGTTGAGGACAGAGTGTGCAAGGGGTATCACGACATAGCCGGGTATCTGCCCTGGGCCGACCTGTCTGATGACCCCGATCCTCCATGCCGGCCCCTGCTGGAACCACACCATCTCTCCACGGCGGAACAAGGTCGGCTCGTTGTTGAGGGTTGGATGCGGTGCCGCGGGTGCGGCAGGTGCTGCAGTAGGCTGCACAGACGGGGTGGGTACTGCTACCGGTGCCGATGCCTGTGCCTGTGCCTGTGGCTGCGCCTGTGCTGCTGCCGCTGCTGCTGCCGCTGCTGCTGCCGCTGCTGCCCCTGCCGCCGCCTTGGGGGTAGCAGACTTCTTTGTGGTCTTCGAAGGCGCCGCGGGTTCCTTGAGCACCTTGTTCGTGACCTCTGGAGTGGGGGTCTGGGAGGCCGGAGTGGTCGCCGCGGACTTCTTCTTGGCCGCGGCAGCTTTGGTCGTGGCGGCAGTCGTCTTCTTGGGCTTTGTCTCGGCAGCGGGTGCTGCCAAAGCTGCTGCCTTTTTCTCATACTTGGCCTTGAGAGACTGGGGCCATTTCCTGCCCGTTGCAACATGGCATGGCTGGCACGGGCATTCTCTGTGGTCTTGAGAATCGCTGAGAAGCCACAGGACATGTGGAATGAACTCGTGGGGGTGCTTATACAGGAACTCTTCTGAGCAGTCCTGCGGGTGACCGTAGACGCAGGCCTCTCTCTTCGGGCCCGCGGAGTTGTGCCATCTCAGGCAGTAGTTTTCCGGGAACACCAGCTGGTATTGTGAATCTGGAATTCTCTGTCAGCCGACGGTTGAGCTCCCAGACTTGGCGGGATATGCCACGCCGACTCACCCTTTGGCCAGGCCAGCTCTTCTGAAAGGCCAGTTCCAATAACCACCTTCCACTGAACCATCTTCCTCCGAGTCTCAGCATCCAAGATCTGGCCCCACTCCTCGGGAATGGGGTCCCCAACTTGATTTGCGGCCGTCTTGCTCTTGGAGATGATCTCTTGAGCTGAATAAGGGCGCCCATCTGAGCGACCAACGTGGACTTGACGAGCCGCCCTTGGGGCAGCTCCAGTCCCAGGCCCCGCCCCAGCTGCTGCCATGCGAGACGTATGACCTTGAGAGATGCCCTCGACTGGCAGTTCAGCTTCCTCTCAGGACAGACTGATTGAATGAAACGAGTGCAGTGACTGGGGGCTATACTTGGTGTTGCTTTCCAGTTCACGTCTAAAGGAGGTTGGTTGTTCGGCCAAGGCAACACAGGCCAAGCTTAGTCAGCAATACATCCATTGTCCGTCGAGAAGGAACACCAATGTCAGACAAATCCTACGCCTATTCTATAGCCGGATCTGGACGATCTCTTTAGCTGTTCAGTCACACTGGTAACACTTGTTCACAGGCCAATCGGGTACTACTGGGTGGGTAGGCATTGAATCCATTCCGGTATCTACACATGAATTGACAGCAGTACGCTTGTCTCGTACATGCACTTTGTGCTCAGGCGGTGCAATGCCTAAAATGCTGCTCTGCCACTCCGTGCACCAGCAACAATAGCTTTCTTCCATCCAGAAAGTGTAACATAGCCAACCCCGCTGTCTTTCGCCTCACCAATGGACCAAGACACCTGCCAGTTATCCGGCGCCGATTCCAAGTCCGTTCTATTCCAGGTCGAGTGTGTCAGGTGAGAAAAAAGAATCTATCGTGAGCCAAAGAGGTATATATCCATCCCGCATCCCCTTCCGTCTCGTTTCGTAAGAGCACTGTGGCGGAGTACATAGAATCATAGGGTGAAGTCATTCCGCCACGACAGAACCGGCCTCGGGTGCAGTCGTAAAAAGGTGAACAGAAGAAGCAGAAGCAGAGCATTATTTCGGTCCCAGCCCCAGGAACCTGGCCATTAAAACCCCTTAACCCAAAGACCTGTGTCTGCGCAAAGAAAGCCAATTTCCGATGAGCACAGCTGCTCAGGCCGCCATGCCGGTCATCTGTAAATGCAACCCAACGCCACGTAATGATTTGTATGAATGAACAGATCCGGGATGCCGCCCTACAGAAGGAAAGTGCCGCTATATTTTTGCAAGTTTCGTGATGCTGATGGTCGAGTAGGCAGTGATACGGTATTGTCTGAGCTGTCGAGAGCCGCATGACGTTTCCTCCTATGGAGTTTTCCCTCCCTTCCGCGCCTCGGGGTTGCCCTCGAACAGGGCGCTCCACCCGGCGAGAGACCATGAGTCACAAGTTGAATGTATCACAACGAGCCAGGCTGCGACAAGGTTGACCAGGTGGTGAATCATGTAGCCGTACGATACACCATAGATAGCGGCGTAGACTGCCACGCCGAAGATCAGGACGCTGGTGACATGTCTCAGCCGACCGGTGACTCGTGGGACCATCTTTCCCGCTGTGAAGGTTTCGACGAGGACGATGAATGGCATGATCGACATGACGTTGTGGTGGGATGAGAAGGGCGTGAACCAGTGCACCGTCAGGTTGCGTATCCAGACGACCAGTATAGGTATATTGATAGGAAGCACCCAAAGCATAAGTGAGAAAATAGCATGGGCGTAATTGTAGAAGCTGCGATTGGCGTTGGACGGCATCTCACAGGCGATGCGGTGGGCCCGTACCGCGGTGATGAGCTGTACTACACACGCGACCAGATACGCGAACTGGTAGGGTATGAACGTCGTAACCAAGAACAGCAGGATGGCCGTCGTGATGAGCCGTCGCCGTGGCGAAGACGGCATGAAGCCGTGTTGAATGGCTCGACGCCTATCATCGTAGCGCACCCAGGCTGGGCGGAAGCTTATCCAACCGTACACAGTGCTCAGGATCGATGTGATAGTCAGCACCATGTAATTTAGAACTGCGCACACGCCGACGCAGACAATGCCAATCAGAGGAATCATGAACCAGAAGAACGGATCTTGTGTGCCCGCCAAGAGGTCATTTTGCCGGAAGTCGACGCCGACCGTCACATTTTTAAAGGGCCAGTAACTTGCCGTTCCACGAGCCCCGGAGGTGTCCATGGAGAGGGAGAGGAGCGTCAGAGATGCGAGGATCAAAGGTATAGACCGTCGCAGGCACAGGTCCAAGCTCTCGCTGAAAGGAATGAAGACACCCTGGCTGTCGTATACCCTGAATTGCTTGCGCACAACCAACGCGACCACGAGCAGTGGAAAGGCTGCAAATGCGGTCCGATAGCGCATGTAGAGTTTCCCCATGCTGCCTAAAGCATCCACGGTCAGGCGGACGTTGATGCTCGAGTCACACGTCGGATCGGTCCAAAACTGGAAGCTCAGGCCGTCTTCGGTCGTTTTCCTATTCATCGGCGGGGGATTAAATGGTGCAACGCCGTGCATGCTGATGCTGGCGTGCCTGGCATTGACGAAAAATTTGGACTCGTACGGTTCTGTGAGGTACTGTCGCACCAATGGCGCGAAGAGCTCCTTCTTCTTCCCACACGACTGCTCACTGAGCTCCAAGCTGTAGGCGAGCAGGCTGGACTGGATGGATGGTATCTTGATCTCCGTCACGGTAGGCCTGTGGGCGGGTAATCGGAAATCCATGCCGAACGCGAGCATCCGACGCAGGCTGATGTGACGGGTCCGGTAAGAGTCCGCAATTTCGCTGAACTCTGCGAGCACAAAACCCGATGAAGTAATCCCCTTGTCCACAATGGCAACGAATTGGTGATCAGCAATGTCGTCAAGATCGTATTGCAGGAAAGAGAACGGTGTCATCGGCCTGGAGCCGGCAGGGGGGAACGGCTGCTGTGTGAACCTGGTCGACGCAGGCAGCTGCACAACGTCGGAAGCAGCATTCTTGCAGGCCAGCCGAGTCGAGCTCCGGCTATCTCCTGACGACAAATCCATCTTCCACGGAAGCATCATTCCTGCCTGGCCAGGTTGCAGGGTGTGCACACTGCAGAGCAGGACCTCCAGCTTTCCCGACTCTCCGGCGCTGTCTAGCCTCTGGTCGGTCAAAAGTGTGAAGCGATTCGGCGACGAACCTAAAGGCGGGATGGGCACCAGGTGCGCTTGTGGTTTGCCCTGCTTTCCCAAGCCTCGAAGTATCAAGCGGTCTCCTTGCGGCACAATATCGTGCGAATCATCCTCGAGGGTAAGCAGTGTGCTGTGGTCCTTGAATAAGACAGACTTCTCTGCGTTCTCCTCCAGGCCGGTGAGGAAATGCTTCTTGAACACACTCATGCGCTGAGCCCGGGGCTTGGTTTGCGAAGGGCGGTGCGCATCAACAACGTCGTACAGCGCCCGTATCACTACTTTTCGATGCTGGTCGCACCAAAGAATTGCCTGGTGATCCATGCTCGTCCACACAGTCGGGATCGTGGAGGTGAAGACGGTGAAACCATGTGTCTCGGGTACAATAGATTCCAGGCTGGCGTAATCGGAGGGCACTACGGTATCCAAGCTCCCGCCAGCAATAGAGATGAGCGTGACATGCCATAGCGGGTTATTGTTAGCCCATTTCTGGGAATATGCCTTCCTCCAGTAGTCGTTGATCTCGTCATACACCTTGACGATCTCGCTGTCGAAGGAAACGGGTGGTCTCGAGTGCGGCGCAGACATGGTGATGATGGTATTGATAGAATGCGCCTGGTAATTAGGCATTATGAGCATGGTGCGAGCCACAATTCCGCCCATGGAGTGGCCCACGATGATGACTGAGGTCGGATCGGGCAAGTCTGAATCGCGACTTGTCATGCGCGGATCTAGATATAGAGACAATATGTAGCGGATGGCCTCGTTCAGGTACTCGGCCTGGTCGACCATGGTCTGGCCGTGAAAAGCGGTAAAATCCTCGTTAAAGTCGACGGTGAAGAAGTCGAGATCGCGCACGCCATTTCGGAGGGCTGACGGGTCATGTTGGAGTGTGTCGTGGAAGTAGTTGGCGGCTTCGGCAGCGAGCGGGCGCACCTGCTTGTAGCTTCCAGCGTTCCCGGGTATGAAGAGGACGGGGGTGCCTCGTAACTGGGATTTTTGTCAGTCTACTGGCGCCGTCGCGCGCACATCAGGCGAGAACCACTGGAACCAACGGACCTTGACCTCTTCGTCCACCTCGAGTTCCCTGTAGAAATAAAGCGAATACTTGCCGCCGAACCGGGTGTGCTCGGTGTCGAAGTCGTTCAATTTGACGTAGGCCGGCCGCATATAGGACATAATGCAGCCCTTGACGTCGAGACATCTTGTCGCGCTCGAGTTGAGTATGGCAACGAGGAAACCAAGGCCAATTATCGACACCAGGAGGGTCAGAAGACCAAGCGCCCAGGGGCTTCGGGATCGCAGGCGGCGGGGCCCTTTCGAGTCGGGCGACTTGTCGACAGCTTCGGAGTCTTCGTCGCTCTTGGGGGCCATGACTGGCACGGCTGACGGCTCGACGGGCAAGGCGAGAGGCACCTTCTCCATGGCGGCTCCGTTCTGGGCGGCTGCGGGCTTCCAGGAGGAGAAGTTGCCGGAGCGGCGGCTGCGGGCGGAGTGAGAACGAAGGTCGAAGCTGGTGCGCCTGCTGTCGGAGCTCCTGGGCGGCTGGTGACCCGGGGCCCTGCCGTGTGTGTGGGCAGAGGTAGCCTGTGCAGTTGGCGTGGCATCGAGACCGGAACCGAGGGAGCTGTTGGGGTTGGGGATGGAGTTGCTGGCGGCATTGACAGGCAGATGATGTTGCAATTGCAAATCGTCACCGTCGTCCGAGCCAGAAGACCGCCTCTGCATTCCCACGACGGTCGATGGCGCTTCTGCCGTCGTCGGCCGTGTTTCGAGCGTGATCGTGGGAGCGGGAGGGGAGGGGAGGTGGTGAGGGCCGGAGAGGTCGGTCGAGGGGGCAGAGACGCGGGCAGGAAGGAGAGACAGAGGGAAGTTTCACACGCTAGCAGCAGACGGAAAACCTGAGTGAGAGTGAGGGACCCCCCAAGTCCCAATGGGGCAGGGGGTGTTTGGGATGGTTGGCTGACGGAGACGGCCTGGGCGGGAGCACCAACGGCGCCTGGACTTGCAGGCCTTGGCTGCCCCGTGCGCCTGGGAGATCCGGCGTGGGGGGCGTGCTGGGAGGGGAGCGAGACGAGTGCTGACCGAGACGCGGGTCCAGGAGCCTTCGGAAGGCTTGGAGATTCACGGATCCCTCTCTGATCTTGGATAAATTATCTCATGGCCGGGATGGAGGGCTGGCAGGGCTGGGAGATGAGAAAATCAGAGCATCTGGACTCGCAGACCACGGCTCCCTGTTTATACAGCAGGCATGTATTGGACGGTATTATTACGGGACCGCGGGCTGACGGGCAGATAGGTACAAGAGCGCAGTACCTGAGGACCCAGCTCGGCACAAGTGTGGGGCCGACGTCCTGCTGGCTCCAATGTCCCAACCAAGGTTCCAAGGATCTAGTCTACTGGCAGAGGAGGAAGAGGTTGCAACCCATGTACCTGGCAAGATGAACTATCTGGGTCCCAGATTACCTACCACATCTTGCTGGCCGTTGAGTGAGGTTGCAGTCCAGCCAGCACATTGTGGGTGAAATTGCAGGTATGCCCTCGTGTATTACGGACACCGGGCCAGACTGTCATTGCAGACTGCTGGATTCGCCTTGATGCTGCAGCCCCGACGGAGACAAAACACCTGCGCAACACAGATCGGATCGACCAGTCTATCTGGTCCAGTTTCTTGGTCCACCAGGATCAAGTCATGTCCACTCTCTCGCCGCCAATGCCATTCAAGGAGCAGGTATATGTCAGTAAACTACATGGCCTACCTGGAATACTTGTGTAAGCAAGTACCACCACCACCACCACCACCACTACCACCACCAAGGACGCAAACTCCCGGAGATGGCTGCTCGGTGAGCTGCAACATCAAGACGAGGCGGCCTCGTTCTAGCGTCCCACTCGGTGCAGCGCCGTCTCATCAAGGTGGAACACGCGTCAAGCTCGCTTTCAATTCCTCCGCATGCGTCCTGGCGTCGCAGAACATCTTAGACCTGTGCTCTAGACGCCCGTAGTCGGATACTTGGAAGCTGTAGCGTCGTCAGTGCTGCAGAATCCCACCATGGGATAAAGCTCACGGCGCTTCACCAGCTGCGCATTGCCCAGGCGATAACGTCATTCATTGCCCGGCATACCCATGCTTATCAGCGGACAGACAGCACCACGGCCAGAAGCTCACTATCTCTGGCAGCCTCGGTATTAGCTTGGTTGCAGGCCAAGCCAAGCCGCCTCGTTGTTGGAGGATAGGAAATGGGAGATGGGAGATTGTGCGATGGGGATGGTTTCGAAACAAGGTCGGCGGCCGCGGCCGACAGACCGAGTCCATCCTTGCCGTCCCAACTAGCAACTCCCGCTTCCCATCTCCCATTTCCCAATTCCCCATTCCTATTTGTCCTGATACCTAGACTATTCGCTTCACATGCTCACCAAGTCAGCCGCTTGGGGCACAAGACACTGGATCTGATATTTCCAGAGCGGCAGTGGGACGGACATTGCCATTACGCAGCACACAGGTAACAACGGCTGTGTCCATTGCAGTAGCGGCGTTGCATTTCCTACACAGTTGATAGATACATGGTAGTCCCAGGCCGGAGCTAACTAACAGCCAGGTGGGTTACACTGCAGCTTGCAGAAGTTGTCTGACCGGCCAATTCTGGCCCTGCCCAAGGTTCATACGAGCTGCAGCAGGGAGACGCCGGACGCGTACGTAGATGCTGCTGCACAGCGTCAAGCGCATGCATCTTCAAATACATGAGTCGCCGCCGCTCAATACGAGACGCTACGCACAGTCTGTCACGTACACAGTACATGTGATCTGCCAACTTTTAGTCTACTGGTATGCCACAGAATGCAGGTTGCGGGTTGCCAAATGCAAGATGCAGGCTGCAGCTTAGGTGATCAATTTGAAGCGTGATCCATCCTTCACCTTGTTGAGGCACTTGGGGAGACAGACTGCTCGCCCCGCTTATGTAAGCAGAGACGCGACCAAACGCGTTGCTTCTCTTCTGTGTTGTGAGAGCGCATCGGCAGCCTGAAATCGAGGCGACAGCTTTCTTCGGCCTAATGCATGCACTTTGTGATTTGTTATCGATATGTCTTCCGAATGCTCTTGACAACCTCTTCTACTCCCCACTGTGATTCTGCTCGGCAATGACCACGGAAAACCGCTGCACTCCGGGTTGTCATCCTCCAAAGCCCGTTGGCTGAGTAGGCCGCCGCCCGCGTGGACGATGGCGACCATCAAGGCCATAGAGGCCAGCTCTGTTAGTGCCACCACCTTGCACACTGAAGCTGTCAACTGACGCTCGTTTGCTCCCCTTCCAAGGTCCACCAAATACAGTCTGGCCAAGTTATCGTCGACCTGTGTTCAGTCGCAAAAGAGCTGGTCGAAAACGGCCTTGACGCTGGCGCAACGAGTATCGGTACGATTCCTAAACCGGCCCATGCAATTTCATGATGCTAAGGGAATCCCATCAACAGATGTCCGGTTTAAGAACCAGGGTCTCGACTTGATTGAGGTCCAGGACAATGGCACAGGCATTTCGCCTGAGAACCACGAGTCTCTGGCCCTGAAGCACTACACTTCGAAACTGTCGACCTACTCTGACCTGAGCACACTGGAGACCTTCGGGTTTCGTGGCGAGGCTCTCTCCTCTCTTTGTGCCTTGTCAAAATTCACCGTTGTCACTTGTCTTCAAGCTGATGCGCCGAAGGGGTCTAAACTCGAGTTCGAAACTTCGGGCAAGCTCAGGTCAACCAGCGTGGTTGCCGCCCAAAAGGGCACAACAGTCTCCGTTGAGAACCTGTTCAAGAATCTGCCGGTACGGCGCAGGGAGCTGGAACGGAACATCAAGCGAGAATGGGGCAAGGTCATCAGTCTTCTCAACCAGTATGCCTGTATCCAAACTGGGGTCAAGTTCACAGTTTCCCAACAGCCCAACAAGGGCAAGCGGATCGTTCTCTTCTCTACAAAGGGAAACAAGACCACCAGAGAGAATATTGTCAACGTTTTTGGGGCAAAGACCATGGCCGGCTTGGTTGTCCTGGACCTGAAGCTAGACTTGGAGCCCACGAATGGCCTGACCCAAAAATGGAGTGCACAAAAGGACGGCGACACTCAAGAGGTCCTGATTCGAGGCCATGTCTCACGGCCAGTTCACGGTGAAGGGAGGCAGACTCCGGACCGGCAGATGTTTTACGTCAATAGTCGGCCTTGCGGGTTGCCGCAGTTCGCCAAAGTTTTCAACGAGGTGTACAGGTCGTACAACTCGTCACAGTCGCCCTTCATATTCGCCGACATACAGCTGGACACACATCTCTACGACGTAAACGTCAGCCCTGACAAGAGGACTATTCTCCTGCACGACCAGGGGCGGATGTTGGACAATCTCAGGGAATCACTGGTTGAGCTCTTCGAGAAACAGGAGTACACAGTGCCCGTGTCACAGATTGCAACGTCTAAGCTACCACCTTTCAAGAAATTGACCGTGTCTCGCGAGGATACAAATGGCTCTGAAGGTGACTCGACAGACAAATCTTCTGCTACCGTCGATCAAGTCGTACATAATCCTGCTCGGGACGGGGAGGAGGTGTCAGACGACGAAGAGGACACCTCAGGGGCCCGCCGGATCAAGAATCTGGCTTCTGCCAAGGCTCTTTCGAGAGACGCACAGTTGAACCCGATGACGCGCTGGTTGGACCGGAAGTTGGCTTCGCGGGAAGACGCCAGTTCAGAACCAGACGGAACCGTCAAGGCCAACCCGAGTGAAACGGTTACCGAACAGACAAATGCTGCGATTCCAGGAAAAGGCGCAATAGATTTGCCAGAGGCTTCAAGTACGCCTGATGAACAGGTGCAACAGGAGTCGATAGATGGACAAAATCCCCCAGCCGACACTGATGAAGGCGAGGATGCTTTTCTAAGCCGACTAGCCCGGATGAAGCGCTCCTTACTTCCGGAATCTCTTCGAGACGAACTACCCTACGATCAGGCACCTATTGAGCCACCTATTCCAGCCATTGCGAAGCCATCCAAACCAATAGATACTGCACCGCTGAGTGTCTCCACCTCAAGACCGCCAAAGCGGCCATCCCAGGAGGTTGCGACCATCACAATCGGCGACCAATCGGTGACCAGCATCATCGGCACACCTGCAAAGAGGCCAAGGTTGGATGACGAAGTAGTACAGCAGCATAAGGCTGTGGCAGCCCCTCAAGCGGCAGCCCCTCTGCCTTCTTTCGGCGGCCGCCTAACACAGATGTTTTCGGCCGCTTCTGCTTCACAGAACACAACGAGAGGCGGTAAAAGCTTACACACCGAGGAATCAAACGACAACGAGGAGGGAGACGAGTCAGACGGGTCCGACGAGTCAGCCGAGGCAGATGGGGACGAGGAGGACGAGGATGAAAGACGAAGCGAAGACAACAGCGTGTCCGATGCAGAAGCTGCGCTTGACCAAGAAACTGGCGTTTATAGCGACAGCGAGGCATCGGCGTCCTCTGCGTTATTCGTGGAACAAGACGAGGACGACGATGCTGAAGCGCCAGAACAGGACGAGGACGACAACGGCGCTTCAGTATCGCCTGCACTGGAAGCACAGAGAGACGCACTTGACGAAGATGATAGAGAGTATCGATGAGAATGAGGTTAAGGCCAGGGAAGAATTGGAACTGCAGAAAGCCCTCACTGCCGCGGAAGAGGTCGGCCATGAGCCTAGCGAAGAGAACCAGAAGCGGACCCGAGCATTTCTTAAAGGAAGTGGAAAGAACAAACATTCCACACAGGCTCTCCTGCAACGGCTTCATGTCGATGAGGACTGGCTTCAGAAGCGTCTAGAGTTGTGGGAATCCCAGACGCGTGACTACGCTTCAGCACGGCAAGTCAACGCCTCTGAGGACATGGACCCTGGTCTTGAAGCCGGGACACAGGTGGCAGAGGACAAACTCTCCCTTACCATCCACAAGGGCGACTTCTCCAAGATGAAGATCGTGGGGCAGTTCAACTTGGGTTTTATCCTCGCAGTGCGACCCGGCACCTCAGCGGCACCCAGCACGGCTACAGCGGCCGCCCGCGCAGACAATACCAGGGACGACGACGAGCTTTTCATCATCGACCAGCACGCGTCGGACGAGAAATTCAACTTCGAGCGCCTGCAGGCCACGACGACCGTCCAGTCGCAGCGGCTCGTGCGGCCCAAGCCCCTCGAGCTCACGGCCGTCGAGGAGGAGATCGTCATCGAGAACCGCCCGGCCCTGGAGGCGAATGGCTTCCAGGTCGATGCCGACACGTCAGGCGACGAGCCTGTCGGGTCGCGGTGCCGGCTCCTCAGCCTGCCGCTCAGCAGGGAGACGACCTTCTCGCTGGCCGACCTCGAGGAGCTGATCTCAATGCTTGGGGACAGCCCCACGACCACGTCGTCGCCTGCGCGTGACGGTGATGGCGGCCGACACGACGGCGGCGCCGCTGCGGCGAGGAGGCACATCCCCCGGCCGTCCAAGGTGAGGAAGATGTTCGCCATGCGCGCCTGCCGGAGCAGCGTCATGATCGGCAAGGCTCTGTCGCACCGGCAGATGGAGAAGGTCGTCCGCCACATGGGGGACATGGAGAAGCCCTGGAACTGCCCGCACGGGCGGCCTACGATGCGGCACCTGTGTGCCCTGGGAGCTGCATGGGATGAGAAAGGATGGGCCGAGGGCGACCACAGCGACGGCGCCGGGGCTCGGACGACGGATTGGGGTCAGTATGTGCGCAGAATGAGGCAGTGAGCTTTCTTAGCATGGCGTAGGAGGCGCAGATGATTTTTTTCACGATGAACTAGGTTCGGGAATCACAATTTAGTTGCCTAGGGTGTACAGACCGGTCAGGGCTGTATGAGGGCTTCCTTGATGATGCCGTGATTATCCTTGCATTATTGGAGCGAGCTAGCCATAAAATTATGATAGCCATATATTTTGATGCAGATGCAATGTACAATCCATGATCATGATGAGACGGGACTGCGGGTCTTCCTTCTACGCTCCTCGTCGAGGAGCCAAGCCGATGACAGGATTCGTCCACAGCCAACCAACTCCATCATGGTCTAGGTCATCGACGGCATGTCGAAATTTAGTTGGCTTACTTGATCCCCGTTGATGCCAAAAAATTGAAGCCTGCAGATCAACAGTCAGTGATATGCGTGCAAGCCATGCGGCGGCAGTGGAGCTCCCGCAGAAACTTACCAGTCTTCCACGTTGAGTGTGCTTGGCACCGGCGCTCCCTGCGCGCTCCCTGTGCTCCAGCTATCCGGGCTCTGGCCGTCGGGTAGGGTTGAGTCGAAGCCAGTGTTCCACATAGTATTTTGCGCCTGTTGCTGTTGGCCTGGCCCGCCCTGCTGGCCCGGGAATCCAGCAAGGCCAGGCTGCAGGAAGCTTGGATTGTGCTGCTGCACGGGACTATTACCCTTGCTCGTGCTATTCGGCATACCATGCTGCTGTTGGTGGCCTCCAAACTGCATGGGCGGAGCTTGCTGTGCCTGCCTGCCCTGTTGCATTTGTGGCGGCATCAGGTTGGGATCCAGATTCTGATGTGTCTGAGTAGGAGAAAGGTGTGGGAAGAGAGGCATGCTTGCACTTTCAGGAAACAGCTGGTCTGGCTGAAAGTTTTCCCAGACGGCTTGTGACAGGTTCGGTGAGTTCCGCGTCACGAGATAGAGGTCCGGAGGGGTCGTCGGTACCGAGAAAGATGGGTTGAACGGAGTCGCCGGTCTAGTCTGCGGCCGTGATGCCGTGCCGCCCATGAAGGCGTCCATGTTGGTCTGCCTGGTGCCGCCAGGTGATGTAATCTGGGGAGGTGCCATTGTATGGCCGTGCTCGTTCTTTGTGGTTTGACTTGGTGTCTGAGGCCGAGAGCGCTCATACGACTCCTGGGGTGTCGGCGTGGAGACACTGAAGTCAATAGCCATGTCGTCGTACTTGCGCTTTGCCGACTCCCTCATTTGCTGTTGGTGGTGTTGCTGCTGATCGTGAGCGTGTTGCTCTAGTTGCTGCATGCTCCTCTGAAATTTGCTATGTCGCTTTCCGGCGGCCTTCTGAAGCCTCTCCTCAAGGGTCCTATTCCCGAGAATAGCCTCAAAGAGCGTGGAGACCATTTTGCCAACTAGCCACACCCGCGAGACATCCTTCAGGGCCACCATGCAGGTCCTGATCCGGTCCTGGGTCACCTGCTGAATCGATGGGATAGGTGATCGCATCTGGTACACATGCATGATGAGTGCCGAAAACAAACTGTAAACAATAAAAGCCGGGCAATAACGAAGCTCATCATGAGCCGAAAGATTTTCTATGATCGACGTGATCATGGCCGCGGCCTGGAAAGCGATATTCCTCGACGGGTAGGCCGCGTCCTCGGGAAACCGCGAGGAGCCTCCGCCTGGGGGCATATGTGCTCTGTGTAGTAAACAGAGCGTCGTATAATAATTTGAATGGAGCAAGGCGGACCAAAAGTGGTGTCGTGGCATTTCCCAGTAGACCACTTTGGGGCAATTCTGGAGCCAGTCGGCCAGCGCCATGTCGCTGTGGGTGAGATCGATGGGATTGCGCTGACGTCCTTTGGCTGCGACCGAGTACTGCTGTGAAAGCACAAGCCCCATAATCTCGCAGAGCTTGACATACTGCAGGAAAAAGTGGACGTGGATCGGGTCCGGGGGATACTCGCTCGGTCGGCCGTCTTCGTCCTCGACAAAATCGTCCTCTGTCAGCATCTCCACGTCCGAGTCATCCAGGTTGATGTGTACAGGGCGCCCAAGGGCCACGGCGACGGATCGGTCTCGGGTAAAGAGCGTCCACCAGATCCTCTTCCAAAGTCTCTTGTCGGCCCTGCTGAGCTGCGAACCCTCAACACTGCGGTGCATGCCGGATCCCTGTGCGACGATTGTAGCGACACGACTCCAGTAAAAGACGTTCTTGGTGACGTCCTCGGGTCCTTCCCAATACCAACCCATTAGCAACAACGACTGCACTATAGTCATCCTGTCATCTTCGTAACTGGCGTCGTACAGTGCCTTGGCCCTTTTGTAGAAAGTCAGTGCAGCAGGGGTTGTGGACCCATTTGCGTCCATGAGCTGTGGGTTGTTGCAGACACGCGATCCGGCCAGCAGGATAGCCTGGAGGAGCAACAGCGAGGGTGGGTTCTTGGGATCCCCATACTGTCTCATGAACCTCGTGCGGTTGATGACGGGCACGATGGGATGGATCCATTTGAAGTACGAGTCGATCAGCTCGTCGCAGAGGGAGCGGGGCGGGAGCAAGAAGGCACCACGCTGGTGAAGGATATCGATCTCGACGTTGTCCAGCTCGGTCAGCCTCGCCCTGGAACCTCGGACGTTCTCGGGCAGGGGGTAGTGGACGACATCTGCGGCTCCTTGTCGGTCGTTGACGAGCAGGGTCAGGTTGGAGGACTCTCCCAGGTAGGCAACACGGCCGGCTTCGGTGATGGGGGCACGGATGAACTTTGGTTTCATGACTAGGTTTACATAAGTATTGTTGTCGATCTCCTCCTTGTGGGTCTGTGCCGCCGTCATGGTGGTCGTTGGTGTACCTTCTGAAGTGTGATATACGGCGGGTGGCCTGGTGTTGAACGTGGCCGTTCCTGTACCAGGACGGGGAGACTGTTCCTCTGGGCCATCGCCTCGTTCACTGGTTGCGACTGATCAGCACGCGTGCCGTTGAGAGAACGGAAAAGGAGGGGTATAGTGAGATTGATCGCGTCATGTACCTATCCGAGTCTCTGGTGGTGGAAGCGGTCTGGGTCTTCTTCCTCTTGGGCGTTGGGATCTTGCACTCGATTTGGAAGGCGACGCAGTTGGTGCAAGGTATGCCCAGGGAGGCGGCATCGCAGCGGACTTTCCTCCTGTTGAACAAAGATTGTCAGTCAGTCAGTTATATGAATGCCAGCAATCACGCGGACCACTGGTGTTGTCGTCCTCGGCTTGTGCCGGGGGCGGGGCCGGTGAGAAGTCCATCGCGAAGCTATCTCGAGCTCGGGATCTGGACCTCGGCTGTCCGGGGCACTGGGTAGCTTGGGGTCCAAGGGGTTTCTGTCGACGATGGGGTTGACGTACGCATGGCAGGTCTATTTTGGCAGGAGAGACGGTTAGCAACATGCCGCGACGGCAACAGTAGAATGAAAGAGACATGACGGTAATGTAATGGTGGTGTTGTGTCGCGTGCGCGAGGGGGCCGCGCCTTGTCAGCCGGCGGAGGTGGGATACAGACAGAGTTACCGAGGCATGCATAGCAGCCCACCTGGGCCGAGGAGCTGCAATGTAATCGGTCGGCGGGCGAACGAGTGGGCGGAGGGGAAGAGGAGGAGAGATCTCCCAAACATGACAAAATTAGAACCAACGACTCACCTCACAAGCCCGAGATGCTCGTTGTCTTTGGTCAAAGCACGGCGAGTCAGCTCAAGTCCCCATCGTCACCACAAGGCACGAGCTCGAGCTCAACCTCGTCTCGGCCTGCCGAAGATGGTCTCCTCACCTCCTGAAGCTCAGCGCATTCGCAGCCGCCGCCGCCGCCGCGGCGCCCTTTCCTCCACCTCCTCCTCCTGCGGATGCTGTCGGCGTAGCACCGCTGCTGCTTCCATCTTGGTTCGCAGGTGGTGACTGATCCTGGGACTGGGACTGGGGCTGGGACTGCTGTTGGTGGTGGTTGGGCGTCTGCTGCTGCTGCTGCTGCTGCTGGTGGTGCAGCTCGAGGGATGGCTGGTCCATATTCCGGCGCGTGGTCGGGACAATGTCTCGTGGCGCTCACGACGCGGTCAAAGTAAGGGGGCCGGCTCAGACAAGTCGTTGGCTATGAGCCATCTCAGGCGCGACAAGGTGTGCTCCGGTCGGGACAGGCCAGGCTGAGAGTGGGTTGAATTGAGTCGGGCGAGATGGTTGCAATACTCGGGTGGGCGGTCGGGCGCACCGGGCAAGGCGTATTGGGGGGGGGGATGTGGTACGTCGACCCTTGAAATCAGTGACGGGCGCGAGTTGGCGGCCAGGCGCATGCGATTGTCTGGTCACGCTGGATACAGGGCAAGGGCAGTGCTGGAGCGACGCCGGTGGACAGCGCCTCTGTGCGTCCAACTGGTCTTGGGCTGGGCAGATCGAACGTTTCAAAAGTCGGGATTTTTAGATGAACCGGGCCTTCGCAATTCCAACCTGGTGCTCTTGTTACGGTGGCCAGTGTGCGCGGTGCTGGCTGCTGCACCCAAGCAGCTACTACCACCAGCCTTAGGTAGATACTGGGTTCCCAGCAGGCAGTACTTAGCTCCTCCAATCGCGGCTAGCGCTTTTGTCAACCAGCAGGCGAGCACGAGGTCTATCGGTCAGGCAGAAAGACAGGTGCAAAAGCAACCAGCGAGGCCGTCCTCAAGCTCGGTCAACAAGAGTATGGTGGCGTGGGTGACTCTTTCCGTGCGCAGTGTCACAATGCACAGTAGCAACCACAATAATGACAGCGACAACCAACGTTTCGTTGCCCTCGATCCCATCCGAACAAAGACTGGGCCGAGCTCGCCCAGCCTCTCACACTTCTGCCATGACCTATTTATCAACCGTCGTCCCCCGTCCCCCGTCCCCCGTCCCCTCGCATGACCCTGCACGTAAACAACCGTCTGTGCAGCGTAGTTGCTGGGCCTCCCGATGCTTCCTTCTGGTCCTCATCCGGCATTGCCCGTCATTCGCGCCGAGTGCGCCACTCCGCACACCTACATTCGCACATCCTCGGATGCACATCCCTCAGGTGTGTCTGCCGGCCCATCCTCGCTCACCTACATGCGGCCTCCTGTTCGTGCGAATACGGATCCATCAAGGTGGCCAGGATAGACTCCGATGGCCACGCAGCGATTAGGGCACAACATTCGATCAGGTCATGCGTGTAACAACGCTCGTCCTGCACGGACCGAGGGAAGGATACTTGCCGCCCCAACCAACACACTACTCTATCCAAGTACCAGCAATACACAGACTGGTGAGCCACACACTCCTGCGGGAGCTTGGAGCCAAGTTTCTTTGCAGCAGGTAGAGTCCAGGCCCCAAGCCAATTCCTGGGGAATCCTTGGAAAATCCGGGGTAAAGATACGTACCGCTCGTGTCCATGCTCACAGAGCTGACAACCCACAACCCCTCGCTACACTACACATGAACTGCTCGTAATCACTCTGCTGCCGCCATGATACCGTGAGGGAGCCAGAGATGCATTTGTAGATACTGATGCTCACGGATCCGGGCGGTGCGGAGGAGACCCGGAAGAGACCCTGGTAGTGAAACAAATCACTATGAGAGCCACGGCTACTGCATGACCATTACCCAAGCATCCCCCCAACCCGTAGACGTCTACGTGCAACGCGGTGGGTGTCTAGAAGCACAGCCCACGCACACAGGGCAAGAGAGGGCTCAGAGAACGACGCATGGCCTGCCGAATGGGGCAATCTCGAGCCAGGCCCGCGCAGGAGCTCGCCCTGCCATCTCTCCAGAATTGTTAGATGCTACAGCATATGTGCATCCACAGCTCTCCAGGCCTCTTCTCTCAAAGCTTCTCCGGAAAGGAACAAAGTCCCGGCCCTCCCCGCAGCATGACGAGGACAAGAACAGACCTATGACGGCGCGGCAGACGCACCCCAGACAGAACAAGCTCCCCTAGCACCACCGCCAGCCACGTTGCGCCTGCGCAAGCGCGGGGCCACACCTACCGCTTCCGTTGGGGCCTGGCGCCGCGAGGCTGACGGAAAAGCAGGGGGCAGAGAGACACATGTGAATGAAGCTGGGCTCGGAGCTTGGCCGCGCTGTCCAGCAACCAGCAAACGCGGGCTGCGGCGGCTCCTGGAGCTGGAGCTCCCATCCTGGGAAGATGCCGAGGTCCAGCGCGAGCGAGGCTGATGCCGGTGGGTGTGCTCGCCTGGCGATCGACGTCAACATGGAGGGCTTGACAAGCCCTGGGCACCCTAGATTTCCCGGGAAGTCGGCTACTTGGTATTTATGCAGACGGACTATTTACTTCCACTCTGCCGCTGGGAAGTTCCACAATGGTGTGGTTGAAGTAAAATGTGACCGCGTACTTGTTAGATTGGTTGCACTCCTTGGTGACATCGGCATTCTCGCTACATACTACAAGGTTCCCATTTATGCCGATATTCAAATGCAAATTGGCATTGCCATTTTAGGACAAACTTACTGTCTTACATCATCTAATCTACACAGTAGCTGGGAAACAATAGATCTGCAAAAATTCGAGACAAGTTTGACTATTCCCTACAATGTCTTTCTCGTGACAATTCTTTGTGAGAAGGACTTGCGAAATGGCGTAGTTAATTACATGCCGAAGGGCAGGCCAGAAAAGATCTTCGTTAGCTAAACACTCTCCAAGCACCACTCTACTCATGTCAAGACTTGTATCAAAACTAGTAGTCTCATTTCTCTTCGGTTACAAGAACTAAGACTCATTTCCATCCACATTACACATTCCCATATGCCTATATGTAAAGTATCCGTCACCCCCCCCCCCCCATCTCTCTTTTAGTCCGCCCGAACAGTCCTCCTCGTCACAAACGGCACCGACCGCTTGCTGCTGCCCATGTTCTTGTCGACAGAGACAGTCTCGACGGCATCAGACACCGGCGTGCCGACGTTGTTGCAGAGGCCGTCGGTCTGCGCCACGGGCAGGAAGACCCGCGGCAGGCCGCCCGCTGGCATCTGCACGTTGAGGCGCCCGTCGCTGTCCACCGTGAAGGACTCGCAGTTCAGCACGTCGATGAGCTCCGCGCCGACCTCGTAGTCGGTGACGGCCGAGCCCAGGGCGTAGCTGACGTTGTTGACGGCGCTGCTGCCTCCGTTGGTGTACATGGACAGCATCTGGCCCTTGCGGAATGCGATGACGCTGGAGCTGTTGCCGGTGCTGTCGCCATCGTAGAAGAGCGCAGTGGTGCGCTCCTCCGTCAGGAAGTCGGCGTTGGCCCGCGCGGCGTGCGCGCGAACCTTGTTTGTCTGTTGAATCCAACCGTACAGCTCAGAGTAGATGTCGTAGCCGACACCCAGCCAGAGAGCCTCACGGTTGTTCGGCACGTTTCCGCCGGCGTAGTGCTGCTCCTGGCCGTAGTAGATGATTGGAATACCGTCACGCAGCATCGAGATGGAGATGGCGTTCTTGGCCAGCGCCACGTCCCCGTTGCGGTAGGGGAAGCGCACCTGATCGTGGTTCTCGAGGAACGAGCCGAACAGAGAAGGATCGATCTCGTTCATGGCCGCGAGCTTGTTGGTGCCCTTGAAGAGCGCAGAAAAGTCGGCGTCGGTCGCCTGGAAGGCCTCTACGTACCAGTTCCAGCTGCTGAAGTCAATGTAGCCGTCGAGGTACTTCTGGTAGGGGGCGAGAGTTTCAGGGGCGCTGTGGTTGATCTCAGCCAGGAGGAACACGCCGGCTGCATCCTTGACGCCGCCCTTGGTCCAAAACTCAGGCTCAATCTCGAGGGCTGTGTCGACACGGAAGCCGTCGATGGAGTACTTGGAGACGAGGTCCTTGATCCACTCAGCATAGATCTTCCTCACATCGGCATCCTCAGTGCGAAGGTCGGGCAGGCCCTCGAGCCAGCAGAGCTGCTCGGACTTGCGGTTGTTCCACTGGATACTGCACTTGTCGTGGAAGTACGAGGCCTTGTTAAAAGGCTTGAAGTTGCTGTAGTTGCCGGGGGATGTGGGCAGACCGACGTGGTTGGGGGCAATGTCAACCATCAGGTACATGCCGCGAGCGTGGAGGGAGTCGGCGAGCTCCTTCAGGTCGGCCTCGGTACCAAAGTGCTCGTTGAGGGAGTACAAGTCTTCGGTCCAGAAGCCATGGTAAGCGTCGCCAGATAAGCCAAACTTGCCCTCGACGTTCTTGACGATGGGCGAGATCCACACGGCAGTGGCGCCCAGATTCTGGATGTAGTCGAGCTGGTTGGTGATTCCCTTCCACGTGCCACCGCAAGCAGTACCCAGTGAAGCGTCGCAGAGAGGTGCTGAGCCGTCCGTTCTGGCGAAGCGGTCTGTGATGACCTGGTAGATGCTTTGGTTTCGCCATCCTGCTGCGTCCAGGGCCGCGGCGCCATGGACAGCCCCGAGGGCAAGCAAGGAGGAGAGTGTTGGTGTGAGGGAGATCATGGTGAAATAGGGATTAGGGTCTTGTGCTACAGATATATAGACAAGGAAGAACGCTGTATAACTGGAAGCAGAACTGCAAGAAAAAAGAGTGTTGATTAACGATTGGAATGCCCGGACAGGGAAAAATTAAAGAATGACTGTGGCCCAAGGCTGAACGATCGAGCGAGTGCCTTTGCTTTCACCGCGGCATCTGCAGAGAGACAGAAGCTGAAGAAGAACGTGAAGAGACAACCAGACAGCCGAACGGCGCCTTCATATTGACGCCAACGTCGGCCACGATCCGAGGTCTTCACCTGAGGTCCAAGTGGTGACCCATCACTCACCTTGCCGCCTTGTACATGGTGTTTGCCCGATCGAGTGTTAATAGCCGTTTTGGGCCCACCCCCTATCCCTTGAACTGCGCCGCAATTGAGATTCGACCTTCCCGCTGTGTCTGCATCTGGATAGATCAAATGCTCGGGGCCTCGGATCGATCCAAAATCGTACATAGCACGGGAAATGGATCCAGCATCGAACAAGCATACTACCCTTGAAACCCGATCAAAAATTACAAGATACGGTTCGCGTATAGCTGTATCGCTAAGCGATGGGGCGATGTTGCTGAAGAGGTCTTCCTGCCGCGACCTATACTCGTAAAGGCCTAGTGGACTGCAGTGTTTCCACTGTTACTGTGTGCGGCTACGCACGGTGCCAGGGTATCAGGGGCAAGCCTTGTCGCAGGTGGTGCAAGTTCAATATTGATTTTGATTCTCCACACGAAGTCGAAGCCCGGCGTCTATCTACTATTTCAGATGCGTAGGCGTCGCATCCATGCCCGCCAGAGTGGCACCGGGAGATGAGAGTGGTGCCCGGGGGTTGTTGCTGACGCGATGCCCTCGTGTTCGTCTGTCGATAAGTCACAGGCGGTGCGGACCTTTTGCGCCGTGATGGTATGACGCATCGTGGTACTCAGACGGACATTTGCAGGAGCTCCCATTGCAGAAGAGAATGTTCGACCACCATGCTTGTCTCCTGCATGCCAGACGCTGGTGGGGCGGCGGCTTGTGGCCGTGAATTTCGACTCAATCGCCCCCCTCCTCCGACTCAAGCGCACTCGCCGAACAGAACGGGGTATGTTTTGGCCATGCTTGTGAAGCGATTGGACTTGCAAGCTTCGCGAGCCTGCACATATGCCTCCTTTCCCCCCGAACCTTGAAGGCCATGCCGTCACAGCGAAAGCTTGGAGAGCGCTCTAGAGGAGCTGGCGCGAAGATTGCCCTGGGATTCCGCAACTGCAGACGCCAGTGCCTCGTGCTTATCGTCCTGGGTGTCAGACACGAGGATCTAGGTACACATGAGCACCCCGATGAGCTGATCTGCCCGGCAAGCATGGGACGGGGAAGATATCATGACTTTTCCGCCACCCCTGTCGCTGTTTTCCCAGCTGCCGCAACGGTCCCGGTCCCGTTGGCCTGCGTTTTACTCTCCGAGGCACCCTTGCCATTCGTCGCTGTTTTGCCCGAGACTTCAAGAACGTCCATCTCAACTCCTCTAATGAACCATGCTGACACACCCTCTAATGCTGCCACAAACACGCTCAACAAACTCGCGATGACAAAGTGGGATATCGTGCTTCCGATCTCCAACCAGGAGCCCTCGTCCTTGACAACCCAGAAGAAATACAGGGTCAAGATGTCACTGATGGCCATCACCACCATGAACAGTGCCGAGGGCGCCACCCCGATCCTCTTGTTTAGTATGCCGAGATTGGCCGAAACCAACGCAAATGGTATCATGAGTTTCAAGATCAACAGTATACCTTGCGAGAACGGATCAAAGATGGGGATGAGTCGGCAGACGCTTTCGAGGCTGAACGAGGATACCGACGCGACGTTGCCAGTGGAGAAGAAGGCAGACTGCAAGAAGACGAAGAAGAACAGGGCCACTCGGGCGTCAGCCAATGACAGCGGACGGTAGGGATTGGGCAGCCTGTCGGGCACCTGCTTCGTCTCGGTCGACTCATCGCCTGACTTGCTTTCGACGGCGACTTCGATCTGGGGAGTCGAGTTGGTGTAGACTTCATACTCTAGCCTCACCCAGGCCAGAAGCGTGACCCAGAACGCGACATAAAACAGTCCTTCGTAGGATATTGTGAAGATGACAAAGGTCGGCGCGCAGGTAAGGAAAATGACAACGAGTCGGTGCAAGTAATTGCTGTTCGACTCCAGCCGATACGCCAGAGGCATTATCAGCGAGGTGACTACGTGAGGTGCGAGGTTAGTCTGGGGTACTGCAGCCTAGCCGTTGTCTGCGTGACTTACTTAAGACAAGCCAGCCGACGACCTGGTTGCCACGAGGCAATCCTTGCTTTGCCTGCAGAGAGATCACGCTTGATCTAGTGACGACCACAGCTAAAACAACCAAGCCCACTTGAATACCAACAAGAGTCCGCGAAATCTCCTTCCTCGCTGGCTTTGTTTTCGATACTGCCGTTGAGAAGTCGGACAACACCCTCTCCTCGAATGCAAGATACAGAATACCGATTGCTACCATGAGCACACCGCCCAGGGTTATGGTGTTGATGTTCTCCCCTTTCATGGCAGGAGGAAGGAGCGTGAAGCTGCTCATCGACAGGCAAGACACGGCCCAGACCAGTGATAGAGTCGGGCGACTCCGTACAAATGAGACACCGGATGCAAGCGGCCAGAAGGCTGCAATAACAAAAAGCACGGTCAAGACCTCGCGATGGATGTAGCCTACAGCCAACGAAATGATGATGCCGACATAAGCCGCACCGCCGAAGAGGAGAGACACTGGTCGTGTGTTCCCAAAGATAACATTGGCTCCTCGGATGAGGCTTTCGCGGCGAGCGAAGGCTTCTTCCCAGAAGAAAACTGGGAAGAAGGCATACGCGTAGTAGGTGACCGGTGACTTGGATGCAATGAAAGAAGCAGCCATCAGTACGTATACTGACGAGGATATGGCTGTGGAAACTGTGTCTCTTGACGGCTCGACCGCTCCTTGAAGGACATGGAGGTTAACAACAGTGGCGAGGGCGTACACCATCCACCCGATGTATCCAATGGTGATCAGAGCTCGCAGGAAGAGCCAGTCGTAAGTTTGGAGGTACCTCAGGCCCTGAAGCCCAAACTGAATGAGGGCCTCGGTTTCCTCGATGGCCTCCTCGTATTTCCCATCTTTGATGAGATCCCGAATGGCGGCAACACGTTCCTCAGAAGTATGGCTGTGCTCACTCAGGGGCTGGTAAGGCTGATACCTCAGCTGCGACGCCTTCTTCTTCTCCTCCTTGACCCTGTACATTTCGAGAATGCCCTGCGCGTTGACCAAGAGAGATTCGGCCTTCTCACTAATGTCTGCAGCGAGATACGGCAGGGGCAGCTCTCCGACCGAGTTCGCAGGGTACGCAACCCCTGTCAGATACGCCATCAGCGCGGCGACGTCCGCCTGCGAGACGTCGTGTCTTCTGACCTGGTCGAGGTCCCAGTCGGAGGAGTATTCGTCATGGCCCGGCGCAACGGTCCCAGCGTGGATCTCTGGCTTCGCGACTCCTGAGCCCCATGCGATCAGAGGGGTCCGTGTATTATCCGGATGACCGTCTCCATGACTGCCCCAGTCACTCATACCGTGATCCGCAGTGAACACATATGCAGTCCTGTCGTCATTGTAGAACTTGTCGATCATCTCTGCGATCTCCCTGACTCCCTGGTCTACGACCTTGATGTTGTGTAAATACTCCTGCGAGTACGGTCGGTAGAAGTGGCCTGTCGTATCCAGCCCGAGCAGGTGCAGAAAGAAGATTATTTTCTCTTCCTTGAGGGCCGCCTTTAGAGTCTTGTTCTGGGCTGCCTCTTCGAACAGTGCCTTGACGCGGTCGAACACCCAAAGATCGAGGTGTGTAGCGTCTTGGGAGAAGTCCTCTGCATCGGCCGCGTACGTATATGCATCGACCCGCCCCGGGACAGCACCATGCTCGAACATGGGCAGAATGTCCGGGCTGCCCCAGCTCCAGGTATGTTGACTGCGGTTGAAGACACTATCAAAGTCGACCGGGTTCAACTTCCAGCCTGTGGTCACCGCAGACACATCCTCGTACAGGCCGGCAATAAGCGCCACGTGTCCAGGTCTCGACTCGGTGGGCACACGCGTGTGGGAGACACCAAAAGTTCCATGCTCCAGGATGCGCGACCTCAAGAAGGGTGCCAGGGGCCGTGGTTCGAGGTCTGCGTCGGACTCGGGGTAGGGCTCGGGATGCGACTGCAAGGCTTTGTCGGCGCGCAGGCCGTCACCTGGTTTGAGAGGCGCGTCAGTCGCGATTGAACGCATTAGAGGGGGCTCTGTAGGAAGAGGCCGAGGAGCATACCGACAAAAAGAACCAGTCTATCCGCAGGCGGCTTGCTGGGGGCTGGGCGATCTACAGCGAACAAGCGCATGCCGGAAACGACGGGACTGACAAAATAGATGTCAAAGATGGAGTATATGTATATCAAGTGGAAGATGACGGCCAGGGCCAGAAATCTGAACCTGGGAAAGCGCGCCATGGTGCGCTCTGTCGTGTGCAGCTCAGCTACACCTTTTTGTGTCAGTTGCGGACGGTGTTGAGGTTCTCTAAGTCGAGAGTGGGAGCTTGGGAGCTTGGAGTCGTGGGTGTAAGCCGGCGCGGGAGCCGGAGGGGGCAGTGGGTGGCTCGTGGAGCTGAGGAGGGTCTAGTAGTTGGATCCTCGTTCTTCCATGGCTCTCTTGCAACTGGCGAAAGGGAAAAACACTGCACGAAGGTCCGACAGGAACAGACCTGCAGACTGTGGCGGGCTTCGTGGGAAAGAAAAAGACGTTGTTGTCAGCTCGGGGATTTCAAATGAGTGCAATGTCGACGGAGTCCGCTGCATCAGCAGGTGCAGCCAGTCACTACAAACTATTAGACTTGGTACTTGGGTATGCATGCAGGGGCTGGGAACCTGGATGGCCAGGCACTAGAGTACCTAGGTAGCTATGTGTGTACCTTGTTGGCTGCTCAGCTCTCAGCCCAGCATGCCGTGCAGGGATGCGCATGCTAAGGCTAACATGCGCGTCACCGTCGAATTCTCGATTCAGGAGGCTCCCAATTCGAACATCGATTTCAATGATCAATCAGCACTGCTCCACAGGCGGCGGGTGGTACGGAAAGATCCAACGGGCGCACGGTAAGATGCACTGCATGCGCCAGATAGACCGACCCTGCGAGATTGACACCGACTTGCAGCTTTGCAACATGCATGGGGCATCTAGAATTGACAATGATGTCCTGGGAGCATGTAAAAGAAGAACTTATTATAAGTACCTGCGTGATCTGCGTAGGTATGCCGATTCTCGGGTAGCGAGGGACGTATTCACCCCGGCCCCAGGGCTGCCCTCGGGCTCTGCCAAGCTCAGGGGCCGGCCGGCCGTTGAGAGGGAGGCACCCACGCTAGAATGTCCCGAGACGGAGCCGCATCGCCCAAAACCCCGAAGCTTCAACGTCGCAACATCGTCTTGAGCTGCGCCCGAACCCGCCCCCAAGATGCTGTCGTTTATACTCATACAAAACCGCCAGTGAGTCGCCCCCGCCTCCCGACCTGCAGCCGTCGCCGAGACGCGCAAGATAGCTGACCACCGGAATCTCAGGGGCAAGACCCGGCTTGCCAAGTGGTACGCGCCGTACAGCGACGACGAGAAGATCAAGCTCAAGGGCGAGGTAACCAACCCCCTGGACTCGGAGGCGCGCCCTCATTTCTCTCTCTGACACCCTTTCCCACAACCAGGTCCACCGTCTCGTAGCGCCCCGCGACCAAAAGTACCAGTCCAACTTCGTCGAGTTTCGCAACAACAAGATCGTCTACCGGCGGTACGCCGGCCTCTTCTTCTGCGCCTGCGTCGACACCAACGACAACGAGCTCGCCTTCCTCGAGGCCATCCACTTCTTCGTGGAGGTCCTCGACGCCTTCTTCGGCAACGTCTGCGAGCTGGACCTGGTCTTCAACTTCTACAAGGTCTACGCCATCCTCGACGAGGTCTTCCTGGCCGGCGAGATCGAGGAGACGAGCAAGCAGGTCGTGCTGACGAGATTGGAGCACCTGGACAAGCTCGAGTAGTTGCGAACTGTCTGGGCCAAGTCAGATGGAAGACCAAGATCCTTGATGAAGAGGCATGAGGGCGAGACTAGGGAACACAGTAATCTGATCAACGTAAATACTCTGGCTTTGGGCGAGGCGTATGGAGTTATTCGGCAGGCACGACTCTTGAAACTACTCATGGACCAGCCTGGACTCATTTCAGAATATTCATTTTTGTTGCTGCCTCCTCTATATGTGTTTTACAATAGCCATGCTCATTTGCAATCCGCCCCGTTCCCGCTGGTAGGGTGTCTTCCAGTAAATGGCGCTGATATGGCCATGCCAACTCCAGTGCAGCTATCTTAGAGTCCGGAATTTCACCAATACCTGAATTCCTGTTCCTGGGCCTTGAAACCCTCGTGTTGAGGAGGACAATGCCCAATTTGCCATGTCCAGTGGAATACCGGCTTCTGGACAGGGACGTTTGTGCCTCATGCCCTGATGGCACTTCTTTGATGACACTCCTTTGCTGCTCGCCACTTCTCGTGGAAACGCCGGCCAACACCGTTTTGCATCAAGAAACCACACACTATCTCTAGTCTCTTCTTCCCATTACGTTCGCTCGAAAGCACAGCCGCCAATTGCCAACCACTTTCTCAACCTCCTGAAAGAGGATGAAAGGACACGGGACTAATAATCTAGGCCGTTCCCGATGTTTTGAGCCACGGATATCTTCAAAGCTCGAGGGCAAGCCGGTAGCTTGGCTATGCGCTCACTTTGGGGACGTGGGCGCCGAGGTGGCATGGTCAAGCCCAGAGAGGATCCGAATTGGCACTTAGCCGTCGAGCAACATCATCGTTTTCTGACCAACGTCGCCATCATCAATATTAGGCAAGGCGTCTGTTAGAGATCTCTCGCTCTTGTCATTCGTGGCCTAGGGGTCTCTTTCCGGGCTCGAGCCATCCGGGGGAGGCGAGTCGACTTTCAACTGTGCACTGAAACTGTCCATGTCTAGTGCCGCGCGAGTCCCTTGTGGCAACTTGACGACGATCTCACTGTTGTGATCATGGGGTTTCCTGTCCTTGTCACCTTTCTGTGAGCCGTCCCAACCGTGCTCCTCATTGTCGTTTGTACGAGGTGTGTCATCAAGTGATGATCGGTATTGGTGCGCGTGAGCGAACATTTGTGCATCCGAGATTGCGTCCGTACAAGCGTTCTGCGCTGGAGGCAATCGGACTGTAGGGAGAGCATGACCTTTGTCTTCGTCATCGAAGATATTCATTTCCATTCGTGCATCTTCCTCGATTTGGATTGTGCCCGCGGCAGAATGGTAGTCTTCCAATCTACGGAAGAAGTCATTCACGTCAAAGCTTGCCATGTCGCAGATCCAAGCAGCATGAGCATCAGGGTACAAACGCTGTATCTCGGCCTCCAGACGGTCTGAAGGATGGTGCACGGTAGGCACCGACCGCCTGCTTTCCTCTGAAAAGAGCGCGCTCGACATTTTGACATCGTTGTAGCCGTCGTCCCAGTAGGAAAGACGGCCGTCGCCACTATTGTGATGACCAACACGTGGCATTAGCTCTGCAGACTCTTCTCGCTCGCTTTGACTGGATTGAGAATCACCCCGAGGCCTTTCACGCCAACGTCGAGTTCGCTTCGTCCGATGCGATTCCTCAATGCTCGGTCTCCGACCACGCTTCTCCCGGGATGGTGAGTAGTGGCTTCTCTCCATGCCTTTCATTCGGTCATCAGACTGAGGCGAGGAGCGCCCACGGTCGTCACGTTCCAACCAGGCGAGCCGGCCCGGGTCCATACGATGGTCATCATCATCTTCAAAATGGCCTAGAGCACGGCGATTCCCGTAGGTGGGTGCGCTGTCCATAGTTCTGGTCAATGTCTTCTTTGCCTTGCGCGGGCGGTAATGGTCAGCTCCACGTGGTGGCGGGGATGAATCGCTGAGCGTGACGCCAGCCTTGATACGCTGCTGCGTCAATGAGTTGGGATTCTCGTTGAGGGGACAGAGAGTTGTCAGGTGCTTCTCTTTGGCACCGCAGCAGTAGCACTGGTAACCGCCAGTTGGTTTCGGATCGAGGCTTGGATCAAGGTTCGTAGGGCATTGCTCCTTGAAATGTCCTGGCCAATTCGCTTGATTAGTATAAAAGTGGCATCCACGCTCGGAACTGTTGGTCTTACCCTTTTCACCGCATCGACCACAGACATATCCCTTTGGAGGTTTTCCGCTGGGAATACGGCTGGGTGCTCTCTTTCGTGCCTTACTACCCTTCAACCCATCGTTGGGCTCAGCACATTCGGTCCCTTGCATAAGCTGAGTCTCTTTGTTGGCCCCGGTGAGTGGAGGGAAAGTATGTCTCGCGGACTTGGAAGCACTGCGCATGTTGTCTGGACGCTTCCAGCCCAGAAACTCCACATCACTGTCTCCATCGCCAGACGAAACGTCGATGATCTTGTCTTCCTTTACAGTGATAACACCAGTAATCCCCTGGTCCATTCCAAGATCTCTTGGCTGGATTGTCTGGTCCCCACCCAAGATTGAAAGCAGCTCTTCCTGGACCACCAAAAATCGCCGTGCGCAACTGGCATCGTTCTGAACCTGGTTTGACATCCAAGCGGCAAATGCATCGCGGACGCGTTGGTCATCGTAACCACGAAAGCGCAGCGAGGCATACCAAGACTCAATTTGCGGTCGGAAAGCGGCAGAATCGGACAGATCCCAATCATTCAAGTGCTCCTGCAGCCAGCCGAGATAAAGGCTGACCGGGTCTTCATGACCCTGAGCACGTTTATCAAGCTCTTGCAGACTAATGCCACGAAGGACGTCTGGTCCAAGGCCGTTTGAATCTCGCCCCATGTCGGCCTGCTGCATGGTTCTATGCTCGATAGGACCAAAGCTTGACACGTTGGGCGCAGACTGAGATTCAAAGTGTTGTGAAGTTGAAAGGAAAGGGCTGTTGACGTGAGACCCAGAGTTTATCAGGACCAAAGCATCGATTGCGAGGGGAATGGATACAATAGATTTGCGGCGGTATGGATGTGGACCAAGTGCGCCTGGACGGTAGAAGTAGGTAATGACGTGGGTGGCCGTCGATGGGAAAGAGTTGGGAAGGTGCGCAGGCAGAGACAATGTTTTCGAAGGCCAGCAGCTTGCAAGTGTTTCTTGCTCTTCCCAGCTTCCAGAGCTTGCCAGAACACACACAGGCCGGGGGTTAAGCAAGTTGCGGCGCCAGCGTCACCACCTGGTAGTTGGCAATTGCCACTTCACTGCGTACCTAGGTAGCCTTGGGGCATACTTCTGTGAATAGTCCTACCTGTACCAGACGAACGCTGATAGTTGGTAATTCAAATCTCTGCCGCCCGTCCCAGGCGTACCCATAGCACAACAGCACCACATCTGAGCCATGTTTCGAAGGCATCCTGCAATTACCAGGATGAAGGTCCTTGAACCTAACAGCGTCAAGACTTGCAATCCTAGAACGCTGACCACTATGCGTTCTTACTTCCAAATGGCGAACACCAACCCGACCGGATGTCCGACTACCTTTTCAGAGCTGCAAACCTCTTTGACAACTCGTCCACGTCCGGTATCCCACTACTAATGTCCTCTTTCTTTGCTGCTGGTTTTGGTGCGGCTTTCGCAGCCTCCATCTTCTTGTTTGGTGTCAGCTCCATCTTGTTCAACGTCACCTTCGGCCGCGGATTCTCTGTGGACGGGCTCGAGGGTGCCACCCTCAACGGACTGTTCGGACCAAAACTCTTGGGTGGCGTCGCCTTGCTCAGCTCCTCCTGCGCAGCGTCCTCGGAAGACGGGCCGTCAGCAATCAGCGGCGCCTCTAGATTCTTCTGCTGCCCTCCTCCACTTGGATCGTCATCGTCGTCGTCGAGGAAATTCGGCGGTGCCTCTCCCAAATCCTTTTTGGGCCAATTAACCCCATACGCCTTCGCAATCTCCTCCAGATAACCTTGGACGAGTTCAGGCCTTGGTGGCGTCACGCTCAGCTTCTTGACCACCTTCTCGTTGACCTTCCCGTCCTTGTTCTCCATGGCGTCGAGCACAAATTGTTTCCCATACTTTTCAGCCAGCAGTGCCCGCACCGTGTGTAACTCCTTGATCTCTGTCTTGGGCGCCGCATAGAGGACGCTCTTGATCGCCTCCTCCAGTCCTGGGTCGCAAGTGGATGCCTCCAACAATCCGGCACGTGCCAGTAACAGCTCGCAGTACAGTTCGAGTATCTCGTGCAGCTCGGTAGTGATATCGCTCCGGATGATGTTCTCGACGCGGATCTGGGCAGAGTCGATTTTGCCGACCTCGAGCAGCTTGGCCATGTCCCTTCTTTGGGTCTTGGTCACGGCGTCATCTCGCTTTTGGACCATGCGCAGGCGTGCTATGGATAGCTTGAGCTGAACTTTTATTTTGGTCTATGTGACAAAGATTAGATGCTGCGACGGAGCCTCTTAGTCGGAGGGAGCGGTTGGCTGACCACGAGGGATGACGTTGTTGGAGCCATCGTGACGGGGCCCAATGTACACAGGTGGACGTCTGCTTTTCTACTGGAGGTGGAGTTTGGTTTCTCGAGGACTAAGAGTGTAGTGGCAAAGGGGAGGTATGGCACTGCGCGGGACTCCACGCTCTAATCAAATTGCTCCTGTTGAATGTGCACGAAGCTGACGACGGGTGGACGTTGCTGGAAAGTTGCCTGGCCATCGCGGCAGGGCTGTCGCTTGTATGCGGGGTCGTGCCTTACATATACACCCAGGCCCTAGGCACAGAGGAAGACACAAGCTCCAGGGAGCTCCAGCTATCCAGGTGGGGCGGGGCGGCTGCTTCATAGCAATTGTGGAATGTAGTCCACCAACCTTCCTTGGGGGGGCCAGCTACCTGCGTAGCTAAGACCGCTCTTTACACTTCCCTCAAAGCACCAGAGCCTGAACATGCTTGAGATTTACTTCTCAAGTTCAAAGACATCCTCATGTCTGAGTCACGGGATATGCAAGCGCCTTCGATCCCCAATCTACTCTCACTGCGCGGCTCCAGTCGTGGGCTGCGAGGACGTAATCGAGGCCGGGGCGGCCATCCCGGCGCAGGAGCTTCCAGTCAAGCCCAGCAGGATGCCACCATCCAGGGGACCGATACCGATGCAGCCGTGATGCGCCTGAGTGCCGTGGAACTGGGATACTTGGACGACCAATTTGCGCAGTACTTTGTCCAGGGGCAGCAACCAAACAGGAGACTCCCTATCATCAACAGGGGAACGTATACCAGGACGACCGCATTGGACAGGCTCATCGACTCCTTCCTCGGACACGACTCCGACGCAGACGAACCGCTCCCACGGCGACAGATCGTCTCCCTCGGCGCTGGCACTGACACGCGGTGTTTTCGTCTGTTCTCCCGCAAGAATCGTCGACGCGGTCTGATTTACCATGAGGTCGACTTTCCTCCCATCAGCTCACGCAAGCGGATGATAGTCCAGGCGACCCCGGCCCTGAGGAGTGTCCTACCGGATCCGATACCAAGCGACGACGGACCGGCGTCCGCATCTTGGCGGAGCACCCCCGAGGGCGAGGGGAACCAGTACTGGTGCCATGGTCTGGACCTACGAGATCTCACCAGGGACCAAGGGGAGGGCAATTCACTGCTCAGCAGGCTCGAAGGACTGCGGACCGATGTGCCGACGCTGCTGATCTCAGAGTGCTGCCTCTGCTACCTCGAAACAGCTGAAGCCCAGAATGTGATCAAGCGTTTCGTGGATAAGATCCCAGACCTGGGCCTCGTCATTTACGAGCCTGTGAAGCCGGATGATGCGTTCGGCCGGCAGATGGCTTCGAACCTGGCGGCGAGGAGGATCAGGATGCCTACCTTGGAGGTGTACAAACAGCCCAAGGATCAGGAGGGGCGACTCAGAGAGGCCGGTTTCAAGGAAGTGAGGCAAAAGACAGTGGACAGCATCTGGGGCCAGTGGGTATCAGAAGGGGAGAAGGAGAGAGTGGACGGGCTAGAGGGGCTAGACGAGGTCGAGGAGTGGCAGTTGTTGGCAGGCCATTACATCGTTGCTTGGGGTTGGAAAGGTCCTCGCCTCGAGGCAATAAATGGTATGGATATCTCTTAACTAGCACGCAAATCGAGGACACTTTGTGGCTGCTTAGGTTGGGAATAACCCGGATTGCATCAACTGCTACCTATAGTGATGACTTAAATGCTGCAGGTACCATCAGCTTACACCAACCATGCCGAAACCAAAGTCAGAGCCAGGGTTCAGGGTCCGTGCACTGGGACCGATCTTGGGCTTTCCAACCCCTTTCAGCCGTCACTCTTACTCGGCCATTCACATTCAATCGCAACAAACAGGACTGTACCTTCAACTCATACCATTTCATTCAGCCTTTACAACAAACACAAATATTTCCCATCAGCTCATCATGGCGGACAAAGATGGCAAGCAGTATAAATACCGGCAGGAGATTCAACAGATGATGTACGTCTCGGGCGAGACGGGAGAGCCCTCGATTGAGACTATGGGCATCATCGAGGAGATTGTCCGCCAGCAGGTCATTGAGATCCTGCGCGCCTGCACGGAGCTCGCCGCGCGCCGCGGCTCGAGGTCCATCACCATCAACGACCTGATCTTCCAGATCCGCGACGACGCGCCCAAGGTGTCGCGGCTGCGCACCTTCCTGTCGTGGAAGGACGTGCGCAAGAATGTCAAGGACTCGGAGGACAAGGGCGGCGAGGCCGACATAGGCGCCGCCGAGGACCCGGCCATGGGCGCGGGCGTGATGCCGGGCGCGGGGCCCGTGGACGAGGCGGCCAAGAAGAACAAGAAGGCCAAGGTGGGGCTCCCCTGGGAGCCGAGCAGCTTCTACAGCCAGGAGGTGCCGGAGAGGGAGGACGAGGAGGACGAGGAAGAGGAGGAGATGAACTACATCACGCTGCAGCGGCTGCGCAAGGCCGACGAGCGGACCAAGGCGATGACCAAGGAGGAGTACGTGACGTGGTCCGAGTACCGGCAGGCGTCGTTCACGTACCGCAAGGGCAAGCGGTTCAGGGAGTGGGCTGGGTTCGGCATCGTGACGGACAGCAAGCCGTCGGACGACATAGTGGATATCCTCGGTTTCCTGACCTTCGAGATGGTGCAGACGCTTACCGAGGAGGCGCTACGGATCAAGGAGCAGGAGGACCTGTGGAGGGAGAGGACGGGCGGCGAGAACGCCAGCGGCACCAAGAAGAGGAAGCTTCACCAGGGCTTGTTCGACCCGCCCAGCGAGGGCAGGACGCCGGTCGAGCCGAGGCACATCCAGGAGGCGTTCCGACGGCTGCAGGCGAGGCCGAAGAAGTCGCGCGCCATGCTGAACGGCACCAGGATCGCGAAGACCTCGGGCTTGAAGCTATTCTGACGGCTTGGCAGTGGTTCGGGAGTTTCGGTCGGGCGGTCTCGGAAGGAATGGTGGCATGGCTGGATCAGCATCACGGGTAGCAAGGCGTTCTCGGCGGTAATCTTGAATATTGGCTCACATTATGTATCAACGGAGGAGGATATCGGGTACGGTCTACCAGAAAATTATTTTACGATAAAGATTTAATGCTCATCAGAGAGTTCCAATTGTCACAGTCCATGTCCATGTGCTGAGTATAGACACCTAGTCTCTCAACGGGCATTTTGCCACACCCTCCGGAGAGAGAGGACCGGTATTCACGAATTCACCGACACCGTGAGCCTTGGCGTGAGCGAGCACTATGTGTTCGGGTTTATGTCTGCTCGGCGTTCTGGGAAGCGTAATAAATTGGGGATCTGCCCAGGCACAGCACACGACCCCTGCAGCCTTACTTCGGCCAACCTGACAGCTTGAGCCGCATTAGCACACACCAGGTAGGGTTGATGCTACGTGCACTGACTAGACTACATATCGTGTAGCAGGCACTCCTAGTGGTATGAATGTGTGTGTTTCTCCGCCTCTACTGCTGACGTATCTGTAGGAGTATAGGTCTACGTAACTGCTGACAACGTACAGTATGTGTCTGTGACCACCTGGCTGGCCATCGGTCGCATTTCCAATTTCAAGCCCGTCGTTAAATAACCCACCACAGCCGAGTAACCCCGGGCCTTGAGTAAGATTGATCATGTTGCTAACGCAATCAGCAATCGACCGTGAGCCATAATGCCGCCGGTCTTCGGCACGTCATTTCATCCTGTGCCCCGTCAAAGGACCAGCCGCAGGCAGCACAACCAGGTAGTCTAGCTCACTCCGCCGTGTTTCCCTCGCACCACATCCAGTCACCGACAGGCGAAGGAAGAAGCCAAGCAGGGAAGAAGGCATGACCACTTCTGCCAATGCGGGACGGGGGGCGGCGGGGGACAGCCCACCATTGGCCAGGGGGTCCCGGGGATCCTGCAACCTCGCGGCGTAGTGGGGCTGTACATCATGTAAATCACCACCGCTGCCTGACGCTGACCCCTGGCCTGTCTTCCCGGTCGGCTCGGAATCCCTCTCCGCCAACATTGTAATAAAGGAACCGCCCCTTGCCCAACACTGCACTTTTGTGCATCTCACGCTTCCTCTTTCCCATCCTCGCTGTTTGGTTTCCTTTTCCAAACTCAATCCCACACGGTCCTACCCTGTCCTGCAAGACCGAAACACCACCCAAGATGATGAACCAGGTCGACACGCTCAGTGGCTCGATCGCGAAGAGGGCGCTGGAGGTGCGCGAGGCCTACATTGGCGATGGCGATGGCAACATGAACGAGCTGCCCGGCTGGGCATGGCTGGTCTTCTTCGCCGACTTCCTTGTCTTCTTTCCTGTGTTCCTCTACATCGGCTACACACTAGCCCATATTTACCCGACTCTCGCCATGATAGAGGACCCAGAACCGCCACCATACGAACCAGTTGACCTCAACGAGGACGCTGACTCCATCGCCGAAGACAACGCACCGCTCAACGACCGGCCCATGAAGGTCGACCAGGAGCCCGTCCTCGTCACCTCGTCGCTCCGCCGCATCAACCGCCTCCTGATAACCACCGCCGGTTGGACCGCCAACTTCCGTGGTCTGCCCTGCGCCTTCGTCCTCTCCGTCGCCTTGGGCTTCTCCAGCCTCGTCTTCAGCGGCATCCCATTCGTGCCCCGCTCCGTCGGCGTCCTGCTGGCAACCCTCGTGACCGTCCAGCTGTCAACAGCTTGGACCCATATCGTCATCTCTGCACCATCGACCTTGCGCTTCTACCAGCGCCTGCCGCCGTTCCGCAAGACCTTCGAGGCTACCGTCGTTCCCATTGTCGCCCACTGGGCCGCCACCCAGCTGGTCGGCTACCTGCCTATTTTCCTGTCCTACATCCTGGGCCTTGCCCGTTGGGACGTCCGCAACCCGACCCATGTCCCCGAGTACCAGGGCGACGCCGTCTGGAAGTCGCTCCTCATCGTCATCATCGTGGTGGGAGCCATGGTCTTCCTGGTCATCCCTACCCAGGTCGTTCTGGTCCGCGTGCAGGCCAGCCTGCTGCCGCCGGACGAGAGCCCCATCCTCGCATTCGACAGGTCCTTCGCTGGCAAGGTCGAACCCCCCGTCGTCGGCGGAAAGGGCTACGTCAACTTCAAGGATGCCTGGATGACCTTCTCGCGTCAGAGCTGGATCCGCCTGTACAAGTTGATAGGCAAGGTCCTCGTCGTCACCTTCAGCGTTTACATAGTGGTTGTCGCCATTGTTGTGCCTGAGTTCATCCTGATGGTGAAGGCGAGCAAGCCCGTTGATTCCAACTAGAGACTGGCTGCGCGAAAAAGAGGAGTTGACAAGAGGGTCCGAGGTGGAGAATGGAGGGACACATGGAGATCACAACCATAGCCGTGTTATGCTCTGGCACTGGGTACTGGCTGCGAATTCGGTCATTATTACACTGGGACTTTGTTTTGCACCGGGAGCGATGTATGTTTTGATAGCGGCGTAATAGGGGGGGGGGGTATTGGCCGTGTTATTTGAAACTAGGCACCAACCTCCCGAACACCACTTCGAGGCCTTGCTCACCGAGGAATGCTGAAATGAGCAGACATATCAAACAATTACATGTCAAATATCACACTGATATCATTGAATAAAACCACATACTCTCCGACCAATGATGTGTATCATAATCTTCGCGTTCCAACTTGTCATAATACCACACGTGAGCACGTGAAAATACATACATAGTAGACGCTAAAGGATGGATTTCGCTCCTCGCGATGCAGACCCAAGGGCAACAACACTGGTCGTCGACGCATCTCCTACATTGTCCAGAGATCCCCCTTCTCACCGGTCGCCTAGTCCAGAGCGGACAGACCAACCCAAAAACCAAAAATGGGCCTCACAGCGCGAAGCCCTTGCCCTGTAGTGACCGGGTTAATCCAAGCGAGCCACTTCGGTTCCCAACAGCAACAGCGTGGCGGAACTCCAGGTTTGATCTTCTTCCTCTATGAACGGCTGACTTGTGTGTGTAAGGTGTTATACTTGACAAAGGGAAAAAGCAACAGGCATCTGGAGAGGGGTATAGTTCTTTGTTTGTATCCTTCTGGCTGACTCGTGGGCTGGGCAGATACCCGTATCCCGCCCAGGCTCTTCGTTGATGTCGTTTCTTCTAAATCTTCGTTCTTGTACCAGTAACGACAAAATTGCCCTCGCCCAAAAAAGTGAAAACAAAATCCTTAACCCTTCTGGAAGAACCAGCTCGACCGCTTGTTGGCGTTGTCCTGGAGGTTCTGGATGGTGGGGTTGGCAGCAGGGGCGTCTCCGCCGCCGCCACGCAGTGGCTTGGCGATTCTGCTGCCCGCGCCGGCGAAGCTGAATCCTCCCGCGCCGGTGGGCGAGTTCAGGCCGCGGGTGCTGCCCGCCTTGGCGGCCTCCAGGCGCTCCTTGACGGAGGCCAGCTGGACCTCAAACCTGTTGAGACAGTCATTAGTAAGGCACTTTGGGAGATACGGGCACCTCCTACATACTTGTGGTTCGCCTGTGCCATCTTCTCCTGGCTATCCTGAAGGAGGCTCTCCAGGCTCTGGATGCGCTCATTCCTCGCGATGAGTTTCCTCTCCGCGATGGCAACCTCCTTCTTCAGGCTCGAATTCTGCTCGACCAGCTGTCGCTGCACCTGTGTCAGCTGCTCCAAGTTGCGCTCCAGGAACGCCATCTTCTTCTGCTGCGCGCGGTTATTGGACGACCGCAGCACGTTGTTGTACTGCTCCCGTGTCTCGTCCAGGGAGATCTCGAGCTCGACGACGCGCTCGCACCTGTTCTGAAGGTCGCGCATCAGCGACTTTTTCATAACGTCGAACTCGGCCATCTGCTGCGCAACGGTCTTGCCGTTGTCCATGGGCGCCGCGGTGCCGGCCTTGACCTGCCGCTGAAGATCCTCAATAAGAACCCTCAAGCGTTCATTTTCGCTGGCCGTCTTGGTCATCTCGCCCTTGAGCTCATCCACGAGCTCCATCTGAGTACCCTGCTTGGATGCGTACGCCTGCTCAAGCCGGGCCTTGACCTCCTCGGCATCGGTTTCGCCGAGGTTACGCGCCAGCAAGTCCTCATATTCCTGTTGAAGACTGTCGAGACGGGCTTCAAGCTCAGCACGACGCTTAGCATCGGAACTGCTTGGTGACGAGCTGTAGAGGGAGAGCTCGGCCTGTCGCACGATGCCTTGCGTGGCAACAAGCCTTTCTCGGAGAGCCTTGAGATCCTCTGCCGGGATTGTATCGCCTCCGGAGCTGATCTCTTGGAACTGATCGAGTTGCTTGATGGCCTCGGCGATGGACTGCTCATTGTCGCTGAAGATGTCGCTGCCAAGATCGAAGCCAGCCATCATCTGGGCCATCTTCTCGGCCTTCTTCTTCTCCTTCTCATCGAGAACGGCGCCGCTCTCCTTCGCCCCCATCTTCGCGTCCATAAGCTGCTGTTTCACTTCGTCAAGCTCGGTAGTGAGCTCGGAGTTGGCTTCCTTGAGGGCGTCCATGGTGATCTGAGCCTCCTTGCCCTCGAAACTGAGTCTCTCAAGCTGCATTTTGACCTCGTTCACCTCGCTGTTCAGCTTGTCGTTGTCCTTGCTAACCTTGCTGTCATGCTCCTTGAGAAGGCCCAGCTCCTCCTTAGCCTCGCGCAGTGCCTTCTCGACCGTGACGGCTTGCGATTCCTTCTCAGAGAGCTGATCCTGAAGCTCATTCTCCCGGCGCAGGAACTCCTCACGCTCGTCCTTGTCCATGGGTATCGAGGGTGTTCCAGCCCGTTCAGATGCGGCAGGCGTCTCCGCCCGACTCTCTGGAAGGAGTCTGGAGGGCGTGGACGGTCTGGCCGGCAAGGACTTGGTTGTGCCGTCCGCGGACAAGGAGGGCACCCATTTCTCTTTGGGGACCTGCTCGCCTGCTCGCCACTGCTGGACTTCGCCTTCCAGGTTTACAATGTAATTCTCGAAGGTCGTGATCTGTGTCTTGGCCTTTCCAAGGAGTTGCTTCAGCTCCAAGGGGCTCAACTCGGCGTTGACCTTGGCCTTGTTCTTGATCGACTTGGCTCGCATACCGAAGCGCAGGGTGCTCAGAGTTTCGGCATCGTTGTAACTACTCGGCGAACAGTTGATGATCAGAGTTGTCCGACTGTTGCCACCCAGAGATTCCTGCAAGATTCGAGTGAGCTTGGAGTCACGGTATGGCACATGTGATGATTTGCCGTCGGTCAAAGAGTTGATGACCATTCCCAGCGCACTCAAACTCTTGTTGATCTTCTTTGCCTCTTCCAGCGTCTGACCGCTGGCTCCGGTCTTGCCGACCTTTTCACTACCGGCCAAATCGACCAAGAATAGCTGACCACTCTTTGCCGACCCGGTCTCGACGTTCTTCTGCGTAACGGTAATGACGAAAATGGAGTGCGACCGGGATGATTCCTGGTTCATGTTGGTTGCGGCGACTGCTCGCGCATTGCCACCTCTTCGCATGACCTCGAAAACTTCCTGTACGCTCGAAACATAAATCTCTAGGAGACCCTTGACGTAGACGCCCCGGTTCTTCTCCTCGTGCACAGGGAGGTTGTCGTTTTGAGGTGCCATCAGATCCCGGATCCGCTCCATGTAGATCTCCATGTAGCTGACCCGGACGGTGTACTCTATCGTACTTGGGCTGGACATGATGCTCGCGAAGATCTGCTCGACGATACGTGGAATGACACCTCGGCCGACTTCGTCGTCGATGCTCGAACCCATCATGGTATAGGACTTCCCAGCACCGGTCTGACCATATGCGAAGACTGTTCCATTGTAACCGTTGAGCAGATCGTCGACAGTTGGGCGAATCGAGTAGTCGAAGATATCGGACTGCTTGCATTGCATGTTGAAGACGCGGTCAAAGGTGAAGGAGCCTTGGGCCTCCTTGGACTATAGGAGAACATGGCCGTTAGCTGCCGGGGGCTCCTGCAGACACCGCCGTGGGAAGGCTGGTGATGGGGATGGTATGGGGACATCAAGTGCAGGTGACGCTTTTGAGGAACATACATCGACTGTGAGACTGTCATCGCCCTCGAACTTGACAATAGGCTGGCCGCCCTGCTCGTTCTCGACCCGGTTCTGGGGCCGGAACCGGGCCACGACCTTGATGGTGTTCCCGCTCGACATGGTGGCGCTTGAGATGGTGCGCTCGGGATGGCTATGATCTATCTCATCAACCAAGGAGTGCGGCAGGCCGCAGGTTGCAGCAGAGGGTGTGTAGGAATGGGAGTGGGAGTAGAAGTGGCCAAGTTGGCGGCCCTGCCGTCGCAGCAGCAGTCAGTCGGTGAGGTCGCCCTCAATCGAGCAATAATAGTGGGGGATACTGCAAGGTTTGGAGGGCGAGCAAAAGCGAGGTCGGTGGGTGCTGCTTTTGTCGAGCCCCCTTCAACCAGTAGCGGCTGTGATGGTCAGACCAGGCAAACAAATCCAGAAGCAGCGGCAGGAGCAGCCTCCTCTCGAGACAAGTGACGTTGCGTGTCAAGTCAGTCCAGGGGGACAACAAAAAAACAAGGGGTTTGGGGAATCCTTGGGCCGGGTTGTGTTGTTTGTTGGAGCAGCAGCCCCCCATTCCCCCTCCACTGGCCCAGGGCCGTTCGAGTCACCAGCATGACGCGCTAAGCGTGCATGAGGTGCAGGTGGTGTTACCAAAGTGGTACCCAAATTTGATTGTTCATGCGCTAGGCCTTATCGTACCGGTACCTTGGTCACCTTGTTCTAGTGTACTACTGAGTTATTAGCCAGGCACACACACAGTCACAGCAGCAAATGGAGACACTCGCACCCGAGCAGCTGAAGATGACGATGTTGATGTTGACATAGGCCAGGATGCAGGCCTGCCTACTGTATAGGCGGGATGCTGCAGATGCTTATCCAACTTACAGTCCGATGTCCCTGCACGTCTATGGCCAGGCAGCCTGTACCTAAGTGTGCAGCTACATACCTAAGTACCTGACAGCGAATGACTGACCCCACCGGACACAGTTGGCTTTTCCGGCTTTGAACACAAGTGCTAGGCACCGTGGCATGTATGTGCATATGCGGCGGCTGCAACTGCTTGCTCTCCAACAAGAAACTCTTTCCAAGGACGAGACAAAGCAACTCACTTTTGGCAGCCAGCCGTAGGAAGTCTTGATGTTTACCTAAAGCAGGGCAACGCCTCTTGAATTTGTAATCCTATGTCTCTATGTCTCACCTTGCAGCCCACCAGCTTTGGCCTCGGCTGGCACCAACTGGCTGCCCATTGCAATGATCCCTGCCAGCTCTGCCAGTGGCCTCGAGCTCAATATCTCGAATACGGAAATGTCGCTCTTCAAGTCGCGGAACACCTGGTTGCGAATCTCAACCGCCTTGAACGAGTCCACTCCAACCTCATACAACGGCTTGTCATCCCCAATGTCGCCAGGCTGCACTCCCAGACCCGGGGCCAGAAGCCTCTTCAACGCCCCCGCAACGACTGTCGCGGCTTCCGACACCGATGCCGCGTGCGCCAAGGCGTCCTTAACCTCAGCCTCGGCATCATTCTCAGAGGATTCACCCTCGCTTGTCACGGTTCTCGCCATCCGGTGGCCGAATTTACGGTCACGCGTCCACTGGTCCTCTCTCCTCAGCGCGTCGCTCATGCCGAACACAACCTGCGGCGGGGCCGCCTTTCCAGCCCTCATGCACTCCAGCAACCCGATGTCCAGCTCCTCCAGCGTCGTGCTGACCGAAGCCATGTGGCCGAACCGCTCAAGGTAATGCTCCATCCCGGTGCCGTCGATCTCGTGGTCAGAGTCGCGGACGAGGCCGACATTAAGTGACACCGCCGGGAGGCCGAGCGCAGTTCGCCGGTAATGCGCGAAGGCGTCCATGAACGAATTTGCGGCCGCGTAGTTGGCCTGCGAGACGTTTCCGATGATGGAGACAACGGAGGAGAGCATGACGAAGAAGTCCAGGTCTGCCGCCAAAAGGCTGTTGTGCAAGTGCCAGGTGCCTGCGACCTTGGGGGCGAAGGCTGTGCGCCATTGGGTGTGCGTCATGTTGCTGAAGATGCTGTCCTGTTCGTGTTATATTCGTCAGCCCATCTGTCTTCAATCTGGGCTGCCCACTCCTGAGAAACAGGGCTGGTCACGTCGACATTTGTGAGTAGATCGGGGACCCTGATGCTCACCTGCAAAACCATGGCGCATTGCACCACGCCACGAACTGTGCGTCCGGCTTTCACCAACGAGGACACGGCTTCTTCTACCTCTTTCTTATTCGTCACGTCACATTTGAGGACTTCAACAAGTCCTCCCAGCAATGTGATAGCACTGATTTCGCTATCCCATTTGGGATTCTGGCCAGAGCGAGATAAAAGGACAATGTGTTTGGCGCCATGCTCGACCATCAACTTGGCAATCCTCAAGCCCAGCGATCCCAGTCCTCCAGCGAGCACATAGGTACCGTCGGCGGGGAGCTGCACATTTGAACGGCTGCGAGGTCTAACAGGCACAAGTGTGTCGTCTTCAAACCCGACTGCCACAATACCCTTCTCCCCCGAAGCCTTGCCAGACTCTATCGCCTCGCCTAGCTGAGAGACGGGGAAGACGTTGAGGGACGGATGTATGACGGATGAACCCAATGCGAATATCTCTGGGACCTTTCTGAGTAATTGTGCCACAATTTTTCGCCTGCTTCCGAGGATCTGTCTCGGGTTGACGGTCGCATAGCTGATATTGCGGTGGCCGAGCTTGCGAGGCGGGGCGTGATCCTCGTCACCATTCAGGGTCACTGCAACGCGTCCAAAGTCGCTTACAAAATCGGACACGTCCCGGTACGCATTGCGTTGCGACGATGGCGCCACAAGGACGTCGACGCCATTTCCCTCAGTCCTGTGGCGGATCAAAGAGGCGATCGAGACTTTTCCTGTGTCCAAGACTGAGTCCTCTGGCAACGCGAGTCTCTCCAACGCTGTCCTCTTTTCTTCACCATTTGCCACGGTGGCCAGGACCTTTGCGCCTTTGTTGTGAGCTAACGAAACCAAGGCCTCGCCCAGAGGAGCCAAAGCATCACAGATCAGGACACTATCGCCATCTTGCAAACAAACAACTCGGTCCAAGATGTAGGATGCCATCAGGTAAAGCCAGATGGTGCTAGCTGCACCTAATAATGGTACCGTCTCAGGTACCTTTATCACATCGTTCTGATGCTTCCGCAGATATGTGCTGGAGTTTGTGTTTCCCAGGAGCACGACATGATCATTCTCGCGGAGTCCAACAACACTGCTGCCACACGCAGTGACAACTCCTGTTGTCTCTGCCCAGAGGTCCTTCGCCAGGGAATCGACACCGGAACTGCTCGGGACTGTCGAAATGCTGGTCACCCGTACTTCTACCTGTTCTGGTTCGAGTCCAGACTGAGGAAAGTCAATGGGGTGCCAGATGAAGCCATCTGTGTCAAGCTGCAGCGGGCCTCCTGTCGCCCCCAAAGCCGTATTCACCGGTGGCGCAGTGCTTGTCGCCAAAGCAATCTCCTCGTCGAACGAGGCTTCCTGCACAGTACGGGGAATGTAAATCTCGCCGTCAAGCTCTGCAAACTCCAGTTCCCTGTCCTCGACGTCTCCCTCGACCGAGGAGGCCCAGAGCCGCAGTACCGTGTCGACTTTGGTTGCATCGGCTGCCGGGGACAGGTCAAGGTGTGTAATCGTCAGCTGAGGGTTTTCGTTGCGAAGCACACGAAGGAACCCGGTCGTGGCGGCTGTTTCAAGCCCAGACAACTCGGGAACGAGCATCTGGCCGCCGCGTGTTAGCCAGAAGATGTGTCTCGCGGAGCCAATCAGCTGGCGGAACTCGTCGAATTCCGAGGAGGTCCAGTTGGTCACGAAGCCACCCTTGGAACCCAGGTCCAGCAGGGAGATAACGTGTTCGCCTCCAAAGTCGTCCGTCATGTTTGTCGCGTGCGATTTTCGTACTTTTTGTGACAGCTCCAGGAGACCCTTCTCAAGGTCTTGGACCAGGGCCTGGGCTTGAGCATCGACATAGGACTCGGGAACGAGGAGACGGATCGTCTGATGCTCTGGGCTAGGCTCAGTGAAAGGTGCTGCCACCGCCAGAGAGCCCTGGTCAAGCGCTACGCCGCGGATGGCGAAGCTGTGGTCGGAAGTTCCGCTTACCTGCGGGTGGGCTTGCGCTGGCGGGATGGCGCCATTCTTCGAAAAGACCAAGACTCGCCCTCGGGGTTGTAATTGATGTGCCCAAGATGACGCGGTTGACTCTAAAGACTGGCCATCATCGGATGGGCCAGTGAGCACCAAGTCAAATTTGGCCTTTCCGACATCGTCGTGACTCTCGTGGTGTGTCTCGTGGAGTTGGAAGTTGACTTCAGCAAGAGCTGGGCCGGCTTCGATGATCTCGCGCCAGATGTCCAAAACCTCCTCTGTGACGCCGATCACGGTGAGTTTGGACGCTCCCCGGTACGCACTCTCTCCCGAGATAAAAGGCCGAAGCTGGTCGACAGCGCTAGGATCCACTGTGTCGCCGTCGACGAGAATACTCAGCTCAGGGGTTCTGTGGGACTCAATATCTAACCAATCGAGTAACCCTGACACAGATTTGAGACGGCTTAGTGAAGGAGCGCTCGTCGAACTTGCGCTGAGGAAGCTTGCTGGGTCCAACTTCCAGCTCAACGCGGTACATCTTCTCTCCACGCCTCCTAGGTCGTTGCTCGGGCCTTGTGAGCTCGGCACGGCACCGGTCACTTGTCTCATGTGAAGGCCGTCAACAATGATCTTCGGGTGCTCCCACGACTCATCAGAGACCACAAGGTCTGCACTGAGCTGGCCGTTCTTATTTTGATTGCGACGGTACGAGTAACCCGAGAAAAGGGCCCCCGCCCCTTGTGGCAGATCATTCGCAATGAACATCCGCTCCAAGCGGTAAGGTACTGCAGCCTCTTTCCAAGATCCTCCGTCTGAGACGGCTACCACCATCAGGTGGAAGATCGCGTCCAACGTGGCAGGGTGGATAAGGTGTGGGAATTCAAACTCTGATGGCATGGCGCTCTTGGTGTCCGGGATTTCCTATTCTCAGTCAATATCTTTTGCCCTTCCGCCCAGCCAAGAAGTGTGTGCTCAGGCTGACAACTCACCACTGTTCCATAGCAACCTGTCCCGTCATCCGTGGTAGCAAGTGCGGTCACGTTCTGGAACATGTCTCCATATTCCATACCAATATCATGTAGGTCCTTGTATAGCTTCTCGACTTCGATATCTCGGCTGGGGAGGCTCCTGAGCTTGTCATACTCCTCTCTGAATCGCGCCCAGCCTCGCGGGCCGAGCTCATCTGGAGTATGGTCATATTGGATGACGAAGTTACCAAAGCAGTGTTTAATCCAACTGGAACTACCTGTGTTGGAGAATACTGCGAAGCTGTAAAGCGATTCATCCTGCTCATCAGGCAGTCGAATGCTGAGCCGCGTCTCAACGGCCCCTTCTCCTGGGATCACCAAGCCCCGGTCGAAGTGGACATCGCGGAACTCAATGCCGCGGGAATGCACGCCCTTCTCGGCCAGCTGTTGCGCAGCCTCGAGGACCATGATCAGCATTCCAGCTCCTGGGTACAAATTTGTGCCAGTGATGGCGTGGTCCTCGATCCAAGGATTCTCGCTGATGCGCAGGTAGTTCTTCCATTGTGGCTCGAACTGGTTCTGGTCCTCGATAGGAACACCGAGTAGGTCCGTCCGAGGCTGCGTCTTGAGCCTCTCGGATCTTGTGCCGCTGGTTTCATGCCAGTACTGCTTGTCATGGTTCCACTGGTAAGGGGGCAGGTCACTGAGCACCTGTGGCTTGGCTTTGCGCTCGTCCTCGCGGTTCACCCGGCTTAAAGATACAGACTCCCCCAGCGCCCAGAACGTGGCCGCCGCTTTGAGTGCCGTCGAGACAGCATCTTCTTTCCGTACCAGAACGGAAAGATAGGGGAGCTCGGTCGACAGCTTCTTATCGAGACCCTCCATGATCTGAACGACAGGTGCCTTCAAAGCTGAATGTGGCCCGATTTCGACGACTGAGTTCCACTTGTAAGGCACCTTACGGGAGCTCCGCCTGTTTGGAGAGTACGTAAGGAGGTTCTGCATTGCACCGGAGAAGAGAACCGGCTGGCACATGTTCCGAACCCAGTACGATGTGTTGACCTCGCAGTGGTCTACAAGGTCACCCGTGACCGACGAGAACATGAGGACCTCGGTCTTTCGGGGCTGCGAGAATCCAGATCCGTCCATGGCCGCCAGACACTCGTCAGCGACATCTCTCATGTGCGGGGAGTGGTAGGCGGTGGACACGCGGAGTTTCCTGGCAAACTTTTGCTCGCTGGATATACGCTCCTCCAGCAGCGACACGGCGTCTTCATCGCCTGAGAGGGTGACGCTCTTGGGGCTGTTGATGCACGCGGCGACGGCGACGCTGCCTTTGGGCAGGGCCTCCAGGAACTGGCTCGCTTCGTCTGCCGATATGCCGGCAGCGAGCATGGCACCCCGGCGAGGACCTTTGGCGACGCGGAGTGAGTAGATTCCGCGGTAGTAGGCTACCTTGATGGCATCCTGGTGTGTAATGATGCCAGCAGCGAAGGCGGCAGCTAATTATCACATTGTCAGAGAAATTGTACAACGCTGGGAAACGAAAAGGATCGGTCATACCAATTTCTCCACTGGAGTGTCCAATGACGGCTCTGGGCGAAATCGACCAGTCCTTTAGCAAGTCAACTATGGCTACTTGGACCGCCGTACAGATCGGCTGGCTGTACTCGGGAGAGTCGATGCTGCTGCCGTGTGTCCTCTGGATCTCGGTGAGTAGATCGAAGCTGCATCCCAATGACGATAAACATGCGGAGCTTCTGGCAATACTGTCTGAGAACACCGGGTAGGAGAGCAGTTCCCTTCCCATCCCCGCCCACTGAGCACCCTGACCCGTGAAGACGAAGACGACGCCGTTCAGCTTGCTGGGACGTCGGAAGGAAGGTACGGACTTTGAGAGCTGTGACGAAAGGTTCTCTAGGGAATCTGACACGACAAAAGACCTGTAGTCAAACACGGAGCGTCTGGCTGCGAGAGTGTATGCGATGTTGTCGAGATAAGCCGGCTTCGCCTCCTTCCCCCTCGCGTTCTGTGTGACGGATGTGAGGTGACTTTGCAACGACTTTGCTATCCGCTGTAGTCCAGGTTGGTCGCGTGAACTGAACACAAATACCTTCTTGGTCTTTTCCACTCCAGAGACGAGGCAGCTGTCGACTTCTTCAGGCCTCACAGTGGGCTCCGTTTGCTCTTCAGGGGACTGCTCCGATGCGGGTATATCGGTATCGTGAACACCAGCGATGGAGCGATCCTTCAGATAATGGTACGCATCCTCCAAAATGACATGAGCGTTCGCCCCACCAAATCCAAAGCTGTTGACACTGGCACGCCGGGGGCCCTGGCTCGGCCACGGTATGCTGCCGGGAGGGAGAGCAAGATTCCAGTCTTTAAACTTCAATTTGGGGTTGACAGTCTCAATTCCCACTGTGGGCAGTATCGTGCCTCTTTCTAAGGAGGCTATGGCTCGCAGGACTCCCGCGAGTCCTGCACAACCTTCCGTATGGCCCACAGCCGGCTTGATGCTGCCAACAAAGATGGGGTCCTCCGGAGTGGCAGAAGCTCCGAATGTGGCCGCTATGGCCGACAGCTCGATTGGGTCCTGGTTCACACGTCAGTAACGATCAGACTGAAATCAGTTAGAAGGAAATGGCAACTTACGCCCACTGGCGTGCCGGTCCCGTGCAACTCAACATAGCGCGTGTCCTTGAGCGGTATCCCGGCTCTCTTGTACGCCGTCCTAATCAGCTCTGCTTGTGCCTCTGAGCTGGGCATAGTAACACTGGGTGTCTTGCCGTCGGTGTTCACGGCCGAGCCACGGATAACCGCGCGGATGACATCGCCGTCCCGGACAGCGTCAGACAGCCGCTTGACCACGATTGCACCAATACCCTCGCCTCGACCATAGCCGTTTGCACGTGAGTCGAAACTGTGAGACATACCATCCGGACTGAGCATGTGCATAGCTGTCAGCTGAGACATGGCGTTCGGGTAGAGTATAAGGTTCACGCCTGCGACTAAAGCCTGTAGTTTCACAGCAGACGTCAGTCATCCAAAAGCCCTGCTAAAATCTGTGAAATACAAGGATAGTGTGCTCTCACCGAATCGGTCTCTCCCAATAGCAACGACTGACACGCCAGGTGGAGCGCGTACAAGCTGGATGAGCAGGCCGTGTCGATGGTCAGACTAGGCCCGCGGAGGTCAAAGAACCATGACACACGGTTTGCGGTCATAGCCTCGCTCACGCCGGCGGCTGTGTTGTGAGCGAGGTCGTAGATATCATGCGTGGACATGTCCTCGTAGTCACTTGTCATGCAGCCGACATAGACGCCAGTCCTGGAACCGGCAACTCTGCTCATGGGTATCCCGCCTGTTCAGGTCAGCAAGTTTCTCCTTTCATGGTGAATCATTTTTTTTGTTATTCCGCAAATTTCAGCGCGGGCTGTTTGCAACCTCAAATTAAAGAAAACCACGATAGCGCTTCCTCAAACAGATGAATCGCAACATTGAAATATGTTAAACCAAAACGTCAACATAGAGAGTCCGGTACATCCTGTCCCAATACCAGCTGCTTGTTCCAGGAAGATGATTGAAGTGTTGGGCAAGAGATATGGTATCGGCTCACACAGGAAAATCATGCAAGAAGTGTAGGTATGAGAACAAGGGATCAGTGACTTCTCATGAACTTTGGACGTAATGTAACAGTTGCCTACCATTTTCGAAAGCTTCGTATGCTACTTCCAAGAGGAGTCTCTTTGCGGGATCCATACCCGCCGCCTCTTTTGTGGTAACAGAAAAGAACGGCGCATCGAAAGAACCAATGTCTTCCTCAAGAAAGAAACCAGATTTGGAAGTGATCTGATTATTGCAATGAGTACTGTGGTTTAGAATTTGTGGTGTTGAGACTGGCAATCAACTTACTGCGCCTTTTCGATCTGGGTCAGGGTGGTACCAGGCATCTGCATTCCATCTTCGAGATGGGACTGGGCCATGTCCAGTCCTGGAACCATTCATCATGTGCCATAGTGCCTGGAGAGAGGTAGCCTCTCCGGGGAGGCGGCAGGCTGCCCCCACAATGACGATGGGATCATCCACCACATTCTGAGGGCAGCCTTCAGCGATATTCTCACCCATAGCGAAAGAAGAGAACCTTCAAGGTCCCCAAGTAAATTCTGATTTTGATGGACAGGCTGAAGTGTTCCCGAGCAGAAAACAAAGGGCACTTAATTCCAGGTTCGAGCAGAACTTCAATCTACGTGCGTGCGAGAACAGCACGCAAAGTTAAACAAGTGTAGAGACTCGATTCGCATCTTTACTTGGATTCAACACTGACTCTACTTGACTATCCGTCCTGGCTTTGGCTATGCATGCCTGATTGGGATTGAACATGCAGCCAACAACACTAAGGTACAATCTGCGGATGCCGTGGCCGAGAAGATTCTGGCAAGGCCATCGGAAACAGCCTTGAAGCGGACCGGTTTGTTACCTTTGCACGAAGCCTAGACCGTAATGGAGCTTACTCGTTCAGCAGGTCAGATCGGATCTTTCCATTTTTGGGGAGATGCCCGATCTCGTCGAAAACTGCCAATACGGTCCAATACGGTAAGCACGGGGGGGCCGCCGGTACAGTACTAAGGCGCAGCTCGTCGCTGCGGCAGGCTCCGGCCTTGTGCAGCTACTTTGGTACTTTGGTACTGATGAGGCACGCTGAGTCTTTGGCGACGATAACTACATCCTCCGAGATCCGGGAAGGAGAGTAAGCCTGCTATTATCTCGGATCTTTTTTGAGGCCGATGGAAAATTCGTGGAACTTTTCCTCTGATTCCCCCCCGGCCCTCTCGTGAACTTGTGGGCAGTGACAACGTTGTGGAGAACTTGCATCGTGTCTTGGTCTCAGCTTCCGTGCCTTGCGTTTCGTGACACAAATCCACCTGCTGTGGGCATTCATTGGCAACCGCCTATCATTCACTTATTTGGAAAACAATACTACATCTCCACGCGAGCATGAATATCTTAGCCTTGCACGGAGTCGGCTCGTCTGCCGCAATGCTCAAGGAGCAGCTGGCCGCGCTGGCTGCAGAGCTGGGGCCGCATTACCACTTCACCTTCTACGATGGCACAGTGCCATGTGAGAGGGGTCCAGGTACCACCTCAGCCCATGAAAGGCGAGTGTCATGGCAATGGTCTAATCATCATTTTCTTTGTAGGCATGCCAGTTTGGTCTCCAGGTCCATTCTATTCATACGTCACAGGGTACGCTCCCGGTGAAGTTTCCAGCGCCCTCGATGACCTGGACCACTTCATTGAGCAAAACGGTCCATTTGACGGCATCTTGGGCTTCAGCCAGGGTGCCTCAATCGCCGCTACTTACATACTAGACTACCAACTCAGAAGGCCTGAAGAACAACCACCTTTCAACTTTGCAGTCCTCCTTTCATCCGTTGGAGCGTGCTCCCCTGACAAGAGTTGCAATGAGGAGATCGTCCACAGCTTTCTCTCCAATGCGGATCCCCAGTTCAAGAAAGGCTTTCCCCAGTGCGACTTCAAGGCACTCGACACTGCGGAAAGGACGTTTGCCGAGTACCTAGCCATGTGTCATATCGCCATCAAGACGATCGGGATCAAGCGGCCGTCCATCCCGCTCGATTTCTTTGAAGGCAACGACTCGGATTCTGTTCCCCGGCTGCTACATCCAGCGCTGATCAAGGACCGCATCAGCATCCCCACGGTGCATGTCACGGGCAAGAAGGATCTGGAGTCCATGGTCAAGCAGTCCCTTGTCGTACAGGGCCTGTGTGACGAAAGTGTCACACGATCACATAGGCACACAGGTGGGCATGCCGTACCTTCAAAAAGGTCGGAAGTGAAAGCTGTTGCGACGTCTATAGAATGGGCTGCAGAACAAGGGAACCACATGAGCGCGGTTAATCAGGCGGGACGGTTGATGTTATGAACTTCAATGCTGACCGTGATCGAGAACCCGATCTCCCATTTCTCATGTACTTGAAGTATATGGTTCCGGGGGAATAGAGGTTGTCCTTGGGAGGATCGAAACGAGTAGCGATAGCAGAGTGATTTGCGGTAGGACATCCGCATATTCGAGAGTTACTCATTGCGAAATGCGCTGTCCGAGTCTTTCTCTTCGTCCTACCTTTCTTCTTCTTCTTTTTTTTTTGGGGGGGGGGGGGGAGGAGTGAACGGGGGGGACGGTGATGGGCTTTTATTCCTTTTTCTTTTTGGTTTAAACTAAGCGTAGACTAAACTACTCTGTACTGATGTGTGCACTGAACACGTCAGATAGAGAATCAGCGTTAGACTTGATATCCAATCGATCTAAACCCAACGGACATCACCCAATTTTCAATTCAATCACAAGTGCTAGCACATGAAACTTTATTCATTTCTCTAGGACTCTCCATGCACTGGTTGTGTTCTGCTCTACATATATACCCTCAAGGACTGCAGCGGTTCCCCTCACCAGAAGTTAGCACTCAAGGACCCGACACTCATGAATGTAATGCCCGTATAACTACAGATTCGAAGCCAACGACAGAGAAAATACCGCTCCAGGCGAGGCAACTATCGCAAGTCCACTCAATGCAGACAATCGTTGCACAATTGTCAAAGAAGCGAATCTGCGCCACAACATTGAGCCCAATCCAGTTTCTTGGTCTTCCTTTCGAGACCTCGATCCCCTCAAGCCAAATATTGCCGCAGCAAATGGTGCCAGTGCTGCAGCAATTATAATCAAGTCGTTCTGGAGAAAAAGATGACATCCTCTCTGCAGCACACTGCCTGGGCTGCCGAGGGACGTCTCGGCCAGTTCCGCCCAAGGGGAGAAGATGGTTGCAAGAGATGCACTTGAAGAAAGAATTGCCGTAGCGATAGCGTATAAGTGCCCGGTGGCGGAACCTGCTGCCACGATGTAGAGAGAAACTCGGGTCAGTGTATCAGGGCGGCCAGGCAGGACTGAACTACCCTTTCCGTCACGGAGCTTTCGGAGTGCTGCTGCGACCAATGGTTGACAAGCCGCCAGAACCACGGGCGATGCGCGGTAGCTAGCTATTAGCAGCTGTCTTGTCTTGCTGGTGCAGTTAAAGAAGGCTGGATACAGGAGCCACAGCGGAGTGACAGCGAAAACGATGCTTGTATAAACCAGCGCCTCTGCGTCGATGGGGTCGTGTATAAATACCGCAGTGCTTTGCCGAACGTGAACAGATCGATAGAGTTGCGCCAGGCAGTAGAGCGGGTAGACGAATGCTGCGCCGTAACTCTGATTGAATATTCCCCAGGCGGCGTGCTCTCTGCGGCGGAAGGGTCAGGCTTTGTGCAAAGATTTCACACTCCTCGCACACAAGTGGCCACGGGGAAGCGCGAGAGAAACTTACATGAGCGACCACCAGGGGAGACGGCCTCCTTCAGCGCCATTCACGAGCATTGCGAATGCAGTGGACTGCATGGTAGTGAAGACGCTCACGAGCAGTGCCCGGTGCACAGGCTGACGTGCGTACATGAGAGAGTCGTAGAAAATGACCGGTGGGAGGACCCATTTGTCAATCCAAGGGACTCCAGTCATGTTCTTGCTCAGCAAATCCCCACTGGGAAGCAGCCCGGTGGATTTGATTGTCCCTATCGCTTGGGCTGCTCCGTTACGCATCATGGAGCCCCAGAGAGAGTCGAATCCGCAGGCCGAGAGCCCGAGGAAGTATGTGTTGAAAACTCCAATCATGGCTGGAAGAGAATCTGCTCGCTTTGATTTGTGTGAGGGAGTCAAACTGAGACAAAGAGTGTGGGCTGCCTATGCTTATGTAGACAGCCAATTAGCGCACGGTTTCACCAATGCTGGTCAGCAGAGGGTGACTTTTTCAGGAAAGGGGACATCGACGCAATATTTATATATCCCGTCCTGATCCTGGACAAATTCCGGAAATATACCACAAGAGCTTTCACCCTCATTTTTGGGATTTGTGTAACCCTAGATACTATTGGCCACCAACTTACAGATGCACACCGAAACGTCTCAACTTCTACAAATTCAAGTGTTCAAAGAGTATGCCAATACAAGAGGGAGAGTGAAATCACTTAATGCACAAGAACTTGACCTACTAAGGTTTTCTTCCTGCATTTCCTATGGATTTGGAAGGGACTAGCTAGACACAATAGATGCCCTGTTTAATCCTGGTCAAGGAAGTGGGTGTGAATAATACGGCGGATACTCGAATACACCTTTTCCGTGACTAAAAACAGCCTTCCTGGCGAACTGAAATACTACAAACAGGGCAATCACGGTTGTCAACAGCGTGGTAGCAACTCCTGCCCAAAAGCCACGCAATTTCTCCAGCGACGCGTGATGTGCGATGAAATCATCGACACTTGGAGGCAGGCCCCGTCCCGCACTCAAAAAGACGAAAACGGGCACCAATACCGCAGCAGCCGCAAGTCTCCAGCCCGTTCGCTTTGCGGGTCTGGGATCTTTTGATCGGCTGTTAGCCTCTTCCACCCCACTGCTCACACGTACTCTGTCTCGAGCCTGTTGCAACGCGAGCCTAGTCAGAATCACCGGGAAAACAAAACCTTCCAAAAGGGCTCCAGAGTAGAGCTCACCTTGGCCCCGCCTAGTAAAGTCCCCACGAGGAGACCCTCCATAGTTCGTAGGGCGTCATCAGAATGATCCGTATACTCGAAATCTTCCGTAGCATCTGATCCCGCCACCTCCATCAAAACATTCCTCCCACCGGGGTGGTCGTCGAAATAATTTGTGACATTGTAGACTAAGTTTGACGCCGTCAGAAATAATACAACCCTGCGAGGGATCAGGAATTACCTTTGCCACGGACTATGATCCACGCGTCTTCTGGCTTGTTGTGTTGGGCGACGTGTTCGAGATCGAAGACGTTGTCCGTCAAGCCCTCTGCTGCGGCCATTCTCACGGACTAGCGGCACCTGGGTCACAGTGTGTTTACTTGCTGTTTCTGGCCACAGACTGTTTATCTAATGATAACTTACATCTCGTTGAGGGGATTTTCGGATGTTTCCCAATATGGTTTGAAAGGATCTCACCTGCATACAAGTTGTAATGCCCGCTAGAGCTCGTTTGGATTCTTCCGAGAACCGCCCTGCGCCGCTTTACATAAGTCTTATCTCCGATTCACTGTAACATGTAACAAAATAATGTTACTTCGACAGGAACTTGACCGAGCGAATTGTTGGACATAGAGCCGTCCAAGAGGTTTCTAGTGCTTATATCAAAATCATCCCTCCGAGCCCCCACGCCGACATCCTGGGTTAGCTAGATCCCCCAAGTCACACAATCGCCACTTGATTCCCATTGGGTACTGCAAAATTACCGCATTAAACTCTACTTCTCAATTTGGGAGTTCAGACTTGATGGGCTTGACTGGGTTATCACTCAGCCGCGGGCCGCGACCACTCCCGGATCCTTCGTCTTGTTGTGGGCTGACGGTGACCTCGGTAGATTTTGTTCATATCGTTTATCTGATCTGATAGAACTGACGTCCTATTATGACTATCTCACGTGCTGAATGAAGAAACTAGATCGAGGTATTCTGATACCTGAGTTGTAGAATTTAATGAGAAGAAGTGGACGAAACTGGCGTGAGTGTGGCTCTCCAAGGCTTCATTCACACATTTGATACAGATTCCTGTACACGATGACTTTCAAAACATTCTACACCACGTCTGAACTTTCCAGACTCACCGCCGCTGTCGATGTGGCGAGTGTTGAGACTCTGGAAGAATTGCAGTTCGACCTTGCCAGTTTATTCGCAGTGGCCAAGGCAAACAGTGAGGCAGTTATCCAGATCACCCAACCTGCCACATGTCATGAGTACTGATCAAGGTAGCAATATCTCTCCATGCAAATTCCGATCTTATACGAAGCATAGGTCAGGTACAAACACACGATGGGGAGATTCAGGTCAAGGTGGATGAAAGTCCAGTTCGGGAACCGCTGGGACCACCCCGGCTACCTTTCGTAGGAAACCACCTCGAGATCCATCCTGACCACCTGGGAAACCATGATCGGCTGTTTGATCGTTACGGAAGCATGGTCAAAACTGTGAACATGGGCACCACTGTGTATCTCACAAATGATCCACGTGTCTCAGAAGTTGTGCTTGGGGAGAACGAATTCTTCACAAAGACGACGTCGAGCCCTGGCCATCCTCTGTACTGGATGCGGGACAACACAGCCCTTTTCACCTGTGACACATCATCGCCGGCGTTCAAACCTTCTCACAAGTTTGTGCCCCCCAGCATGGCTCCAAGGGCTGTCCGACAATACGTCCCAGCTATGCAAAAGGCAGTTGAGGAATCATTCAGAGTCTTCGATGAACTCGACAGGAGGCAGCAGGCCTTCAACACCTACCAATACATGTTCAAAATAGGGGGCCAGATCGTCTACAAGGTGGTGCTGGGCTTGGAAGTGGGCCACTTTGAGTCGCCAGATACACCGCCACATGAGATCATCCGTCTCATGGCTGAGTACCTCTCCCTCATGAAACAGACATCTCTCAGCCCCAGCTGGCACAAGTACCTCCCGTTCGGCAAGGTCAGACGTCTGTCTTATGTCCACGACCGACTCTGGGGCCTGATCGATGAGGTTGTGATCGCCTGCAAACCGCCCGAGGGGCAAGACGGTGCGGACATGCCAATGCACGAGGCCGCCCTGAACTCAAGCTGCATAGCGGACTACCTTAAGCGCGCGGTCGACGAGGGCGGGCAGAAGCTGCCGCACGAGTACCTATTGTCTAACGTGGTCGCGCTCGTCGGCGCTGGCCTCGCAACGTCATCATCCATGCTGTCACTGCTCCTGTACGCACTCACGCGGTATCCGGGGAACCAGGAGAGGCTGCTCCAGGAGCTGGTCGACTACGGAACCACCTCGGACACGAGGTGGACACACGAAAAGATCATGGAGTTGCCGTTCCTTGACCGCTTTGTCAAGGAGGTGCATCGCTTGCACAGCCCTTCGTTCCAGACAGCGCGCAATGCCAAGAAGGACGTGATTCTTCCAGGCGGCTGGAAGATACCGGCAGGCGGCGTTGTCATCCCGACATTCCCTTCGATACACAAGCACAAGGACCACTGGGACAATCCGGAACGGTTCGACCCGGACCGGTGGTTGGCGGCGAGTGGCGTTGCCGGTGAGAAAAGGCATCGCATGGCGTTTACACCATTTGCGGCAGGGCCAAGGGGTTGTATAGGATATAATGTTGCGCAATTGGAGGCGAAACTTGTGTTGGCAAGTCTGGTGTATCGGTACAGGTTCACCGATGTCAGCAAGGAACCCATGGTGTACGACCCAGAGTTCTTGGTGATAAGGCCAATCAACTGTTATGTGAGGGCTGTTAGGAGAACTGTATGGCCGGAACCATCCGCCAGCAGATAGTCTATGTCAATGAATTCTCTACCTGTCGCAGTTCGAGAACAACTTGACGTTAACATATCAGTATACTAGCATTTGAAAGATTGTATTCAGGTATATCTATGAATAGAAATCATTTTCACCCAAGTGCAGGTGGTGTGACTATCAGGCACCAGCCTACTGCCACCCTGATGCTTGAATTCAGTGATTTGATTGACATACGTCTTTGCTTGCTATGTGTGAGATCCCGCAAGTGAACTTGATCAAAAACTAAAATATCTGCTAGAGTAATCTAATCCATTCATGAGACCTGGAGCGCATACTTCGAGAACTCCTCATCCTCCAGCAAAAGGTCCATCTCGTTCTCAAACAAGCTTACCACAAACTCGACACCGCCGTGCCTCTCCCTGGGCAGTATAAAACTGATGCGGAAGAGCCTGTTGAAGGCGCTCATCAGCGGTCGGAAAGCCTCAGGCCTGCCTTCATTGCCGAAGAAAGCCTCTCCGAAGCAAATCTCCTCGATGGGGAACATGAGCAGGGACGTGATTAGCATGGAAATGCCATGCACGCTGGTGAACCGAAGCTTCCGCATGCCGTAGTCGGGCACGCCCCGAAGGAGTTTGTACGCGTCCATCATTGCCTCGTGGTGGATCGTGCCCGCGCTTTTCCGGATCACCTTGGCAACCTCTCCGATGGTCGTCTCGGGTGAGACCAGTGTCGCCAGGGGGAGGCTGGGGCGGTTTACGAAGACCACGTTGCCGAGGTAGGTAGATGGGAGATGTTCCGAGAAGTCAGGTCGCCCATCGACGGTCATCTCCAGCTCTGCCAGGCCAGTGTCCTGCGTGCTTGTTACTTGTTTGGCACGAGTCCGAGCTTTCAAGAGGCTCCGCCATATGAGAGCCGTAGCAACGTCATTGCCTGAGAGCTCTTTGGTGCCGGCCTCATCGGCGGCTTGCTTCTTCAGCTCAGTGAACTTGGCGGCTGAGATGTAGAAGATGCTCGACTTCATGACCTTTGGGGGCTCGGTGTCTTCGGCTCCGGAGATAGTCGGAGGAGCTCCGTTGGCATTTTCTCCTGCGTCGGCAAGCGAGCGTGTGGGATGGTCCAACCCCACCAGTTGCCAGGTATCCGGATCCATCTCGCTGGCGGCGCGGCCCCTGCCTGCATCATCCCAGAGGCGCTCCAGGATTTCACGGTCAGAGCTCCCATGAGGTAGGACTAGTCCGTCGTCTTGCCCCACCGCACCCGTCGGATCAAGACTCCGACAGTGGCTTGCCCAAAGCTTCAAGATCGTGATCATGGCCGTGCCGTCTGCAGAAGGATGACAGGTGGACATGGCCAACAGGCAGCCACCGGGCATGAAGTTGGCCTGAGCCACGAAAACTTCGGCACCGGCATTGATGTCGGCAAGAAATGGAGCCCAAAGCAACTCATGGTCTTCGAACTCGTCCGTGGAAAAGCCATTGTCCTTCAGGTCGTCATAAGAGATGCTCTCACCGAGGTTGTTCTGTTTGAGCTGGTACGGCTTGGGACTGTGGGTATCCACTTCTCCGTGTCGGATTTCCAGCTGGCCCGGTCGCCACCCTGGTGTGCTCTCCGGTTGCCAATGTACCTTTCCGCTAAGCCATGGTAGCTGGATGAATGTTTCTTGCAGGCCTTCCTGCAGTCTCGAGAACGCTTCTTCAGGTCTCACCCCATCCTTCAGCGGGAGATACAACGCAATTTTCACATAGTTCTGGGGCGGTATGTGATCCAAGGGACTGAGAGTGATGCGGATTGAATCGGAAGGCATTTCCACGAGAGACCAATGACGTGGGGCAGAATACAAGCGTGTCAACCATACTCACCAACGTAACGTTTTCACCTACCATTCATGTACTTGTATTTGTTTCTGTCCTGTTTTGAAAGTGAGGCTGGCAACACCCAACACCCAAAGGGAAACAACGCCGATGCAGGGAGCAAAACGAAGGAGTCAGTGCCAGTAAGCATCTGGACCTGAGAAGTCCTCAAACATATGATAAATCATCCTCGGTCGTTTCCATCTCAAGTATGTTCCGACGTGGACTGAGGTGAAGAGGTGGGTCCTGAGCCAACTTTGCTTTTATGCAATGCAACACTGCCATCAGACGTTTTCTAGAAAAGTGATGCTTGCACGTGTGTGGCGTTAGTAACAAGGCGGGACATTTTTGCACTTTTACAAGCTGAAATGTTACGCAGCGGCTGTGATGGGCGTGTAAGCTGACCCTCTACTTAGTCACCTACACGTTTGTGCTTCTGTCAAGGCTGAGAGGCTGCTGCATACATGGCCTTTACGCGGGTCACAAAGCCAACGAGAACCTCTATAGTAACATGTTGGATAGTGTCGGGTAGGACTGCTAGCGTTGACCGCTAATTCGGGGGATTATGTAAGAACCCACGCCGCTCCCGCGCAGCTTTCGGCAGTATGAACGCCTGAGTGACCCCTGCCTCGGGGATCCTGCCAGGCGATCTCCTGCCGTGGTCAGCACTGGTGCGCTGACATGCATGCATGCCTGTGCACGGCAGGACAAGCCTCGTCAGGTGTCCGTATGCATGGCGCGAGAGTAGGATCGATGCCGCCTTGGTTGTCTGATAAGGGTGCTCGCTAATGCGCCATCTGCAAGTCGTGGTAGGGTCTTGATACCAAGATCTGCTCCCAAGCAGCAACGTCACCCATTTATCCGAGGAACCGACGAACCCCCCCGTACCCGCAACTGACCCGCCCCGGTCGGGACTCTGCATACAACAGTATTCTAACGGTGTTATATACTTCAAGTAGGAATCGCCATCTCGTGTTGTGCTGCGGTGTGGTCCCATTCGGTATTGCCCTGCCGGGGCCTAGATTACAGTCTTGTCCTAATTGGCTGTGCGGGGGATCCCGGATCTGCGAGAAGCCTTGAAACACTCCGTGCTCTCTGTTCTGATGGCCCAACACCTAGAGATATTTTGTGAGAAGGATTCAGACTCAAAAGCTAGCCGGTGACCCTGAGGGAGGGGGCGCTTACTTGGGATTTGTGCCGCATGCACTCGTGCATGGAGGGACTGGCCGCCGCAAGGGCGTCTGACGAGTTCATGTCGCCCCAATGCAGGGCCTCTGTCGCTTGCGCGCCCCCAAAATGCAATGGCATCCCGTTGCCTCTATTTAGGTTCGGATACCAGCTCAAACTGTAAGTCGGGGTCGGAATGTGTGATAGAATTTCTAGGCGGGTGTAACACGACGACAATGTCAATGTTTGGGGCATTCCGGCTCAACGAGACCACGCGGGACTTGGAACATGTCAATCTTGTTCCTGGATCGGGACTAGACGCTCGAGGATACACACTGATGGCCTGCGATCCATGCCGTGCTCGAAAGGTCAGTGTTGTGGCCTAACAAACCCAGGACCCCGGTCAGCCGTTTGGTCGGAAATGGCTTTGGCTGACCAGAAATCCTTTTGAACAGCTCAAGTGTAGCGGGAACAAGGACGGCTGCGATCGATGCCGAACGAGCTCAACCACTTGCACCTATGCCTTGGCAGCCCTGGGAACGAGCCGGCGAAGGCCGCGCCGAATTTCCATTACTCCGTCAAGGGTCTCGTCCGGGAGGGAGTCACGATCAAGCCCCAGACCCAACGCCTCGCCTCAGCAGGGCCGCTCTCAGGGGAACCAGTCCAACCCATTTGACGCCTATTCTGGTCCACCACAAACCGGAGAAATAGATGCTGAGGCGAGGATACCTTTGCAACAACTGCAGACAAGTACCGCCGTCGTGGGTCAGGTAGCAGACAACGCTTCGATGCCACACTCAACTACGTCCTCGAGTTGGGAGGATTCTTTGTTCGACCTAGAACACTCCCTGCTGGGCTCAAACGATCATGACTGCTTCAACTTCGGCGAAGCGTTCGCTGCCGACAAAGAATTCGTTGAGGGAGTCACTGTGAATAATATGAGATGGCCAGGAGCCTTGCTACTCCCACCCGCTGGCAACGCTCCCCCAACAATGCCCCAACAGGAGATTCAGCAGACATTGAAGAGGGCAGACGGCCAAAAGCAAGGTTGCGAATGCCTTGGGGCACTTGTCAAGGTGCTCGAGCACGTCGGCCATTCACAGACACAGAGTGACTCAACAGGGATCGACATGCACCTCATGAGTCTACGCCAAGCGATGAACATCTGTAGTGAGGTTGTCTCCTGCACCAACTGCTCAACGTGCTCAGACAGCCCAGTGCTCGTGGCGACCATCGTGCAGCTCTTTGTGAGTATATCAGACCAACTCGGCGCTCTCTGTGGCCTGCCGCGCGACGGTGAGACGGACGATAAGGATGTAGGCGAGGTCGACTTGGGTGTGATATGGGTCGGGAGGTACCGGCTGGAGGCTCCCGAGATGCGCATGCAGCTGATCCGTGAGGTGAGCGTGATGCACCTGACTGACTTGAGAGGGCTATTGAGGAAGCTCAAGGAGCGATTGGGACCGTGTCGAGGGGTCGGACAGCAGGTCGTTGAGGGGGAGCAGAAAGCTGGGACGGTGTGCGATTCCATACGGGCTTTGATAGACAAACAACATCGTAGAGTAAAATAGAGCTTTTTTAAAGTTGTCTCCCTGAACTAATAATAATTATATGTTACAGAGGTGTCTGTCTTACTATTTGGTTGTCTTCTTTCTTCCCACTGCCCTCCTAAGCCATCACCGTTGCCCCATCTTTTTACTACAACACACCCAAAGACACTGTACAATAAATCTTATGCCTCAGAACTCGCTGATCATGGCCCTTATTTGCCTGTCACTTCCTCCACGACCCCTTTCAACATCTCGCTTTTGGTCACGACCAGACCAGCGAATTCTGTCAGCGACGCATTGTGGAGAATCTCAAAGATGGAAACCTTGGCCTTGACCGCAGCACTCAGCCAGTTCCGCAAGTCCACGGCCACCAGCGAGTCGACTCCGTACTGCGATAGTGGCAGAGAATGGTCGATATTCGACTCTGGAACGTTGAAAATGCCTGCCAGCTTGTCCGCTGTGGCATCCGCTATGACCGACTCTGCTTTGCCCCTCGTTAGGGATCCGATGTCCCCTAGGCTCTTCTGGATGGCGGCTGCGCTCGACTTGCTCCCGGCCCCTGAGTTGGCCGCGCCATCGCCCTCTCCACCAGAGGTATCCCGCAACACGCCCAGCCGCAGGGTACCGAATCGCCGGTCCCTTCTGGTAGCCGCACCGTCGTCGAGGCCCTCCCACGGAGCCAGACCCACGATGACCTGACTCTCGTCGGCCGATTTGCGCAGGGGGTTCCGGATTGCAGCCTCGACGAGCCTGAGCACGGCGTCTATCTCCACGGAGACAGACCCGAGCTTCTCGATGTGCGAGCGGGCGGCCTCGCCCGCCTCGGCCACAAAGCCGGCGGAGGCGACGGCGCTGAGGTCAAGTGCTACAGCGGGTTGTCCATGCTTGGTCCTGTAGCGGGCAAAGGCATCCTGGAAGGTGTTTCCCACTGCGTAGTTGGCTTGAGAGACGGAACCAATTACGCCTGTCACCGAGGAGAGTACAATGAAGAAGGACAGGCCGGGAAGGTTGTTGTGGAGATTCAAGGTCGTGGAAACCTTGGCCGAGACGGCACGGCGCCATTGTGTGAAGGTCATGCGTTCCACAACGGTATCCTGTAAACTGTGTCAGCATTGTTTATGAGGGTTTCGGGAAATACCAGCATGGTGTGGCGAAAAAGGATAGCAACGTACATCGAGAACCATGGCCGCGTTGATCACCCCACGGATGGGTGGCAGGTCCTTTGAAGCCTCGTTGATAAGGGCGACAAGCTCAGCCTCCTGCGTCGTGTCGCAGTTCCGGAGGAGGACCCGGCAGCCGGCAGCCGCCGCCAGCCTTGAGAGTTCAGGGGCGGACGGGTGCGACTCCGCCTTCCGCGACGTGACGATGATGTTCTTTGCGCCTTTCTCAAATAGCCATGTGGCCACAGTTCGGCCAATACCACCCAGCCCGCCCACGATCAGGTAAGACGAGTCTGGGTCATCCAGACTGAATGGCCGGGGGATTACCTGCGCAGTGACATTAGCAAAGACGTGCAAACGGTCAACGGCAACCATAATACTGCAACTTACATTGACCTCGCCTCCTTCCTGCACATTCAAGACAATCTGCCTGTGAGGCTCCTCTCCACTCTGCTTCAATGCCTTGCCAATGTTCGGTAAAGAAAAGCTTTCAATGTTCCAAGGGTGAGGCAAGTCGGAGCTCTGGAACTTTCGCATGCTCCCCACAAGCGCCTCGTGCACAAATTCGTCTTTGTGCCCGAGAAACTGCGAGACATGGAATCGAGTAATGAAGCCCCGTCGGCCAGGTAGCTTGTGTTGACACGATCATTGGTCTCGGCGTCGGACAGACGGACGTCCACAAACCTTCCAAATCTGGCAGCGCAACCCGCCACCGTCTTGAACGGAGACTCAGGCAGGGAGCGAAGGACCACGGAAAAGCCGGCTCCCTGTGTCTGTGCCATAGCAGCGGCCAGGAAGTCCGCGTCAAAATGCCCAAACAGGCGGCTTTTATCGACCCCGTGGTTGTTAACCAACAGGTCTTGCTCGGCTTCGGCTCCGTATGTCGCAAACACCTCTGCCCCGGCAATCTTTGCGAGTGTGACCGCCGCCCGACCAATACTGCTAGCCGCTGCGTCGGTCACGAGGACCTTCTCGCCGCCCTGGAGCCTGGCGATCCCAAACAGTGCCTGGTACGCCGTGGTAAATGCTGTGGGAAAAGCCGCTGCTTCTTCCCAGGACATAGCGTCAGGGATCTTGACAACGGTGGTCACTGGTGCGCGACCTCTGGTTGAAAAGCGGCCCTTCGCTATACCGCAGACTCTATCACCGACTTTAAGGCCACTCTGATCACCTGGTGTGAGCCTGGAAATGACTCCGGCGAAGTCGTGTCCGTCGTGGCCTTGGTCTGAGGCTGCCAACACATCGCGGTGACTGATGCCCAGGGCTTTTGATTCGACTTCTAAGCTTCCTTCGGCAAGGTCCTCGGTGGCCAATCTTTCGGTGAAGGTAGTTCCACCCGGGAGCTCCGGGTCCCAGACAAGGTCTTGTTCCTGCGGTCGGAAGGGCTGTAGTGCTGGTGTGGGGCCGGCCTCACTGTCTTGGATCGAGGCGTCCTGTTCTGGATTTGGGTAGACCCTCGGTACGTGAAGAACCCCATCCCTCACAAGATACTCGAAATCAATGTTGGATATGTCTGTGTTGTAGTCGAAGCCCGACTGGAAAATCCGCACGATATGTTCAATCTGGCTGCCAGCCCAAGCTTCGGTAGCTTCATCAAAGCCCAGCCGAATGTATCGCTTCGTCGAGTCTTCTTGCCTTAGAGTCCGCAGCAGGCCTGTCGATAATTCGTACTGTGGCTCAGAGACATCTGAGGTGTCACTCATACTTAGCCACAGGACGCCCCGGCTGCCAGCAAGGATGTCTCGGAGCTTGGTGAACGGGGACTCGTCAATCTCAGCCAAGAAGGGCTTGCCCCAGTCGAGTGTCAGCACGTAAACCTTGTCATCAGAGACTACTGCTTGAGCCAAGTTCTCGATGATTGGCAAAACACCAGTCTGTGCGTGAATCTTCTGCCTCAGCTCTTCCAACCATGGCCCTGGAGCTGACCCCGCGTCCACAATGGAGATCTGCGACGGGTAAGACGTGTCCTGGGTTGCCGTGGAAATGATGATACTAGTTGACTGGAGGCTGGGGTCATCACAGTCTCCTATCTCGAAGTCGACACCACTATAGCCCGTGTCCTTGAGAACACTGACCCATGTTCCTAGAGGGGCATTGGGACTCATATTTCGATCCGGTTCCTCGCTTAGCCACCAACCCGGGACAGTCCCAAATATGAGCTGGCTGTCGAGGCTGTCCTGGGTAGCCTCGACGAGGACAAGTTTTCCGCCTGGTCTCAGGAGTTTCCGGACGTTTGACATTGTTCTCTTCAAGCTCTTCGTGGCATGGAGGACCATTGATGCCACAATGATGTCGTATTGGCCAGCTTCGAAAGTCTGCGTGAGCGGGTCGGCTTCGATGTCGAGCTTCTTGAAATCCATCAGGCTGTTCCACTGGTGTAGTTTCTTCTTGCCTGCCTCAAAGAACCCACTTGACACATCGGTGAAGGTGTAGTGGCCAAGAGATGACCCGTTGCCACCAGCACTGAACGCTTCGAGGACGATCTTCGTTGCTCCTCCGGTACCAGCCCCGATCTCCAGGATTTTGGCACCGGGAATATTGGCAGCGTAAAGCTCTGAAACCGTAGCTAGATGTTTGTATGTTCGGTTCTTCAGACGAGGAAGGTCCATGTAGTACTGGTTCAGGAGATTCCCCTCCATCATCAGCTCCAGGGGCGTGATCTCCCCGCTGACGATGCTTGCAAGGCTCTGGCCCACCCGAGCGACCAACTGGCCCGATGCATCACCAGCGCAGAGCTCGTCTACGAGCTTCTGCTTCATGCCCTTGGTAGTCTTGGCCCATCTCTTGCTGTTGGGGCCTAACTCCCCACGGTTGCCAAGGTCGACTATCTTCCTCATCCAAGCGTAGAAGATCTTGTGGTGCCATTCCCAGGTCTCGGGACTCTTCCCTTCCAGCTGTGCAACTGCGTCGTGAATGAAGATGTAAGAGGCGCGGATAAGCTTCTTCTCGAAGTCCCGCTCGCTGTCTCTCAGCGTGATCTCCATTGGCTCTCGCACGGAGTCCGGTATTCCGTGGAGGATCTCCGCCTTCCATGTGCTAGTGGAACAGATCTGTGCTGTTTGCGGCTCCGTTTCTGGCAGAGTGCTTTTCGGGACCGCCTGGCCGAAGAACCCATCGATTCTCAGTGCAGCATCTGATTTGGGGTTTTCGGGGCTGACCACAGTAGCTGAAGACGTGAAGCCTCGCCGACTGGATCCCAAAAGCTCAGTAAAAGCCCGCAGCTTTTCGCCACTGCGCCTGTTGACCCCCTTGGGGACGTAGAGTTCCTGTATGGATCGTGGAATGACCATGCTCTTCTCCCGCGTCCCTTCCGGAAGGCCACTGTACGTAGCTTGAATGATGGAGTCCAGAGTCGTAGGGTGGAGCACGTAACCATCAGAAGCTGTGGCGACCTCGGCGATAGACAGGTTCGTTATTGCCCTTCCCGATGCCGTACGGCTATCGACCAGATTTTGGAACATAGGACCATGGTAGAAGCCCATGTCACGGAGGCCGCTGAAGACAGCCTCCACTTCGATGTGCCTGACATCTGTGTCCTTGACGAAGAAATCATCATCTCGTGGGACTTGTGGAGAACTTTCCTTCCGCGCAGAGCTCCCGCCAGTCGTGGAAGTCGCCTCAGCGAGCACATAGCCTGTGCAGTTCAGGACCCACTCATCGCGCACACCCAGCGAGGATACTTCGAACTCGAAATAGCCCTTGTACTCCTCATCTCCATTTCGGCAAGGCCTCAAGCTGAACTGCATCTCGACACCTGTGGACGATTCGGGAACTATGAGGGCGTTCCTTATGTCGACATCCTTGAGGCGGTAGCCGGTGATGCTCTCCTCCGATGCGTCTGTCACGAGGCGGGCTGCCTCTATAGCCATTGCGACGTACGAGGCGCCGGGCAAGACGACGTTGGACTCGAGCTGGTGATCAACCAACCAGGGGATGTCAGAAAGGCGCAGGATGTTGCGCCATGTGCTGGTCAGGCCGTTCGCCCCTGCGAGTGACGTACCCAAAAGCTCGTGGGGTTGAAAGGGCTTATATCTGATTTCTTTGTTGAGTCTTGGCTCCCACCAGTACCGAGTGGCGTGGTTCCAGCGGTACGTCGGGAGGTCGTCGACGAAAGTAGGCTTCGCGTTGCAATAGGGGAAGTTGACGGCATTCGATAGCACCGGGTATCCATGACTGATAAGCTTGCTGGCCAAATCTTGCATGGTATGGACGGCATTGGACGGTCTTTTCAGACAGGAGACGTAAGGCAGTTTTCTCTCTCCAAGAATCTGCCTGATAGGCCCCGACAGAGTGCTGTGAGCCCCGACTTCCACGATCATGTCGATGTGGGAGCCTGCGCCGGGGGTTGTGCCGGAGACCATCTTTTCAAAGGCCTGGCTGAAGAGTACCCGGCTCGTCAGGTTTCGAACCCAGTGCTCGGGGCTAAGGGACTCTGCATCCGTAAGAATGTCCCCTGTCACAGGTGATGTGAAGGTGACCCCGTTCCAACCAGATCCAGGACTGCAGAGAGTCTTCCGCAGCGACTCGGTATAATCTTGAGCCATAGCAGCCATGTGGTGAGAATGATATGCCAGGGGAACCTTCAGCTTCCTGGCAAATATCCCGTCTTCCTCCAGCAATGCCAATACCTCATCGATGCCAGCTAAATCGCCGGATAGGGTGACACTGCTTGGGCTGTTGACACATGCAACTACAACGCGGCCGGCCTTCGTGTCAGCTATGTACTTCTCAGCATCTTCAGGGCCGATACCAGCTGCAAGCATCCCGCCCTGGACGCGAGACAGCTTCTGGTATTTGAGTGCGAGTTCTCCCCGGTAGTAGACAACTCCCAGTGCCTCTTTGAATGTCAAGAGCCCCACCGCGTATGCAGCAGCGATTTCACCGCTGGAGTGGCTTGTCACAGCCGAAGGTTTGACGTTCCATGATTCCAACAGGTCTACCAGACACAGTTGTAGTGCGACGCTAATAGGTTGGCTGATGTTTACTTCACTGACGCGGGTGGACTTTGGATCACGTCCTAACTCCTCTGTAAACAGTGTGTCAGTACATGTCCAGTTTTCGGGGCTCTTGTCCATATAACCACGCACCTTGCAGTGACCAGTTCGCGCCGAAGTCCCGCAGGATCTCATCAGCTTGCCGAATAGCGGAGCCAAACACCGGGTATGCGTTGATAAGCTCCCGGCCCATTGCGTGCCACTGAGCACCTTGGCCGTTGAAAACGAACCCGAGTCTCGGGCGCTTTGCTGCATGGTTGACCTCCAGGGCCTTGCTTTCCAGCTGATCGGCCAACTCGGCCAGGCTGCTGGCTCTGACTGCGGCCATCCAGGGAAACAGTGTCTTCCGTTCCGTTAGGGTATACGCCAGGTCAGCAGGCGACGGAGACAAGTCACTCCCGGCAGTTCTTCGAATGTAGGCCGCTGTCTCGTTTGCTATGTCTCGCGTTGCAGCTGAGTCCTTTGCACTAAGGACGTACACGCGGGACTCGGGTTCAGCAATGAGTGCTTGCCCGTTTTCATGTTTATGGACTCCGTTGGCATGGCCAATCAATCCTCTGAAGGGCTCTATGCTTTCCAGAATGACGTGGGCATTGGTGCCTCCATATCCAAAATTGTTGACGGACGCGCGAAGGGGCTTGTCACTCGGCCAGGGCCTGAGAGACGTCGGAACCTGCACAGACATACTATCAGCTTCCGGCTGACTTCTGCTTCATTGATGTTCGGCTTACCTCCAGGTTCCAATCGCTCAGCGGAATGTTCGGATTGGTCTCTTTGTAATTCAGATTCGGCGCCACCAGTCCCGTCTTCAGTGTATAGATGGCCTTGATCACCGCCGCCAGACCACTCACGGGCTCAGTGTGGCCAATGTTGGTCTTCACAGACCCGACGAGGACGGGATCGCCGGCCTCTCGACTCTTGCCGAAAGTCCTCGCTAGCGCTTCCGCTTCCACGGCGTCTCCCGTCAGGGTGCCGGTCATATGGGCTTCCACGTAACCGGTTTCCGAGATATCCAGTCCTGCACGTCTGTAGCAGTCTTCGATGAGATTCACCTGTGACTCTAGAGATGGCGATGTGATGGTTGTTGTCTTGCCGTCCTGGTTACTACCGGTCTCTCGGATGACTGCGTGGACGTTGTCGCCGTCTCGCAGCGCGGCATCGAGAGGCTTTAGAAGCAGAGCTGCAACGCCTTCGCCGCGGCCGTAGCCTTCGGCTCTTGTATCCCATGCATAACATTTACCATCGGTGCCGATGAGACTAATTTTGGTGAACAGTCAGCATTGCCAGGCCATCTCCAACACCCAGATCAAGTGAGGGAACCGAGTGCTTACCCGAGGGTGGACATGATGATGAACAAATCAGGATTCAGGATCGTATTTGTAGCCCCAACCACCGACATTTCAGACTCTCCGGACCGGATATCCTGACAGGCCTGATGTAAAGCTACAAGTCCTGCAGAGCACCCCGTATCAATAGACAAGCTGGTTCCATGCAGGTCAAAAAAGTGGGATACCCGGTTTGACAACACCGCCGTGCCATTTCCGGTGAGGAATGAGGGTGGGAACTGCTCCGGGTCTCTTGTCAAAAGATCATGGTAGTCTTTCCCATAACAACCTGTGTACACAGACGTCCTTGTCCCTGCGAGCTTGCCTAGGGGTACACCGGCTACATATGCCTTAGCGAGTGATTCAGAATTTGGGGAGAACATCAATTGGGAACAAACCGTCTTCTGTCGCTTCGTAGACAGTCTCAAGCAAGAGTCTCAACTGGGGATCCATGGCCTGGAAGGTTGTCAGACAACGCCGCACCGAGAAATTGCTTCCCCTGTGTGTTTGTAAAGCTCAACTTACACTGGCAACATCTGCTGAAAAGTTGAAGAACGCGGCATCAAAGACAGCCACGTCCTGCTGCATGAAATACCCGCCCTTGGCATGATTCTAAAGAGAGCCGTGTAAGCAGGCAGTCCCGGTGAACTTCAGTATTTTCGCCCCCGTCTTCACACATTGAGAAGCATAATTTCGGCTCAGTATGCCCAAGGTGGTGGTGATATGGATGAACGTACTCGGCCTATCCTCTCCTTGTCTCCATTATACAGGGCTTTGCCATCAAACCTCTCGCTAGGAATTGGCGACCACGCATCTTTGGCAGATGCACAGAGATCCCATAGTTTGGACGGGCTGGTGGCATCTCCGCCAAACCTGCAACTAATTCCGATGATGGCTATTGGGGGAGAAGGGCTCTGGCCAGTCTTGTTGTGGGAGTCCCCATTTCGCTGATCCGCAGTGCTGCCGTTACGAGGGTCAGGTCCGGTAAATGCAGCGGTGGGTGGCTCAGAATGCACGGCCATGGCTCGTTTGCTAGGGGATGCCAAGGTGATTTGACTTGACGACTTGACCGGATGCCTAGTCGCTGCGTACTACTAGATTGACTAAGTACAACATCAAACGTTCGAAGATCGCCCAGTGACTAGAGTCACTTTCAAGCGCCCTTGCCTTCGAATTAATATCCTCCAGCCTCTGCCTCGCGCCGAGAAGCCTCACTGTCTGTGTCCTAGTTCGTGAAGTTCTGGGACGGCAGTACGCTTTGGGACACAAAGTCCCAGTGACTCTTCAAATTTGGCCATCCCAGAACGGCAACATCAGATCGGAATATCGGTGGGTGGTACCATGAACAACCACCCTGCAGCAGAGTGCTAAGCAATGGCATACCCATGTCGGTTCCGCGCCGTTCATTCGACTGCATGTCGTAGCGCCAATCTCGGAAGTTTCCTATTTGGGATGTAAGTTTGTGCAGATCCACGTCCCGTCCCGCACGCAGGAAGACGTGTGCTGACACTGCTGAGAAGAGGGTAGGTTTCAAGTCCCATTGGTTGGAAACCCCCTTGGTTGCTTTGGTGGACCAACGACGTCTCCACCCGTTGGAAGGAAGGGGTCCAGCTGCTGGTGACATTTTCTACATGATGACAAAGGATAAGCCTCATGCTGGTGAGAACAGGGCATGTTCTCGTTCCAACCAAACAAAAGCGCACAAATGCATGTCTCATTCACATTACAGAGACTGTTGCTTCATCTTTCTGTATAGTCCCGAATTTGTAATCTGTAAAATTACAAATCCGTCTTCCCATCGGAATCTATCAGAATAAAGTCCAAGTTGCGTTTGCGTCAAACGACAGCTTTCTGTCCAGTGATCCTGCGAATGCCAAGGACCCCGGTGCTTTCAATTCCACCTCGCTGCGTTCTTGCTTGCTTGCTCTTGGTTCCTGCACCTTCATCAACACAATTGGCATTTAGTTTCGTTGTTTGGTAGTGGTCACCTGACTCCCCTCCTCCACCAAGTCGTTTCGACCGCCCCTAGACGCCATTGCACACATTCATCATGGCAACCGTTGACGAGAAGGGGGCCTTGGATGGAGGTGCGACTTGCAGTCTCGAAGGTAATGAGAACAAACCCTCGGGTGGCGCCACACCCACCCCAGGCTCCGTGGACGACACTGCCACAGGAGCCCAAGACGGCGCCCAAGACGGAACTCCAGAGATCGTGTACCCCGGCTCTGCCAGCTTTGCCCTGATCGCTCTGGCCCTCTGTCTCATCATCTATGTCATCACCCTGGTAAGACCCTACCTATCTCGATGGTCACTCGTGTGTAGCGATCAATGTTCCTGCAGTGTTCTGACTCTTGTGTCTTCTTCTCCACTGAAAGGACAGCACCGTCCTTGCAACAGCTGTGCCCGTCATCACTGATGAGTTCGACTCTCTCAAGGATGTGGGCTGGTACAGCAGTGTTTACTTCATGACGACCGCCATCACGCAGCTTCTCTATGGCCGACTGTACACCCGCTACCCCATCAAGTACAACTACAGCGTTGCCATGTTGTTCTTCCTCGTCGGTTCTGCCTTGTGTGGTGCTGCTCCTAATTCGCCCGCACTCATCGTTGGCCGTGCCTTGGCTGGCATTGGCTGCTCTGGCTTACTGGTCGGCACCTTCTCGCTGGTGCCTTATATCGCCCACCCTACCAAGCAACCCCTGTTTATGGGCCTTATAGGAGGGACCATGGGGATTGGGTACGCCACAGGTCCGCTCATTGGCGGCGCATTCACCGAGCATGTCACTTGGCGGTGGAATGTAAGTAATGTCACCAACCCGAGGCGCATGTCTCCGTCATGTTCTGTGCTGACTCGATGCCCGTATCCAGTTCTACCTCAACCTCCCGGTTGGTGCTTTTAGCTACGCCATATTCCTGCTCTTCGTCCGCACCCCAAAGCGCCACTCAGACAAATTTACCTCCTGGAAGGACTTTCTCGAGACATTTGATCTGCTCGGCCTGCTCGCACTAGCTCCCAGCATTGTCTGCCTCCTGCTCGCCCTGCAATGGGGAGGAACCGTCTATGCATGGAACTCGGGGCGTGTCATTGCTCTGCTCGTCCTCTTCGCCTTGCTTGGCATCGCTTTCATCGGCCTTGAGCTTTGGCAAGGGGACAAGAGTATGCTGCCGGCTCGAGTTTTCGCACAACGGAGCGTTGCAGGAGCTGTGCTCTTTTGTTTCTGCACGAGTGGCGCCTCGTTTTTGCTACTCTACTACATTCCCATGTGAGTTCAAAAGACATCTACGTTGATCGAGTCCATATAAACTGATAATTTGCGCGCAGCTGGTTCCAAGGCTCACTCGAGCGAACTCCGTTCGAGTCTGGAGTCGACACCCTTCCGCTGGTCATTGCGAATACCATCTCGTCACTGGCCGGCGGCATCCTTATCGGTGTGATCGGATACATCTGGCCATTCCTCATATTTTCCTCAATTTTCACTGCCGTCGGAGCCGGCCTATTCACCCTGTTCTCACTCAGTACGTCGACTGGAGAATGGATCGGGTACCAGGTTATCTACGGCCTCGGTATGGGTCTCTGTGCTCAAACCCCAGTCATGGTTGCGCAAAATGTGCTCCCTCTCGAGGACATCCCAATAGGCTCCGGCATGGTGATGTTCACGCAGACATTTGCAGGGTGAGAATTCCCCTTGACCTCTCTGAGCAACCACCGTGTAAATAAACTAACCTGCTGCAGCGCTATCTTCACCGCTGTAGCCCAAACGCTCTTTGCCAACGAGCTGGCCAAGAACTTGGGCAATACGGGAGTCCCCGGTGTCGACGCGAGCTCCGTTCTAACAGAAGGCGTTACCTCGCTCACCAGAGGCTTGGAGGGAGACGACAAGATTGCCGTACTCGAGGCACTCAACAGCGCAATTGTGGACTCGTGGAAGCTGCCCCTGGCACTTTGCTGCATCAGTATCATCGGCGCGCTGACCGTCGAGCGTCGAAAGATCAGGGGAAAGGAGAAGCCGGCGGACACGGAGAAGGAGGCGGAGACACCGTCGCAAGAAGCTTGAGCTTCATGCGTGTGTAAATTCTAAGGACTCTGCTCCCATTGAGTCTACTCATCCGGTTGGCGATAATGCCGTAAACAATTTCACCTTGGCACGTCCGCAGGGACACTCGTGCATCGCGGGGGGGGGGGGGGGGAGTATCATATCTATTGCGTATCCAGGCCAGTATGGCAATCTTGAACACAAAGCACACATGGGTATTTGCCTACCTAGGTAATATCAACGAGCAACCAGACACTGTCAAAAATTTTCCTTTAGCGGTGTCCATAGACTCTCGTAATGGTCATAATCATACAAATTGCGCATCATGAAAACAATATGCCTTTGCCGTGAAGTGTCGAGTTTTGGTGCTTGGAGATCTGTCAAATCAGACAGCATCCATGTTGTACGATTGTGCCATGAGGTTTTGCCATGGCTTCTCTCTCTTTCAAGGTCTTCTTCCCAAGAGTGCCCTATTTCATACGGCACCAAAAATACACAACGTATAGAGACGAATGATAGTTCGCAACCCAGATGTGATCCCCAAGGCGTATCGGCAAGTACCCACCAGAAACCATAACCCCCACGTTGTCGACGTACTGGCTGGGATGCCACCCCTGGAACGTCCTCAGCCGATAGACTAGCGAAAGCTTCTTTTACCCTCCATCTATCTAATGTGCATGCATCTAATCATCCACGAAAGCGTGAGGCAACACTAAACCGTTCTCGGAAGCAGCTTTCATGCAGCTTCAGCTGACGTGAGATCTCGGATGTTTCCTTTTTGATACAGACCTAATTAGTTACAGGGGCCTACTCTTGAACAAGCATGCACATAAGCAGTAAGGTCCGAGATGTGCATCCGGGCAACTCCTAGCACACTTCTGCGGACATCTCCGTATAAGGGTGATCTAGATCCCCGATTTGCTCTTTTCTCGAAGCACACAAGTGGGGTCTACAAAGCCGCGCCGGGCGAGGCCCTGCATGTCGAGGAATGACTTCGAGCCTGGATTTCAAAGGTTGCAAATCAAAAGTTCAGGTCCATGGTTGTATGATAGGCTACGAGAATCGTACGGTTGTCGTAAGGTCGCCATCAGGGCCCCTATGTAGACGATTTCCAATTGAAAATATTTAGTCCTCAGTATCAAAGCACAACCTGACTGCATAGGGCTCAACATCGCCCAAGTCCTCTTGGCTTGACAGAACTCAAAGGCAACCCATTGCATTGCAGTATGGACACGCTAAAATCATATCTCTCGGCCTCCAGGGAGCATCTTTCCCTGCCCCTTGTTCTAGGGGCCTTGACCTCGATCTACTTGACCGTCTGGGCCTTTGTATGGGTGTATCGAATTACGTTGCACCCACTTGCCAAGTTCCCCGGCCCCAAACTTGCTGCTGCCACTTTCTGGTACGAGGCATACTATGATCTATGGCCTCACCAGCATCGTTACTTGTGGAAGATCAAGGAGTTACATGAGAAATATGGTACGTTTCAGTACCATCTGGCTTCGGACATTTACAATTTGTCCATGAGAACGAGTCCAGACCTTGTAACTAATTCGGTCCAGGCCCAATTGTCCGCATCAACCCGATCCACATACACATCCATGACCCGGACTACTTCGATGACATCTACGCTGGTGGGCGGCGCAAGCGCGACCGCGACACATGGTACATGCACGCCACCGAGAGCGGCACGATGGGCGACTCCCTGCTGCAGACGATGAGCCACGACCAGCACCGCGTGCGCCGCGCCGCGCTCAACCCGTTCTTCAGCAAGCGTGCGATTCAGGCCCTCGAGGGCATGGTGGTCGAGAAGATCGAGCGGCTCGTGGGCCGGCTGGAGCTGTCGTACCGGCGCGGCGAGGTCGTCAACCTGACGAACGCGACTGCTGCGCTGACGATGGACGTCATCTCGTCGTACGCGCTGGGTGCTGACATCGGCAACCTGCGGCGCGAGGACTGGGGCGCCGACTGGCTGGACGCTTTCCGCACCGTGGGCCTGATGCGGCCCATGGGACGGCAGTTCGCCTGGTTCATGAACTCGCTCCTCAACAACCTCTCTCCGGAAGTGGTCAGCTGGATCAGCCCGACTACTGCGCACCTGACCAAGAAGCTGCAGTTCCCCATGGATATCATCCAGTCCGCAGTGGATGAGAGAGAGAGGAACTCAAGCACTGGTGCCGGGGCTAAAGAGAAGCTGTCAGCAAACGAGAGGACCATCTTCCAGGATATCGTCGATAGTGACCTTCCACCGAGCGAGAAGACGCCGGCCAGGCTGAATGCCGAGGCCGGTCTGGCTCTTGGCGCCGGCACAGAGACAACTGCAAGAAACTTGGCTGTGTTGATCTTCTACCTTCTTCACAACCCAGATGTCTTGCAGAAGCTGCGAGCGGAACTGAAGACTGTGATGCCGACTCCTGGCGCTCCTGTTACGCTGGTAGAGCTCGAAGCATTGCCATACTTTGTGGGTTGCCTTGGAATAGATCGCACAGGGACATTTGCTTGAGAGAAATGTTTCTTTTGATGGATCCTGTAACTTGCTGACCTAGTGTGCCTCATATACAGTCTGCCGTGATCAACGAAGGATTGCGGTTGAGCCATGGGGCGTCAAGCCGCATGCCACGGATCGCGACCGAGGAAAACCTCCAATATAAACAATGGATAATCCCAGCAGGCGTAAGCAGCTAACGATGTTTTTTGGTCCCAGAAATTGAGGGGATTTCTAAGAGTATGCTGACCATGATGGGTAATTGTGTGAATAGACACCAGTGATGCAATCCCTATATCTGCACCACACCAACCCGCAGGTCTTCCCAGAACCTTTCAAATTCAACCCCGAGCGGTGGATCGAAGACCCCAAATTGAAGCCACGATACCTCATGGCCTGGGGGAGAGGGTCGCGGTCCTGCCTCGGCCTGAAGTACGTTTCCCCTAGCTTGTTCCGGTCACGCGTACCCAAGTTGCCTCAGCTTTACTCCAGAAATGCGCTCCAGAAATGCGTCTTGCTAACAACGGGTGTCCAGTCTCGCTCACGCCGAGCTTTACCTTACTGTCGCGCACCTCCTGACCCGTTTTGAGATGGAGCTGTACGAGACCGTGTGGGAAAGAGATGTAGAGGTCCTCCATGATTGTTTCATCGGAGTGACAGACATGTCTAGCCCAGGTATTCGTGTCAAGATCACCAGCATGCTGGAAGGGTAGACGCGAACGATAGAGATATGTCTACCGGGAATGCTACCTAGGTACCCACCGAGTTGAGTATGAAGAGAAAGTTTAGCCAATGTATAGATAAACAACCTCTCCGCATAATTGACACGGCCCTACAATAGAAGAGAATCGAGGAGAGTTTACGGCTAGCAAAGACGAACTAAATCTACAATGGACGTAGCTAACAAGAATCTAAAGCGTGAAAACCGAATCCGACACAAGCAAATACACGCTCCTAAAGGGAATACTTTAGCAAGCTATCATATTGAATACTTCGCCATACTCATTCTTCACCCCCTGTAGAGCCCAGACTTGCATATATAAGAACATGCCAATTCCTAGAGGTATCCAGGGACTGCTCCGGGCAGAGTCAGTCAATTTACTAAATTACGGTTTAGGGAATTGGAAGGGGAAAGACGGTCTGAGATTCCCCTGGGCAGAGTGTAATGTGTGAACGGGTCTGCACGGTTGGTGATCTGGTAGAAAGGTGATACCTTACTCACCGGGGGTTACATTCGCAGCTCAGTCGGAAGCTGCTGCCACCTGTTGTGTGCTGACTTTTGAACTGTATAGACAATTTGGAAATAGCTCGATGCTGGTCGGTCTGCAGATGTCCAGCAGCTGTCACGTGGAAATGGCTTTGTGTTGTATGCGTATCTGGCGAGTCGTGACTCGTCAGAGGTTTTCGGTGCACAGGTGTGTTGCGACAATGTGTCCCGTTAGGATGTAGTCTAGTGGGAGGACTGTAATTTGTTTCGTAGGGATATAATATATGCATTGTGACTTTGTGGCTTAAGTGTTACCTCACACACCAACGTGACTGTTGCCATGGAAGACAAAGAGGAGCAACTGAGACCCAGACGCACACCTGGGTAGCCCAACCACGGCCAACACGGCTGTCGCCAATTGCTTCAAGAGCGAACCCCTACTTGGGAAATGTGATGATTCAAATTTATGCCTACATACCAAAGGAAACGAGATGCGCATACATCCTTCCCTGCGGCCAACCTGTGTCGAATCATCCGGCTCACAAAGGAGCTGAGGATTACTAGGACAAAGATACCACTTGCTCGAACGCCCTCGCATTGGTATGAAGTTGTAGAACCGGAATGCGCCGAACCCGCCTTATTGATGAGAAAAACGCGGCTCCAAATGCCCGCGACAGCAATTCAAACGCCTACGCCAAGATGGTGCCCATACGTTCCTAACACCTGTTGGTGACCCCGTCTGATTGTATGTCTTCCCTTCTCCGCAGCCACTTTACTCCTCCCAGCTCTTCTCGACCGTTTCACGGACCCTCTTGGTGTATTCCTTGCGGTTATCCTTGTACAGGTTGGACGCCTCGACGTTCGCTGGCGATCCGGTATTCGGGTCGTTGAGAAGACTGCGGAACCGGCTGTTAGTTGTGATCGGCACCGGAGTCTGGGGGGCTCGTTGCCATCCGTGCCCCGGACTTCTTGACTCGACCCACCTCTGAATGCTCGTCAGCACCGCTGCGACATCGTACGTCGGGCTCCACCGATTTTGGAGGATATCGAGGCACAGCTCCCCGGTGGCGTATACGTTGGGGTGAAACATCTGGCTGATGAATTTGACCGAAGGTGGCTTGTTGGGATACTGCTCCTCGAAGTGCATGACGAGTCGAAAGGTGCCGTCCTCAAAAGGGGTGTCGGCCGGGCCGATGATGACCGCGTTCCATGTCATGACATTATCAGGCACTGGAGACGCTGAGACGCCCGCTGGAGGATCGGTTTGCATGCGCTGTAGATGGCGGTATCGTCAGTGATCGTGATGCTTCGCCGACAGGCGGGTGGCGAGTGGCGGGTGGACATTTTGCTACCGACCTTGAAGTCACGCATCAAACGACGCCTGGCTGCCGTCGACATTCTAGCAGAAAACAGCGGCTTCTGGGACTGGCGGTGGGTGGCAGGTTGCAGGAGAGTGGTTACGGGTGTTGAGGTTCTGTCAATTCGCGTTGGTAATCCTCAGGTGGTCGTCAGTGGGTGGGTGGATAGGTGCTCTGCAGCATGAGGTGTGATGAGCTGGGGACTGATCCCACCGTGCTTGCCGATATCGATATCGATATCGATATCGATAGGCCGACCCCAGGTGAGCGAGACACGACCCCTGAGAGACAGGGTCAATGGGGGCAGACGCTTAGGTACTTTGGTACCTGCTGGTCCGGTCGGTGGGCGCCAATCAATCAGTTGCTGCTTCCGCTCTTCCCTCTGGCACCCGACAAAGCAGTGTTCGTCCTCATCCTCTCGGTTTCTTTGTTGCTCCAAACCAAGTCACTTGCTCCGGTGACTGATTCAAGGTACACAGATCAGTAATCTCAGAGCGACCCGGTCACTGCTGCTGCTGGAAATGACTGGGACGAGGCCATGATTATGTACATCTCTCCCGGCAATCCAAGGGCCCTTCGGAATGGTGGCGGCGGCTAGTGGAGGCTCAAGGGGTGTGGTGTGCTTGGTCCCCGCGCATACCCGTAGAACCGTTTCCCCACGGTGGGAGGAGGCTCACATGCCGAGGATGATCTCACGCCCCTGCTCCCCCAGCTTCCGGGAACTTAAGTATTGGGTGCACTCTTTATTTACAACTTTTCCTCCAATTCATTCCCCGGGCATCGTTGGGTTTTTGCAGCGTCGCCTCATCTTTCCACGCATTTATACTAAACACCATGCCTCTACGCTGCGTCCGAACACCGGCTCTCAGGAGCGGCGCTGTCACATGCCGACCTGCTTCCGCACGCGCTTTCTCGGCGAGGGCAGCTCTACAACAAGAAATAAGAGACGTATACATCCTGAGCGCATCCAGGACGCCAACTGCTAAAGTCTGTCCAGTCCCGTGTCTCTAATCACTGCGAAACCTTCGAGTTGACCAGCATTCGTAGTTCAATGGCTCCTTCCTCACCGTTCCAGCACCAAAGCTCGGCGCAGTGGCCATCAAGTCCGCGATCGACAAGTCCGGTGTGCCAATTTCCAAGATCACAGACGTCTACATGGGCAATGTGCTACAAGCCTCAGTTGGGCAGAGCCCGGCAAGACAGGCAGCCGTATTTGCAGGTCTCCCGCCAAGCATCGAGGCCATCACCATCAACAAGGTCTGCGCGTCCGGTCTGAAGTCGGTCGTCTTCGCTGCGCAAAACATCCAGCTCGGCCTTGCGGAGGCGCAGGTTGCTGGTGGTATGGAAAATATGTCACAAGTGCCCTACTACGTGCCACGGGCAAGCTCGCTGCCCGCCTTTGGCCACGTGAAGATGGAGGACGGCCTGATCAAGGATGGCCTCACAGACGTCTACGACCAAATACACATGGGCAATTGTGCTGAGAACACAGCAAAGAAATACGAGCTCACCAGGGAGGCACAGGATCAATACGCCATCCAGTCATACGAACGGGCGCAAGCAGCCTGGAAGGCCGACGCTTTTGCCGAAGAGATTGCACCGGTGACCGTGAAGGGGAGGAAGGGCGAGACCATCATCGACACAGACGAAGGCTACATGGATGTCAAACTGGAAAGGATCCCAACCCTGAAGCCTGCCTTCGTCAGAGATGGAACAGGCACAGTCACGGCTGCGAATTCCTCGACCCTCAATGACGGTGCTAGTGCGTTGGTACTGGGCAGCAAGGCCATCGCACAGGAGTTCGGTTCCGTCTCGAGAGTACTGGCGAGAATATGCGGGTCTGCCGATGCTGCGACGGATCCGATTGACTTCCCAATTGCCCCGGCCAAGGCTGTTCCCATCGCTCTTGAGAGGGCTGGCATAACGAAGGATCAGGTGGCCATTTGGGAGTTCAACGAGGCCTTTGCAGCTGTCATTAAGGCCAACGAGAAGGTAACCTTAATCCCTCCTTCCTTCTCTCTGGCCTTCCTCTTCTCTCTACTCTGGGGTTAGGGAAAATGGGCCTGCTTCTTCTTCTTCTTCTTCTTGTTGTTGTTGTTGTTTTTCTTTTCGGACAACACTTGTGCAACAACGCCTATAACGAACCTCGGGCTAACTTGACGTTAGATTCTCGGACTTCAGGGAGCCAAGGTCAACCCCCTGGGCGGTGCCATCTCCTTGGGCCATGCGCTGGGCAGCTCCGGGTCAAGGATCCTTACGACTTTACTCCACCAGCTCAAGCCTGGCGAGTATGGTGTTGCAGCAATCTGCAACGGTGGTGGTGCAGCCACCGCAGTGGTCGTCCAACGCATCGAGTCCGTGTAAAGGGCGCAGCAGCCCAGGCAGTCCACAGGATATTGCGGGGCCACGGGTATAAGAAAAACGAAGCTAGGATACTAGGAATGTATCATTTCAAACAGGTGTTGTTAATGTCCACCCGCCAGCCCTTGGTTGGGTCGTCACATATGCTTTTGCTACAGTGGCCACCAAATGGTGAGCACCTGGCTGTGAATCTCACGAAAGCTTTTACTCGGGTCACGGGAGCCTCACTTCAGAAGAGTTTGGGCAACCAACTTTCTGAATTATCACTTGTAATATCGGATATATCGCTTGGTGGTAGTGCCAGACCGCGACAACTCGTTTGTCTCAACATCCATTGGCCCCTTCCTGTGCTTACAGCAAGCCAAATTGACCACCAGGAGCCTAGGATTCACTTAGACTGTAGTGAATAGAGTGTAGAGAAGGCGGTGGCAATTACGGGCTCCCATTGTCTATTATTCGAAGGAAAACTGACAGCGTAACAATCAGCACATGGACCCCATTCAGTCTACCATCCGATCTAGGCTTATAGGCTTATTGGAGGAACGGGGCTGGCGAGCGCCTTAGACGTAGGCAGTTCAGCGGAAGCAGGGGTGTGAGTTTGATTGATACAATGCTTTTGGAATTCACAATGTCAGTATCCACAGCTATGCAAAAATCGCCCATGAGATACGTTCACATGAATATGAAGGACTAGCAACTAACAGCCAACACCTGTGGGATCTGTACTGATCGAATCGATGGTGAATGCAAGCAAGTACTACGGATTGATGGATGTTGAGAAGGACCCGCTCTGCTTAAGTAAGCCCTTCCCAATCTGTCTCACTGTCAGTGGCTGCACAGGCACCAGGGGTCCATCCAAGACCTCTTGTTCTTCCTGCACAATTGAACCATGTCTCGACTAATCCTCGTTCTGCATCGTCAGTAGCGAATCCCATGCGACAATGCCTTCTTTGGCCACGCAGTTCCTATCCACGATTAGGGACCATGTGGTTGCTCTGGACGGTGACAGCCTCGACGCCTGGCTGCAGGTCGAGCCCGGCGCAACAAGCCACGCCTATCTGCAGCTCCGAGACGAGCTGAGGCAAGGCCTGGGTGTGAACAGCCAACTCGAGAAGCTGGTTGAGAAGTCCCTACCTGAAATAGACGACCCACCGGATGGCACTGGATCACCATGGCCCAGCTTCGTCACCTTCGTCAAGGACTATCTGCTATATTGGAGGGATGCGGATTTCGATGACTTGATGAGCGTTCAAGAGTCGCTGTCGGGTTTGTTAACGTGCGTACCTCATACTTGTTCCCCACCGCTTCCCCGGCATAGCTGACCACTTACAGATCTTGCGCGACTGCGCTGTCGCATCCACAGTATGGAAGCATCATGTTTCAGACCAGCATGTCGCTTTCGGAGGCACTCTCCAAAGTCGTAATGACGCTTCACCGGCGTCCTGAGTTGATGCAAGGGCGGAGGTCTGTCGCTGGGGGCGAAGACAGCAAGTCCATGGTCGAGCAGTCTGCCGACATCATCCAGAAGATTTTCACATCTTGCCTGACGGACAGATCGAGTACTAGGTTTGCAAGACCGGAGGGGCAAAAAAGTCGGCGTCTACATTTTCGCCAACCTTGTCCTGAAACTTCTCTTCACTGTGGGTTAACACACGCACACAAAGTGTCCCTGAACCGGCCATATCACTAACATCTACCCCTCGAAGTGCGGCAAATCTCGCCTTGCAGCACAGCTGCTGCTTAACGTGTCTGCGAGCGGACCACCGCTTCAATTATATCCGGCTGCACAACGGGTCACGTTCCTATACTACCTGGGAAGATTCAACTTCGACTGCGACAACTTTGTGCGCGCGTCTTTATGCCTCGAGGAGGCCTACCTACAAACTCCACCAACTCTTCTGAGCCACCGGAGACTCATTCTCACCTACCTCATCCCGGCCAATATTATGCTCGGGCGGTTCCCAAGTGAACTTCTGCTCGCCAGACCCGAGGCAGCGACGCTTGCTGCCGTATTTCTCCCAATTATGGCAGCGATCCGCAAAGGGAACTTTCTTGCTTTCCAGCAAGCAATAGCAGCCAATGAGCGCTGGCTGTATCAAAAAGGCCTTCTCTTCACTCTCACCTTCCGCCTGCGCCCCATTGTATGGCGCTCTTTCATCAGACGTTGCTTCCTCCTTACCTACGAAGCGCCACCACCAACTTCGTGCAGCACCGACTCTTAATCTAGCAGACGTTTACGTCGCCGCATCATATGTTCAGAAGCGCCTCGAAGGCTTCATACCGGCACGGACGCAGCAGCAGCCAAAGCGCCAGTCGCAAACGAACAACATCTTTATGATGGCTGTGACCAACAGCGCTGCGGATGCCTCCTCTGTACTGATGCCACCGCCAGGCGGGAAGCCAAGGAATTTGAAGCCCAGTGAGGGTTTATTCTGGGGGAACTTGCAGGTGACAGGCAAAGAAGTGGAAGGCGTAGTCGCAACCCTGATTGCCCAGGGATTGATGAACGGGTTTCTTGCCCACTCGAGCGGCAGATTCGCCGTAATGGGAGCAAAGAAGGGCGGTGGGCCACTTGCAGCAGGGTGGCCGGCAGTCGTGAGGGTAGTGGCCGACAGGATGGCGGAGGATGGCGTCAATTCCAACGAGGTCCCTGCCTGGGTAAAAATGCCACCAGGTTACGCTTGATGACACGTGAAGCTGGTACTGGGGAACCATTACTCAATCAAGTGGTCCACGGCACCGGGCACCGCGATCGGAAGGTGTGAATGGAGACCTTATACATACCCTCTTCATTCGAATGATCTTCCAATGATTTACAGGAACAAATTGCCCTCTGGTCTGGCTTGTCGAGACGTCGAAAGATCTTCGGGTGTCTGGCTCGAGTTCACCACCGTCTTGTGGTGAGGCTGTGTCACGCCTTGCATCTTTCGGTATACACTGACCTATCATGACGCACCAGGTTGGCGTCTCCTGTCAACAAGAGGATTGGCATTTCGGCCAGCGAGGCACTAATGAAGATGGCAGATTTGCGGGATCAGCTGATGTTGGATTCCAAATCCTCCCGCCAGCTATATCATGAAAAGAACCCAGAGCCTCTCCGATCATGTGACTGACATCTTTCGTCTCGTCTTCTTCAACAATTACTTTCACAATCTGAAGAACAAGATCTCAAGGATGTAGTTTCATCCCCAGCATCGCGACATGGCTCATCTCCGCTTCCATTCCTATTCCCATGGAACGTGAGAAGGAGGCTTGGCGATGGGGCTGTTGCGGATCACGGCCGCGCCGGAACCTGACCGATTCAAACAGCTGAGTAACTCAGGGCCTTAGTCAAGCGATCGCGATGCCCTCAGACACAATGAAGTCATTGCGCTCCTCCCGCCGACGAGCCGACAATCCAGCATCGCCAGCATCATCATCGCGAAGGGAGCAATTAAATCGTGATCAACGACCTCACCACCATCATGTCGGCCACTCCATGCCATCTCATTTTGCGCGAGGCCTGTCATTGGTGTACCTTGCAGCCGCCGGCTTCGCGTTCCTGACTTGTGTGCGGCTAGGCCCAAACGGGCAGTCGGCGAGTGAGGCTATCTGCAAATGGCACGGTGCCTGATTCGCCACAGCATTGATCATCTAATCTCCCATGCGTGCCTTGCGTCTGCCCGCGTGCGTCTGCGTGTGTGCTGACCAGGCCAGCCAGGCTGGCGGCACCTCGCGCCCGGATTGTCGTCTCGATTGGGTTCTAGGCAAATCGCGCACGTAGGGCCCAGAGTGCGCGACAATGGTCGCCGACTGGTCGAGGCACAGCTTGACAGGCCCACAGCAATAACCTAAAAGAAGCCAAGTGCGGAGGATACGACACCAGCAGAGAAGGCATCCCGGTGGCACCACCCTGTCTCTTGCAGCTCTTGCAGGGGTCCGACAGATCCCTTTTCGGCTACTTCCTTTGTGTACCTGGTCAATAAGTCGCGGCTGTGGGTCATTGTCCTCCTTCCTGCCCCCGGGGACCCCCCTCCGGCTCGCCCGCCTCTTCACCAGCTGCCTCGCTCATTTCGTTTCCCCCAGCTTCGTGCGCGCTACTCGGGCAATTCTTTCAGAACCCACACGCTCTTTTCAAGTCTCACTCGCCTTGCTGTTTTCCTCTGCTCTTCAGCAGAAATCCACTCCTTTGGTTGACGCCGGTTGGATCGCGAACAGAGTAAGTGGCTGGACTGCGGTGTGTTGACTGCCGCTGCTTGAGGAATGCGACTGTATGCCTCGCGGACTGGAATAGCAACACCACATGAACTGTCAAACTCGAAGACACCGCTTTCGAACGACCCTGCCTATCACGACGACACTCGGCCCCAGGAGTTAGCTCTGGGCACCCTTGGTAGCGTTCAGCTGCTCACGATCTTTACACTACATTCATTTTTGTTACGTCCTCACCCATGAGCAAAGCAGTACTTACGGCCGCACTGGGCTCGGCCGTGCTATTCTTGGCCGCCCAGCCGGCCTCCGCGACAGCGGCTCACCGTCGCGCTCACGACCATTACAGCAACAACCACACTCACGACGAGCAAGATGCCCAAGAACTTGGGCTACTCAAGCCGCGTGGCCGGCTCGTCAACAGAGCCGGCCAATGCGCCTTTCCAGAGGGCGAAGCCGGCCTCGTAGCCATCACTCCGGGCTCGAAGAACAGGGGCTGGGCCTTGAGTCCCGACCAGGAGTGCACTGCAGACTCATATTGCCCTTTTGCTTGCGAACCAGGAATGGTCATGAACCAATGGAAGAAGGGGACGACGTATGTGTACCCTGAATCCATGTATGGAGGGTTATACTGCGACAAATCCGGCAATATCGTCAAGCCATTCCCGGATGAGCCGTATTGTGTGCAAGGCGTTGGATCTGTCAAGGCCGTCAACAAGTGTGGCAAGGTGGTCGCATTCTGCCAGACTGTGCTTCCTGGGAACGAGGCCATGTTAATTCCAACACGTGTAATGGACAGCGCGACCATTGCTGTGCCGGGACCGTCTTATTGGGACTCGACCGCCTCGCACTTTTACATCAATCCTCCTGGTCACACGACGGAGGAGGCCTGTCTCTGGGGCACGGGTTCGCAAAACATTGGAAACTGGTCGCCTTATGTTGCTGGAGCTAACCAGGATACGACTGGAAACACATACGTCAAGCTTGGTTACAACCCCATCTACACAGACTCATTCCACGGTGTCAAACCCTCCTTCGGCCTGAAGGTCGAGTGTGACGGGAATTGCAATGGCCTGCCTTGCGCTATTGATCCCAGCTCTGACGGCTTTGGGGTTGTCAGGAGTGCCACCGCAGCTTCCGGCGCTGGCGGCGCCGACTTTTGTGTGGTAACAGTTCCCAAGGGGTCTACGGCAAACATCGTGGTCTTCAATACCGATGGCTCGACAGGTGATGCGTCAAGCTCGTCATCTTCTGAGGAAGCTGCCACCACATCCCAAGCTCCGAAGAAGGCGAAAATCGCCGTGGCCACCACCCCCTCGAGCTCAACGCCAACTCCGACAGAGGCAACCTCAAGCACGAGCACGAGTAGCAGCTCTTCAAGCTCGTCAAGTAGCTCTTCGTCCACTACTAGCAGCAGTGCCACCAGCAGCTCGACCCCGTCATCCACACAGACCCCTAGTACCACCTTCGCATCGGCGACGTTTGGTGGTATATTCCAGGAGAGCGGAAGGGGAAGAAGCACGCAGTCCGTGACGGCTGTCACGTCTGCAGCCGAACTGGCGGAAGCCACGAGCGAAGCTGCGCCCGCTGCAGAAATTTCATCCAAGAATGACGCAGCAAATCCAGACCAGGGACAAGCAGCCTTTGCCGGCTTCGTCATTGCTTTCATCGCCGCCGCAATGCTGTACTAGGAGCAAGAACATCAACTTTGACCTTCTATCCCTAAGCAACAAATATCTTTCTTTCAGATCCTGCCAGCAGCTGTCTTTACTGTCAATACATCACCGGAACGCAGATTCTCGAGGCAGCGCCTTTCCGGACTCCGATACGCCGAGGTCCCCAGCCGACTTCAACCGCGACTTTAACATCGCACTCATCATCATCACCTCTGGGCGGGCATGAAATGCACCGCGATCTTCTTGCCTATTCATTCGACGCTGCTGGCCTCTTTCACCCTTTCTACTTTCGAAAAGTGCCTATTTACCATATACAACCTTGCAGCCCCTTCTTTTCTTATCCTCTCGAAGACGGCTGATATGCACATCCCCCAACACTGGCCCTATACCGCGGGAACAGTGTTTATTGTTTATTGTCTTATGTGGTGGATCCAATTTTGCCCCTTCTGACACCTCATTCCTTTCTTGAGGCCTGGCACTTTGGATGCCAGCCACGCCACCTGTGGCGCCTCTTCGTATGTTTCTCTTCTCCGCGGAGATATATTTCCAACATTATACCCATGTACGCGATTGGACGTTGTTCACGAAGACTGGAGCATGAATGTCATGCTTCTCGGGGAGAAAGGGAGTTGCACCCTTCTGGAGGAGTGGGGGCGGTTTGGTGTTGAACGATTACTTTTCCTTCATTTCATTTTTTTGCTTTGTTCTTTGCTAGATAGCAGTAGGGCTTGACGATCGATACCTGTAGCAATGTCGTTTATGACTCTTTAGGTATCTTTAGGAATGGATCATGAGGGCCGAATTCTTCACCACGACGCAACCGGTCACCAAATTCCCGCTGACCTTTTTGCTGCAAGACAGCGACCGTTTTGTTGTGAATCCTCCCTCCCCTGCAGCTTCTTTTATTCGTGAACTCTCGTCCACCCATCTGCCTCGTTTACTCGCGTAGGTATGGAGAGACATCGCTTCTACTATAGGTACATGTGGCTTTACGACATTTGTGTTCAGAGGTAACAATGTAAAGCGCCATGAAGTAAACACATCTCAACAACCTACATTTATTGCTATCTCTCCTGCCTCAGCCCCAACTGAAATGATTTTGGTGGCCCATGTTTTCGGGGCCCCTTTCTGTGGCCAGTCGAATTTCCAAATGCGTGCGACATTTGCAGACGCCTGAGGCAGGTGTTGAAGGAGTAATATCGTGTATTCTTTTGCCCATGGATTTATTTCTCTCGAAAGAGTATACCGAGACGTCTACAGTTGTCTCAACAGAGTTGCGATAGTCCCGCCCAAGCGCCCTGCTGCTTTCCCAACCACCATTCCTTTGGGGTATTCTTCCAAATTGGATCCGTCGGTCTATGAGCTATTCGTGTACACATCAAGGTCCCTGCGCTCAATCTGGAGCTTCGCCAACCTGCTCGTCGATATCCTCGTACTCGTCACTTGAGGACTTGGAAGCAGCAGCAGCAGTCGCCTTCTGCGATGAATGTCGCTCGTGATTTTGCATGAGGATCTGGCCGCCGCCTTTCCTACCGAAGAAGTCCTCGGTCCTCAAGCCTCGTATCCGGTCGGGGGTGATGCCAGACATCGACTGGCCCGACGCCCGGTGCTCTCGGATCGACTCCCGCATCGGGACCATGGCCGCGTCTCTGCAAGCCTCCTTGATGTCGCTGCCCGACATGCCGGCCGTGACCTTGGCTATGTATTCCATCTGAAACGAAGGGTCACGCTTTGTGCCTTGTAGGACCAGCTGCAGTATGCGGCGCCGTTGGTCCTTGTCTGGCAGTGGGACTGGGAACTTCTTGGGCATCCTCCGCAGGATGGCCTCGTCGATGTCGTGTATGCGATTCGTGGCGCCGAGCACGCAGATCCTAGACGGAACCCCGGCTGCATTCGAGGACGTCAACCCATCCCAGAGCGTCATAAACTCGGCCTTGACCATCCCGCTCGCCTCGTGCTCGTTGCTCCGCCGCGTGCCTAGCACCGCGTCAATCTCGTCGATGAAGATGATGGCTGGCTCCAGCTTCCGCGCCAGGGAGAAGACGGCCCTAACGAGCTTGTTCGAGTCTCCGTACCACTTCTCCGTGAGCGTGGAGATGTGGAGGTTGATGAAGGAGGCACCGCTCTCGTGCGCCACCGCCTTCGCGAGCATCGTCTTGCCGCAGCCCGGGGGGCCGTAGAGCAGTACCCCAGAGGGCGCGGAAAGTAGCGGCGCCGCGTGCGAGTACAGGTGCGGCATCGTCAGCGGGTAGATGACGGACTCCTTGAGCTCCTCGATGATCTCCTCCAGGCCGCCGATGTCGTCGAAGCCGACCGGTATGTCATCCGGGGCGACCACTTCGAGCGCGACCATGGCCTCGTACTCGTTCAGCTGGATGTCCTCGATCCGTGGACCCTTGCGAGAGCCGTTTGGGTCCGTTCCGTCCACGCCATCTTCGTCTTTGTTCCGCCGTAATCGCGATAGGTTCGCTTGCGCCTTTATCCTAGCCTGCTCATGTTTTTCTTTCTCTGGGTCGGCGAGAGTGTTTGCAAAGGTGGACAGGAGGTTCTTGACAAAGAAGTAGGAGACGAAGGCCTGTGGCTGACATTAGTCTGGGTCTGCAAGGCATGTGCGGAAAGCGTGCCGTTCCAAGGCAAGCCATTGCGACAGTAAATGCAGGCAAGCGACGTACAAGTGCACCAGCAGTGACGATGTTCAGGACGGCGTCAGACGTCCGGGCTCTGCGGTCGCCCATAACTAAGCTGGACAAGATTCCGTTCATGGAATGGATGCGTTGCTGGCGAGCTGCAGGTAAGTGGGATATAAATACGTAAAGGGAGGGAATAAGAAACCCAGATGTTGTTAGCTGGGTGGGAGGTGTGGTGTTCTACCGAGGTGTTTGGATGGTCCACTGTAGGAAATGTAGGCTGGGGTCTGTCAAAGGCGAAAGTTACGTCGTCTAGGGTGGCGCTAGTTTGCACGCGAAGCCCACTTGCTGCCGTGGCCGATGGCTCCCCCACCCCCCACTTGCGTTGACCCGCTGCTCTGGCCAAGACAGCTCAGCGGAAAACAGGGGCTGCATCGCGTGTTTACTTTCCCTACAAGCTCGGCTCGTCACCTGGCCCACCGCCCGACCGACTGCGACCAGACATTTGCTGGCATCACACCCACCCTCCTGGATTTTTTCAATTGCGCTTCTATTCTCGAGCTTCCATCTACTGACTAATCGCACCCTCGAGTTACCATAAGAAAGCAGTTGTCGACCCCAATTCCCCGAAGTGCCGAGTCGAAATATCGAGGCGACGCGTTTCTCGGTTAGATGCCACGGATCAAACAGTCCACTTTGCTCGACTTGGCGGACTCCGACTCAGACTCCAGCTTCAACACGCATCCAAGGGCGCTGAAGACAGCAGACGACATGCCTGCTGCAAAGAAGGGCCGAGGTCGCGCCGCTGCCAACAAGGTCACAAAGCCTGAGCCCAAGACCAAGACGCGTCGCGTAGGGGCAAAGGCTGCGGCTGCGCTGGAGGAGGAAGCAGAGAGGCAGGCGCTTGCAGAAAAGGCCGCAAACCCACCAGTGAAAGCAACACGAGGTCGCAAGGCCAAGAAGGCTGCCGAGGATGAGGACGACGACGGCGCAGACGACGTGCTGGCAACGCCGCCGCACAGCGATGAGCCTGCGAAAACCAAGGGTGGCCGCGGTCGCCCAAAGAAGGATGCCGTGGTACCCGAGTCAGTGCAGAAAAAGGCAGAGCCCTCAGCCGTGAAACGAGGACGGAAGGCTGCCGTCGATAAGGCGGCACCGCAGGCGCAGCCCGAGATCCCGGAGACTCAGGCGGATGATAAGATGGATATCGATGCCTCCGAGGAGCAAGATCAAGTGGAGGACCTCCCGACCTTCTCGCGGTTCAGCGCTCCTCCGTCTGCGCAGCGGCTCAGCTCCTATCATATCCCACTGAGCGCGTCCAAGCGGTCAGCCAGCTCATCATTGATTGAGAGCGATCCCTCAACTAGACGACATCTCGGGAAATTGACAAAGAAGTATGAGGCATTGGAGCTTAGATATAGAGAGCTGCGTAACGTGGCGGTTGTGGAAGCGGAGAAGAACTTTGATCAGCTCAGAAAGCAGAGTGATGAGAAAACGCAGGGTAAGTGCCGTGAGGTCACATGTTCTGTGCAAAACTGCCGAGCGCAATACTAACAGCACACACAGCCTCCAACGAGCTCATAAAAAGCCTGAGGAGCGATCTCGCAGCCCAGAGGCAGCTAGCGAAAGAGGGGCAAAAGTCCCAGCAGCTGTTCGAGGCCAGTCAAGCCAAAGCCGACAAGTTGCAGGCCCAGATCACGGAGATAACCACGACGCTGTCCGAGGCCAAGACGGAGATCAAGTCTCTCACCACGAAGCTGAATGCCGCGCGAGCTGCCGAGGCAACTGCCACGGCCACGGCCCAGGCCGCGTCCGTGAGGGTTCCGGGTAGCGCCATGAAACCCAGCGCGATGGGCGGGCGAGGCGTAGACCAGGCGCAGGTGCAAGCTCAGCTGCAGGCCACTCAGACGGCCAAGATGAAGGAGAATCTGTACAGCGACCTGACGGGGCTGGTGGTGACGGGCATCAAACGCGACGGGCCGGAGGACGTGTACGATTGTATCCAGACGGGTAGGAACGGCAGTAAGTGCAAACCCTGCAGGAAGAGAGTATCACCACCCGCGGCTGACCGTTGTCGTTACAGCACTGCACTTCAAGCTGGCCATTGCGAACGAGAACTCGGACGAGAACACGGACGAGGCCGAGTTCATGTACAAGCCGCAGCTGGACGAGCGGCGCGACAGCCAGCTCATCGAGATGCTCCCCGAGTATCTTGTCGAGGAGATCTCTTTCCCGCGGGCCCACGCTGCGAAGTTCTACTCTCGCGTGCTGAAGTCTCTAACAGAAAGACTCGACTGAGCCTGATGGGGATTTCACCCTGCTTGTGCCGCTTCTGCGTCTTTGGTGTTCCGGTGCATACACTTTGAGGAACTGTTACTGTGTTGTCGGCGTGCTGTTAATCCGTGTTGGGACCCAAGCAGAAGTGGCGCATGTTGTGCTTGGGTCAGTTACCGTCTCCGAGCGTTTTTGCATGGCAAGGCGTTGGACACTCGATATCCTTTTTGTACACAATATCTGCTAATCGGCAATCTTCTTGGTAAATGTTTCCTTTTAAGTGACTGCCATTGCATGTAAGTGTAATAAATCCCATCCCATTGGGTCATACGATCTTGTCGACATATGCCCTGCTATCCAAAATCCGACCCGAGGTATTCCTGTCCCAAAATCACTATTTACATATTTGCTCACGCTCATAAATCAATCGTCAACAGCATTATCACTTAGACCCAAATCCCCGCATGATGCATCCGTGATCATGCTACCCCGATGGCTGAACCTGCCATTCTACCCACCCAAATGTTTCCCAACTACCTGGCCCAACCGATGCCCCGGCCCTCCTCAGCGACCTTACCACTCACGTTCCTCTTCCCGAACGAGAAATACCTCTTCGCAGCCTCCCCGCCCCCCGCGCCGCTCAGATCCAGGTCGTTACCGGATGAGACCTGCCTGTCACTGCCGATGATGACGGGCGGCGTCGCTGACTTGAGCTCGCCGTACGGCTTCGAGTAGAAGTCCGACTCGGGTTGGATGGAGCTGTTTCGGTTGCGGGCGCCCCCGGCCCACGTGTAGCGCTTGCTGAGGCTGGCCTTGAGCCCGCCGTAGCTCCGCCCCGGCTTCTCGTCCGTGATGTCGCCGCCGGCCTTCTTGCCGGCCTGCTGGTTTCCGCTCACGCGCTGGTCGTTGAGGTCGATCTCGGACAGGGCGGATGACTTCCGGTTGATGGGGTAGTCGCTGTTGGGCCTGCGGCCCTGCTTGCCCGTGGCCTGGCCAAAGTTGACGAGCGACGGGTTGGACCGAAGCGGGTTGGGGTGCTGGGACGCCAGGTCGCCATCGTTCTCGTCGAATTCGTCTGCCCCTGGGCTCATGAGGCCCCTGTACCCGTTCCCACGGCCGTTGCCGCCGTCCTCATAATCAGACTCGGAGTCTGAGTCTCGCGTGTCATACGGGTGGGTCAGAGACTCATAGCCCAGCACCATCTTCCTCTTCTCGGCGGCCCTCTCAGCAGCGTTGATGGCGCGGTTGCGCTCCTGCGTGCGATTTATCAGCGACTCTGAAGCATACCAAGACTCTGTGAACTTCGCGGGTCTTGGCAGTGCAGCATTGTCAGGCGCGTTTGTGATGGCAGGGTGGTGCGCGGCCACCGTGCCGGTGCTAGGTCTGGATTGATGACCATAGCTCCTGGGCGAGTCCGGAACGATGTCCCGGGTGGGAACCTCAGCATAAGAAGAATAAGAGCCGCGCCATGGGCTTCGGTGAGGCGGCGGGGCAGGCTTGCTAGAAAGAGGCGACGAGGGTGCGCCAGACATCCTCTTGAGGTCCTCCCCAGTGGCCGAGTTCCGAGGCGAGCTCTTGGGGGAGTTACCAGGCGTGATCTGGTATTGTCTTGCAGGGAAGTCAGCTGAGCCGAAGGAGCTGCGCGGGCTGGACCGAGTGGCGTGGAAGGGAATAGAGGCCGGGCGGCTGAGGTCATCGTTCGGGAGACCAGAGTACCGGCGGCCATCGATAGGGGTGGACAGGCGCTTCTCGTCCTCGGTGGGGAACGTGGACGCCGCTGTCATGGATGACTTGTTCCTCTTGTGCTGTCTGGAAGTCAGGTTGTCCTCGAGAGGGTTGCAGTCAGGCGGCATCCGAGCAATCTGCCTGAACTTCAGGGCCAGCCAGAGGCCAATGCAGAGCGACAGCAAGTGCAGCGCCCCGCCGCTGATGAGGGCATAATACAGGGAGGGTAGGAAGTAGGCCATGAGGCTCTGTGGGTTGAGTAGGGTTGCCCACTCAGTACTCGAGTTGTGGACAGACAGAGCGCCAAAGGCGTAGAGAGGGAGCGCGGTGAGGTCAGATATGGATGAGAATATCTGGTAGCCGGCGGAGGACCCTGGGGGTCTCGCCCCAGCCGGCCGGGCGAGGTGAAAGATGCCGTAGACACAGTGGATCAGAACTGCACCGGCCTGTGTTGGAGTTGGATTGGATCAGTATTTGAGAGTTTACAAATGGTCGGTGTCAGGCAGAGACAAGGTGGACTGCGACTCACGGTGATCCTCATGACCCATGCGGTTAGAGGGCTAACCTCAGTAATGACGATCATGAGGAAGAGGATGCCAGCGGCGACGATCATCTCGAGCACGCGAAACGCCAGCTGCACGATCCTCATCCACTTGATCCACCATTTTGTGGAAGGGCCAAAAGACTTCCACTGCGGCCGTGGGCCCCGGACCTCATGTGCGCTATGTGTGAAGATCTGGGGTCAGCTGGATTGTTGTTGGGAGACACGTAGATGATCCACTCGTGCAATGCTTACTCTGGGTGGCGGTTGAAAGACACAAGCGGGCCCTCGTGCTTGGGCTTGACCGGCTTTGGCTCCCAGCTGGACCTGGTGATGGCCTTGGGGTCGAAGGAAGTGGTCGGGAAGCGTGCATCGTCAAAACTGTCGAACCTATTGTTGTACATGTATGGTGCTCCACTCATGATGACTGACAGGCCGACGGCGACGACAGCGGCGAGAAGAGAATCAGAATGAGTGAGTGAGACACCAGCCAAACTCAGACCTCTCGGACCAAGGACTGAAAACTAAGGACTATGGATCGGGTGCGATAGCGACTGGAATGTCGGATAACATCAGGCAAAGAGGAGGAGGATGCGATGGGCAGTACAGCAAAACAGATTGTTCCTGCATGCAGTGCTGAGTGCCCCAGTGATGATCATATCATACATAAATCAAGAGGCTGGATATCAAGTGGGCTGGTGGGCTGGTGGGCTGGGGAGGGGCCCAGGTTCCTTGTTTACCTGCAAGGAACCCTCCGATTGGCACAGCAACGCAGCGAATCCAACGCGGCACGGCCCGTCAACCCCCGCGTCACTCATTTGCTCATTGGCTTTTGCTGTAGCTTGTAGCTTGTAGCTTACACACTGTCTGTCAAGCCGTCCGTGTAAGGCCCCAAGGCAGCCCGGCTCTTCATGTGATTGATGTACCCAAAAAAGCAACATTGACCTCAGGTGGCTTTCCCATCGCCGGTTACTGCTCTCGAAATATACGGAGAGGGAAGGAGACCCAACAAGGATTGGCTGACCCAGGGTCCAGTCCAAATCGGTCTGCCGCATCATCCAGCGACAATCGGACCCGAGCCGAGACGAAATTCGACGGAAATCCGGATCTGTCGCCGATGATCAGCAGCAGCTTCTGAGTCCGCCTTTTTTCGGGCACTCCTCACGATATCTGTACATAAAATAATCATGACCTAGGAAATCCCTGGACTCGACCACTCCAGCGCCCTGCCATGATGCCTCTCCCCATCGTCAGGTCGGCTTCCGGCCTCACCCTCAGCTGCAAAACATTCATCGACCGTCAACCACAGCCCCTGTCCCGTCTCCTCTCATGCTCGTACTCTGCTTCTGCCGTCTCCCGGCATGACCGGCCGTTCCGGATGGCAGTCGTCGGCTCCGGCCCCGCCGGCTTCTACACCGCGTACCGCGTCATGTCCCTGATCGACCGCGCAAAGGTCGACATGTATGAAGCCCTGCCTGTGCCGTTTGGTCTGGTCAGGTTCGGCGTGGCTCCTGACCATCCAGAAGTCAAGGTATTCTCTTTCTATTTCCCTCTCATTCTCGCCATCTATCTTACAGTACCATCCCTACCCTGCCCCATCCGATTCATTCCTGTTGTGGCCCGAATGGGTTGTGCCATGAACGAACCAGCCTTTTGTTAGCCACGGTTTACTCACTACTGCACAGAACTGTCAAGACAAGTTCTCGGAGGTTGCGTCCTCTCCAAACTTCACATTCGTCGGCAACGTCTCTATTGGCCACAAGCCCTTCCACCCAGACGGCCAATCAGTCCCCCTGACCACGCTGCTGCGCCACTACGATGCCGTGCTATTCGCATACGGCGCAGCCAAGGACAGGACACTCGGCATACCGGGCGAGTCGACCCTGAAGCGCATCTATTCGGCCCGCGAGTTTGTAGGCTGGTACAACGGCCTGCCCGAATTCGCAGGCCTGAACCCGGATCTCTCTCAGGAAGAGGCCGTCATCATCGGCCAGGGCAATGTCGCCGTCGACGTCGCCCGCGCCCTGCTCGAGGACGTGGACAAGCTGCGGAAGACGGACATGGCCGACTACGCCCTCGACGCGCTGTCCACGAGCCAGGTCAAGAGGGTTCGCCTGGTCGGGCGGAGGGGTCCCATGCAGGCCGCCTTCACCATCAAGGAGATGCGCGAGCTGATGAACCTGCCCGGCGTGTCGGCCGACCCTATCGACAAATCGCTCGTCCCGTCCGACCTGAAGACCATTCCCCGAGCGCGCAGGCGCCTCACTGAGGTCGTCCTCAAGGGCTCTAAGACCCCGCGGTCCTCAGCATCCAAGTCGTGGTCGCTGGACTTCTGCCTGTCGCCCACCGAGTTCCACCCGGACCCAGCGGCCCTGGACGCCGTGGGGAGCACCACCTTCGAACGGACCTCCCTGTCCCCGGACCCCTTCGACCCGGACACCCGTGCCACCGGTACCGGGGAGGCCACAACACTGGCCTCCCCGCTCGTCTTCCGCTCGATAGGGTACAAGTCTGTAGCCCTCCCCGAATTCGACGCGCTCGGTGTCGCCTTCGACGCGGGCCGTGGTGTGATCGGCAATGACCACTATGGGGGGCGTGTGCTGCGCAGCGGGTTTGAAGGCGCTGAGCTGTTCCCCGGGCTGTACTGCTCAGGCTGGGTCAAGCGAGGCCCCACTGGGGTCATCGCGAGCACGATGGAAGACGCATTTGCGACGGCCGAGGCGATAGCGGAGGACTGGAAGAGGGGCAAGAAGTTCCTTGGTGACGCCGGAGCGGGACAGGCAAGGAGCGTCGACAGCGCTGGGTGGGAAGGGGTGCAGAGTGAGGCGGGCAGGAGCGTTGCCAATTCTGCTGTCGACTGGGAGGGCTGGCTGGCTATTGACAAGGAGGAGAGGGATCGAGGCCAGCAGAAGGGCAAGGAGAGGGACAAGTTCACGGCGACGGGCGACATGCTCAAAGTGCCCTTCTCATCCATGGCATAAGCTGTCACCTGTGCTCTCAAAAAGCAACTAAGAAAATCGTTTCACGACTGGTCCACGGAGTACAGGTTTATATATGGATTACACTAAAAGTACCTGAGGTCTATTCCTTCAATTTCTCCGTCAGCTCGGGCACCTTCTCGAAAAGGTCACCCACGAGCCCGACGTCAGCGACCTGGAAGATGGGCGCATCCGCATCCTTGTTGATCGCAGCTATCACCTTGCTGTCCTTCATGCCAGCCAGGTGCTGGATGGCCCCGGAGATGCCGACAGCCATGTACAGCTGTGGCGCAACCACCTTGCCGGTCTGCCCAACCTGCAGGCTGTTGTCCGCGTACCCGCTGTCGACGGCCGCGCGGGACGCACCGATGGCGGCGCCGAGGGTGTCAGCTAGGGGCTGCATCACCTTGTCGAACTCCTCCTTGGACTTGAGCCCGCGGCCGCCCGACACGACCTTGCCCGCCGTCGCCAGGTCGGGCCTGTCGGACTTGGCGAGGTCCTCGGACACCCACTCGGTGGGGCTCGCGGTCTTGGGGTCGGCGCCTTCCTCGACGGCCGCGGAGCCCTTGCCGAGCTCGGCGGGCGCGAAGGCGGTGCCGCGGATGGTGATGATCTTCACGGGGTCTGTCGACTCGACCGTCGCGATGGCGTTGCCGGCGTAGATGGGGCGCACAAAGGTGTTCTCGCTCTCGATGGAGGTGATGTCGGATATCTGCTGCGAGTCGAGTAGGGCGGCCACGCGCGGCAGGAGGTTCTTGCCGAATGCTGTGTGGCCTGCGATGACATGTGTGTAGCCTCCTTTCTTGATGTTCTCGACGAGGAGGTCGGCGAAGTTCTCGGGGAGGCCCTATTATTCAGAATGGGAATTGATCAGTATATTGTCTTCACTCTGGAAATCGATACAAGACAAGACTCTGAAAAGCTCCTCTCGATTAACTTTCAGAGTAAGGGTCGGCGTATGTACCTTATCATAAGCACCATTGTCTACTGCAAGTATCTTCTCCACGCCGTCTGCGGTTGCGGCCTCGTCTGCCACCGGCTTGATGTTGCTCCCAGCCACGAAGCCATGGACCGGACCACCGACCTTCTGGGCTGCTGTGATGGCGCTTAGGGAGCCATGGTTCAGCTTCCCCTCCTTCTGCTCGAGGACGGCGAGGGTCGAGGCGAGCCGGCGGAGTGCGGCGGGGCTGAAGAATGCAACGGGGGAGGTGGTGCGCTGCGCGATTCTCCCCCGCAGCTGGTGTGCTGCTATTCTCCGTGCCGTGCAAAGCATCTTGAAAGGTGTAGGACTGTCTCCGTCACCTCGGGTGCAGCAGAGAATGGTGAGCGACAGGAAACGGGGCGAATTGGGGTGACTAGAACGGCATGGGGAAGTCGAAGCCGTCACTCGATCGGCTGGCGACGGGCCATCGACACTGACCTCGGCCCTCCGTGACCGGCTCATGCAGCAGTCGCTTGGAGAGAGGGCAGGGGCCACGGTACGTAGGTACATGGGCAGACCCGGAGCTGGCGGGTTCTTGCCTGAGGCTGCCACTTTTTGGCATGGCCTGTGCTTTTGCTGCTTGGCCGTCGCGCCCAAATTTGATCCTCCAACGCGACAGATGCTCATCCATCCAAGAGCGCAGTCCAGCACGGGGACCCATCTTTCGCGACGGCAACCCATCATCATCAACACGGCGCCCGACCCCTCCCCGCCACCCAGTCCATTCGGAACAGTAGCTTGCAGCCTCGTGGATTGTGAACGCTCCCTCCAAACTGGTCGCTCCCCGCCTTACGTGTGAATTAGAGCTGCAATCGGCGCTAGTCGACTTCCACCCCGTTCTGCATTGCAGCAAAAGACAGCCGCAACCCCAGCCCCGACCTCCATCATCACCATGGAGGAGGAGAACGTCAGCTACGGCACCCCTGCCAATGGCGCATCGCCCGGCAGCAATCCAATCCTCGCGCAACCACCTCTGGCAGATGCGAACCCTGGCGAAGGTTGGTTTCAAAGTCCTGCACCGTTGCGCCAGCCATCCACTTTTGCGTCGGACTAAACACTTCTCATCTAGATGTTCAAATGGGCGAAACCGTATCCACTGAGCCACCAATCAAACAAGATAGCACCACACCCGCACCAGGAGTTTCTTCGGACAACCCTCTCGATGCCCCCGAAGGCCCCGCCCCCGACAATGTCGCTGCCCAGGATGAAGACATGGTCGACGCAGAGGGCGAATCTAAGGGAGACCAGCCCAAGGATGGCGACGCCAACGGCGAGAGCACTGTCGGGAAGACGAAGGAGGCGATTGAGAACGCTGCGCGCGAACATCTCATTTCCCAGAAGCACTCCATCATCCTGCCCAGCTACAGCACCTGGTTCGACATGAATGTCATCCACACCACCGAGCGCAAGGCTCTGCCCGAATTCTTCAACAATCGCAATCGAAGCAAGACTCCATCTGTTTATAAAGACTACCGCGATTTTATGATCAATACTTATCGGCTTAACCCTGCCGAGTACCTGACGGTCACGGCTTGCAGACGGAACCTTGCTGGTGACGTCTGCGCCATAATGAGGGTCCATTCCTTCCTCGAGCAATGGGGTCTCATCAACTACCAGGTATGCCCTCGACGTGGAGTCAGACGTTAGCAAAGATACTGACTATTCAATAGGTCGACCCAGACCACAGGCCGTCCCCGACTGGTCCACCATTTACTGGTCACTTCAAAATCATCTGCGACACCCCCAGAGGTCTCCAGCCGTGGCAGCCAGCGGCAGACCCCATCGTCGCTCAAGGGAAAGCCAATGCTGATACTGAAGCCAAGGCCAAGGCCGGTCCAGTGCCCAAGAGCGAGCTGAACCTGGAGGTTGGCCGCAATATCTACGAGGCCAATGCCAAGGGTGCTAAACTCAACAAGAGCGAGGGCAACACGAATGGTGATGGCCCCGCGACCAATGGCGTGTCGGGCACGCCATCCGACGAGCTCACCAAGGCACCCATCGCAAAGGTCAACTGCCAGACGTGCAGCGCTGATTGTACCAGAATTTACTACCACAACAACTTCGTTGATTCAGCGTCAAACACCAAGAAAAGCACTGACATCTGCCCGAGCTGCTTTGTGGATGGTCGATTCCCAGGGAACCAGCTAGCTACTAACTATCAGAGGATGGAGAACCCCACTTACTCGACAACGCTCGACAGAGACGCGCCATGGACTGACTCCGAACTATTACGGCTGCTGGAGGGTCTGGAAAGGTTCGATGATGACTGGAATGAGATTGCGGACCACGTCGGTACCAGGACTCGTGAGGAGTGCGTGCTCCAATTCCTGCAACTCGACATCGAGGACAAGTATCTGGAGTCAGAAAACTCGCTCGCGGCGCCTGTCGGAGTGTCGATGCTGGGAAGCCAAGGTGGGCAGCTACCATTCAGCCAGGCCGACAATCCCGTCATGTCGGTTGTGGCCTTCCTCGCCAGCCTTGCAGATCCTGCCAGCGCGGCCGCTGCCGCTGGGAAGTCGGCCGAAGAGCTGCGCCAACACCTTCGGGGCAAGCTTGAGTCAAGTGGTGCTCTCGACGAACAGTCCAACGGAAAGGGCAAGGGCAAGGAGAAGGAGGGCGACTCAATGGAGGTCGACATCCAGCAGGAGACTACCACTACCACTACCACAACGACCACGACCACAACGAAGACCACGGCACTCGCCAACATCCCCCTGGCGACGATTGGGGCTCGTGCCGACGGGCTGGCCTCCCACGAGGAGCGCGAGATGACGCGAATCGTGTCGGCGGCCGTCAACATCACCCTGCAGAAGATGGAGCTCAAGATGAAGTTCTTCAACGAGATGGAGGCCATCCTCCAAGAAGAAAGGCGCGAGCTGGAGCGGGGCCGGCAGCAGCTGTTCCTTGACCGGCTCGCGTTCAAAAAGCGAGTTCGCAGTGTGCAGGAGGAGCTGAAATCAGCAGCTCTCGCGGGCGGCGAGCAAGGTGCCCGGATGGCGCAGGACGTGGTGATGGACGGCGACAGGCTGAACCTGCAGGCGGCGGCGGTGGGCGGCAACGTGCAGCCGTTGAGCAGTGGGGGGCAAATCAAGAGCTACGAGGCATAGAATGTCGCGAATAGCTACGGTTGGCCCAGCCGAGGCCATCGGTTTCCACCTTGGGCTTGAGGCCAAAGGTACTCGCCTGCACTGCACGACTATTGATTTTACTCTACTTTTCCCCAAGAGTCTGATTGGGTTTCATGGAGACGTATGGGAGAGGCGTCAAGTGGGTCGGCGATGCGAGGAATCGCATTCCAACGTTTCTTTTTTGCTTTGAGATGGGAATGGTTACTGTAACAAAAGCTGCCTATGTTGTCCAGGATGAGAAACAGAGAGGTCGAAGCGGTAGCCTCAAAGAGATAGAAACTCTAATGCAGTGGACGATTTGAACACTTGGCATGCATACGCATTTTAATTTCAGGTCAGTCGCATCGAGGCTGTGACCCATTCGACCGTCCCGGGGACGCGGATGATGGTAACGGACAAGAACTAGTATCTGGGGTGCCTCTTCTCCTGGCTAACGAAGGCTAGAATGTGAGTGCTGATCGTCCCGCAAGTCCTTTTCTCTACTTTGCGACAAGCAATAAACCAACCCGGCTTGCGGATGTCTGCGCTTCGGCTCTTTTGAGCCGTGGCAGTAACAGACTGATTTGGTGTACTTGCGTGCGGGCTGCGTATAAATGCATGTTAAGAAAGACGAGGTGCCTGATTCAGGTAAACCAAAGGTTCTGGCATGTGAAGAATGACGTGGTGCTGGGAAAGGAGGGCCAGCTGTCGGCAAAACCCTCATACGGACCTGTCGCGTGGGCTGGTCTGCTCGATGTAAAGCGGGAAAAAAGCCCCAGGTGTCAAATGACTGTTGATATGGCCCTCAGTTCATAACTTCCGTCCATTACAGGCCGAGCCCGGCCTCGGCGGCTGAAGGTGAGGACCTGGACTGATAACGGACTGGTACAGTACGTAGAGTACATGGACCACATGGCCTATAGTGAACCATCGGACCGTACGAGGGTATCCGTCGCGGGGATGGAACGGCGTCTCCAGTTCTTATCCCTGCCAACCTCGGCTCGACGGAGCTGGGCGGAGCGGACGGACGGTTTTCGCGGGGGGAACAGGTCAGTCGTTTTAGTCTGGGGAAATCTGCTCTGACCTTGGCCCGCCCCCTTGCGACCTGCCGTTGGACTAGTGCTGCGTGCAATGTACAATGTGGTAGTGGTCTACCTGGGCACTCTGTTCGGGCCGGGCTTCGGGTGGGAAGGTGCGACAGGCAGATGGGCAGACTGGCTGCTTGGGAAACGGGCCAAGAGGGGTGGGGGAAGAGGGGGAATGTACCCTTTATAACCACGCAGATGCCTCTGTCGCTCCCGCTGCCACATGCCAGACCGTCCACCTCGTACGTGCAGTTCTCGTTGAGTTGACTGTTCACCAATCCACTGCAAGATCCAACATCCAGAAGCTGTGCGGTGACGTGACGGCAGATCCCTGGTAGCACTCGCTGTCCGGTGCTGCACTGCATTGCGTTGCCTAGTATCGATCTATCAAGAGTACGGCTCTTGCTTAATACCTCGGCTTCGGCGTTGCGTATACCCACAACCACACCATCGCCGGCTACTCCAGAGAGGGCAACCCCTACTGCCGAAACACACCCACGCCAGTCGCCGACACACCACGCGCTGGCCACTCAGTCCCTTGGATACTTCTTGTCGCTGAGCAGTGTCACCTGCTCTCCTGTCCCGCCCTGTCTGCACCCTCGTAGAGCCCTCGCGCCTGTGTCTCTTTCACAAGCCATTGGTGATGTTGGCTGCTTTTGCAAGGACTGAACTTCGGTCCCAACCTTTGCGAGCTCTACGCGGTAGCAGCAGCACAACCACCCTCCTCTCGAGTCGGCCGGCTCCACTGGTTTGTCGCCCCACGCCCGTCCTCTTAATTCGTGTCTCCCCAACCTGACCGACACCCGTCCGCTCACCTACCTTCTCTTTCCGACAGATCGCAGCAGCCATGGCGCCCGCAAGTCGACGAGCCAACAGCTCCTTACCTGAAGGTCAGTTGCGGATGCGCCCACCATCTCACCCTCTCCCTCGCAGAAAGGCACTTTGCCCAGCAGCCAGCAGTCCACTGATGCAAGGAGCGCTCACAGGTTACGCCGAGGACAAGTCCAAGGGCCCCATGCTCCGCTTTCAGGAATCGCTGCCCCGTCTGCCCGTGCCCACCCTCGACGAGACAGCGGCCCGCTACCTGAAGTCTCTCCACCCGCTGCTCAGTCCAGGCGAGTTCGAGCAGAGTAAGAAGGCGGTGGCGGATTTCGTCAAGCCCGATGGTATCGGCTCAAAGCTGCAGGCGAAGCTTCTGGCCCGTCGCGAGCATCCCAAGCACAAGAACTGGATCTACGACTGGTGGAACGACGCAGCATACCTGTCGTACCGCGATCCTGTCGTCCCCTACGTCAGCTACTTCTACTCTCACCGCGATGACCGCAAGCGTCGTGACCCTGTCAAGCGCGCTGCCGCCATCAGCACCGCGGTCTTGAGCTTCAAGAAGGCGGTCGATGAGGGAACCCTGGAGCCCGAGTACATGAAGAAATTGCCCATCTGCATGGACAGCTACCAGTGGATGTTCAACGCCAGTAGGGTTCCCGCTAAGCCGGCCGACTATCCTGTCAAGTTCGACCCCAAGGCGCACAAGCATCTGGTGGCCATCCGCAAGAACAACGTCTACAAGATCGTCCACGAGGTCGACGGGAAGCAGCTCAACACGGCCGAGCTGGAGGCGCAGTTCCGACGGGTCTACGAGCTGGCTGTGTCGCGCGGTCCGGCCATCGGTGCCCTCACCTCCGAGAACCGCGACGTGGCTACCGACGCCAGAGAAGTGCTGTTGGGCGCCGATCCTAGCAACAAGGCCGCCCTCGAGACGGTCGAGTCCGCCTCATTCGTGGTGTGTCTCGATGATGCCGCCCCTGTGACGCTTGAGGAGCGCGCACACAGCTACTGGCACGGAGATGGACAGAACCGCTGGTTTGATAAGCCCCTGCAATTCATCATCAACGACAACGGCACATCGGGCTTCATGGGCGAGCACAGTATGATGGATGGCACACCAACGCATCGCCTGAACGACTACGTGAACGACGTCATCTTCAACAACAAGATCGACCTCAGCTCGACCGACGTGCGCTCAAACGTCCCCGAGCCGTCCCTGGTCAGGTTTAATATCAACAAGGACGTCCAGAAGGAGATCGACCGCGCGGTCACCGACTTCAACTCGGTCATTGGGCAGCATGAGCTGGCCGTCCAGTCCTACCAGGGCTACGGCAAGGGCCTGATCAAGAAATTCAAGTGCTCGCCCGACGCCTACGTGCAGCTGATCATCCAGCTGGCCTACCACAAGATGTACGGCAAGAACCGCCCCACGTACGAGAGTGCGGCGACGCGGCGATTCCAGCAGGGCCGCACCGAGACCTGCCGCTCCGTGTCGGACTCCAGCGTCGCGTGGTGCAACGCCATGGCAGACCACGGCGTCGACGACAAGACCAAGGTCGGGCTGTTCCGCGAGGCCATCGCCGCTCACCTCGAGTACATCAGCGCCGCGAGCGACGGCAAGGGCGTGGACCGTCACCTCTTTGGGCTCAAGAAGCTGCTTGGCCCCGGCGAGGAGCTCCCCGAGATCTACAAGGACCCGGCCTACGGCTACAGCAGCTCGTGGTACCTGTCGACTTCGCAGCTAAGCTCCGAGTTCTTCAACGGGTACGGGTGGAGCCAGGTTATCGACGCCGGTTTCGGCATCGCCTACATGATCAACGAGAACAGGTACGTATCCCAGCTCTGGGGAGGAAGAATTAATAGGGTGGGAATAATGAAAATAGTGGCTAACCACATGACCAACAGCATCAACTTCAACATCGTCTCCAAGGGCCTAGGAAGCCAGAAGATGAGCTTCTACCTCAACGAGGCGGCCGGCGACATGCGCGACCTGTTGACGCCGACCCTCGAGGCGCCCAAGGCCAAGCTGTAAAGGGCCTGGCAGGACACATCTGTTCCAAACCGACAAAAGGCGAGGACCAGGGATAGAGGTGGCACATGTGCTGTTGGAGTGAAAGGGGCCAGACCACACATAGAAGTGATCTTCCGACTTGGGGCTCAAAAGTCATCATATTTCCAATGTGTTTCCGAGCTATCATTTATATAGACGCATAACTAGGCATCCCCTCCCGCAGGCCCACCGGCTGTCACCTCCCAGCCGTCTCTGGCACGGCCCGGCGTGGAAGGGGAGGTTGGCTTGTATACTAGAGACTTTGAAGCGCGCTTACAGGCGCGCATGCAATATTAGATTTTGATGAGATCCGCGATGCTCCATTGATCCACCACGCCAGAACGTTCCTGACTTGCGCGATGGGGCAAAACTGATATCCCAAGTGACGGATAATGCAGTACCATCACACAATCAAGTCCAATCTTCCCGTAAGCTTATAAAAGCTCCTGACTACAGCAGTTGTTCGACACCCGAGGCGGTGGAGAAACAGCTTCCAGAAGCCCACCAAAAGAAGACATGCATAACAACACGTTCCTCAGCAAGTAGTGCACAACAATTGCGATGTGTATTGGAAATTTCCCATGAGCTCCCCACAATGCGTGGACCTCGGCCCAGAACGCTTCCTTGATCAAACCGAACAGTAGACAGACAATGCTAGAGTACAAGAAGCCTTTGGCGCATGAGTAGCCTTCAAGTGACGGAGTGGGCTGGTGTTCCGGCACAGACGGAGGGCCCTCCCCCGACCACAGCTCGCTGCCACTTCGCAAGCCAGTCGACAGATTCTAGCTTTCCAACACTCCACGACATACATGTCTAACCGGCGTGGGACACAATCTCATCCACCAGCGCCCCCTTCTCAGGGTCGTAGTACGAGCTGATCTGTCCCGGCAGGGGAACTTCGACATAATCATCGTCCGGCCCAGAGATAACATTGAGGTTGATGCCCGCAGACTTGGAGTGGATGATCTTGGTGGCCGTGCTCTCCTTGCTGAAGTAGACCTGGGCACCATCCACGGAGTCCACCATGACGGTGGGGATCGTGCCTAGTACTTGAAGCGCGAAGTTTTGGGACTTGACCACGTCGACGGAGGAAACAAGCGTGTCCACGATCAGGTTGAGCCTGTTCGTGTTGTCGATGGTCACAGCGTTGGCCTTGCCCTTGACTATGATCGTCGTGTTGTTGCACCTGCTGATCAGGATCGAGTGCGACAGCGAGGCCTCGATCTCGATGGGGTTCGCCTCCTTCTCAAAGTTCTCAATCGTCCACTTGTTGCCCTCGAACGTCTTGACAGGGGGCTTCTTGGCTCGCATGCTTTCCGGCTTTGGCTTCTTCCCGGGCGCAGGGCTCTTGCCCCTTGAGGTGTCGGACACCGTGCTGCTGGCGCGCAGCGAGGGATTCTTGTGCGTCATCTCGGACCTGTCGACCTTTCGCAGGCCCGCGGTGACGGCCTCGCCTTTGTTGAGTTCCGAGAACACGGCGTCGAGGCCGCCTGCTGCCGGCTTGGGAGCTTCCTTCTTTTCATTGATCTGGAGAACTGGTGGGGGCCCCGGTGGCGGAGGCGGTGGGGGACCACCAGCGGCTGGTGGAGGCGGTGCTGGCGCAGAGGCTGGTGCTGCAGAGGTGGACGCAGCCTTGACAACCTCCTGGACTGGCTCGCCCCGGGCATTCCATGGGATGCCAGAGGGGAAGTACTGCTTGATGTATTCGCCAAGGTCCTTGAAGATCTGGTGGAATGACTGTATCCACTCGACTTGCTGCGGGTTCTTGTCCTTGTTGTCCTTAATCACTCGGTTACCATAATATTGTGCGGATCCCAGCGAATTCTCAACGTGCTTGTGCGGCTTGGCCTCGTCCGTGACCCAGGCCAGCAGCATGATGCCTTCAGCTACAGCGCTGAGCTCGTTAGAGTCGGGGGACCCTCTGTTGGATTCCTTGATATTCATAACAGCCATCAGAGACTCGTTGATGGGCTTGAGCAGCTTCTGGTATGCTTCCATGTCATCGCTGTTGCTCAGGTTGGGCTTCTTGGCCTTGGTCGTGATGAGGAGGAACTTGCGCTCCTCCTGGAAGCCATGGACGACCTTGGCAGCTTGCTCGGCGATGAGCCCACCAATGGCCTTGCTGAGGCGGGAGTAATTCTCGACGGATGACTTGAGGAAGGCATCGAAGTCCTCGATGGAGTCGGGCAGGGGCTCGTCGGCAGCTGCAGCTGCGCTGTGGGCAGGCGCGGAGGGCGCACGGGACGGCGCATCGGAGATGGCCTTGGAGGAGGCATCGGGGGATGCGAGAGTTTCTTTGAGGGCGGGCACGGCCTGGGGGATCTCGATGGTGGAGGAAGCAATGTCCTCGAGGCGCGAGGTGGCGGCCTCGAGTCTGTGCAGCAGGTTAGTGACCCGTTGGTTGGTGTCGGGGGAGACGACGACGGGGGCCATGGTGAGGTGATGGATGTGTGTCTGCGAGTGTGCGTGCGTGTGCGGGTCGTTGGGTGAGGAAGAGGGCGAGGGTGAGGTTGTTGGGTATTACGAAATTGGAATTGGAGATGCGTACCGCTTGATCAAGGTGGTGAGGTTGTGCATGTTGTTAACCTGAGCCATGGTGTTGGAGACTCCGGGCAGTGGCAACCCGTGGCCTTACTATTAGGTAGGTGTTGGGTGCTAGTGGGTATCTTTTGGCTGGGGAGAGGCGGTCGCGAGTACTTGCGGGACCTAGATATACTCGAGCATGGGAAGCCGGGTCGGTAGCTTCTAATCAGGCGAGTTAGATGTTCAGATGCAAAACAAGCTGCATGACATTGCGTTACAGTTAGCAGGGCGTGTATCTGCGGCACTCAGGGGGGGGGGATCTGAGGTTGAGCTGGACACTGGAGCTGTGGGTGTGCGAGTGGGTGTTTCTGGCCGTGGGTGTGGGACCTGCCTTTATACAGGAGATCTAGTATCTTTGGGCTCAATGCGAGGCAGGTAGCAAGAGGCAGAAAGGACGCAGTTCTAGGAGGAACAACCACAGCTACTGGGTGACCGTTGTCTGTGGCAGTCGCAGTCGCAGTAGTCAGGCAACGGGGTTTCAAAAGAGAGCAAAAGTGGGAGCCTGCGATAATGCAATGACGCCAGCACATAAGCAATCAGGATGTGGTTGGAGATTGTCACGGCCAAGTAACCGCACGACAGAAGACTTTCAATGCAAGCCGGTGCGGACGCAGGACGGATTGCCAGGGAGCTTGCGTCCGTGCTGCGTCCCCTACCCCTGAGCTCCTGCAACCGACTGAGTGGCCTGCAGGTGCACGTACCAGGACACCCCTGCTGATGTTATGTAATGGCTTCTGTTCCAGCACGGCCCAATCAAGTCCCACTCTAGTCAAGACGCCAATCCACTATCGCCTTCGAGAAAATTCTCACACACATTCTCCATTATCTGCGTATGATTATAATATCTCAAATGGCCATGGTCGTCAAGGGCGTCTAGCTCAAATGGTAGAGCGCGCGCTTAGCATCAACATTCTCTTCTGAGATGAGTAATCAACATGCGCGAGGTACACGGTTCGATCCCGTGGTCGTCCATTTTCTTTTTCCCTGGCATCGATACTGTCGTCCATTCACTCGTGTCTATCAGGAGAGCGTGCAAGGAGATGTTCTATGCAATGGACGGATTGCGGCCCTGTGTGGCAAGCCACAGGTTGCATGAAGAGTCTTTACTTTTACCAAGAGTCCCAGAGAGCAGACAGCACCATCAATTGTCTTGCAGAGGATATACTGGGAGATCATCGTGTGTAAGCCTTTATCCGGGGGTACAAACCCTCGATGTGTTACACCACAGGAGGTCATCTAAGGAGATTATCCCATAGGAAGTTGTCTTACAAGGAGGCATTCCCACAACTGAATTCCGCCCTACAGCAACGTGTGTACTGGTCAGGGTACAGTCAAGTTAAGCCTTGCGAACCGGTGACGGTAATTTCGGAACGATGTCTATTAATTAAGGCGGCGAGGTACGATAGCTGTATCCCCTGCCCCGGTGCGCCTATGGTGTCAATTCAATTAATCTATCGTATTCGCCCGTCATCACCTGGTAGACTACGTGAATGATGGACGCTTTATACAAGCAATATTATTGGCACCCACCATATCGGTAATACACCCTCTGGTACCAGCCCTGCTCACCTCACGCCTGATTACGAAGAGAAAGGGATCGCACCATTCAGACGTTTCATGAGATTGCGCCCGGCATTATCTCTGCAAGGACGGCCCACGGGGTTGATAATGCAAGGCTATCCACCATCTTTCGACTGATGCTGAGCGTCTAGGACCGTCAGCTTGATGCAATGCCACTCTCACAGACCGACTTCTGCTGAATTTAGTTGTTGGAACACGGCAATAATGTGATGGCCTGTACGGAGGAAAGGGCTACGGATATGTCACTGCTGAGTTTGCTAAAGCTCGCTTGAAGGGGTGGGGGTGATGGTGAGAAGTCACAGTACATGGCAATTGTGGTGTCCCGGGGCTAGCTCGATCACGTCATCCGGGCTCCAAAGTGCCCAAACAGCCCTCCCGCCATGCACCAGGCCGAGCTTCGCCCGGTATCGGCTCCCAGAAGAGCCTCCCCGGGACTGCAGTATCGCCGCGTCGCAGCGCCCGTGGGCCCATGTACCGATACCTCGCCCGGTACCCTACCACATTCCGAGTACCCCGGATTTCAATGCCTTGGGGAACCAGCTCTTGCGCCTTCATTTCTGACCGATTCTCACCTCTCCCTCCTCACACCGACCTGACAATAGCCCGTACTGGATTCTTCGCCGGGCTCACATCTACCGATCAAAGCCTCGATCGCACTGCTGCATACGAGGAAGGGCGACAAACGATCCCTCAAGTCTTGAACCGGGCCGGCTCGTCAACATACCCACCTCCAATCAATCCACCCCGCAACCGAGTCTGCGCGCCCATGACTCTTCGCCTGTGCTCATTCAGCCATTGAGTCACCAACACCAGACCTCAGCACCTCCCTCAGGATGGCAACCCCAAGCTCAGCAAGTGGCAGCGTCGCCAAGAAGGTTTTCCAAAAGGTTGACCTTGACGGGAACAACCTACCTCCCTCGCCGGCTCCCTCGAGCCCCGCCAATGGCCGGCGCCGCTACGCCCTCGCCACGGAGCTCGTCTACACCGACAACAAGGACCAGTATGGCGCCTCCAGCTTCCCTATCTACCGCTCCGCCACCTTCAAGCAGTCCGGCGCGAACCCCAACGGCGAGTATGACTACACTCGCTCCGGAAACCCCACCCGCACACACCTCGAGCGCCACCTGGCCAAGATCATGAATGCCACTCGAGCCCTGGCCGTTGGCTCTGGCATGGGCGCCCTGGATGTCATCACACGTCTTTTGAGACCCGGCGACGAGGTCATCACTGGCGACGACCTGTACGGTGGTACCAACCGCCTGCTTACCTACCTGTCCTCCAACATGGGCATTGTCGTCCACCACGTCGACACCACAAATGTCGATAGGGTCAAGGAGGTCCTCTCCAACAAGACCATGGTGCTGCTCGAGACCCCGACAAACCCCCTCATTAAGATTGTCGACATACCGACCATCTCCAAGATGACCCACGACCTCAACGGCAAGGCCCTGGTCGTCGCCGACAACACCATGTTGTCCCCAATGCTTTGCAACCCCTTGGAACTGGGCGTCGATGTCGTCTACGAGTCCGGAACAAAATACCTCTCGGGTCACCACGACATCATGGCTGGCGTGATCGCCTGCAATGACGCATCTCTGGGCGACAAGATGTACTTTATGATCAACTCGACCGGCTGTGGCCTGTCCCCCGACGATTCGTCACTGCTGATGAGAGGCATCAAGACCCTGGCCATTCGCATGGAGAAGCAGCAGTCCAACGCACAGGCCATAGCCGAATTCCTCGAGTCACATGGCTTCAAAGTCAGGTACCCAGGCCTCAAGTCCCACCCGCAGTACGACCTCCACTGGACCATGTCCCGCGGAGCAGGTGCCGTTCTGTCCTTCGAGACTGGCGATGTGACGATCTCGGAGAGGATTGTCGAGGCCGCCCGGCTTTGGGGAATCAGTGTCAGCTTCGGTTGCGTCAACAGTCTGATCAGCATGCCCTGCCGGATGAGCCATGCCAGCATCGACCCCAAGACCCGGGCAGAGAGACAGATGCCCGAGGACATAATTCGATTGTGCGTCGGTATCGAGGACGTCAACGACCTGATCGACGATCTCTCGCGCGCGGTAAGGCCTCCAGAATATACCCAGCTTGAAGTCGAGTGCATGTTCTAACGTTGTGATAGCTGGTGCAAGCTGGTGCCGTTAACATCACTTTGGATGGTTTCCACGCTGCCAACAACGCGGACGCTACTGAGCAAACATCTGACCTTGCATCTGCGTAAGTTTGGGCGATGTAGAGGATAAATGTGGGATTTGGCGTCAAGGCGCATCGTGCAAAGCATCTCGATACTCCAAAAGTTGGTCTCTTCGGTGCACAGGCAACTGTTTATTATACAAACAAAGCATTCCATTTCTCAAAAGCAAAAAAAAAAAAAATCAAACTCTCAAGACATAGTGAAATGGACTAAATGAGCAGAGACGGCCACGAATGGATATCAGGAATTTACCAATCGCGCCACACACACAACCCCTCACATCTTCGGGCGGCGCTTTCCTGCGGCCTGCATGATCGTCAGCGAACATGTATCAGTCGAATGTGGAGGGGCAGGTCGTACCTGCTGGCCTTGGGGCCACTCTGAAAAGGGTAACTCGCCCCTTCGGTACTCCCCCTCCCAAAGCTGGAGCATTGGTGACGGGAATTGGTCTGGTTTAGATGATTTCTTGGTGGACTGGCTGCTTTTGAAGGCGTCAGTGTCTTCGCGACTGGCTCGGGGACCTGAAGGGAGTTTACCTAGACTTTGGTTCACAGGGCTTGGCCTGGCGTGGTTTGGTGTCGTGAGACATCTCCAGGCAATGAGCAATGAGCTCGATTCGGTTTGGGGATTGGAGGTCGAGAAGTCGAGGTTGTGAGACAGAGAGGAGCCACAACTTCAAGCTGTCTCAGCTATGGGTTTCTCACTTGTAGAGGAGACGAGTTTCAGAGAAAAGGAAAAACACACTTCGAGGGCCTGGTCGAGAAAGCGACTCCATCTCGTCGTCCGTGGTCAACCGCCCTGCCTTTTATGCACCCCAGGCCATCATGAGGATTGCGGACAGCTGGTTGCTCTGCTGACTCTTTTGGCCCTCGGTCAAGACGTTCTACTCCAGAACAGAGCTGCAAAAGGCTTATCGCATATTTCGATCCTCACCGAGCCCACGCGGCCAGCTGGGACTGACGTCTCGACGGGGGGCAAACCCTCGAAGGGGCAGACCAAAGGCCGGAATATGATATGGGATGCCACCCGTGTAACCGCCACGCAGCAGCAGGCGATAGCCACGCTGCTGACCGTGCATGAGCGCGGATCAGGAGCAAAGGAAGCCCTGGGTGGCCCCAAGAGGGTGACAAGCGAGTGCCATAACGTTTCCCGCGCGGACCGCCGTACAGCAGAGGTATCTATCTCCCAAAATGATGGAGGTGTGATGATGGCATCTCCCATCGAGCAGCGGAACACACTGTGCAACCACACCTCTCGAAGACACTAGCCCCGTGTGTCTGTGTCTTCGCACTACACCACTGGCGCAGCGTCCAAGATCCCGTTCTGGAAGCCCAATGGGCTGTCAAACCCCCCGTCGACAGCGCAAAACGTCCAATTGCGTGCTCCATCCCACCCCCTTCCACCCCTTCATCCTTCTTTCCTCACGGCAGACACGGCCGACGCAATTGGTTCGAAGGGGGCGGCAGGCGAGCATGGGGGGAGGGGCCCGAATTGCCGACAGGTCACTGCATGCTTAATCTTGCCGCGATAGACTACTCCGTTCCAGATGGGGGTTTCCATAATGCACAGGTGTCGCCTAGGGTTACCGTCGGCTCTGACGACAAAGTCGCGCCCGTTTGCACTTACACAGTATCCAACCCCCACCACCACCTCCTGCGGGCCCCTTAATACATCTGAGACCTCCGCCGTCGAGCCGCCTCCAAGTCGCTCGCTAGTGTTGAAGAAAACGAGGAGATGAAGTAAGAAAAAGGAAGGGCGCCGTGGGGAGACCAGACTGACCGGTGGAGCTGAAGCTGAGACTTGGTCATGTAGGTAGCCCAAAAGGGAGCACAGGGACGGCACAGCTTCACGGGGTCGCAGGCGAAGGAAGCGGTTTTCACAGGAGAGTACGCAGACCGATCGTGTAGGATAGAGACCTGTATACGCATCGACGTGCTCATGGTGACACACGAAATATGACAGCCTCGTTAAATGTATGTCATGCGGTTTGATTCTTTTGTGTGTCAAGTTGCCTACTCATACATCAAGACAGGGGAGGGGAAGGGCGAATAGAAATCCTCCGAATTTCTTTCGAATAGGAAACCATCAAGCATGGAGAACACGCCGGCTGCGACTATCCGTCCTTGGCCACTCTATCCCTGGGGGGGAACAGTTGCGCGGTCTGGAACGAGACTGACCGAGAGCGTGGACCACCAGCCGCTGCCCGTCTCTGTCCTGGAATCGCCTGTCGGGCCGGCATATGAGGGAGGGAGCTGGGGGCAAGAGCCGTATGTGGCTTCTCTAGTCGGCCATCCCCCACCACAGGATCGACAGCCATCGGCTCAAGGAATTTGGACGCAGAGCCGACCACGAGGTAGCGAAGTGTGGTGCTACAGAGGCAGCGATTCCATCAGCTGATTCAAAGCTGCGTCGCAAGCGTGTGGCTCTCCTGTCGAGTCCCATGTAATCCCATGCACAGGTTTTCCGGCATCCTGCTCTGATCGAGTCTGCGGCTGTTTGATCTGAAGGATGATCTAGAATCCCTCAGAAGGTGTGGCAAGAGCAGACCATGACAACGGCTTGGACAAGAAGCATGTCCCGAACCATGACAGCGGGTCTCAAGTCTGCTGCGACTTTCCTGCTTTAGAGTTTCCATCGAGTCCTCGCGAGGTGTTTCCGTCCTCCCTCCCGCCCGTCCGCCCGCCGTTCGCTCTCGAGTCTCAGCTCTCAGATTCCCAGGATCGATAGGCCGAGATTAAGAGCCATCCACCAGCAGACCCGATAGCGAGGCAAGCGAGCGGAAACAGTGAACTAGGCGAGGCATGAGACGGGCGGAAGGGAGGGGACGGCCCTCACCGCTCCTCCCTCCCTCCCTCATCACCTGCCTCTCTCACAACTCACGCGCATGCCGCGGCTTTCCACTCTGCCCTCTGGATTTATGAATTGTCACGTCGTACCACGTGGTATGCGCTCCGAAGTTCTGCATGAGCGACAGAAGCAAACAAAAATCCGGCTTCAGGGCAACGAAATGGTGCCGTTGGCAAGATCATCTTCAGGGCCGACGCCTCGGACTGCCCTAGACCCTCATCGATGCTTCCTTCGCGCGGGGGTGGCGGGCGGATAGTGTACCCAGTGCATCATGTTCCCTCCCGTGAGCTTGCCGGATCTTGTTGTCGGTTCCTCAGCCTCACCGGACACGGCACGCGGCGGACTCGCTTGTTTCGATAGACGTTGGAGAGCCCCGCGCTTCAAAGTTATGGAGAAATGACACCAGCGGGTAGCCGCTTCAGGATCGAGGTAATTTCAAAGGTAATTAACTGTTCAGGAGAAGTCCGATCACTTGGCCGAGGGGACAGCCAGCATCCGTTTGCAACAAGTCTTTCATTTTGATGATTTGTTTGGTGGTGCAAGGAGCCGTACTTATACAGAAGGATCCATCTGCGGGACATTTCTTTCAAACAATGCGCCTAAGAGCGCATGCAGTGCCAACCTCCCTGTAATATGCAAGACGCTCGAAAATGAAAAATGCGTGATGTCGCTATCTCTTAAGCCTCAAATCGGTCGGGCAGGACTATCGGCGCGACCAGCGTCCAGACATACATGGCATAGCAGATCCAAGAACTGATGATCTTGACCCAGCTAGCCCAGTAGGTGCGTCCGACGGTGGCGAAATCGTCCTCCTTCTGGTCATCATAGCCTTGTGTGATCAGCGTGGCAACCCATGCCGTCGCGAGGAAGAATATGATGTGGAACACGGCGTAGTTGTACTGAGTGCTGCCACGCTCGTCATCGTGCGCCGAGTTGTCACCACTCGAGCCGTCATCCTCGTCATCTGACAAGAGTGCATCGGCTGGTAGACTTCCCTCCTCCACCGCCCTCCGCAGCGCCTCAGCACGCATCTCTCGGCGTCCACTGGGCTGAGTGGTCACCAGGTCATGCTCGTCTTCGTCCGGTAGGCGGATTGCACCCCTGTTGTTACCCAATCCAAGGCTCTGAGTAGCCGCCCTTGTTGTCGTGTAAGCAACGGTGAGCATTGTAACAATGGCGCCAAGAACTACAGTTGTGGTTCGCGTGCCCTGGGAGAAGGCAAAGGGGTTGCAATGCTTGGACCCATCGTCATCGGGCTCCATGGAGACTGCCGACATGGTCAGGTAGGAGCAGTAGATGGCGACCATGGCTGACTGCGCCAGGCCAGCCTTGGGGTTGACCTCCTGGACAGCCGGATGCACAGAGATTGCCGAGATAGCGATCCACAGCAGCAGGTTAATGGTGATGACGGCCTGGTTCATCGAGCAGCCGCTGCTGGCAAAGAATATGTACTGAACGATGGTCATGGCAAGCGAGCCAATATACATGCCCAGCGTGGAGCCGATGAGGACAAATCTCCAGGCGCCCGAGTCGGTGTTCTCGATCTGCTCGAGGCAGTATTCGGCCCAGGTGTGTGCCAGGTCAACCAACAAGATCAAGCCGAGGATGAGGAACAGCATGGCGGCAAAGAAGGAGATGTAGTTGCCCCAAAACTGGAAGAAGGGGTCCGGGATCAGGAAGGACAGGACGATGAAGGCCAGCCAGGCAATGACCTTGGGGCCCCAGTAACCATTCTGCAGGGCGGCTCGGGGATTTTTAGACGAGGTGACACCGACCATCAGACCGGCGAAGATAAGGTGGAACAGGCCCAGGGCAAAGTTGATCCTGTGCACCGCAAGCCAGCCGTAACACTGGCCGGAGGGGCATGTGATCTGGACGTAATCGAGGGTAAGCTTTTGGAGGTTTTTGATGGCCCATGGCGTGAGCATTATCCACGACAGGATCGAGTTGACGAGGAGGATGAGGGCATAAGCAATACGAGTAGCGACACTTGTGGTATCCTGTTAGCCGAACTGTCGTGCAAGTGTAGAGACAGCGGTTCGTGTGGGAAGGGTGGACGCAAACTCACCTGTTGCCGCACTTGCCGCAGGCGCTGCACACCATGGAGCAAGTTGCCGCGCCGCAGCAACTGGCAGCGAAAGACACCAGCTGGAACGCACAAAGTAGCATGGTCAGCTGTCATTTTTCAAGCGCCGGGTGACGGAAGAGTCGATGGGGCAAGGAACGTACAGTGCCTGCGCTGGGCAGGGCCAGCAGCGGAAGAGAGAGTAAGGCACCCATCCTGGGAGTCTGGGCCCGGACTACAACACCACCACTATTGATATCTGACGAGTTGAAACGGAGATGGATTCCGGGTTGTCTCTGCAGGAACCAGAGTCGTCTTCCACGTTGCTCAAGGCCGCGGGCTGTCGATGTCGTCGCTGGCGGTTGGATGATGCTGGGAGGGCGGGAGTTGGTTGAGGTTGGGGTCGAATGTCAATAGCCGACATGGGAGGCAGGGTGGCAGGCAGGCGGACCAAGCAAGGAAGCTTCCACGGCCAAGGCTGTTTAGTCACTGCCCAGGATGCCCAGCAAAATCACGTGGGCCGGGACCAGCCAGACAGGCCAGACCAGGCCTTCTTGTCTCACACGGTACGTAGCTGGTCGCAAGCCACGTCCTCCATGTTACGTACGCACATGCGATCCTGCACCAGCCTGCCCGTTGCCATTGTTCCATTCTTCAGCGGACCCACCCCCATTCCCCAGGACCCTTGTCGCTGCATCACCCAAGAGAAAGCGGGTTCCTGAGATGTGCTTGCGGGTGGACGGACCTGCATACCTACCGGCACTAGGCATTCAGGCACTGCAATACTTTACCTCCCTAGGTAGACTAGGCATTTCAACTGGTCAATTAATTTTCTCTGGAGATTGGTCAGTCATTTGTGTCAGCGACATAAGGAACAGGCTGCTGCTTCTCCGGTCAGGGCTGGCATCAACTGATGGCATAGGAGAGAACGAGCGATTGCAGCCTGATTTGAGCATCAAAGATCAGAGTGTCAGAATATCCTCATCTTCCTTAAATACAACAGCAGGAGGGGCCAAGGGGCCTTGGGTGGGACCGGCCCACGGCTACCCGGCAAGCCTAACTTCCCGAGTAACACGGCAGCTAGCCCCACAAGCCTGTCGCCTATTGACTGTCCCTCTCCGGGATGGGAGCTATCAAAGGCTGGGCTGTCAGCTCGTAATCCTGGAAGCTGCATTGTTATCAGTCATCGCCTATCGAAATGCAGTGCCATGCCCTTGGAAACCGGGGCCACTTTAATAGACAGCAACACGTAGTCAGTCTACCTGGCCTGCCACTTTCTGCTCACGACATACATCCGTGATAAATCCGTATCTAGTCCTTCAATTCCATTCCAGAACGCTCGTTCTCTGTCTGCGTATTTCTCTTCTCTCCCTCTCTGTCTCTCTGTCTCTGCCTTGTGTCCGTCACACACGCTCTCTCCCTCCCTCCGGCCATCTGTCGCCCCGGAACACGAACTCGGGACGTTGCATCATCACCGCATTGATGGTTGGAAACCGCCCCTCCTGACACAATCAGCACCATGGCCAACATGAAGGACCGTCAGCAGCTGCACCGCGCTCGCATCCTCTCGAGCGTGGCTGCCACCTTTGTGTCTCTGGCCTGCGGAAGCAACGTGAGTGCATCCAAGTCCCGTACAATCGCGACACACGTCGGCTCAGTGCCAGGGGCAAGCTGGAGCTCGAGCTCGAGCAACCGATAGCTGACTTCTCTCCCGCTTCTGCGCACAGTATGTCTACTCGGCATGGGCCCCTCAATTCGCCGACCGCCTGAAGTATTCGACAACCCAGAGCAACCTCATCGGTCTTGCCGGAAACCTCGGCATGTACGCCTTCGGCATGCCTGTCGGAATCCTCGTCGATGCGAAGGGACCCCGTCCGGCCGCCCTCCTCGGGTCCATAATGCTGGCGTTGGGTTACTTCCCGCTACACCTGGCCTACGATAAAGGCTCTGGCTCCGTCGCCCTCATGTGTCTCTACTCGTTCCTGTCCGGCTTGGGAGGGTGTACAGCCTTCGCCGCCGCTGTCAAGACGTCTGCCTTGAACTGGCCGCACCACAGGGGCACAGCGACGGCCTTCCCCCTGGCTGCATTTGGGCTGAGTGCATTTTTCTTCTCACTTATCGGCGGCTTCCTCTTCCCGGGTGACACAGGCGACTTCTTGTTGCTTCTGGCCTACGGCACGGCTGGCATGACCTTCCTCGGTTTCTGGTTCCTCCGTGTCATCCCACACCATGGCAGCTATCAGTCCGTGGCTGCCGACGAGGACGAGGGCAAGGTTCGGTCAGACGCTCCCTTTGTCGAGCCTGGTAGGTCCTCCCGCTCTTTCCCCTCTACAACTACGTCCACCTTACACATGAACCAAGCGGATCAAGAATCCGGCACGGCGGCCGCAACGCCCAAGAACCCCTACGATTTGACCAGTGGTCGGACCGGAGACGGAGAAGGCGAAGGCGAAGGCGAATCGTCCACCCTCACGACGGCAGCATCATCCACAATCGTCGCCGAGACGGACGATTCAGACGAAACCTCATCACTTGTCTCCTCCAAGGGCTCCTCGGTGGCAGGCGAAGTTTATGTGCAGAATGTTGATATGGATCGGTCTCATTTGGTAGATATTCGTGGCTGGCAGATCCTGCGCAGTCTCGAGTTCTGGCAGTTCTTTGCCATCATGGGCATTCTGGCAGGCATCGGCTTGATGACCATCAAGTAAGTGTATTCTGCACCCGAGCCAGGTCCCGTGCGCGCGAAACTTACACACGAGAAACAGCAACATTGGGCACAGCGTGCAAGCATTATGGTCGCACTACGATGATTCTGTGAGCAACGATAGTCTGCTCAAACGACAGCAGCTTCATGTATCTATCCTTTCTGTCTGCAGTTTCTCGGGTCGCCTGCTGAGCGGTGAGTCCACCCGACCCGGAGGCCCTCGACTTGTGTTCTCTTCTCCAGTGATCTGACCAGCTTCACCAGGTGTCGGCTCCGACTTCCTCGTCAAAGTGCTTCACGCAAGCCGCGTCTGGTGTCTTGTCGTCGCGGGTTTCATCTTCACTGTCGCCCAGGTCTGCGCCTTGGACATGGTCAACCCGAACCTGCTGGGCTTCGTTTCCGGTCTTTCAGGCCTTGGCTACGGTTTCCTTTTTGGCGTGTTCCCCTCCATCGTTGCGGAGAGCTTTGGCATCCACGGGCTTTCTCAAAACTGGGGCCTCATGACCATGAGCCCGGTCGTTTCCGGGAATATCTTCAACTTGTTCTACGGTGTCGTATTCGACCACCATAGCGTGGTCGGCCCTAATGGCGAGCGTTCTTGCGTGGAGGGGCTACAGTGCTACCGCGCCGCCTACCTGGTCACATTGGCGTCTTGCATCGTTGGATTTGTCCTCACTCTATTTGTGATCCGGCACCAGTCCGTTCAGAAACAAAGGGATGCTAAAAGCAAAGATGGCCTTGAGGACTGAAGTTTTGGTTATTTAATTTTTGGGAAGGAGTGGAGAGCTGTCGGCGTACGGTCTGGTTGAGTCGGCGATGTGGGATGCCTGTTAGACGACTTAGACAGCATAGAGACTTCAGGCGTTCTTGGTGGGATTTGGGCATCAGACCTGGGTTGCGGTCTTCCTTTTGGATGGTTCTGGGACATAGATGACAGTAAAGGGGAAATTGGCTGGGGTCCTCAGACAGACAAGACTGTTGGAGCCACAAGGCGAAACGTCAGTTATTTCTATGGCTACTGCGACTAACCAGAGGGGTGCACTATAGAAGATAATACGTATGGCGTACAGCAATAGCTTTCTTTGTTTCTCCCCTCTGTTCTGTCTCACATTAAGCGTGACCGAGTTTGCAACGGCATGAGTGCTCTTTTAGTTCGGAGTCGAGACTCTCGACCCTGTGCCACGTCTGCATGAAGTATTCTCAGCACGTGGAAGGTAGCAGTTTCGAGACGACAAACTAATGAAAAGGTTCATGGACTGGTCAAACTGATTATGAATTATTCGAAAGCCACCGGCTTAAATCTAGCGCTGTATTCTATTGGATGTGCAAAGCCACCTCTCGCACCGGACATCATTTCTTTGGAGAAAAGAAAAGACCGATCCCCGTCAGAAGAACTCTTAGAAATCTATGTTTCCCGCCCAAAACACCTAGTCCGAGGATGACACAGCAAACTTGCTCATGGCCCTCAGCCTGGCACCGTAGATGTAGAGCAAAAAGATGCCGAGGATGCCAATCGTACTCAAGCCACCCAGCAGGCTGGTGCCGCGCGCCACACCCAGGTTCCCGTAGAGCGGCCCCGCGAAGAGGATGCTACCGCACGCCAGGGCGCTGCGGAAGAAGTCGTTGCCCGCGAACAGGCTCGCGGCATACTGCGGGTAGGAGATGGGCACGTAGACGAAGATGCACTGCATGACGACGAAGACGGTCGCGCCGTAGATGGTGATGCCGATGGTGGGCGCGATCCAGGGGAACTGCGGCGCGGCGGTCCAGGCGAAGATGAACAGCCCGATGGTCGGGCCGAAGGCGGCGGCGAGCGCGGGCACGAGGCGGCTCTCCTGGACTGGCCACCCCTTGGCCTTGATCCGGGGGTTCATGTAAAAGTAGATGTAGCTTATATAGATGGCGATGCCGATTATGCAGGCAACGAGGATGCACAGGAATACCAGGCCGATCTGTCCTGCGGTCATGTCGTAGTATACGGGGTAGACGAGCGGGAACACCTCGAAGAAGCTGTAGTAGATGCCGTAGATTATGGCCGTGTAGATCTGCACGAACAGGATGGCCGGGTCCTTGAGGGTGATCTCGAGCGGCTTGATGAGCGCGTCGACCAGCACCGCCGACGTCTTCATGTTGCGCTGGTCGATCTCGCTCTGGCTCATGAAGCGGTCGTTCCCCGTCAGCTTCCGCAGCCGGCGCGCGCGCCGCAGCAGGATGTTGGCCTGGCTCGTCTCCGGGAGGAAGAAGAACATGGCCAGGAACATCGGCGACGCGGCCCAGATCACCTCGAGGAGCGACCACCGCCAGCCCATGACGGGGACCGAGTACCCGGAGAGAAGCGGGCCCAGTGCAGGGCCACAGTACGCCGCGCTAACCCATGCAATCATGGCGTATGGCAGCGACAGAAGCGAGTACATGTCCCCCACAGAAGCGCCACCCGAGGCCAAGCACGGGGACCCGAAGAAGCCCTGCAGAAAACGGAGGACCATCAGGCCCGGGTAGTTCTGGACCAGGGCGGTCGGGATGGAGATGATGGTGTACAGGAACATGGTGACAATATAGACTGGGTTGCGGCCGATCGCCGGGAGCTCAGAGAGCGGGCTGAAGATCAGGGGCCCGGTGCCGTAACCGAGCACGAACAGCGAGAGCCCCAGAGCGGCCTCGGTCTGGCCCACTCCGAACTCCTCCTTGATCCCTTCTTCGGACGTGGTGTAGATGGCTGACGACATGTACACAACGAAAGTATAAAGACATATAATGGTGGTCACGGCGGCACGGCGCGCGTTGGGCCAGTTCTGGGGGTTCTCGGGATCATCCGAGTAGTACCAGTCGACGAGAATAGCACCGTCCTTAGTCTTGCGCGGCACTATGGGTATGGACCTGGTCTTCTCGAGCTCGTGCCTCTCGTCCGCCTCGAGCCGGTCCGCGGTATAGGGCGTAGTCTCCTCGCGGCTCTTGGTCCGCTGGAGGCCCAGGCTTGACCTCTCGCCAGGTTTCTGGTAGGGCTGGGCATCTCCTTCCCTCTGTTCTGCTTGCTTCTCCTCGTCGTCAGATACTGACGACTCTGAGGAGGAGGTTGGCACGCTGTCGAAGGTAGCCGGTTGGCTTGGCTCCTCGTTGTTCATCAGCTGTACCCATGGTTCTGGCAACTGAAAGTCGGGTCTCTCCTCTGGGTACAGAAAATACTTGTTGCGGGTGATGAGGCGGATGATCCCACCAAAGGCGGAGTCTCGTACTGCCGACATGTTGTGTGTATCTACAGCTGGGGTATCAAATGACTTGGGAAATGGATATACAATGGGCTCGCTGATGGCGCTCCGGCTTTAAACTGTGCCAGGAATGAAGAATTCTCAACTCTTGAGGCCGAGGGATAGAGTTGCTTGTCGTGATTGTTGTTGGAGTCGGTGAAATATCATTTTGAAATGAGACGAAGAAGCTGTCATACTTATACATTGTCCTTCGTCAGGCTGGATGGGAACAGTAGCGCCAAGCATGGTGTTGATGTTACAAAGCCGTGATCCATAATGAGCCCTGACATTGCTGACGGAATTAGACTTATTTGCGACTCCTTTGCAATGTCGACGGACCAACTTTCGCAGTAAGATTACCAAGCGGAGGTAAACTGGCTGGAGCAAACGCCCTAATGTCCAGTATAGTCACTGATAAAAGAGTAGTCTTCCATGACGATGGTCGTAGTTTGTCGGGGATTACCCCGGCAATCAAGCTGCAGCAAGAAAACTTCGACGTGTTCCTCCAAATGGGATTTGGTTATCTGGACCCTGGATTGTAAGGGATTTGCTGCGGGGATCAGCACACCAGCCTATCTGTTTCAGGACAAATCGACCTCGAGGTACCGGCGGGATTAGTAAACCTCGCATGCTAGCTGTCCAGCGTCGATCTTGGCGTCAAGCCTCCCGGATGCAAGCGGCGTTTAGGCGCATTTATCAGCATCCAGTAGCTCCCGTCAGTCTGGGTTGGAGTCTCATTGGCTGGCCTGCCCGATGCGTCATAATGGAGATTGGAAATCGGACTTTGCGACCGGCCTGTGGATGCCTGTAGAAACGTGTGCTAGTTCGACAGATCCGATAGATTCAATGCAGATTTCGGACATGTCTGGTGTAATTGCTGCCTCGCATCAGTGACCTCGCACTCGGTAAGTCTGAGTCATTCGGCCGGAGACAATGTCTTTTGTTCAGGTCATCTTATTCAAACTAGTCAAGGAGCTGATATAGTAGACACACCAGAAAATCACAAGGGCGCGGTTCAGGTCACTGCCAAGGGGTTGTCGTCGCGTTAGGTGCGGAAATGATACGACTGACAGCCTTACTAGAGATTCCACAACGCCCACAATTTGCTATAAAATTTTGTTCCTGGCGAGAAACAGCTCCGCCAACACCCGGAGTGCCAGTGAGAAGTGAATGGGCGACGGCGGGTAATTAGGTGAACATGCATGTTTCGTGTGACGGGCACACGCTGCAGACAAACAGCCCACGAGCTGCGTTCCATGCAGATGTCGTTTAACTGTTATTTAGACGGAAACCTAGCACATGACGGCTCTACAAATCTATCATGTAGTTATTCTCCCGCTGCTCAGCGACTAAAAGAGTTGAGCAGAATTGTAATCCACGGACGTTTAGCTCTGTTCACCTCAATGACTTCGTGTTCTGATGTGGAGCAGACTGCAGGCTCGCAGTTGTGAGACGACGCAGGCCATCCGCCGGGGGCAGATGGGCAATATAACCCCCCTTGCCCCATGAGCGATGTCGTTGCAGAGAAAGTCATTGTCCTCAGCCTCGGTCACCAACAATTGCAGCGGATTGCAGCTCTCCAAGATAATTTGATTACTCTTTCGTCACAAGTGATTTCAGGCTATCCATCGGCTCACAATAACGGTAGTGTAGACTAGGCTTTAGGGACTTGTGGTAGGTAATTACTCATTCAACCTCACGGGCCATGCCTTGTCGTTTTAATTAACAATTATGCCAGCGTAAGCATTGAGAGATTATAAAACACTTTGAGAGAACACACTTACTACCCTTCCTATCAGTGCCCGCTTTCTCGGCAGAGTGGGAATCATTAGTCAGAAGACTAGAAACCCACACCAAGGAGTATTTAGCGAGGGAGTAGTCAAGTTTCTTATGACCATCCTTCTAGGGCGAAAGCATACACGTATATCCTCAGCTACATGCTAGGCTTTAGAACGCTCCTCGAGAATGAACTGGCCAGATAAATGACGCTCTATGCTTTATACGGGCTGAAGTAAGCCATGAGAGGACTGGTCCATCAGCGGCACTCAAGGCCATTGAAAGACACTACGGCAAGTTAGGATTCCGCAAGCTTGACCAGCAAATAAGGCTATAGAGAGCAAAAAGGCAAGCTCTCATTAAGCGAATCATCATATGTCTATACGGCGGGGTTGCTCTCATATGCCTAGTTATCATCTTGGTTCTTTAATTACCCACCTTCAAATACTAATCTTATCACCATATCAGTCGCTACGATTATTTTTGCTTTGAGTTTGGCAATCGGGGCTTTGGATAGTACTGGAAAGGATGTTTTTAGCTGCAACTGCAGCTTATATGGCCGTGCTGGTTGTTCAACATAGTAGACGACACTGCATGATGCAAGGCCGTTGGTGGTTTGGCAAATTTCTGACACTGGGTATTCAACTTGTCTTTTGGTGTGCTGCCAGAACTGGTCCTGGAGAAGGCACCACGTTTACATTGGCGATGGGCATGATGGCTAGGGTTTGCCTGCAGAGGGCTGTCCAGCAGGGCCTTCCTCTTTTATATGTTATGTGAGCCTGCATTGTGATCAGCCTCATTCACTGCGATTTTGTGATCCTATGTGAGCACAGAAACGTGGGAATTAGTGAGTGAGACCTATAGTGTACCTAACGAATTATGTTACAGGTGTAAGGATTGGTGTGAATTTGTCATTGTGGACGCACCCGTGGAGCACCCTGCCTACAACTAGTTCGTCTTCCCTTTGCCCTATCCTTATCTCGTCCCTAAAACAACCTTAGGCTCAAATACATACTGACCTATGATACAGCGGCTGCGTCGACCCTGTAGGAGGAACGGTCCTTGGCAACTATGGCAGTGTCTCTCGGGATACGGACTTGCCTCCGGGCGACGATGGCTTCGTGATGGAGGCATTCGAAGGTCCACCTCGCAAGGACTGAACTGGGTCGCTGGATGTGCGATGCTCGCATGGGGAGGTCCTGTGTGAGGACGTTGTTTTTGACCTGACTCAAGCCCGGGAGATTACTTGTCCTTAGAAACACAATCAAGGCAGTACTTCCAGCATTCCACACTTCTGCCAGTTAGGCCCTTTCTGGCAGCTGTGATCATTGTTATAAATCCCCGGAGAACGGGAAATTCAGCTAAAGATTGCAGGAACTAATTCAATTAACCCTGTATCGAGATCTAGTGGTTACTCTTGTATGCAATTAAGCTGGAACAAAAGTATCGCCGTTAATCTTTTGTGCGACAGGAGTATATCTCTACCTGCTGAAGTATACAGGCGTCTTCCCCTTGCCGCCGTTGTTAGTAGCATACGGACCAACAATGGTGCCTGCATAGCAATGTCAGCACATTTCCATTTGAGGAAGCTGTGGAGGTCCAAGGAAGTCTCACCTGTAAACGGCCCGGTGCCACCGGAGACGATCAATGCACTCGCAGACCCAATTTCCCGGTACTCTCGCGGCCTCGAAGCCGGCGCCGCCCCGAAGACGTACAGCGAGTCGCTGACGGCGGAAACCGACAGACGGATCTTGTCCGATCGCCACGACTTTGGGACGGGAACGGCCACAGTCTCGGGCACGGTAATATTGGGCTTCCCGGACGCCTCAACCCGGAACCTGAACGCTTGGGTCGTGTTCGTCCCGTTGTTAGCTGGGAGGTTGACTATCCCCAAGTCGATGTGCTGGAACTGCGTCAGGAAGACCGAGATGCCCGCTTCCTCGTCCTCGACCTCGGGCTTGAATGAAACGTCGACGGTGTAGTTGAACAGAGTCGCGCTCTGCTTGCGAGCAATGAAACCGACACCATCCTCAGCTGGCTTGAAGTCAGGCGTGGCCGACAGGTTCACGGGCGAAGGGGATATTTGGAGAGTCCCGGGGTGACCTTCTGACGAAACTGCGAACAGTGAGGTCTTGGGGGGACGCCAGAAGAAGAAGTGCCTAGGGATATCAGAGCCCGGCGCAAAGTCGACGACGTCCGGCTCGTCGACCCAATGGCCGTCCCCAGGGATACAACTATTCGTTGGCGGCAAGGGGCCCGTCATTGTGCCGAGCACTGGGTCGAGGACGGGCCACTCGTTCTCTTCCCAGTTGACTGCGAAGAGAACCATCTCGCGGCTCATGGGGTAGATTTCCCACTCGGGGCCAGACCTTGTGGCCAGCGCAACACCCCACCAGTTACCAGAGGCGTCCTGGAAAAGATCGGCGTGTCCAACAGTTTGAAAGTATCTGTCAGTGTTTTTGGCCGTGAGGATTGGGTTCTGTGGTGCTCCCACAAAGGGCCCCTCGAACTCCTCGGATCGCGCAATCGTGACAGAGTGGTTGGTCTCCGTTCCACCCTCGCCGATCAACAGGTAGTAGTAATCGTCTTTGTGGTAGAAGTGTGGTCCTTCCGGGTTGCGATCACCAGTTCCATTCCAGACCCTGGAGGGCTCAGTCGCCGTGCCCGTGGAAAGATCAATTTCGCTGACATATATACCTGCCGCAACTGACATGTAGACCTTCCCATTGTCCCAAAAGATATCTGGGTCAATACCATTGGCGGGATTGTCAACATGCAGGGGGCCAGTCCAGGAGGCGTCATCGTAAGGGTCTGTCGTAGTGAACAGCAAGATCTTGGGCCCCCATCCTTCGTACCAGGACACGTAGGACGTGATAAGGTAGAAATTTCCTTCGTGGTACCGGATAGTCGACGCCCATATCCCCTCGTTCTGTTGCGAGTTTCTAGACAGCTCCGGCAGTTGCTCGGGACGGGTCAGGGCGTTGCTTGCAAGCTTCCAATTGATCAGATCTTTGCTGGCATAGACTGGGACACCCGGGAACGCCAGGAAAGAAGAGACAGTGCAAAAGAACGTGTTATCCCATTCCTTCACGAACGTGCAGCTAGGATCCGAATTCCACCCGGGGAGGATTGGGTTGTGGAAGGTCTTGTTCGCCGAAGCCGCCTCCTGAGACTGGCCTTGACCCACCAGAGCGAGAACAGACAGCCCGATAAGGCTGAAGAATCTCACATGCATTGAGTTATTTGGTTGGTAAAGACGGGACTGGCGATACTGGCGTTGCGCTTCGAACAGGCAGAAGTGGCCATTATGGCGGCATATGCATGCTATTTGCACCACGCAATCAGGGGAGCAATGGCCCTTGCACCGTGGCATTGGGTCACGATGATGTACCAACCATCTAATCTTCTTTCCTTCGGATCTCTTGATAAAATTATGTGAGACTAAGAAGGTCGTATTGATTTCTTCCGCCAATGTCGCGCAGACGATGATCTCCTCTCAGTATAGTGCGGGATGAATACATATCCGGGCGGGAAGCCGCCGTGAACTCCCCGCAATCTGAACGGCTTGCGTCCCGATGTTACCGTCGCCTCTGAATACCAAGACTACCTGCCTGGACAATAGGCCGAGCTGTTTGCCTTGTCGTTATGAGGGGTGAGGAATACCGACAACCCAGACAAGATCCGTAACTCTTGAATGTGCCGGGTCCTCAGACCAAAATACACTGTTGTCAAGTTGGGAATTGTGTATATAGTGGTCTAGGCTGTTCCGGTTGAGACCAGGGAGAAGTACGCAAATCTGCTCTGAGTGCCGCCATCCTTGCGGCAGGACCGCCGTACGAGACCCTTCGGAAACCCTAAGGGGCCTTCTGTCGCACCGGTCTTGGTCCCATGAAAGCCGATACCGATTCTTCAGTCTCGAAGAGCCGTGTTCTCCAGGCCCATATCGCAGAAGAGGCCTAATCGCTCTTTGTAACTGTCACGAACGTTCGCGGTGCCACGTCGACCTTTCTAAATCACACGGACAGCTGCGCACTGTCCCCTGGGCCCAAGTCTGTGTCTTGATCGACCGCCCCATTCCGAGAGGAGGCATCGGCTCCCGTGATCGTCCCAGCCTCGACCTCCGCACGCAATGCATTGATCGTCCCCTCCTCCAGGCCATTCCTCTTGCAGATGTCCAATATACGCCATGCCTCCGGGTCCCGTTCAACAATCAGTCTCTTGATGAGCTTGACGGATAGGTCCATGACCTCCGCCTTTCGCTGCCCCTTCGAGAGGTCCCTCCCAGCCTTGAGGTGCGGCGCAACTTTGAAGAAGTAGTCCTTGGCTCTGTGGCTCGGCCCCTGGAACTCGACGTTGATCCTGTACATGTGCTTCGTGATGACCAGATTCGGCTTGATGCCGAAGTGGACCATCTCTCCTGCAAAGAATTGCGCGAGCTCCGGTCTGGTGCACTTCCACAGCAGGTTTCTGAAGGTCTCTAAGTTCGGTCCGTCGGGGACGAACTCACGGATCCGCCGGTACAGACCCAGGGCCTTGGCGAACGCGTCATCGGGCTGCTTCACGTTGGCCTTGACGATCTCGTTTAGCACGCAGTTGAAGACGGTGACGGGCACCCTGTGCTTCCCCTGTAGCCCGGACATGGCGTGGACAACCTGGTCGACGAGGGACGGATCACGGGTCAAGGCGAAGGCGAGAGAGCCGGTGCTGGAATTGGTGACCTCCACACCAGCAACGTGCATGATGCAGTAGACCTCGAGCGCCTTTTCAACGTTCCCTTGGGCGGCATGCGCGTCGATTAATGCCTCGTAGTGGTACCGATTGAGTCTTGTCCCCCTTGACGCCAGATACTCGATAACCGGCGTGCAAAGCTCCGTGTCTCCGTAGACCGCGGCCATGTTTAGGACGTTCAGCGCAACACCATCCGAAGGATTAACGACCCCCTGCTGGACAGCACGGTTCCAGATATACCTCGTTGCTGCGATGCTTTGACCTTTGCTGCACACGTCAAGCAGGAAGTACCAGACGTTGACTGGAACCTCGTGGCCGCAGTCAAGTCTGTGGCGCACTATCCGCAGAGCATCGTCGAGGAACTCCATCTTTCCAAAAACATAGATAAAGATGTCGTACACCCAGCCCTCGATCTGTATGCCCTTTTCATACATCTCATGCAGCTTCTCCAGCGCTAGCTCATATTGCTCGTCTCGGAGGAGCCCAATGGCAATGTGCTGGTGACCTTCGGGGCTTAATTCTAACCATCTTTCTTTCATCTCCTTGATGATAGTGCTGCGGAGAAGGTAGTCAGGGTGTATCGCCAAAGCCTAGATTTGGAGACATGGGTTAGCAGAACGAACCAAGCGCCTCAGGCTAGGCATTTCATACCTGTAGGGCGGCATGGTACGCCGTCGACGACCAGGGCAGCTTCTTGTGCCTCATTTCCCGAAGCAGTTCCTTGACGGCATCTGCAGACCCATCTGTGGCAGCGTGCGCCATGAGCAGAGTTTCGTAGAGGAAGGTGTCCGGCGCCGTCCCGGTTGCGAGCAGGTGTTTGACCAGGGCCGATGTAGTCCTCCTGTATGTCGGTCTTTCCTTGGTCCTCAACTTTCGCAGCGTCTCATATATCTCTTCGGTGGTCGCGCGCGGGATGTCTTCATCGAGCCGCCGGCCCCGGATGAGCCGATTGACCATGTCTTTCGGACCCTCTTGGCTTTCCAAGGCATCGCTGGATGCCACCGCGGTGTCGAAGTGTTCGGCATGCTTGTTCGGGAGTGTCGGTTCAACCAGGGGCTTTGATGAGTTGTCTGTGTGCGACTTGCTCTCGTCTGTCGGACTGGCAGGCGCACTCTCCAAGGAATGTTCCCTGGGTTCCTCCTGCTCAAGCCAGTCAGGAGCGACTTGGCGCTTTAAGACCTTCTTTTCATCGACTGCACTGGCAAGGGAGGCGAAAGGGTCCTGGTTCGGCTTCGCGCCATTCTCACGACGGCGACCCGTGGTGTGGAGGCAGCGCGGCCCGGAAACATTTTGGAGGGCGGCAGAGGCTGGTGCTCTTGCCTGGGGACGGCTGTGTGCGCTGGTGATGCACCTGGTCACCGTAGCATCAATTGAGGGACAGAGGCATCGCCACAGCCCGTCAATGGTGATCCGGGCGCCAGACATTGACTTGCCGCGACGCAGGGGGAGACCTGCCAAAATTCTCTACGGAAGATGCGATGCGAGGTGCGGTGCGAGGTGCGATGCGAGGTGCGATGCGAGGTGCGATGCGAGGTGCGAAGCTCCCAAACTTGGGGTAGCTATCGCTGATAAGAGCTTCACGTTATCACGTGCCAAGTCGATGTCCGGTCTGGAGGCGATCATCACCCAGACACCCAAGACAGGCAATTAATCGAGTCTCTATGGTTCTCTGTTGAAGAGCTTGTGGACTGTGTGGACTGACAGTCCACAGCGCAACTCGTCCCCTTGAGTGCATCCGCCGAAACCCTGGTCATGACGGAGGATTCTTCCCTGAGCTGAACGGCCCTCTGCCGGGCGCCGTCTCTACTTCAACCTCTTGCACAGGTCGCAAAGGTGCTTGCAATACACTGACCGGCCCTGGTCGCTCAAGCCCGCGAGGACTGTCTCCGGCGGGAGTGGGTATCATTGTGTGTCTGTCATTCGTGAACGCCTCACACCATGTTGCTGCCTCTATCCCCTCCCCCTTCCTCGCCCACGGCCCTGGCCTCTTCCACGGCCGCCCCGGTCCCCGCCCCTTCCGCCGTGGTCGCCTCTGTTCTGGCCGCCTCTTCCGCCCCGGAAACCGCCCTGGTGGTTCGCTTGTTGCTCCTTCACGATGTCGATGATCTCGTCGGGTACGCGCAGGTATTTGATCTGCCCCGGGCGTGGCCCCCTGTTAGCTTCCTTTGCCACAACACTCAGGGGCGCAGACGGCTGATCAGACGTACATTGTTTCCCTTCACGTATGCCTCCGGTAACCGTGTGAATCTGTCGCCTTCCTAGAGCCACGAGCAACTCGGGTCAGCCCTTCCATCCAAGCAGTGTAGATTGCGGTGGTGTGTTGGCGCCACAGCGACGACGTACAGGGCTCGTCTGGACCACCTCCTTCAGTGTCAGGTTCATCCACGTGTCGCAGTTGACAAGGTGGCCGTTGAGGGTCTCGCCGTTCTTCAGCTCGACGAGCATGGGGTGCCCTTGGGCGGCGTTAAGGAGCCCGAGGGGTAGCTGCGAAGGACTCGAATGTCAGCAAGCGCGCGTTTAAGGATACTGACTAGGGGCGGCTGACCATGTTGGCTGTGCGATGGTGGAATCAGGGAAGGTTCTGTCGCTACCGCATCGAGACAAGTTGTTCAGTTTACGAAGATGCGATTTGTGTTGGAGATCAAGCGAAGCAGCAGCAGATGCAACTAGTCCAGGTAGCAGCGTCACTCCAGCTGAAATCGGGCGCACGGGCCACCTGGCCAGAGTCTCACATGTTTGATGAATTGATCGGAGCAGGTCCAAACAGACCCCAGGCAAGCTTTCCTTGCCCCCCTGCCAGAAGTAGAATGAAGTCGTATCCCAAAAGAAATGCTACCTACCAACCAGGTCGCGAAGAACACGGGGAGAACAATTTGAAGGATGCGACGGTCCTGAGGCAACCCTCTGAATGGGGAAACACTGAGGCTTGCTCAGGGACAACCCTGATCATCTACCGGACAAGTCTCCTAAGAAAAGCCTCCACAACGGGGAAATCATCGATCGCAGTCAGGTGCCCTGCCCTATTGCTGAATCTCCGGATATTCTCCACACGCATACACAACCTCTTCGACGCGAAGCGGCTCTCCTTGGACGCCACCGTCGGCCCCGGCTCACACATCCCACTGCAAGCCAAGAATCACGTAGTTTTGCCCACTAGGCACCTTTAGGAGGTGCTCTCACGGCTCTTCCGGTAGCTAGCCTAATACACATCCAGCGCGAGTTAGTAGGTGCTTCAGGGCAGCGAGTAACCCGAGGCGCGACTTGCCTCCTGCTCGACCTGCAGACCCTCGATGGTAGGCGCAAGCTCGCTGAGGATCTCGTAGGCCTTCTTGTGGTACTCCATCTGAGCGGCGATGAGCTCGGCAAGGTTGCGGAGCGGCTCAGGGGTATCAAGGACCTGCAGTTACGGTCAGCCATGCGAACCGCCTATACGTAGTTGCGTGCTCTGGTGCGACTCACGTTCTTCATCACACCAACAGCCTCCTCGGTCTGTGTGACGAACTCATCCTCGGCCTTCTCGATCTCCTCCTGCGCCTCGGGGCTGATCTCGGCCTCCTCGTGTGACTCAGTCCTGGGGCTCTGGGCGGCGGCGACGGCGCACGGGGATCTTCCATGTGTTTCCCTTGGCCTTTCCCTTGGCCGCATCCAGCGTCAGGCGCGACTTCTCGACTCCCTTGCGCGCGCGCGTCGCGAACATGATGTTCGTGTTCAGAGTGGTGTTCCATCCTGCCAGGAACCGGCTCTGGATCTGCGCATCCTGGGCGAGTCTGGCCTCACCGACTCGCTCCTCAGCCAGGGCGAACTTCTCGAGGGCGGCCGCAAGTGGGTCGTCACCGGTGCCAGTGTGTTGCTGATGCAGGAGCTGGCTGCTAGCCAGGGAGGCGCGGGCGATGGCGTGGGCGAACGTCTTGGGCTGGGGCTTCGCAGAAGGAGGTGCGGTCAGGGCGGCCTGGGCCTCGGCGGGCGAGGAGGCCGAAGAGAGGAGATTGACCTTCTCGCTGACGGTGCGACCGAGGTCGTTGAAAGTCTCGGTGATGTTGGCTGGGTAGTCATAGGCTTCCTTCGAGTACTGGTTGCTGATAAGGGAGGGATGTCAGCGCGACATGGAGGATGGCGCCCGCAGGCCTGGAAGCAGGTGGGTAATTGTACTCACGTCACAGCCAGCATCTTCTGGTGGACCTGCTTCAGGGCATCGACACGCTTCTCGAGGTCGATGTAGTCGGGTGGGAGCTGGGTCTTCCGCGTGGGTGATCGTCAGCATGTGAATCAAGGTCCGTACTGCTGTCAACTCCACTGACCTTATCGTCTGTCTGACCCAGCATCTCCTTGGTCGACTGGAAGGTGCGGGAGGCGAAGGGGGTGAACTGTGACCCAAAGGAGCCGACGGTGCTCCCAAAACCGCTGTCAAGGAGGTCGTCGTCAGCTGCCAGAGCTCCTATCGCAGAGCAGCGCGAGATTTAAATATGGAGGCTTACCTAAAGGTCGACCCCAGGTTGAGGTTCTTGAAGTTGTCCATGACGGCTGCAGACTATGACTCGATGAGGAACTTTAGTTTTCTGCTTGCACGCTTCTTTCAGGGAATGAATGAATGGCTTCGTCGATTCGCAATCAGGGAGGGCGGTTGCAAGTGGAAATGGACCTATGTGCAGTCAATGTTTCTAGGGAGATGCCAGGGGCAGGGGAGGGGGGTTCGGGTTGGCTGTAAGCGGGGTGAGGTTACAAGTTAGCTGGCATTTTCTACCTAGGACCAAGCTACCACAAGGCAACCACCAGGCTAACAAACATCGACACCGTTGTCACACTGGAGTGGATCAATTATGATAAGAGTAGGGGCGTCAGCATCGGGAGTGGCTGCCAATTTGCTTAGGCAAACTGACTGTCACTGGCAGGCATATTACGAATTGATGTTTCAACATGGTCTTCTTGTCAGTTCGAATCAATATTCATGTCCCTCAATCAGGAGCCGACCGTTGTCACGCTCCGATCCAAACGACCGTTCCTATCCAAAATGCTTCCCAAGACTCCTGAGCTCCTTGTTGCTGCGAAACCAGCCCTCCCTGCCCGTATCCTTGCCGCGCCCTTGAGGGCAATCTTGGCTCTTGGCCAACTTTGTTGCAACTCTTACATCTCATATCCCATCGCTTCGTAATATCATTGAACAGCAGATTGAACAGCCGCACCGTAGCCGTAGTACCTACCTACTGGGTACCTGTCATACGTGCCTCAATGCCTCCTTTCGGGGCTAGGCACCCTCTCAGGACTCGAGCTCTTACTTCTGCTCTCAAAACTCTCCACCATGTCGAGCACGCGAGTCCTAGGCCGCTCGTACCGGACTTGTTCCGCAGTCATGACAACGGGAGAGATGCTTCTCCGCCTGGAATCCTCCGAGGTCTCGCTCGCCGGTGGCAGAGGCACCTTGAGCAGCAAGGACGTCCTCTCGGGCTGCTTGCCTTGCTGTATCCTCTCGCGCCTTGCCCGGCTCGCTTCCTCGGTCTGGCTGGCAACACTGGAGACATCCTCTGCTGCTTCGTCTGGCCTATCATCCTGCGCCGTGACCTTTTCTTCATCTTTGCCAGCTATAGCAGCCTCCTGTGTTGGAGAATCGGCCTTCTCCGGATCGACGAAGACCACCGACTCCTCCAAGGACACAAGATCCGCGTTGTCGGCATTAACGACGCGCAGCCTGTCCTTGGGTACACTGAACATCACCTGCACCAGCCTCTGTTCCACCGCTTTCTCGATGTCCCAGTCGTCTTCCTCCCAGCCCTCGCCAGCGCCCTGGCCAGCGCCACTCGCAGACGCTCCGGCCTCGTCCCACGCCATCCTCCCTTGCCTCCGTTTTTGTAGCAGCCCGACGCCACCCAGGCCCAAGCTGCCCAGCCCCAACCCTTCGTAGTCGCTGCTTTGCCCGTGGGTCGGGCTCTCAGTCTGACTTGAGCTTCCATTCGAGCTCCCGCTGCCAGCGCCTGCACTGAACACTCTCTTTAGGCTCCCAAACCAACTCCTGCGCGGTGGCTTGCTCTTGCTTGGGCTCCCAGGAGCCAGAGGGTCGTCATCTGACAAATGACCAAGATCTTCAATGTCCGATATCGGCCTTGGCCGGCCTAGAAGCAGCCCAGGTCCCTCGGTCTGGAGCGCCGTGATCGACTTGGCCGTCTTGAAGCTGTCCTGCGTGGTATTGCTGTTGCTGCTGCTACTCTTGTCAGAGTGGGAGGTGCCGGTTCTTTCCTGCTCGCCCCGAGATTTGCTGACAGCCAACAATCCAGCCCCGGCGCCGGCCACGCGCAGCGAGTCGGACCGGTTCACTATGAAGCTGAAGGTGCTGCGGTTGGACTCGGACAAGTTGCTGTCCGTTCGGGCACCGCCGGCAGTGTCGTCTTCAGACAAGCGCACCGACGGCCGCCTCGTAGGAGAGATCTTGCCCGAGTTGCGGAACGTGGTGCTGTGAGGCTGTATACGAGCTGTGATGAGGGCGTCAGACGCGTCGATGTCGCTAACCCAGTCTTGTACTTCTGGGTGCTGTGGCCGCGGACGCGGTGTGCTCTCCGTCGGACTGGCTGGGCCAGAGCCCGCCGTCTGCTGGCCAGGCGCCACAAAGACAATTGGGCTCGCCAAGCTGGGCCCTGCCTTTGTTGGTGTTGAAGGTACCGGCGTGGTGAAAGGGTCATCGTCGTTCTCCTCGTCCCTGTCTGGGGCAATTGCACCAGCCACGGCTATCTCATCTTCCTCATCCTCAAAGATCGGATGGATAGCGCCTGGGCTCATCAGATCATCCCCACCAGCAATACCAGTGGGCTGGTACAGGCCCCTTGCGACCCTGGGTACTGGCCTGCGCCTGATGTCTCTTCTGTAGGCACCGGGCGACTCAACAGCCATGGGGTCATCAGAAGCTGCCCTTGCCCCTTCAGGAGCGCGCAGGTTCTCGTAACCAAGTGCGTTCCCCTGGTCACGTAGATACGGGTCGTGCCCGCCCGTGTACCATCGAGCTGCACTTCGGGGTCCCCATGGATATACGTTTTCGCGCTCGAGCATCTCATCGGAGGTGATGAAGGCCGTTCCGGTGGTCAGATTCCGGATGTGCTCGTCTCGTGCCTGGTGGCGAAGACGCTGCCTTCGCCTCCAGCATAAGAAGCAGATAGCCGGCACGAGGAGTAGAAGGGGAATACCGAGCCCCAGTCCCAAGCCGAGGCCCAGTTTGTACGGCGTTGTTGACGGCGCGGTTCCGCTCTCTGAGCCGGTCGATGCAGATATTGGGTTCGTGTACGAATCGCTCCAGGTGAGGCTTGTCACGTTGAAGAACATCTGAAGCTGCCCGCCCGCCACACCAATGGCATCCCTCTTGCCCAGCCCTGAACCTGAGGAGCTGGGTGAGATGGCATAACCACCGGATACCATCATGACATTGCCGGGCAACAAGGCAGCACCATGGCCATAAATACCCTCCCCAGAGCTCAAGGGCTGTTCATCGGGCACAGACCACGTCCACTCCCCGAACTCACTGCCGCTCATCTGCAAGACGGCCAGCTGTGGTTGCGCCGCCTGGCTCGTGTTGCCCACCCACCCACCAAGGACGATAATAGCGGACCCGGCTTCATTGAGGACGGCAGTATGGCCCGACCGCGGCTGCACCTCGGTGACAGCATCGTCGTTCTTTGCGAGCTCCGAAGTCTCGCTCGAGGGGGAGCCAGACGGGCCGGAGATGGCGATGAAGCTCCAGCTCTCCTCCGGCAGGCTCCACACCGCAGCCGTCGACATGTTCACAAAGGCAGTCTGGGTGTGGCCGCCCAGGACGACGCTGTTGATGCTCTGCGTCACGATGCCGGAGATGTTGGACGTCGCCGGCGGGAGGGGGGTCAAGCTGAAGCCTGCCTCAGCTATGGGCTGTGATTTGAGGGACAATTGGCTCGCGGTGTATGCCGGCGTGGACGAGGGGTCTGTGGAGGCCGTCAGGCGGACCATTGAGTTAGAGTAGGTCGCGGCTGATGTCCAATCATCGGCGTCGAGGGTGTCGTCGGGGCATTGCCCGCCGTAGGCGTATATCAGGGGCTGGGATAGGCTGGGCGATATGGTCTCTGAGAAGGAGAAACCGCCTCCCAGGAAGGATGGCCCGCTGGCCCCGCCGCTGTTGGTGACGAAGTGCTCCACCCATGATGCCTGGTGAGAGGTGGTGGTATTGTAGACCCATACGGATGATCCAGTGCCCGAACTGCAATCGCCTGCATAGGCGACGATGGAGCCATCCGATGTGAGTGTGGGCGTGAACGTCGTGGTGTTGGTGCTTGATATGAGGAAAGGCAGCTCTGGTGTCAAGGTCTCAGCACTGTTGGCGACGGAAGAAGCGGCCAGTGAGGATGATATGTCCACCGCCAACAGGTCGACCGAGCCGTCGCCGTTGGGAGTGAGGATGTAGGCCGTGCTGTTGGCGTTGCCAGTCTCCCGGCCGTAGGCGACCCCGGCGGTGGATCCCGGAACGAGGATGTTGGTTGGAATGTACGGGAGGAGCGATGTCTCGGAGGCGTCGACCCGGGCGGCGTGCATCATGAGCAGCAGCAAGCCAACCATGAGCATGAAGGTGCTGGGCGTGGTGGTATGCGTCCGCGGCGGACCGCATTCACGTTGTTGGACTCGGGTAGCAACTGACGACGCCGTGTAAGTAGACACGGGCCTGGCCTGAGGGCCCGGCATGCTGTGGTGGTGCGTGCTCTCTGTGGTTCGCAGGGTGAGTGGCACTCGCAGCCTGCAGATCTCGTGCTGATCAATTCAATTCATTGTTCGTCCGTGAAGACCAGACCCGCAATATTGGATATGGGGCCACCCAGCCTCCCGACATCAAGCAGGGCAGGGCAAACAGGACAGAACAGGATGACAAGGAAAGGCTCGACAGGCTCAGCTCAACACGGCATTGATCTTCGAAAATAGCGATGAGCTGGCATGAGGGATAACTATCACGGGAGCTAGCAATGAGAAGCAACAAGAAGACACAGGCTGGCAGGGTATGGTATTGCGTGGACTGGGGTTGGGAGGGAATGGTGCTGGTTTTACGACTGGTCAGCACACGAGGAGAACAAGAGAGAGACGGACAATGGAGGGGTCACGGTCCGAGGGGCTGGTAAGTTCGCAATTTCAACACCAGTCCATCCACCAGTGTCATCGTCCAGCAAGTCAACAGGTTTGGTGGCACATGATGGGGAGGGATCTTGGTTGCGGAGGGCGGGCTGGGCCCTGGCCCACCGGCCAATGGTGTGGTTGTGGTTGGCGTAATCGGTGGCTGGAGAGTGCATCCTGCATTTTGGATACCCGTTAGTGGTAGCGCCGCCGTGTTGACACGGTGCTGGGCACGGCGTTGGCACGGCGACGGCAACGGCGCGCATCTTGACTGGTCAATCCGATAATCCACATGTTGACAGTCTACGTACAGAGGTACGGACAGCCACCACTGGTCCTGCATGGCAAAGACACAATAATCTAAGAAGGTTGTACTGAACTCCACTAATAAGTATCCCGACAGATGAACACACACAGACACACCAAGCTGGCCCAAGCCATGCCGTCCCAGGCCGAGTCCCCGTTTCAAACAAAACCTGCGGCCAACAACGTTATGGCCCGTTCGCTCCACTCATTGCGACATCTCCGAAGCGCACACCTTGAGGTGAGTGTCGCTGCTGTGCCGCGTCTTGAAGGGCCGCGATCTGGCTGTGCAGGCTCGCGATGAGGTCCTCGTTGCGTTGTTCGCCATCGGCAGGTTGCCGGTTTGTGTACTGCGCAAGTTGGGCGCTCATGTTCTGCTGGACCTGGGCGTGCCTGGCCGCCTCGTTTCTCAGATGATCGATGGTACCTCGGTCTCTCGCGGCATTGGCCTGGAGCTCAGAGAACCGGGGTCCTTCTGCGCAACTCGGCGGCGTGGTCCTCGTTCTTCCTCTTCTCATAATCGGTCGCCCGCTGCGCAGTCCTGGGCGCCACCGTGCCGACGACCGTGGGCTTGCTGTACCGGTCCAGCCTCTCGCTCCACTCGGTGCTGGGATGGGTCGCGAAGGCCGGCAACACAAAGATGGTGCTGCGGCCCTGGCCCTCGAGCCGGTAGAACCGCGACCTGATGTCCACCGCCACGAGGCCGCGCGCGTGCCGGCCCTGACTGCGCTCCGTGCTCCACACGCTGTCGCCGCCCAGTCCGACATCCTCCTGCGCCCACTCGTGCTCCCTAACGGCGAGCGCCGCCTCCTCGCGGTCCAGGGTGTCGTGCAGGTGCGCCCACACGTCGTCGCCCGCGTTGACCAGCACCCAGCGGTCCTGCGGGTACGCGATCTCCCGCCCGGACCGCCCGTCCGGCCCGAGCACCGACAGGTGCTGCAGCGGCACCACCGCCTCGCCCGCCAGCGCGTCCGTCAGTTTCGCGTTGGTCATGTCCATCTCGTGGTTGCGCAGCGCCAGGCTCTGGACGTACAGCAGCAGCTGGCCCAGCAGCGAGTTCTGCGCCGCCTTGAGCTCGGCCGAGTTGGCGCCCTGGCCCTCCTCGGGGATCAGGCTGAGGATGCCGCCCGTGTTGCTGAACTCGTGATCCAGGAGCTCCAGACATTGGTTCGCGTGCATGGCCAGCAGGTGATGGCTGGCATGCGGCAGCTGGGAGACATCTGGCAGGTATGGGTGAGCTCTCTGCTCCAGCGGCTCGCGCGCCGGGAACTTTTGGATCGGACATTTGAATTCGGTGCCAGTGACCTCGTGCCGACCGCTGACCTCGTTTGAGAGGATGTTGAGTGGCTTGTGGTGGTTGGGGTCGTCATTGTTGTACGGCTGGGACAGGTCTGCAAGCCAGTCAAAAGCGTCGTTCAGCTCCAGCCGCCCTTCCACGCTGTGCTGGATGTTCCTCGCCCCATTTTGGTCCTGTCTAACCTGCCTGTCATCAAAGATGGGATTTCCGTCGACCGTCCCGGTCCTCACGCTCGGGCTGAGGCGAGCGATGAGCACAGCCAGGGATTGTGCGTGCCGCTTCAGCGCTATGAGGGTCGGCGGGCAACCCGGGGTGCCCAAGTAGTTGCATCCCAGGTGCCGGAGCGTCGCCTTGGTCGCCACGTCGTCATGAAGTCGAGACCATTCTGACTGGTACGGGATTGCATGATCCGTGGCAGGGTAATAACCAGGCTGGCTGACGTTTGAGTCATTCTGAGCGGCTGCGTTGTCGTCGGCCATCTTGACGGAAGTCGTGTGTTGGCAAGTTCGTTCCGAAAACTCTTGGTGGTGGCAGTCTGTTCACACTGGCTGTGGCTTCCTCAGAGACCAACAGACATGAAGAACAGAGGGGACTTCGCTGGGGGATTGCTCAGAGCAGGCTCGAAAAGAAAAGTAGAACCACAACTGAGGTTCAGTCTCTTTTGTCTGGAAAGCCCTCACACAGCCGGTTGCTAGGGACTCCGTTTTCATTGTTCAGCTCACCCATTCCACGCCGGAACGGGTGCGGTCTGCCTTTGTTGACAATGGCATGGACGCCCGACTTCCCCTTATGGACACTTCCGTTTTTCTCGCTGACCGGACCCGGACCTGGAAATGAGTCGGAATCTGCTGGAAACGAACAACCCCAGTCATCGTCTTCTTACAGGCACATCTCCGGCGGCAAGGCGAGCAGAAGGTTGATCGTGTCTCTCACAGCAGTCATGACCGGACTTGCTGGCAATCTTGTAGGAATCAGGATACTTGGGTTGAGATATAGCTTGTACACCACCGCCTCCCATGGTTTGGCTCTTACAACTGTTTTAGAACAAGTTGGGCCTCGACCATGATATGTGGCTGACCGACCACTGTTCCAAGCCGGAACGAGTGTTGGCCCGTAGCTGACAACAGCGCGCGTCCCAGTGTCCGCAGCTTTGTCTATCGTTGGAGTACTTACAGGCTTCCAAAAGCTGACGGAGACCCACCTAACTCACGATGAGCTCAATGTTGATGGATCCACGATGACTTTACAGCTGACCCGCACTGTAGACACCCTAGAGACAACGGTGGGTCTGAATGGTGTAATACGAATGGCCAGGCGCGAGCTCCCACCTGCGAGGCGTGCACCTCCGTCGATCTGGACACTCGACAGCATCATACTGCTCACGAAAAGCGGACATCACGAGCTTATAGATAGACATTTACAAGGCAAATCTGCAAGCATGGATGAGTTCCAAGTGGCACCCTTGGCAAAGTCGCCGTGGATGTTGGTCCGAGTTGGACACAGACCCGGCATTCCTCCAGAAAGCGTCATTGTGTGCATGTGTCATCGATGTGGCTTGACGTGAGACCAGTAACCGCCCATAAATTCTAGATGCAAAACTTGTAAATTTTGCGAGGGAGTGCCGAACTGATGAGATGCGGAGACGCGGTACGTCCTGATGTTGTATACACACAGCGCACGGCTGGGACCCGCCTGTTTTTCTGCGTCAGTCTGGTGGTGTTACACCCAGAATTTCTGAGCAGTCGTAAAAGATGCTTTAAGCCAATAAGCCCACGGCACTACGGTTGAGCCGGCGGAGCTCATCTGGGTCGAAGTGGTCCCCAACGGTGATGCCAGCTGGGCTCTAGGGCTTGGACCAGTCTAGGAGCTCAACAGATGAAGCCATGAGCCACTGCAGAGCTCTGGGAACGGCTGGGTTGTGGTTCGAAGCATAACGGAACAAATGTACTGCAAATACGCAAGAGGCGGATGTGCTAACTCCTGGTGGACGTTGTCCTGGACCGTATGGGAGCTGCACCAAGCCCAACCTGTCGCGTAGTTTAAGCCCCCCCCCCCCTCTTTTTTTGTTGGAAAAACCAAACCAAAAAAACAAAACCACAGTGACAAGGCCTACTATTATCATAAAGTACTCAACTGTCTCCCAAGGATGGCTTGAGGGATGTAAATCGCAACGGAACATGTCTGTCCCATACTGTAAGAGAGAGTCGTGACGCTGGTGTGGCAAGCTTCCCCTGGTCAGTAGTAGATGTCGTTGGAGTCGTTTTTCGCCCACGTGATGATCGGGGTCAGTCCGTGCCTACAGATGCTAGATGGGAGACTTTGGAAGCCAGATCGGAGTTGATCAACCAGGTGCTGAGCGAGGATGCCCTGGGTATCTACCTACCCGGGCATAGACTTCGCACCATCCATACGCGCGTCAGGACAATCAGACGTGCAACGCCGGCAATTACCACAGAATGCCACTTGAGATTTGTAAATATTGCTTTTCTGTCACGGCTGTTGGCTCGCAACGGGAGACCCACGGCCACATCTCGCACACCAAATCTCTCACAGCACGTCTCAGGAATGGACTTGGGCTCTCATGTGGCTTGGTGAATTACAGCTAAGGAACCTTAAAGAGGATTGATGCAGCTGAAAACCTGGAAACAAACATTGCGAGGCCTCTCGACCGTGCACGCTTCCTGCGAAAAGTCTGTGATTGCACGAGGCATGTTCGCGACCAGCTGTCGAATGCGGGCAAGCGGATTGAGATTGGAGGGGTCGATTATCAATGGTTCAATGTTCCATGCTGAAGCCAAAGCAAGAGTGTGATAGTTTACAGTGGGGCCTGGGCCGGTTGTGGCTGAGCTGCCTTGATTGGTGGTGCAGCAGGTTATCATGGCTGGGTATGGCCACCGACGGCGTTGTCCGGCAGCTGGAGAATTCTGTCGAGGAAGCCCCGAAGTGCCAGCGGCCTGTGGGTTGTCGAGTTTTGTGGCCTGCGGATTGGGCCTACAACACAAGTGCTGTGTTGGAGTATGTTACAGGATCCATGTGTGGCAGGACGAGGTTTCGGAAGAAGGTGGCACGGAGTGGCTAGTCTGCCCAGCTACGAAGCCGTGGTCGATTTGCTGTGCTGGCCACGTACCATGTAGGCGAGTGGGAGCCATGGACCCGATAACTTGGATCGGAGACGGTCACATGTGACTGGTGTGTCCACCTGATGCTTGCACTAAAGCTGAACCTCAGAAGCTGCACTTCGACAGCACACACACACATAGTTCCTCGTGTCAATGATGTTCTCCAAGACCGTGCGCTTGGATTGTGGTGCGCCGCAGACATCATTGATCGTGTCGGGGGTCTACTGGCGCAGACTGATCAATGCCGCATGCGGCTCCAAGACAGGGCCAACACAGACCGGCGGTGGCGTGGCAGTATCCCGCCGGAGCGACAGCCAGTGGTAGACTGAGTCTGAGAGGCAGAGACCCTGCCTTGAGTGTATGCTAAAGTTGGGCCTGTCATCTGTCATTGACTCGTTCCAGTCAGTACAGTGGTATCCATAGCGGGACGTTGGCCCCGCAACTGGCCCTTTTGAGATAATTTCTCATGATTCCTGGAGTCGAGAGCGACCACTGAGGCGCCGTAGAGGCACCGCAGACGCACCGTAGGTGTCAGGTCCAAAATGATCAGTGTCTTGCAGGGGCAACACGAGATGGGGATGGGGACGGGGCTGAGGAAATGGATGAGAGGGACCAGGAGAACTCTGGGCTTGGCATGACCTGGAGGACAACAGGCGGGACGATTGTTGTGGTTGTGATGTGAGATGGTGCGATGCGGTGCGATGCTACTTTCAGTCAAGTCCGGCTTTGGCCTGCTCTGCCCTGCTCTGGCACTGCTCTGGCAGGCGAAAAGAAACGTCAGGAAGGGTCGAGCGACGAGAGACAGAAAGCTGCACGATGGTGTCATGTGTTTTACCGTCGAGAGTTGCATGGCCCCTCGATCGACAGAGAAGGAGGAACTGGGCGAGGAAGACCCTGGAGTGGGCAGGGAGGCCCACCAAGTGTGCCAGGTGCCGCCAAGGGCCCAAAGCCGAGATCCTAATCGATTTCATCAATTTGTCGCCCATCAATCTGGGAAGGCACATGCGGGCGGCTGCATGCTCGCCCTTTCCTTGCCATGACTTGGTCTGCCAACCTTGGCTTGCCCTGCTTGCTGCCCTGCCCGCTACCTAGGTACCTACCTCCCTATAGTGTTGCCACCTTGGGCGATAGGCCGCAATAATAGCTGCGCTGCGCTGCAACATGCCGCCTGGCCACGGCTGTTTCTGTTCCAGCTTGGCAGGGATCAGCATAGCACAGCAGGAACCTCGACCAGCTTGATACTGCTGGGCCTTGGAGCACGACGCGACGTCGTCATAGCCAATCCCAGTCCCAATTGGCCAACCACTTGGAATTCCAGCGCCCTTGCCCTTTCTTTTGATTGCGACGGTGCTAGGCTAGACTACATGTACTCGCCAGGCCTCCCACTCCGTTCTTTATCGGACGAGATTTCTTCTCGCTGTCACCCTGCCCGCCCCGCCTATACACCACCGCTCGAAAACCTCTCGAGCTTAATTCTCACGCCTTGCATCGTGGTAGCTTGCGGCTTGCAGCTTGCAGCTTTGTCGGGGGTGAGGCCTGCCAAAACCACGCGCGGCCGCTCCGACCTCGACCCTCCGACCTCTCTCATCTGCACCTGGACCGCCGCCGGGGCCTCCCATCCTCTCCTCCAATACACTCCCGGCTCCTGACACGCTGCCGATACAAAACCGGCCTCTTTTCGCGGCCCTGAACGGCCCTCTGCCTGGCTTCATTCAGCCCAACCTGTCACACTTACACGCCTCTGCGCCTTCTTGTCCTGTCTTCACACTAGAAATCAGCTGTGTCCTGCAGCACTCAAGGCTTTTCAGCCCCAAGGTAAACATGAGTGCTTCTTTTCTTGACAGTCAACTACACCAACTAGACGAAGATCCTCAAGACTAACGCCATGGCAGAAAGTGGAATCTCTTTGGGGGGTGTCGAATCGGCGCTCGACGACATCAGCAGCTTCGCAAATATGAGCAATCAAGGCGAGGCCCTTGAGGAGAAGGACCCAGTGTCCCTCTCCGGCATGGTATCGACCTTGGTACCCGTCGCCATCACCGCCGGCGTCTACTTCCTCATCTTCATCATTCTGCGCCGAAGCAACAGGCGATACTATGCCCCTCGCTCTTATATCGGCAGTCTTCGCGAGAATGAGCGCACGCCTGCACTGCCAGGTGGCTACCTAAACTGGATCGGCCGCTTCTGGAAGATACCCGACAGCCTGGCTCTCCAGACCCAGTCATTGGACTCTTACCTGTATCTGCGATTTATCCGCGTACGTCCCCTAACACCTCATCGATTCTCCAGCACCCAGTGCGCACTTTGTGCTGACTACATCGCCTGCAGATGACTGTTGTTATCTGTTTCGTGGGATGCTGCATCACCTGGCCTGTCCTTTTCCCCGTCAACATTACCGGTGGTGGTGGCCAGAAGCAGCTCGACATTCTTTCTTATGCGAACATCAACCCTAACACCCAGGGCAACCGCTACTATGCGCACACATTTGTCGCATGGGTGTACTACGGCTTCGTCATGTACTTGATCTTCCGTGAATGTGTATACTACATTAATCTCCGCCAGGCTTTCCTCATCAGCCCCTTCTACGCCAATCGCGTGTCCTCGAGGACTGTTCTGTTCACCTCGGTTCCCGACAATTACTTGGAGGAGAGGACATTGCGCAAGATCTTCGGAAATTCAGTCAAGCACATCTGGATCAACAGCGACATCAAGGAAATCGAGAAGCTGGTCGAGGAGCGAGACAAGGTGGCCTTTAAATTGGAAAAGGCCGAGGTCAAGCTCATCAAGCTCGCCAACAAAGAGCGTATCAAGACCTCCAAGGGCGCACCGGCGGACAGTGCTCACCCTCCGCTGGATGCCGAGTCTGGCAGCGTTGCTAGCAGATGGGTCCCTCAAAAGAAGCGGCCCACGCATCGCACCGGACCTCTGGGCTTGATCGGCAAGAAGGTGGACACCATCGACTGGTGTCGCTCCGAGCTTGCCAGGCTTATCCCCGAGGCAGAGGCTGCTCAGGCCCGATATCTTTCTGGCGGTAACAAGAAGATCCCCGCCGTGTTCATCGAGTTCAAGAGCCAGGCCGAAGCTGAGACGGCTTACCAAGTCCTCGCGCACCACACGGGCCTCACCATGGCCCCATCCTACATTGGCATCACCCCAAAGGACGTTGTCTGGAGCTCTCTGTCCATTTCTTGGTGGCAAAAGCTTGTCCGACGGTATGCTGTCATTGGCTTCATCACCGCAATGATCATATTCTGGGCCATCCCCGTGGGCGTCGTCGGTATCATCAGCAACGTGAACTACCTCAAGGAAATTTCCTTCCTGACATGGCTCAAGCAAATCCCGGACATCATCATGGGTGTGGTCACTGGCCTCCTCCCTTCTGTCGCACTCGCAATCCTGATGTCGCTGGTTCCCGTGGTCATGAGACTCTGTGCGAAGCTGTCGGGAGAGCCCTCCTTCTCGCGCATCGAGCTTTTCACACAAAACTCGTATTTCGCTTTCCAGGTCATACAGGTTTTCTTGATCACCACCGTCACCTCATCTGCGTCGGCAGTGGCAAAGCAGATCCAGGAAAACCCAACAGCTGTTACAACGATTTTGGCAAACAGTCTTCCCAAGTCGACCAACTTTTACATCTCCTACTTCATTGTCCAGGGGCTTACCATTGCCTCGAGCGTCATTTCCCAAGTCGTTGGCTTCGTCATCTTCAACATCCTCTACAGATACCTTGCCGGCACTCCTCGCGCCCTCTACACAAGTGGGCCAATCTCAGCGCGATCTCATGGGGAAGCACCTTGCCCATATATACTAATCTCACAGTGATTGCGATCACATACGCGGCAATTGCGCCTCTGATCCTAGGGTGGGCAACTATCGGAATGGCCTTGTTCTACTTTGCTTGGCGATACAACGTTCTATTCGTCACGGACACCCAGATCGACACACGAGGCCTCATCTACCCTCGAGCACTGAAGCAGCTTTTCACTGGAATCTACCTGAGCGAGCTCTGCTTGATTGGTCTTTTTGCTGCCTCCGTGGCCATCGGGCCCCTGGTGCTCATGATCGCCTTCCTTGTCTTCACAGTCCTCTTCAACCTCAGCCTCAACAATGCTCTGGACCCACTTCTGTATAATCTTCCACAGAGTCTAATGGCCGAGGAAGAGCAACGGCGTGTAGGCTTGGAAGCGACGGTCAGTGACGAGAAAGCCGTTGCGAACGGCACAGGCTATACAACAGTGAGTGACCAAGAGATTCACAATCCGTCGACCCCAAAATACATTGGTACTGACCAGCACCAGCATTCTCCGGGTGGCCAGCCAAAGAAGGGCAACTTCATCATCAGGTTCCTCAAGCCCTGGGTCTACGCTGACTACTTCACACTGCGTTCGTACCTGCCTGAACGCGAAATCAACTTCGGCGTGACGGACAAGTTGGAGGCAGAGGCATACTTGCCGCATGTTGTTACGTCACAGCCACCGCTGCTCTGGATCCCGCGTGACCAGGCTGGTGTTTCAGCGCAAGAAGTCGCGCATACGGGCAAGGTGATCCCGATCACGGACGAGGGCTGCGAGCTGAACGAAAAGAACAAGCTCGTGTGGGATCAGGACGGCGCAAGGCCGCCTGTTTGGGAGGAGAAAGTCATATACTGATCATGCCTCTCCGGCACTGTATCAAAGTTGGTTTATTGGATTCGAGGTCGAAGATTGGCGGTGGTGAGGGGGCGGAATGGTGTTCCGGATGGGGTCAGGATGGAGTTGTACGACGAAAAGACTCACGATCTCGAAAAGACGCGCCACGTATTTTGACTGACGCATGGCTCATGGTTTCGATTCGCGATATACCCGGTTTCTGTTTCAACCGACATGGCTGTTCTGGATTCTTTAGACCGCGGCGAGCATGTGGCTACGATACCACATTTTTTTAATAGTAACACTGTGTTCTACGATTTGAGAGTACAGTTGCCTGCCCCACCGTGTCTATCCAAGCTTCGTCGTGGTATGCCATTGCACTTAAATCTAGAGCCCCCTATTCAATCAGCCGAGTATGGGGCCGTCGTTGAGCCAATGACTGTGAATAGGCAAGTATGAACAGAACCTTTACAATTCCCATCTGCTTGCCACTCTTGTCGACTTGGGACTGACAGCTCGGCGGCGGATGCTGGCTGCCAATGATGGTCCGTGCGTCCCACCCCTTGAACTAGGAGCCCTGCGCCTTTGCTCATGCATACATCACTTCTCCCGGATCACCCGCGTCGACCGCTACTCTGTATTGTCAGTGTGAAGATACCCTCAGACTCTCCATTGTCACGACTTGAAGAAACAGTCGCACTGCTGTAGACGGACGATTCATACAGGGCATTCGGCGATGGCTGCTCCTACGACCTGAACGGACGACCACGCTGAGACCGACGAGATCCTGCTCACCGATTTCCGCCAGATCCTAGCTCGCCACCTCATCATCCAACATACCTTCTCACTTCTATATATAGAGAGCTCTTTATCTATATCTTCCGTCATGTTCACCTCACAGACAAGGAGAAGTCGCACGAACATCATCGTCGTGGCGGTGCTCGTGGTCGCCTGCTTCTACTTGGTCCTGCAACTACCCAGCTCGACTCTACGGACCATCGTGTGGTCATCACCAGAGAAAATGCCTTCTTACCAGAACTACACCTCGTCATTCTCATTTGACCTGGATAAGTCGATACACCCCGACTGGATGGCCCGTGTACCGGACCAGACCAGCCTGGCCAGCCTGTCGATACCTGGGACGCACGACACCGAGACCTTCGACCTGGTGAACAACACGAAGTACCAGTGTCAGAACCATGACCTGAGGACACAACTAAGGGCGGGCCTGCGGTATTTCGACATCAGGGGGCGCCTGGTGATCGACGAGGCTGCCGGCGGGGAGGAGACCGCCCCGGTGATTGGCATCTTCCACGCGCAGGTCTACACGGGCTACACGTTGGAGGACGTACTGCTCACGCTCTTTGAGTTCCTGGACCAGCACCCGACGGAGGGGATCATCATGAGGCTGAAAATGGAAGGACCGCCGGTGCGCAGGAAGTCCGAGGGGGTATTTGAGGAGGATGAGGAGGAGGAGGAAGGGGAGCAAGGGGCAGGCACAGCGGCGTACAAGACGACCTTCGAGGAAGCCTTCAACCACTACCGCCTCAAGAACACCCGCACCGAGCCCGGGAGCACAAAGCACCTGCTGCTCCCGTGGCCGAGTCCGTCCGCGCCGGCTGGCTCGCCCCTGCTGCCGACCATGGCGCAGCTCCGCGGCCGGGCTGTCGTCCTGCAGGAGTTCCCGTCCTCGACAGGGGCCAGCTACGGCGTCCCCTGGCTGTCCCCGCACATCAGCCTCGAGGATCTGTGGATTATAGTGGATCGAGAGCACCTCGAGGACAAGTGGCGGGCGATCCGGGCCAGCCTCGAGGCCGCCGGCGCGAGCCCGCCCGGCTCCGACGTGCTGTTCCTCAGCCACCTCAGCGCGAGCGTCGGGGTCACGCCGATCGAGGCGGCGGCGGGCCCGCTAGAGGCGGTAAACGGCTCGATGATTGAGGGCATGAACGAGCGGACGGGCCGGCTGCTTGAGAAGACTGTCAAGGACGGCCAGCAGGGCAAGACTGGGGTTATCATGGCGGACTTTCCCGGCCAGAGGCTGGTGGATGACATACTGGCGAGGAACGCGTGGTTGACGGGTTGAGGGTCGTGCACCATGGGTAGTCTATCGGAACGGTACCTTACATACATATAGAGGATTTTGCATGAGCCGGACATAAGCGCATATAAATGCATAGAACATTCATGGCAAACATTGGCATCAATTCTTTTCGGCCCAAAGCATTTCTGCCCATCCGACCTTGTCGTCCACTAAGGCGCACAAGCTGACCCCAACGTGTCAACCAATTCAGGGCGACATGGACAGCCACTCGAACTTTCGTTTGATCACGTTATCAAATGTACATGCACACGTTGCCTCAGTGAGTGATCCGGAAGCCCCCGGGTCATTGCGATGTGAGTATGTGAACACTCGAGTGAGACATGGTGACATCGAAGGTGCGTACGCGATGCATTGTAATTGGGCAGACAAATGCCTCACACCAGAGCAAGGGATACGATCTTATCAATGAAGGACGGCACGCCATCGTCGCGGAGCGTGTCGGCTTTGATGAACCACAGATGCCTTGTCTTGATGCGCGTGGATGTCGTCCCGCTTTACACAAAGCCCTCGAAGGCCCGTGATTTGCATCAGGTGGAAGACTTTTCAAGCAAGAAAGTACTCATTGCAGACATTAATCAGGCTGATGCCTTGGCACGACAAAAAAAGACAGTGAATTATGTACTCAGTGGATGTAGAGAGGGCCATCCCCCCTTGGGTTCTGTCTATCAGTCTCACAGCCGGCATACGCGAAGACGCAACTTCCGTCCCGGAACTGTTGGATTTCCTACCCGTGCTTACTGTGACACCGGTGCCGTGAAGTCGGCGGTCTCCGAATTCCAGTACGACAAACAAATATAAAATCTCTGACACTTTTCTCCATTGCGCCGGCTGGGGCGAGGCTCGACGGCGGACACCAGGTTCAGAGCACATCGCTGGAACAGATGTTGTGGAGGCACCTATTGCGAATTGTCTGCCGGCTGACAAAAGGTGGACACTGCTTGCGTCTGCACCACTCTCGTCACGGCCCCGAGAGCCCGGGACACGGCTCTGGTAGGGCTGGCTCCAGAACGCTGATCTTCCAAGCGATGAGTGATGGACTCATCCAATTTGAAGGGTCAATTTCCCGCCAGCAAAGCCATCCGTAATAACACAAACAGCACGGTGAACAAGGCGGCCATCATCGATCTCGATCGTGGATTCCACCATTTTGACAAGTCTGGCCAGACGGGGGGATCTAGCATCTTATTATTCATTGCATGTGAAGCCACAAGAGCAGCACCTCGCCTAGCCGACGTGCACAGCATCTGCACAAGCAAAATACCCGACCCAATCACCAGGTGCCGATCGCGCAGATCTGCGCAAGGAATGCCAACCACAAGCAGCGGCCTAAAACATTTTGAAACGAAACTCGCTCCCGCAGTTTTTTTCGGCGCCGGCACAGCGTATGTTGGGAGTGCCGGGGCTTAGGGGCAGTCCCAATCCGGACGGGGCACACAGCCAGCTGGAATAAGAATTAAAGTAAACCAGCATCACCCACAGTAGCAGAGGAAAAGCAGGCGGGACACGGCCCAGCCTTAAAGCTCATCCCGGCTCGGGTTCGGCCTGACGGGCGCCACACAGGCCTTGCCGCGTCCCGATGATCTCATGGCGCGTGCCCCCAAATTTCTCCCTACCTTCTTCGAAGGTTTCCGCACTAGTGCGCTTATCTCCGACTGTGCGAAAGTGGGATCAACAACGCCTCGTGTGCCCATCTGCCTGCCCGACCGGTCGCAAGCCGAAGCCTCTGAATTTGCGCCCAATCACTAGTTGTTGGGATTGCCTGTTTCCGGAAGCATCGATGGTGTATCTGTGCCCTGGAGAGTTGCCCCACCCCTGACGACGTGCATATTGCGTTCGCTTCCTTGGAGGCTCTGGGGCAGGCCGTTCCTGGGAAGAGCTGGTGATGATCATCCTTCTGGGACGTGTTAGTTCAGGGGTGCGGGTGTCGGTGTTTGCCTTCGTGTTCGATTGCGCGTCTCCTCTACCCTGATGGGCTGTTATGTCTCGAAGCAGTCGCTCAAGCCTGTGTGTGTGCCCTGCTGAGGCCGTTGCGAGTGAAGAGCTGCTTCTTCGAATTCTTCAATTTGTATTGCTCGATTCAGATGAAAACTCAGTTTGTGTGCACAGTATTTTTGTGTGATTCGAATCACGCTTGGCGTCCTATGTACAATCCCTTCGAATTAAGGTCCTCTGTCCAGCCCCAGCCCTCGGCACAGGATGCTGGAGAAGTGCTCCTCGCTTTCGTCGTGGGAATCGGTCCGATTTGAGCGCGATTTACTGTACACTTATTCGGCTTTTTTGTTGCTCGTCGAATGACCGACCATATAGTGTCGGATTCAGTCCTTGGCCGGAGATAGTAGACACTAGAAGTAGTAGAAATGGCAGCTGCTGTTCGCGCCTTGCCCAGGCGGACTGAACAAGCAGACTGCATGCAATAACCCATTTTATGACGCGGCGAAACCCAAGACACATCCTTATCCAGTGCCCCCACCCCCAGAAACATTTCCGTGAAAAATAACGCCGCCCTGGTATTTCCAAATGTACAACGCCAATGATGGGACTCGAAGTCGGTGAAGACGGCCGCCAAAAGAATTCGTGTGCGTCGTGAGACGTCGCGACAGCCCAGAGAGAAGGTGACCAGATATGAATAAGTCACCACAAATCTCTCGTTGATTAGTCGTCGTCGGGATCGGGATTTGTGACGCGGAATGCCCTTGGGGGCTGATGTACCCTTCGCGAGTAGTCCTGGTCGTCTCGGATCGTATTGAAGCTGTCGTGACTTGCGGTGCGGTACAGCCCAACCTTGGGGTCGAGCCGGGGATCCAGGGGTTTCATGCTCATTCTCCTGCTCTGAGACATGTAGCTGCTTTCCTCGTCCATCGGCATCCCGTATCCCACACTCGACATGGTGCCCGTTTTTGACATAATTCCGGCAGAACTGCCCCGGCGGTGGGCCATAGAAGCGGCGTTCATCGGCTCCTCCTCCTCTTGCATCTTCTTCTTGTGTCGGCGGAACATAAAGGCCCCGAATATGAAGGCTGCTACCGCGGCGAGGATTCCGACTGTTAGGCCGGCAACCGCCCCTTTACCTAGGCCCGAGCCGCCCGACTTAGCCGAAGGCGTGGATACAGTTGTGACTGTTTGAATAATGATGCTGCCCTCGCTCGTTACCGTCTGGACTGCCGTAATAGTTGTCGGTGTTCCCGCGGTGGTTTTCTCGCTCGTGGTTTCAGGTGTCGTTGACTAGCAAGCCGGTTAGCTAATGTTTTGAAAGAGACAGTGGTACAAGCCAAGGAAATCCATCACAGCGCATAAACACATCCCAGTTGAAGACATTGGTGACCTGACGGTCAAAAGAAATGACAAAGTGCATACAGTGGTCTCGGCTTCGGTGGTAGACGTAGACGTGGAAGTTGTAGAAGACTTGACACTGGTAAGCGAAGTGGAAGACACAGATGTGCTGTCAATGGTAGAGGTGGTAGTTACTGAGGCCTGCACAAGGGTCTCAGTCTCAGTCTCCGTATGGATCTCAGTAGCGGTTGTCATCGCCAGTGCCTGAATCCCAGAGTCGTTAAGCGACCGTGTAGACCACACCCAGCCCAACCCTTAGAAAAAGAGAAACGGATGTGGTAGGAAGCAGAAACAGAGGTTTTCACTGGTGACGGTTTCCCGCGCCCGGAGATGAGGGTCAACTTACAGATGTGGTTTTCGATGTGGACGATGTGGTCTTCGAGCTCCCTCCAGCAGTGCCGGAAGGCGAGGCACTCAGGGCAATGTAGCCGTACGTGCCATCGCCACCACAGTAGTCAGTCGGGTAGCCGGGGCAGGACGATTCACTTTGATTCCACGTTAGCAAAGTTCCTAGCATGAGACCGCGGAGGCATGCTCACCAGTTGCTTGTCGAGGTCTGGTCATCGGAACTGGGGACCAAATTCGAGCACCAACAGTCGCTGCTCTGCACCACAGCAAAAGCGTAGCCTTGGTCGTTGCAAATGCCGTAGCACAGGCCTTGTGACTGGTATATCGATGAATTCGCTGATCCTTCTGCTGTGTTGGAGCTAGCACAATATGCAACTGGTAGGGATGGATCTGCAGAGGCAAAGCCCAAAAATACTGTGGCCAAGGCGACGATGGCCCCGGAGTAAGCGTGCCTGTACATGGCGGCGAGAAACTGCCTGCAAGTTGAGCGCTGTGCGATATCAACAAGAAGCCTGCTTGTTCAGTGGGGTTAGCATGAGGCATCAGAAGATAGCGTTGAAGATGCGGCCCCAATTGGGGACTCGTGGGTTGAGAGGCTGCGACGATGTGCGGCGGCCGAGGTGGCAGGTGGAGCAGTGGTTAACTGACCTTTCCACTTGGGTACGGGATGTTGATCAGATCAACAGTCGTAGATCAATTGAGGCCCATTCAGCAGCATAAATATGTTCAACAGCGTATAAGGTAATTCTCCGTCCCTGCCATCCCAAGAGGCTCCTCCCAGTAAATTGGTGCACGGTGGTGGAGCGTCGATCCGAGTCAAGGGCAATAGCGTGGCTTGTGCAGAACACAGGCGGCAGCACAAGATCGTGGGTCGGGGCACAAAAGCGTGCAGGGCACGTATCCAATGTTCGAGAAGCAGCCCAGAGGAAGGCTACAGCGTCTCCAGGTAGCTCAGAGCCCGAGTGAGGGCGAGCAGAAAAGCTCTGTGACACGCCTATGGCTCGGGCGGGGCCACCAAACAGCTGCCACGGCTTCGGAGCGTCGTGGGCAAGGACCAGCGAGGTGTCGTCGATTCGGGTCCACGGGTACTCCTCCAGCGAAGGAGCAGTAGCAGCAGCAACAACGACGACAACAACACCGCGGGATGAGAGGAGGGGAGTGGGATGGGTGGGTGGGTATGGCGGGAGGCGTGGTAGGAGGCGTGGTAGGAGGCGTGGTAGCAGCAGGAGGAGGAGGAAGAATAAGATGGAAGGGCCGGAGATGGAATGGACGGATGGAATCAGGAAAAGTCGAGAAGAGATTGCCCTAGTCCTCGGTAGTGGGAGCCAGGGTCTAAAGCAGTGCAAAGCCAAGCGAAGCGAGAGACAAGGCAGGAAGGCAAGACAGGCAGGCCCGGGTGAGACTTGGAAGTGGAGAGAGTGGGTGAATGGAGGCACGGAGGTCGAAAGAGACTAGGCCTAACGAATGGACAAGCAAGGCGAAGGAGACCGGTGCTGGACCGGGCGCGATAGCTGCAGAATTAGGAAATGGAGACCCAAACGGACGACGTTGTGGGGAGGAGAGCCGAGCAGCAGCAAGAGAAAGCGGCAGCAACGGAGAAGAAGGAGCTGGGGAGCAGGTGCGGTACCTAGCCGACACGGGCGCGAACTTTTTGTCCCGCCCTGTCATGAGCTAGCTGCTGTAAACTACAGTGACAGCAATAAACATCATCACAGTCAAGCGGGGCCAGCATTTGCACTATGGCACGTAGCATATAGCACCCATGCAATCATCAATGTCCCTCCTCCTTTTCTCTCTACACGTATGGATTTGTTTTTGCTGCCGGCGACCCGACTGGCTTGTGGGTTGGCTAGCGCGGCATCACCCTCAGAGACAGTTCGACCTTCCGACAGCCACCACCACCTCAGTGCAGGGTTGCAATGTGCCTCTGGGTACCTGGGTACCTGGGTACCTTGACGGCGTACCTGGAGCGGCAGGGTACCAGGGGTTTGGGTTGGCCTCGCCGGCAGAGGCTGCTGATGAGTCTATAATAATACACAGCAATACTGGACAGGAGCAGGGGGGCCGCCCTTTTATTACCACAAAGGAGCTCGCTCCCTCCCGAGCCTCCATCACCACCGTCCCCACTGTCGTCTTCTCCTGTCTTCTGAGCCCACAGAGATCGCGAGGCTGCTGGCTGGTACCCTGCCCGGTTGGGAGAAGAACCTTGGAAGAGTCAAGCACGACAGCATGGCGGCAGGGGGGCAGGGCGGAAAGCAGACGGAGGTGACAGCTTGGTCGGAGCTTCAAGGCATGGACGTGGGCCTGTCTATAGCATCTGCTCTATGATCTTTTTTTTTAGGCTATCTTGCCAATGGTGCTTCTCTTTGTCTTCCTCTAGTTTTCCCCATGCAGCCTTCGCCGTAACGCTGTCGAGGCTCAGCACCCCGGGGTCCCGGTACGATTGGCCCCCTCGAGCAAATTGCGTCGATGGATGCTACCCCGTAACGGCAGCGGCAAGTGCATGTGCTACGGAGCCTCGTCGGTAATGAGAGAGGCGGGCAGGGACATGGAATGAAGGAGACGGACGCACAGATCAGATCGCCCCTCGTCGAGATTGCCCACTGCAGTTTCATTGCCACGGATCCCTGTCCGCCAGCCCCCGGTCATGTCGTCACTCACCTGCGGGCACGCAGTGTGGGCCGAACTGCCTCCGCTTTGAGCTGGCCGTGTGGGCTGGCCGTGGCCTGGCCGTGGCTGAAGTGAGATTGGCGCCTTCGTATGTGAGTCGCGTCGCCTCCAGATAGCCTCACAAATACCCGAGTGCCACAAACCCAGGCCCACCTCGGCCGGTTAGAGCCAAGCGCCGAAAAACCCACTGCTACCTCCCTATCAACATGACAGCAATAGATCACTTTGTTTGTATGTGTGTAGATAGTCCTCTTCTCCCCCGTCCGTGGACATCCGTGGGCACCCATGGGCATCTAAGTGAAATGAACGAGACCCTCTGAGTTTGATCTCGGGAGCCACGGCGACATGGGCGTGGAAGTGAACGTGGGCTTGCGTTCAGCCATGGAACTGTAGTAATAATCTGAGCATGCACAGCACCACACAACCACACAACCACATGACACAACACGATACGGCACGACACCATCACGACAGGGCACCACACAGCCTGACACACAAGATAGCACAGCACACAACAGTGAACTCACTCTCCATGTGTGCACGTCTCCCCCCCCCATCTCGTGGGCCCAGGTGTTGCTTTTGTTTTGTGTCGCCCGTGTCACCGTTGCCAGTCTGCGTTCTGACATGTTATTTGTTAAAATAGAAGGGACGAAGCGCGACTCCGGCCGGGGTCGTCTTCGTGTTGATGACTCGCTGCCGTGATGAGACGGGGGCGGTCAGCCTCATGGCAGCCAATTGCCAGGATTCGGAGGCTCGAATTGACTTTTTTGGGCCACACGCACACACCGTCGACAGCATGCCCGCCCACTCGAACAGAGAGCCAGGGCTCGAGGACGTCGACGATTCCGTTCCGTTCTCTTCCCATGACGGCGGGACTCGTCTGCGCGAGCGGGTTCATAGCACACACAGAAACCCCGAGTCTGCTGCTTGGAGGACGTCACACACGCGTCCAACATGGCACCATGGCACCATCATCGGCATCCACCGCGCGTGTTGGGCTTGCCGCAACTGCCGTGCGGCCCACTCGCCACTCTGACCATTTGGCAGAGATCCACTCCTTGTTCCGGGCCACTGATTGCGGCGTGCCGTCAGACCGTATACCGTACAGCCGCACGAGCTCGGCCCTGATCGCTTTGCTCAGCACCGATGAGTGTGACCACCAGCGGCCCATGTGTGGACTATCAGACTGCGTACAACTCGAGACACGCAGCTGCTGCGCGAGATCGTGCACGCCGCGGAGCCGCAGAGAGGCGGCTGGTTGCGGCGTCAGTCTACGACAGGACGAGGCCGTGCGGACGACGCCAAGCCTGTCTGTCGTTGACTCCCGACGCATAATCTGTAGACTACAGAGCACCATAGATAGCAGGTAGATGAGCACTTTTCCTCTGTTGTGGCGGTCAATACCGGCCAGTCTGCATGCGGTAGACCACGGCGTGGGGTGGAGGTTGGGGACCCCCAAAAAGGTCACCCGCCATGCGCAAGGAGTCTCCTTGCCGCGCCTGCTGCCTCCACGTCTGATGTCAAACGTCACCTCGGAAGGTGTTTCCAGCATCAATTGGGATGATACCGCAGACCGACCTGCTCGACCAAGCAACACCACCGCAAGGCTATCCCGGTCGCTGCTCCAAGTACCGTTCGTTCAAAGGAACGTCGTTGAAAAGAAAAAAGGAAACCTGCCCTCGGAGCCCCTCCACTTGTGGCATGTGATAAGCTGCCGCTCGGTCTGCCTCTCTCTGACCGGTCGACCTGGACGTCCAGCTCACATTTGAGATTCACCGGGCCTCCGGGTTTATTGGCAGACTTGTAGGCGTGGCCCACTGCCCCCATCTACGGATGCTCTGGCAAGACGTCCGTCCTGCAAGGCCTTGCCTGATGCGCTGTGTTCGGTTACGCATTTGGGAGGAGGAGAGCGATTTCCCCCTCTTTAGTCTTTGCTTTCAAGGCATGAGGTTGGACAACAGTACCGCTGAAACGTACTCGAACCAAGCAATTGCACTTCGCCACCCCACTGCAAGCCTTGCCACTGGGTGAAGCATTGGCCGTCCTGGTCGTCTGTTGCATATATGCAAAGCAACTCTTGGTTGGTAGGTATGCGCAACCCAAGGAGCCGAGGACGTCTGCTGTGAGTTGAACCACAGCCGACTCGTCCGAGTCGATCAGCGAAGCAGCGCAATGACGCGAGTATCGCCAGATCATGACCGCCGACTGTGCGATGGTAATCTACACGTCCGGCGACGCAGTGCTCGGTCCACAGCGCGAAACATTGGAAATGTTGTCTTCACCAACGGTCACAAAAAAGCGCACTCGACGACTGACGATCGTTCTGCATCAGGCTGAATTGGGACAAGATGCATATGCAGCGCATCAAGGTGTCACCACTTGAGCAAAGTTTGAGACTAAACGGCGGCGCCAGGAATCCCCAGCAGCACAGAGGGAGGCTGGAAGAGCTTCCCATCACCTCCCGCCCGCTGACACGTTCGTTCGCTGAGTGAGCGAAAAGACGAGTTTCCCGCGAGACAATCCCCACGCTCGCAGGTGTCCAAGAGATCCCGCCGGCATTAGCGCTCTCGAGTACGAAGTCCACAACCACACCATCCGGTGAGCGCTGTAGATCATGTGCCCACCCCCACCACCCAAACGACAACAAACACTTGTTCCCGCCCACTCGGCGGATACGAAAACCACACATACCAAGCACGGAGCTCGAAGCTTCCCACACCACCCACAATCGCCTGTCCCACCCGAGATCTTAGACCCTCTCAGAGCCTCTCAGATGGCAGGACTTTCTGGGACGATGCGGGGGGTCCACACCACTTTTCAGCAGCCGCCCAGGAGGAGTTCGCCTCAACATGGGCAAGGTGCGTGCACTGCAGACAGACCAGGAACTCAAATAAGAAACAGGCGAGCCAACCCCGGCCTGGCCGCCGCGCGCAGGACGCGGAGCTTGAACGTGTCATGGAAGCAGGAAAGCAAGTAAGAAAGCAATCGTAGGCTAGTCGTCGGTTGCCTCCTCCGGCCACGAGAAACGGAGAACGACTATGGTCGACGGTGCTGCTCCAGCTGAGCAGGGGTGGCCTTCTCCACGGACAACTACAGTGAGGCAGGCCGAGAGCCTATCGACCAAGCACTCCTCAGCTCGAGCAAAACCAAGCTCAAGAGCCACGGCAGAAAGAAAAAATCTACGAGGCCTCACAAACCTTAACTCAAGATCGTGCTGCGCGGCACAAAATGTTTCCGGAGCTAAAATGGTGCCGCTGCCGCCACTCCCGGGCCCGAACGAATGACAGGTTGGCTTGCCCGCCGAGCCGGTGGGCTCGGCGGCGGGCGGGGCCTTGGTCCGGGGGAGGGGAGGACCCGGTGTGGTGTGCCCAACTTTCCTCCGGGTTGTGCACACAATTGGCCCACTGCTCCGTAAAATTTGTTTCTGGGATGCTGCTGGGCCGTAAACCAAGAGAAAGCGATCAGCAGCTGCGATTGTCCCTGGAAACTCAGCACACAAGCGCGAAGTTGACGGGGCAACTACACCCTTGGAGCACGATCTCGGGGGACATGCTTGGTGCCGAGATTTCCTCTGGATGAAACATTTACCATGGCACACCATAGCTGATCCTCATCAGCTTCCTTGTTAGCAGCCTTGTTTGAACAGCCATTCGTGTGAAATCATTAGTTACTGTGGTTTCCGCCGGGACGTGGGCGTATTATCCAAATTCATGCACCGGCCTGCTACCGCCGGGAGTTGCGCGAGTTGTCACTGCTATATTACCCTTAACACGCCTTGGGTCAACACTTTTCGAGACATCAGCGCGACCAGCCCATCAAGGAAGCTTTTCGTCTCGGCTGTCTGGGCTGCACCCCGGGTATGTGATGTGCTGTCCCGCCGCCTTGGTACCCGTCTGCTTCACCAGCCCGAAACTGACGGGGCCGACCAGCGTCGAGGATATATATGTTTCCTCCAGTGCTGTTCCACACTGAACCAGCCTCGGCGGAAGAGCCACCGGCCCTGACGCGGCGTTTCACCACTCGAGAATTGCACACGGTAGACGTCGCCCACCGAGCCGACAAGAAGGCGCCCGCGGAGCCCATGCTGAGGCGGCGAGGCCTAGACCGCGAGTAGGCAGAACCCAGAGCTCGGCGAAGCGCAAGGGATATGTCCCCGCCGCCTCATGCGCGTCAATCTGAAGCAGCACGTCGTACAGGGAGGACACCTGTGACGAGACAGGCGGGTGGGGACCTGCTCGCGTTTGAGACGACGACTGTCGAGCGAGTACTCCTTATGTGGAACCCGGGAAGGCTCCTGTACGGCGTAGCCATTGAACACAACACAGGCCCTGTTTTGTAGTTCAACGCCTGGGTGAGCCAGCGTCCGCCCGCCCGGCGTGTGCCCTGCCCTTCTACCGTGGAATTGCTAGCTGTGTCTTGGGTCGGGCGACAACGGACTCGCCTTGATGATTACGCTGATGATATCGGTGGCTGTTTCTTCTGGTGAAGAGGAGGGGCTAACTTGTCTACTTCATGTGCAGAGCGAGGCACATGCCATGACTTCAGGAGTCGTTTGCACCAAGTGAATTCAAGGAGAGCCGGTCGCAAATCGGGTAAGATACTCTCGTGAGCTACTCCATCCACTGCAGCACTGTCGAATCACGGGAACGTCGTAGGCCTAGCAAATCGGTCACAACCACGCCGGATGACATTTGAAATCGATAGAAGAGCTTGGCCTCTCTTGGCTCCGTCAAAATTGATTAACTTAACTCAACAGGCCGATGACCTGCCACGTCCTCCACGCTCTCGACGGGGTATCTAACTCGGTAAAGTTGACAAATCTGTTCAAGCCTCATCATCGTCTCGGAAAACCAATACGAACAGGTCCTAACTCTACGAAGTTGTTCCCGAGCCTCAATGGAGATGGTCGGGCTCCAAAAGCGACCATCACAATATGCGTCGTCGAATAGGCTCAGAAGGTGCCTAGTGACGTGGATTATTCCGCAACATCTCATACAGAGCCTCCTGGTCATTCATGCTCGTGTAGGTGCTGCCAGCAAGGTTCATAGACCTATGTTGACCATACGACCCCGACCCGTAATTGGACGTCGCATTGTTCGTAGTCCCGAACCCGTACCACTCCTGCTGCTGCGGATTGGTGGTTGGATGGGGTTGGGCAGGATAGGAGTTGTAGGTTTGGGTTTGCTGCTGGGGCTGTTGAGAGTAGGTGGCAGATGTGTTGCCACCTGCCCTCGACTGCGTAGGAGCTGTTGACTGCGGTCGTACATTGAACGACTGCATGGTCGTGGACTGCTGAGCCGAGGATGCCGGTACGCTGTAGGCAGGAGTCGACGAGGCTGGAGCCTTGTTTGAGCTGCTACTTCGCCTTCCATTACTACTGCCCCAATTCTTGGAGGTGGGAGCGGGCAGTCTTTGTGTACGAAGACGATGCACTTTGTGTGACGGGATGTGCGAGTGAGGACGCGTTCGAAGCCTGTGATCGAGAATTATAGGCACCATAGCCTGAGTAGGATGTGGCCGAGCTACTAGATGCAGCCTGTTGCGAGTATGGCTCGTACGCCACCCTGGAACTTGTCGCGGTTGTCTGGCTGGGCGCATTGTAGCGGGAGTATTGGTCGTAACTGGGTACGTTGCCCGAGTCTGTCACGGAAGGAGCGTTGTAAAGAGAGGCAGTAGCACCTACTGCGGTGGGCTGTGACGCATTGGACTGCTGGAACGGCGACGCTGTCTGGCGGCTTTGTGACCGCTGACTCTGCCTCGATTTTGCCCTGGCAACCTGTGCTGCTTGAGTCGGGTTCGCAAACGGCGACGCTGTTCTTGTTGTTGGCGACGTGTGGGATCTTTGCTGAAGGGCTGCGTGAGTCAACGTCGTCGCTGCCTGGAGAGCATCGTGCGAGGCGGTGTCATAGGCAGATGGTGCCACCGACTGCCTGCTTCTATTTTGCCTCGAGGGAGCACTTTGACTAATCGCCGGAGACTCCGAATACGCCTGGGGCGGGTTTGCCGGTATATTGGTCGGCTGCCATGAAGAGGCTGCTGGAGTCGCATTTGTAGAGCTGTAGTCGGTCTGATGCTGACCAGAGCCAGATGGCAAGCTGCGGCGGGTGCCGGCGTGCGACAACGTCTGGTGTGTGGGCTGCGGTGGAGTTTGACTAGGTTGCACCGTCACCGGCTCTGGTTCCTGCACATGCAGACGGGAGGCTGATGGTGCATCGGCATAAGCCACATCAGATGCTTGATGTGACTGTTGGGGATAAGTACTTCCGTTCGACGCGGGCTGTGTAAAGTAATCGGTATTGGAAATGTCCTCGGGTACGCCCACGCCTTGAGGGTAGGAGAGGCCACTTGAGGCTGGCTGGTATAAATCCTGAGACATATCATGGGGTGCTTCTGCGAAGGCTGTTGTGTCGGTTGGTGGCGCCATCATCTCAGGAGCAGGAGGATGGGAGGTATCAAAACCCGGTGAGCCCAGGTCTGAGGCTTCTTCCTCTGGTGCCACGTCTGGCACAGGCTCCGGAGCAGGCTGTGAGTCTGGCACAGGATCCGGCGCCGGAGCGCCCTCAAGTAGATCGGGCCCGTCCTCAGCCACTTCCGCAGACTTGGCCCCAGCCGACTTGCGACTCTGTTGAGGTGGGTAATAACATGCGATACCCGCTCCAACACACTCCTGGCACTCTGGCTTGTCCTTCGTGCACTAGACAGAGTCAGCATCAATATATGAGACAAGCTTAGGGTGCGCCCACTTGCCTTGATCTTCTTCGCGCGGCAGGCCTGACAGCTGCCCCGTGTCTTCTTCACTTTAGGCGCGCCATCTTCGCGAGGGGCTTTCTTCCGCGATGCCTTCTTCTTCGTTGAGGCGTTTGGAGTATCACCATTCGCCGGGGCTGGACTGCCTGACTGGGGGGTATTGTCCTTGTTTGGATGTACAATCCTCAACCTTTCAGCGCCGTACTTAACAAGCATCGCTAGAGACTCCATCTGAAGGTCTGGGGACTGGTTGGCGAAAATGTTGAACTGCTCAGCGGAGAGCGTATCTGGGTCTATGCCGCTCTCCCGGAGCTTCTTGCTTGCCTCTTCGTGTCGACGAGCTGTCTCAAGCGGCGACAGGTTCAGCAAGGCGCTGTTTTGACCGTCTGCCTCGGGTTGGACACCAGGACTTTGAGTTTTCTTGGGCCTGGGAGCCCGTGGTTTCCTCGGTTTGGGTGCCTGTTCACCATCCGCAGTCTGCTCACCAGCTTTTGTGGCCTTCTTCCTCTTCTTCTTTGGGCCGTTCTCTGAGGCATCGGCACCGTCGGCATGGCTCTTTCTCTTCTTACGTTCGCCATCTTTCCGTCTATTAGCCTCTGCTCTAGGGAGGGGCGGTGGAGGCTTGAAGAGTTCTGCGAGCTCTGCCACCGTTTTGTGCAGCGGTGTATGTTCGAGCTTGACAGTGATTACACGACTACTCTTCGCAAACGCTATTATGACCGAGCCACGGCAGTCAAAGGCAGGCCGCGCTGTATTCTGAGTTAGCCAGCAGTTCGCCAAGTTCGCACGCCAGATTTCATGGCTTTCTCTTACAAAGGTTGACAGGATCCTGGCCGTCCTTCCCACTGGACTCAGCTATCCGCAGTTTCGCAGAGTGCTTCGAGTTCTGGCGCATCCACGCCTGAGTCGAGTTCTTGCATAGATATGTGAACGTCCAGCCTGACGCGTTCCGGGACACGGAGCGAACAGTCCATGAGCTCCCGTCCACGCTGCCCAAAGATGCGATGATGTGCTTGGCGACGAGCTTTTGTAGCGCCGGGTCATCAGTCGGCTGGTTCAGCAACGTGTCGATAGCACGGATCTCGCGTGTCGTCGTAGAAGCGTTGCCATTCATAGGCGCGGTCGGAACAGCTCCTGGGGCCCCTCCCACAGCCTGGTCCGGATTCGGACCGGGGTCGGCATCGCTCTCGTTGTCGGGCACGTTAAAGACAACCGTTGACCTGAACTCGAAGGTTTCTGAGATGTGCTCCGCCTTTGTGTCTGTTGCCTTTGTGTCGCGGAGGTGTGCAAGTTGCAGGGTCAGATCTTCAATCGAGGCGCAAGCGTGGTTCGGCTCGGGCGCGTCGATTAGGAAAGCGTCCATGGTTGCTACAGCGGGTGCAACTGAGGCTCAGGTTCTTCGTGTGGCCATTGGTTGTGTCGCCTTGCCTCGTCTCGCCGCCGGGTTCCCAATGGTGGTTGGCGTTTGCGTAGACCGTCGCCCTGGTGGGTGAACCAGATGAGGTTGGCAATGCTGCGTGTTGGGACCACGGATGACGGCAGGTTGGCAGATTGGATGGAGGAGAGGTGTTCCGCGTTTCCGTGCGCGCGGCGTCACTGCGACTGCACGGCACTGCTCCGCTTCCTGGATAGCGTGAGGCTGGGAAACAATTGACTAGCGCGGACTGCCGCGGGCACAAGTGAATGAATCCCTGCAGGCGCGCCCGTGCCCCCACAGTACACTGGTCCCTGGAAAGAGCCCTACGGACAACCACTTTCCCAAGTGACTAAATCGATTTTATTAGGCGGGCGTCATGTCGCTTTCATGGAAACTCGACATTTCACAACGTGGTCTTTGGTTACGGGGATGAAGTCACCCTCTCCTTCACTTCCAAGCGGCAGTGAAAGGTCGGTCAGGCTTAAATAGACGTCTTGAGTTGATCCGTTCGTTGAGATTAGTACATTAACGCACTTGACCTACCAAGTGAATTCCTATTTCTCAACATATCTCTTGTACACATCAACATACTGGAAGAACGACGCCTTATAATACCGGTCCAACGCATCACTCTCGAAATCAACGTACTGAATCCCAAACCTTACCTGGAACCCGCTCGACCACTCCAGGTTGTCCACAAAGCTCCACGCGAGGCTGCCCAGGACATTGAGGCCCTCGCTCAGCCCGATCAGGATGCCCTCCATGTAGTCGCGGTAGTAGTCCGAGCGTATCTGATCCGTAAGGATGTCCGGTACTAGCGTCTTGTACACCTCAAACGGCTCCGCGAACCCAAACTCGCTCACCACAATGCGGCCCTCCGGCGGCTGCCACTTGTCGGTGATGTAATGCAGCAGCGCCGGCATCCAGTCTGTGGCCTTGTGCAACCACGGCGCCAGCGGGTCCGCAGCCGCGCCGATCAGCCACCCGCCCTCCGTCGTCGCGCTGTAGGCGTAGCTCGTGTTGAAGCACCCGGGCCACAGCGGGTTCGTCTCGTTGCTCAGGCACGCCTCGATGCCGCCCTCGGGCGCGAAGTAGAACTGCGACGTGTAGGCGTCATGCGCGAAGAGGTCCGTCGAGCCCTTGATCAGGGCCTTCTCGTCGTCTGTGAACGGCTCCAGGAACGTCGACACGTACGCGTCCAGGGAGTCGGGCCAGGTTCCGGTGAGGAAGACAGGGTCGGCGAACCAGCCCTCGTTAAAGTCATACGCCCTCTGCACGGCTTCAGCATCTTCGGAGGAGTTGGTCAGTGGGATCTTGTAGCCGCCGTTGTTCTTGTACGAGATGAGCGTGTCGTTTCCCAGAACCTGCTTGCCCAGATGGTATGCCTGCGAGTGGGCGAGCAGAACGTTACGGCCGCATAAATACGGCTGCTGCTTGAAAGGGATGGTAAAGTTCTTGAAATACTGTGCAGGTAGGGGATCTGATGTGCCATGAGCGAAAGCCAGCCCAACACTTTCCTAAAGATCTGGCTGGATGGACTCACACTGGTTGCAGAACACGATGGGTTCATTCAGAGTATACCAATTGCTCACACGGTCACCAAAAGCCTCGTAGCAGGTTCTTGCGTATTCAACAAAGTCGGCAACAATGTCTTCGGAGAGCCAGCTGCCGTACTTATCTTGCAGGAAGAGTGGCGTGTCCCAATGATACAAGGTGGCTACAGGGATTATGTTATATTCTATGCAGGTATTGATCACATCATTATAATGATCAATTCCAGCCTGGTTGACAGGTCCAGCTCCGAATGGAAATATTCGGGACCACGAGATCGAGAAGGAGTAGGTGTTAATGCCCATGGCAGCAAGGCGAGCGATGTCTAGTATCCACATCAGGGGGTATTCTCTCAACTGAAACGGGAGGTCGAGTTCCAGTCACTCACCCTGCTTGTAGAGAAAGTAATGATTATCAGTAATGTCACCAGTCTGGTTCTCGGCTGTATAGCCAGGCACGCGCGTCAACCTGTCCCAAACGCTCGGCCCGCGTCCCTCGGCGTTTGCAGCCCCTTCAACCTGGAACGCGGCACCAGCAACACCGAGCATGAAATCCTTAGGGAAGCTCCAAGATGCATTCTCCGTGACCTCGGGAATCTGCCGTCCCGTGGGGAAGCTATACGAAGCAAGAAAAGGCGGTGGGACCAGTGAGCTCGAGGGGACCGCTGTGGCCTCAACAGTAGTGGTGATGTTGGCGCTCGACACGGGGCCAACGGCGATGTCCCACAGGTCTGTTGATGTAATTAGATTTTGTGAGCGAGAGAAGGACTATCCTGGCTAACCATCTACAGTGAGTTCGAGCGAAGTCGTTATAGACGCTGCAGAGCTCGCAACGGCGGTGCCATCGGCACCAGAGGTGACGGACTGCGCAATTGCATAACCACTCAGAAAGGTTTGAAGAAACATTTGTTTCATAGTGGACATGACTTAAAAGACCGGCGCAATTTTGTAAGCAGGAGAGCGACCCAAACTATGGATATCAGAGTGCACAGAGCTGAACAAAAGAGGGAGACACGATGATTTCAATTCTCTCCCTACTCTACCATTGCCGTGCTACCTAGGTAGGACTCGAACCAACCCGTGCTGTTCCAGTCCAGCATCACCCCACCGCCTCCTTTCGTCACTCGATCGGGCGAGCAATGCGGAGTGCATCGTGGCAAGGTGGCCGGCGTATGGTATGAGGTGGTATTGTGCACATCGCTCGCGGCTAGTCTGAGGGGAACAGGAAACGTGCTTTTCTCGCGAGGGGCCGGTGTGCATCGGTGATGAGCTCGGGTGTCAATTCCCCGGACATGGGCAGCTTCCCCAAGGCCCTCATCCCCAACAGCGGAAATAGACATGCAGGACGTCTTATATCGACAGATGCTTCGGGACTGCCGGAAAAGTTGTGCTGTGGATGACACCAGGCCGGTGCCTGGACAATAAAACCTGTTCTGTCAAGGATTCAACAGTGTCTCAAACGCCCAAAATTCCATGTTGTGAAGCGAGCAAGATAGCCATAGTTAAGCCCTCTCCCATCACTATGCATGGCCCTCAACCCACTCCTCAACGAGCTCCAGCAGATCCGCTTTCTTCTTGCCTGTTGTGCTGCCCAGGTCCTTTTCGGCACATATCGCCTTGAGCTCAGCAACCGTCTTCTTGCGCAGCGAGTCGTCATCAATTGCCGCCTTCAACTCCGCGAGAGTTGTGCCGCCAGAAGGAGCACTCGCCTTCTTTGGCGCAGCTTTGCTCCTCTTCTTGGGACGTTCATCCTCGTCTGCCTCCTCCTCCGCCTCTCTCTTGATAGCCAGCTGTTGCTGAACAGCAGCGGCTTCCGCTTTGAGCATTTCTTTGAGCTCAACCTGGTACTGGCCAACTCGCTTGTTAATCTGCTTGTACTTGGGTACCGTAAGGTCAGGCTTCTTGTCGGACTCTGGGATCTCGTCGAGAGCTATATCCTGCAGAACCTTGTAGTGCCACTGAAGAGATGGGTTGGGGACCTTTGAGGGGTCGTACATGCCCTTGGGCATCTGTAGATTTTCCACAATGATTCGCATTTTGTCGACCAACTCGTCAGATGCTCTGACTACCGGCTGGGTCTTCAGTTGGGCGAGGTCCCGCGTGTCATCCACGAAGGGGAGAGGGTATAACCAGAGCCCCGCGGGTAGACATTGTGTCCCAGAATCCTCATCTGACGGTTTTCTGGACGGAAGGATGGCCACAATCTGCGGCACGGCGTTCTTTCGTGCGATGTACCACGCGATGGCCATTTTATTGCTGTCGAGCAACTTGCGCCAGAGCGCAGAGAACACCCGCGTTGAGCCGACAACATCTGCCTCGGTGGGGAAGATGAATGCAGATTTCTTGACCGCAGCCCAAAGAGGAAGCATCGAGCGCGGTTTGAAGCCGATGATACGCAAGCATTTCCCCTCGAAGTTCTTGATTGACTCTAGCTCCTCAGGCTTGAAGTAGACATAGTCACCGCCGCTGCCAAACTTGTATGCTTTCTTCAGTTCGCCCTTCTCCACAGTCCGCATGGAACCATCCTCCGTTTTGATGACTTGACCTTGGGCGATCTGTTTTTCGTTCGTACCGTTAAGCCATATGTAACAGCTTCGTTGAATCGCCTGCTTATGAAGAATGAGGTAGCCATTGACGGAAATAGATAACCCTGGTGCAAGGTGAAGGGGCATCTTGGAGAAGTAGGCACGTTTGGGAGTCTGTTTGGCGTTTATGCTGGAAATCAGGGAGTTCAGTAGGGAAATGCCATCGCCGGTCTTGAGAGTCTTGATCTCGTCTGGGTTATCGGGATCCGTTGCGGCGTAAGGATCACGGTATATGATGTCCTGGGATTATCAGCATGGACACGGGGGATTGCTTTCTCGCTTTGTGCATATAGAACTCACAGTATAGAACTTGTCCAAGTCAAAGTTTTGTCCATGCCGACTGACGGGAAATAATTCGACAGTCACACCCAGGTCGAACAGATCTTTGGCGCGCACAGTCGCGATTTTGCGCTCTGTCTTGTCTCCGGCGTGCGGATCATCATTGTCTGTGACGATGAACAACCTCCGCGAACCGAAATTAGGTGCGTTTGTCATGAGGAGTTGGTTGGCACAATTCAGCATGTGCACGACGGAAGTCGTCCCTTTGGCAGGCTTCAGAATGCCGTTCGGATCTTTGCCAGCCTCGGCCATGTCCTTCAGGGCCCTTACGGCACCTGCGGAAGGCACGTCGAGGTCGGTGTGAAGGTAGCAGTTCATGAAAGGTTCAAGCTTCTTGCCAACCAGGTCACCAACTTTGGTCTTCTCTGTCCCAAAGAACAAGATGCCCATCATGTCCTTTGGCTGCGCAATAATGCGCTGTTGCATGAGTTGGGAGGCGCTCTTCAACGCTGCCGTGACGATGCTGTCTGTGTCATCCTTCTTGGAGCCAGAGCCGGTCGGCTGCTCCAACATCGACTCGCTGACGTCGATGGCGAATATCACAGCGTCCTTCTGCGCCTTGTAGTCCTGCTCGAAGGTTAGCTCTGGAAATGTGAGAATAAAACCCTTGGGCGCACTTACGTTCTCACCAAGCTCCTCCTCGCCATCATCCTCCTCTGCCCGCCGGTCGTTCTCCTCGGGGTCGTAGGCCATGGTTTCTCGCCGTTGTTGGTCGAAATCAGGGCATAGCTTGATTAAAGTCGATGTCCGACATCAGTTGTGGGCAGAACCGAGTCTCTTTAGGTAAAACGAGGGCAATTGTCACAATTGTCCACCCTCGTTCCAATACCAGGCACCCACCGCGTCTGGCACGCGTAGCTAGGCAGACACCTCTCTGAAGGGGAGTAAATGGAGGTACCTCGGTACCTGTAGTGCCTTAGCTTAAAAGGGAACTGCATCCAATGAACAGACTTGCGATTCGGGAAGCTGCAGCTCTTCTGCACTGGGTGACTGGCTAACTGTCAGGCCTGGTTACAGGTACAACCGCTGACGCTGGGCCGAGCTCCAGTTGTCTGGGTACAGTTACAGCGGGCATGGGTCCCTTGCGTGGCCAGGGGGTTTGAGCTTGCCTCCACTGTGGGGTCCCAGATGACATCCCGTCATCAATTGCTGGTCCAGAGCTCAGGATCAGCAAGGACCTCGGGCGATTTGGAGATCGCGGGTTTCCGTACATCTTTCAGCATACGGTGCAACTACCTTCTTCCTCTCCTCTGTCTTTATACAGTCTCAAACTTTCGGTCTTCAACTTTACTGTACATTCCAGACTGTTTGTGAGCCTCTGGCAAGTCGACCGAAGCAGCCGTCGCAATGGCTTTACGACAGTCCGTGTCCGGGCTCTCCAAGAGCATCTCGCGACAGACTGCGTCGCCACTCATCCTGCAAAAGAGCGTCGGACAATCTGCAAGATGTCTGGCCTCGGTACATAACCCCCCAGTGACGCAGAACTCTACCGGATCGAAGGGACCGACAGCCATGGTGTTCATGAACATGGGCGGCCCGTCAACCACAGACGAAGTCGGGGACTTCTTGAGCCGCTTATTCGTATGTGTGCCCACACAGAGGTGCCGTCCACATTGGCCGCCAAGAGCTGACCAGATGAATGACCTCCACAGGCCGACGGAGACTTGATTCCGCTAGGAAGACTACAGAACTACCTCGGGCCCCTGATCTCAAAGCGCCGCACTCCCAAGATCCAAAAACAGTATGCTGCTATTGGTGGCGGGTCCCCGATTCGAAAATGGTCCGAGTACCAAAACGCCGAGATGTGCAAGATACTCGACGAGATATCCCCTGAGACGGCACCACACAAGCCATACACGGCTTTCCGCTATGCGAACCCGCTGACCGAGGAGATGTACAACAAGCTGCTAGCAGACGGTTTCGGAAACGGGAAAGGCGGTCGTGCTGTCGCCTTCACACAGTACCCGCAGTACTCGTGCTCCACAACTGGAAGCTCAATCAACGAACTTTGGAAGTGGAGGAATAGACTTGAGAAGAAAAGTCAGGGTGCCATACAGTGGAGCGTCATTGACAGGTGGCCGGTGCATCCGGGTCTGGTGGAAGCCTTTGCGCAAAACATTGAGGCCAAACTGAAGGAATATCCTGAGGAGAGACGCGACCAGGTCGTATTGCTATTCTCTGCGCATAGTCTGCCCATGTCCGTTGTCAACAGAGGTCAGTCCTGTGTCCCTCCGCGCTGGTTGGGACTTGAGTTAACCGTGGCCAATTCACAGGCGATCCGTATCCTGCCGAAGTGGCAGCAACTGTTTACGCCATTCAGCAAAGACTGGGCTTCAGAAACCCGTACCGGCTCTGCTGGCAGTCTCAGGTTGGCCCATCGGCTTGGCTGGGCCCTCAAACCGCCACCTCGGTCGAGGAATTTGTGCACAAGGGTCAAACGGACCTGGTTCTGATTCCGATTGCCTTCACCTCTGACCACATCGAGACATTGTTTGAGCTGGACCAAGAAGTAATTGGCGACTCGGGCCACCCGGAAACCGTCAAACGCGTCGAAAGTCTGAACGGCAACCCGACATTCATCAAGGGCCTGGCAGACATTGCAAAGAAGCACCTTGACAGTGGCATCACTTGCTCCACACAAATGGGCTTGAGGTGCCCTGGATGCAAGAGTGAGCGGTGCTTGGAGAGCAAGAAGTTCTTTGCCGGGGAAGGAAAGGTGCCGGCGTGAACGTGGTGCATGGCATGACACAACTTATGACTACTTGTATTACAAGGGCTTGTTTTGTATTGGGATGGAGTTCCGGCCCTGGCGGTTGCCAAAGCAGGAGACTAGTGTCAATCGGAAAAAGGTTGTATAACGGGAGGTATCAGGTTATTAGATCTGTTTTGAAAAGCGATTCCTACCTCTTCCAAGTCAATACTTGAGATTAAGTCCTGTTCCCAGTCGTTCACTGCCTGCGATTTTATGCCAATACACGTGCAGCCAGATATCAGTCTCCGGCAACATGGTCTTTTGCTGTCAGTCCGTTCACTGGTAGCTTGTTGGCGTAGTCACTGCGATAGTTGAGAAAGCCCGAGGTGTCCGCTACCACGCAGTGGATCATCGCATAGCTGTGTTTTGGTTCCAGATGTAATACGGATTTTGTATCCTAATCAGCATATTTGTGTTCAGCGATATAGTCGTGTAGTGCATCAATCAGTTTCGGTGCCGGCGCCCGTTGCGGATTCCTTAAGACGGGACCACCACTCTGCAAGTATTGTCAACTTCACGAGCACGAGGACCACTATACCCTACCGCCGTCTTTCATCGACTATCTCAGATTCAATGACACAGTTAAACGACCCCTGGCCCCCGCGAGACCGGAACTCGGTCTTGATGAATACCAAGACAGTACCAACACAGGGGACGGGCATCTTTCCCCAATGCCTTCCCGGTCAGCTGTTCCCAGCAGCTTGAACTTATAAGCCGTCGGCATTCGCAGACTCTTGGCCTCTTAGATTACAATTGCAGAACAGTTCCGCGCGAGGAGCTCAGATGGCAATCAGACCTCCATCGCTCGCAGCTAAGCTCGTGGTCTGAACCATACAGCGGTTAGATCGTTTTTTGACGGCAACTATGGGAATCTAGAACCGCATCCAGCCTATTAACCTTCGAGCATAAAAAAACTTGATAGCAGTCGCACACATGGGATGTTTCAATATCATGCGGCCCGGGAGGCAGGATCACCTTGTCCGGGGGAGAGAGCCGGTCCCCACGGCTCGAATGGACGGGCCGCGACGAGCATCAAGCTGAATGGCCTTGAGCTTAAAAGCGCAAACGGGACGGAGGTTGGCAGACGCCGTCAAGAGCGAGGTGTGCGTTACAGCGGCGCACAACCACCATGTGGGCTTGTTAGGCCTGGCAGGGCAGAGGGGGGGGGGGGAACGGCAGCTCTGTCACACAGCACGCTGCATAATGATTCATTGTGCGTCTTGCACGTACAAGCTTCCGTTTCCCGAACAGCCTAGCGCACCGCGTGGTTGGGATTGGCCCAAAGCTCTTGGGGGCGGACGCGAATTTGGAGGGCCAGGAAGCGCTTTGATAGGGAGCGGGATGCAAGCCTAGAGGGAACAAAGGTGGTGGCCGAATTCCGACGGCTGCGCTGGCCAGGTTGGGTCTTTGGGGTGTTCCTGTTCGGGCTTAGAAATCAATGATGGGTTATTGTGTGAGGCAACGAAACAAGTGCGTCATCAGTCGTCGCAATCGCGGCTCGACAGGGCACGACCACCTCTGATTGTCTTGCTGTCGTGCCATTTGAGCTTAGACACAGAGCAGGAAAACAACGACCTGCTTAGATAGTGTTAGACCAGCCGGTAGATCAAGTTTTAAGAGTTAGTTAGTTGCTAAACGGTCGTTATAACGGTGTTTTACCGCTGCCTCGGGGCCGTCCCCCAAACTCCTCTCAGGAACCCTGATGGTAAGGCGGTTGAGAAAAACGGGGGGCCAACTCTGGGCCCCGACACCTGGCAGCCCCCCCCCCCTCCCGTCTTGAAACCTCCGTCTTAGCGCACGTATGCTACGCTACAAAGGAGAACAAGGGAGTCCGCGTTGTCCACGTTTCCCATTCCACTGGGCCTATGGGATTTGCTCCAGATTGCCCCAGCTCAAGGGATGCTGACAGTTCCCCGTAGGAACCCACCATGCTTATCAGATAAAGCAGTGGGAGCTTGTCTTGCTTCAAAACAGTCCGGATTGTCCAGTCCTCCGCCCTCCGGCATCTGGACGTTGACTCGCTCACCTTGCTTTCCCTGTCTCAACATTTACGTTCGCTTTCCCAGCGGACCTTCCCTCACACCTGTTCATATCCCCTAGCTTGAATGTATATCTATCTCAGGTAATGGAGAGCATCGCGGACCGCCGGCCCCACGCTGTCATCTCCCTCTTCGTGTAATCCGAACTCCGCCACCCGTCAGCGACGAGCGGACTTCGTGTTCGCGCCCGAAGACTGAGCCACAGCGCGATTGCCGCTTCACGGTGGCCCGAGTCGTCAATTTCACCCTGAGCCGCCAGATCCGCCCCCCTGCGGAACGGTCAGTTTTGGTGACGACGAACACCGCCTGGTGAACACTCGCAACTCACCCCGAGGCCACACATCCGTGGCCGGTAGACAGCAAAATGCCGGACGGAGTGCGCCGAGGCTCGTTGGCGGACGATGCGTACTCTCTCTCGACGACGCCGGACGACGAAGAGAGACTGATGGCACCCGACGAGAGCACGAGTCTGCTGGGTGCCGGTACCGCAAGCTCCTACGCTGGGTCGGAGGACGGAGCGCCGCCAGCAGGCAAAGACAGCTGGGACGGATATGAGGAATTCGCCGGCCTTCCCTGGTACAAGCAGCCTTCTGTACGTACCCTGTGCGGCGAGACTGAGCTTAGGAGAACTGTTGCGCTGACACCGGTCTTTTCAAGGTCTACTGGCTGCTTCCTCCATATGCCCTCTTCACCTTGGCATTTGGTGGATCCGTAGTGCCAAAGCTCAACCTGTAGGCTGACCACTTATCTTTTTGTGCTACCTGCGAATGCGTCCTAACACCAAGCAGTATCATCGCTCTTGTCTGCCAGCGCTACTTTTCCGAGCAGACTGTCGATGATCCCACCTTTATTGTCACCCCCATCGTGCTTGGTGGTGACAACCCACAGTGCGCCATAGCCGAAGTGCAGCAAAATGTTGCAACATTCATGCTGGTTCTCAACGTCATAGTTGGAGTCTTGAGCGCCTACACCACGCCCAAGATCGGTTCATTATCCGACCGGTTCGGCCGCAAGAAGTTGCTGGCCCTAACTTCTGCTGGCGGTGTCCTTGGCGAACTTGTGACGATATTCACGGCCAGGTTCCCAGACGTCATCCACTATAGATGGCTCATTCTAGGGGTTATCTTTGACGGGCTTGCTGGTTCTTTTACGGCCGGCTCTGTTCTCAGCCATTCGTACACGAGCGACTGCACACCTCCTTCGAAGCGTGGCGTGGCCATCGGATATATCCACGCGTGCCTTTTCAGCGGCCTGGCCTTCGGACCTCTCCTCGCGGGCTATTTCGTCAAGTGGACTGGATCTTTGCTCTCCGTCTTCTACGTCAGTCTCGCATGTCACCTAATTTTCATCGCATGCGTCATCTTCATCCTGCCAGAGTCCGTATCAAAGCGACGTCAGCTCTTGGCCCGCGAGAAACACCGCTCTGACCAGACGAAGCGCGACCAGCGCACACGGCAGTGGGCATCACAATATTTGGCGACTGCAGAGGGCGCGACTTCCTGGTTCTGGTCATGGCTCGCGTCTCCCAAATATGCAAATGCTGCCGCATCGATCCGGTCAGCGAATCCCTTGGAGCCGCTCAAAGTCTTGGCCCCAAGAGGCCACGCAAACAAGCGCGTCCGACGAAATCTGATTCTCCTCGCTGCCATCGACACGGTCATCCTCGGCGCGGCCATGAGCTCTGGGCAGGTGACCCTGCTGTACAGCGAATTCATCTTCCACTGGGGCAACTTCGAGACATCACGATTCATATCTCTGGTCTCCCTGGTCCGTGTTGTCGTGCTGTTAAGCTTACTGCCCATCATAAATTATATATTCCGGACACGGCCCGCCCAGAAACGCCGCAGGGAATCGGGTGCCATCGCAGAGCGAAGTGCCGGTGCGGATGGCCTGGATGTGTGGCTTCTGCGCATCGCCATCGTGTCAGATGTCATCGGAATCACTGGGTACATATTCGTGCGCGCTGAGGCGCTCTTTGTTCTATGCGGTGTGATCACCGCCTTTGGTGGGGTGGGCTCCGCGACTATCCAGGCCGCCTTGTCCAAGCATGTCCCTGCTGAGACGATCGGACAACTTCTCGGCGCGATTGGCCTGCTGCATGCGCTAGCCAGAATTGTCAGCCCGGTGATATTCAACGGGCTGTATGCAGCGACGGTGAAGACCTACCCGCAGGCTGTATTTGTTCTTATTTCTGGAATCTTTACCACGGTACTGATCTTGTCCATGTTTGTGAAGCCTCATGGTGAGTTCACTAATACCATCCACCAGATCTGGTCTTGAATAGTCGATGCTAACACCTAGGGGACAGTATACATGACGAAAGAGGAAGAGATTGAGGAAGAGAGGCCAGTTCGGCCGAGTACGCACCGAGAAGACACTCTGACCGAAGACGAGGTTGTTCCTCAGATCTAGAGGACTGGGCTGCAAGTGTCTTCAGGCTTGCACTATATAATCAAGCCGCTCCGGGGCTGTTCTACATCCTTGACAGATGTCTCATGCCTACGGAATTTCCATTTGTACCTGCATCACATTTGTTTTATACCACCAACCTTTCACGGCCTGTGTTCAGGGTTAGAGATAGACAAGCGGCCATGTGCGCCGAGGAGCGATAGCGATCTGTTTTTTTTTGGTTCTTTTAAGTATGATATAAATGCTCAAATATACACTGTAGAAACTGTAAATCCACAGGAACAATCGCAGGAGGGACAGTGCCGCTGAGGTCTCTCGGAAAGGCTGTCCTGCTGCAACGTGAAGCGTTCAGCGTTGGTATCCACTGTTTTCCAGCGCTGCTGACGCTGGGCACTTCAACTGGTTAGCGGCCACCACCACCCAAGCCTTCCAACGCCCGGTCTAGCCACAGTGAGCAGTGAAGCAACTCCAGACAGGTCACATCTCACCCGCTATTCCCTTTATATCTGAGAACCTGTCCTTTTTCACTTGGACAAACTCAAGGATGTTCAAGCATCTGTGGAAACAGCCCGTCAACACAGTCCTCCACCCCTCAACAAAAGCGAAGATGAGCTCGGGTGCCCCGGCCAAGAAGATATCCTTCGGGCCGTTCGAGGTGACCTCGCAGGTGAGTGGGTTCAGCTGGGCAAGGGCAAGAGCACACAAACAGAGCATGACCACCGCTGACGCAGAATCCAAGGTCTTCCTCACAACGCCACACTCCTTCGCCCTGGTCAACCTCAAGCCGCTGCTCCCGGGCCACGTCCTGGTGTGCCCATCGCGGCCCCACAAGCGCCTGACGGACCTCTCGCCCCCCGAGGTGACAGATCTGTTCGCGACCGTGCAGAGGGTGGAGCGCATGCTGGCCCGTCACTACTTCCCCAGCGAGAACCACCACCACCACCACCAGCAGCAGCAGCAGCAGCAGCCGGCACCGGCAGCGCCGGGCGGCTCGTTCAACATCGCCGTGCAGGACGGCCCGGAGGCCGGGCAGACGGTCGCCCACGTCCACGTGCACGTCATCCCGCGCGTCCGCGGGCTGAGCTCCAAGCCCGAGGACACGGCGGGCGACGAGCTGTACGAGCAAATGGCGCGCGAGGAGGGCAACGTCGGCGGGGCTCTGTGGGATCGGCAGCAGCAGCAGCAGCAGCAGCAACGGCAGTTTGGGCACAGGCCCACGGCAGGGGGCGCGTTCGACCGCATCGAGGACTCGCAGAGGAGTGCTAGGAGCATGGAGGAGATGGTGGCCGAGGCGGAGATGTTCCGGAAGGCGCTCAGGGTGATGGAAGAGGAAGAGGGGGCTGCAGCTGTGGGTGGTGAGGCGTCATGACAGATCTGGATGTCTCACTCGGGAGCTGTGATGTTCGTGTCGGCGAGGGTATTACAGCATATAGCTTCAGGCACGATTTATGCAGCCAGCCAGTCGATCAGGTCCGTGGTGCTCACAATGACAAGCGATGTGCATACACATACCATTACTTCTAGGATCACGGCAGACAGGTATCTCCTTCCCAGTGTGTACCAACGCCAGACTTTTGCCCGCCTTGTCAAACTCCTTGTGCAAGAACAGAACCAGCCTCCGGAATAAAACCAACAATTCGGACTCGGTTGTAACAACACACTTGAAATCCCTTCAAACGCACATAGATCAGTCCAGGCCGGGGATCTGGTCCAGATTCGTCATCGAGCTGTCAAAATCCCACGTGTCCCCCATATCCAGATCAGCCCCCTGCAGGCCCTTAAACATAAATACATCATTCCCAGCCACACCGTTTCCAGCCCCAGCCCCGGCTGCATTGTTGTTGTTATTGCTGCTATTCGTTGTGTTGCTGTTGTTCGTTGGGCTGGTCATGCCCCAACCCTCAAAATTTTGCTGCCAGTTGATTCCATCCTTAAGGAACCAATCCTGCCCATCAATGGCATACACCGAATTCGGCGTGGCGTTGCGAGTCGCTGCCCGCGAGCTCTGTGTCGAAGGCCCGCTGCTGGTCATCTGGACTGGGGCGTAGGACTGATGGTATCGCGGCATAGCAGGCGCGCTGACGCCAGGCATCGCCCACGGACTGTTGAAGGCGAGGCCGGGGTTGCTGGCGGGGTCGACAGAGGCGGATGTCGGCCCCTGGCGGGGCTGCACGCTGGTCGGTGCTATTGATCCGACGCCCATGGTTGACATGAGGTCCGGTGACATGGCTGCAGCTGCGTCCTGTGCCATGTGTGAAGGTGGGACGTCAGGCCGGTTTGGGCTGTTCTTGAGCAGAATAGGTGACTGGGGAAATGATGGGGGCGACGGTGTCACGGATGGCATCATGGGCTGATTTGGTGACGGCACGTCTCCGGTGCCCAGATAGCCGTAGTTCTCATCGGTTCGCTTAAGGATCGCGGCTGCCTCCTCTGGCAGCTCGCAGTTCCATTTCCTGGAGAGGACGCTGATGATACTCAGTGATCGTCTGGCGCACAGCCAGTCCTCGGCTATCTCCTCCAGGTGCTTCACACCATGGATGATGTCTCTCCTTGCAGTCTTCTCAGGCAGGTTGAGCAGGTGTATGGTGCAGGCAGAATGGACCATGTATACTGCGATGTTACATATCTGCCGGAGATTGTACAGCTTCTTGTATAACCTCATGAGTTTCGAGATGAAACCGGCGTTGGCCGTGCAAATGCGCCGAGGAGACACGTGCGGTGGTAATGGAGATGTGGCAGGATTGTACTTCAAGAACGGCCGGAAGAGATGGATATACTGCAAATGATAGAACATGCTACAGATTTGAAATCAGCAGTGGCCTCAGCGGATGAGACAGAATCACTTACTGCATTAATATCACATTTGGCAGCTGGCCATCCTTTGGCTCAAACTCCTGTGGCAACTCCTTCCTCCAGTCTTCCAGCCGCCTGTGCAGCTCGCTGAGCTTTTTCAGCTCGACCGACTTCCCACTTGACCTGCCGATATGATTCGGGTGGTAGAAGAATATTAGCAAGTCACTGCTAATCTCGCACAGCTTCGAAAGCTGGAGGCCAACGGCCCGGGTTCGAGCCGGCTGGCTCAGGGTCTGATCGAATCCGCCGTCCGCGTATGGTGACCAAGTCCCGCCGTCTTCATCCGGGAAGACGCTATATTTGGGGACGTTGTAAGAGTTTTTGGGCAGCTGTGGTAGCCGGCCGAGATAGTTGGACCAGCACTTGTCGAAAAGGAAGCAGCCCCAGAACGTTATCCTGCGAGCATCGATTTCTTCAGCGCTGATCTGCCCATTTTCTGAAGCAATTGCTCCTGCGTCGAGGTTGAGACCTATGTCCTGAGCCATGCGGAAGCTCATCCCACTATAAACCCATCCCTTGGCCTCACGCCCACAGCCCGCCTCGCGTACGGACATCAAGGCCAGGGCCTGGACGGTGACCAGCTTGGGCTTTTCGTACTCGTCGTTGTCGATGATGACTTTCTTGGCCGCGGCAAAGAAGTGGTCCCCTTTGGTCCGACTGTCTCCCGGCACGGCGAAGGCTCCAGGCACATCCGTGAAGTGGCAGCCCAGTGCCAACATAGCGTTGACCAAAAGAGGTGAGCAGTATATCGTGCCCTTTGTCAAGGTTCGTGGTTTGCCCTTCAGGAAGTCTCGCCAGAACAGTTTGCGTGAGATTGTGGTAAAGTATGGGTAGTGCCAGTTCCAGTACATGTTCATCAGGTGAACGACCAGATTCCTATCCTTGGTCACGTCCGACCAGCTCGTGACAGGGTCCTCGTTCGTCTGGAGGCTGATGGATTCGGGTTCCACGGGCATGTCATGGGGGTCACCTTGGTAGATGAGGTGCGAAGTCCCCCCGATAAAGCGGATGGTGCCGTTCTCTATCCTGAGTTCGCCCATCTTTCGGGCCAGGTCTCTCTCCCCTTCCACTGGCTGATCCGTGGTGTACTGGTCATCGAATTGAGTGTCGTCGTTGTTCTTGTTAGCAAAGTCTTCCTGCAGGATAGACTCGGCCACGGTGTCCAGGCTGTCGCATGTACGGATCCTCCTTGTGATCTCGGGCACATCCTCCTCTGCGGCGTTGAGGATGGCCTCGATGAGAATCTGGAGGGTTGAGTTCCTAGCCTTGGCGCTGTCGATCTTCTCGCGGTAGACGCCTTTCCTCCTGTGATCCGAATTTGGGTCATAGACACATTCAGTCTCATAGACACTGGCGCAGGCAGCGCAAGAGGGCAAGGCGCCATCGCACTTGGACTTCCTCTTCCGACATGCGATACAGGCCGTGCTGACACAGCGGCGCTTCTGGTTAGCTGGATCATTCCTGCTCCTTGACTTCTTCTTGGTCGGCGGAGGTGGGGCGGCCTCCGGGACTGGCGCCGCGGGTTGCGGCTGAAGAGCCAACTGAGGGTTTTGGGTTTCCATTGCGGATGCTCAGAGCCCAGAGCTCAGATTCAAGCAAGCCAGCGGCTCAGAGAGGCGACAGATGGTTGTGGGTCGTGACTCGAGGGCGGGGACGGCCCAGCCTGGTGACGACGGGTTGAGAGGACGGTGGCGCGGCGCGGCACCGGCATCAGTCAGCATCCGGCCCACCCGGGTCGAATCAGGTGAGATTCTCGTGAGGATACCGGGACACCGAGAGGAGGCGGCCGGAACGTGCGGTACTGAGTACGGCGCGTGGAAAGGTGGAAAAGAGGGGCTCTCTGCACGCACTATGTCCGTATCGCGCGTGCCCGAGTGCGAGGGGAGGGATGGGCGACTGGGAGCGTGGGGGCCCTGGCCTGGTTGGCGATAAGGAGGGAAGGCCTTGATTGACCGGATCAGCCGCAGTCGAGGGCTTAGGCGAGAGCCAGTGCGAGCGTGCGGCTGGGGTGGTGGCGCGACGGGCGCCACAAGTACCCGGTAGTCTTTGGCGTCCAGTACGTCCACATCGGGAGGGCTGCTTGCTAGGAGCAGGACCCCGACCCAGCCGTCGACCAGGACGAACGAGGCCTGGCCTGTGATGCTCGGCGGCAGAGGGCGGGCGGCGGGAGGTGGGCGAACCTAGGGTGCGCCACCCAATGACCGCGATATGACCGTGGGCAGCAGGTGGTTGCGCTCCAGGTGGGACGTCCTGTTTACCTAGGCAAGGGTGAATGGGCTCGGCTCCAGTCCCCAGCTCAGTGCCAGGCAGGTTACTTTGCTTTTCTTCGTGGGCATGTGCCTCTGCTTGTGGTTGTTGATAAGACTTGGTTGACACGCGAGACAATGACCCAAGTGGACTTGCATGAGTCGATCCGCCCTGCCACAACCTCCGTGGGGCCCCGGTCCCGGCTGTTGATCCCGCGCGCACTTGTGTCGTCGCTGCGAAATCCTGACTCCGTGAGTGGTCAACAGGTGTGGGGGTTCCGCCTTGCTCGGATGTCAGGGTTAAACCCAATGCCCCTTTCTTTTCTCAACAAGAGGAACACGGGCCTCTGCATATCTGTGAAATCTATGTATTGTAGTGTTTTGAAGAAAATGCATCCTGTTCAGGCCATCACAGTGGACAGCGAAATTACATGGGCTTACTGCTCCAGCTCATCTGGGGGATCTTGGTGTTTATATCCAGTGCTGACTTCTACTTCTAATGGGATTTATATCCTGCCAAGGCTTCTTTGGCATCTCTATACCTACCTTTCTAGATGCTCGCTTAGGCCAGCTGATGGAGTGACAGAACATGTCACGAAAATTGAACGTTGGTGTGTTTCAAAGTAGCAGAGCACATCTGCACTTTGCTCTGTCTCTACCTTGGTCAATGTTACGAGTTTCCCTGCCAGACCTGCGGACCCATTAACTATTGCAATTCTGCACCGGGGCGAGGTTTGCTAATGTACTATAAAATGCCCAGACAGCACTTGAGGCCGTATTTCTGATGTTCGATCATAGGAGTGATCAACCCACAGTGTTTCAAAGCTGATATAGATGCAAATACGCCACCTTGTTGTCTCAACAGTTGAATGCAGTGGCACATGAACCGGCAGGCTGGCAGGAGTGCAGCTGACATGTTGTGTCACCCACCATCGCCTTTGCACGCCTGTCAACTTCTTAACAATTTTCGATTTTCCCCTGTGTGAGCGTAAGGCAGTAATGCGTTATTGTTTCTCAAAAGCGTTGATGCCTAGTTTTAAACTTCTATGGCACCTGCCCTGATCAGCTCAGTCGCTAAGCTGACAAACTCAGCAACAACCTCATGCTGCCATTCACACTTGTCACCCGATTTCGCGATCACATACACCAATATCATGGATTCTGATGGTTCTCAGTGTCCCGAAGACAGCAACTCGACAGACTGCCTGCTCCGAGCCCTGCTCAGTCTTCTTAGGGAACACAAAGCGGCTGATGACGCAGAAATCGACTGGGACCCAATCAATTTCGCAGTCACACTCCTCATCGGCTTAGCCGCCATATCCTTTGCCCTGGCGACTGTGCTACAGGCCATATTCGCAGCCGGGAAAGGTCGACGAAGAACCAGTCGTCTTGCAATCGGACAATGGTCACAAAAGACGGCGAGAAGATGGGACTGGTCTGAGATGAACTTTCATTTCACAGCATCTACGCCAATTCTACGGGAAGACTCGTTGCCGGCCTTGTCATCGCAGTCCGGGACTGCAGAACACAGGAATGGCGATCATGTCGACGGGGGACACGACACGGGCTGTGCAGACGAGAAACCTGACCAAGGGGTTGTCGACAGCACAGGATCGTTCCACACTGCTCTGAAACTTAGAAATAGAAGCTTGTGGGCTAATGCCTGGAAAATTGCCTCGAAGCTTCATCCAAGTCAATCTCCACGCCCATTTGCAACATGGCTCGGGTTTTTCGAAGAAGTGGGCTTAGACAAACTGGAGTGCCAGGTTTGGGGCAACAGTGTACGAGAAGTTGCTGCGGATTATCTGCCAGATGACCTCGTGGCCGCCCCTGCTTACGCGCAAATTGGAGCCATTGTTGCTGGAGCGGCGACGGCAGGAATCCAGAAGCTGGACATCGATCAACAAAACTACCCAATCCTCCTTGGGCAAGGATTTCAAATTGGCTTTCGCCAACACCCGGCTCTTGGAGTCATCGGTGCTTATTCGCGATACGATAAGGGGAACAAGCAATCTAGATCGCTGAGTTTGAAAGAACTTAGGTCAGCGATGCGATGCGGACGTGGCATCGTCGAAGCAGACCTCACAATGAATTTGTCCACCCATTTCACAAGACGACAATCCATTGAAACATGGGTTCTGACCCCGAAGTTGCCTGCAACCAGAGAAAGCCCGAGCCCGAGACCGAGTCGCCTATTTGTCTTGAAGCTGGCAACAGTTTCTGAAGTCTACTTGCCGCTGATTGCTGGTCTGTCCGCTCACACACCGAAATGCGTTCCTGCGCTGTTTCCAACGACCGCAATTGGGGCCAGTCCTTCTCTCACGGCCCTCGCCCTAAGTGGTAATTATTGGGCGAAGGCGCGTCTCGACGAATTTAGCCAATTCCACATCTTCAAATGGCCAACAACTCAGGACACTCCGGATTGGCACGGATTCGACTGGCTTGATTCTCCAGCCTCGAAATGGAGTCCAGAGGTTCAAGAGCTTTATCTCAAATTAATTTGCCACCAGCAGAATGATACTCTTAACTCTATCCTGGAGACCCATTTTATAACGTCAGAGATCGCAGCACATATGGAAAAGTTAAAAGCAAAAATAGAGACAGCAAAAGCACCAGGACCAGAACCAGAACCAGAACCAGAACCAGAACCAGAACCAGAACCAGAACCAACTAAGTTGTCGATTGCAGAACTACGAATTGTAGCCACAGGAGAAGGCGTGACTTCACACGCTGCGCTCGGGGAACCAAAGACTTCTCACGAAAATATCAGAATTTGCAGTGGGCACCGTATGGTCCTCCACATGTGCCTCAAGCTTCTTCGAGAACCTGAAAAGCTTGAGGGCTGGTTTTTTGAGACCTCACCTGATGACCAGAGAACTCTAAGACGGATTGTTCTTGAACAAATGAGAGATGTGGACCAATGGCTACGCGAAACTCAAATAGATGTCGAAGGCCGGTCAATCCTTTTGGGCAACACTACCATAGTTTTGTTGCAGGCTGAACAGATGATCGAAGACCAGGTTCTCCGCGCATTACCGCCAGGAACGCCTGTGGGCCAGGTTGGAAAGAGTCAACCGGATGAACAGGGTCAATGGCAGAGCACCAACTGGGAACAACCTGAACCTAATACTGCCCGCGAAATCCATCTCAAAACGCTGCGAACTCTTCGCAATTTGGTCGATGATCTGGATGAAAACCAGTCTGGAGCAAGGCAACTGGAAAGTCTCGTGGAAGTTCATCGCGTTTTTCCCACCAGCCACCTCTGGGATAGGATGAGGGCACTGGTGGTCTACCATTCTGAGGAAGAGCACCATTGGCCACTGTGGGACCGATTCCACCAGGAGAGAAACAACAAGTCGGCTAGAGACATAGACGATGTTATCATTTATCGCTGTCTCATGATGATTCTGTTATTCCGAACGGCCGCAGATAGTAGCAAGATACTGGAGTCAGGACTATGGGATAAGGTTGTGCCTATGATTTAGTGGCTGTAAATACAATGTGACCCGGCAGCATTGCCTGGCTTGTCAATGGCCTCGATTTCGTCGTGCGGTAACACAACTTGGATTATGTTGGGTTTAATACACTTTCTTTGCACTGAAGGATACTCAGCTTTGGACGAGACTGCTGCAGAAAAGTCAAATGAAAGCAGACTGAACTTCAAGCTGGTGAATGCTCTGGAGGCAACATAAGCACCGTAAAACGGCCTCAACAATGACGGGCCATCCTCAAAAAGTCTCCTTTTGTACGTGATCCGCATAATTTTTATCGAATGAAACCACGATCCCGCAGATTTTCTTTCTGAACGGCGTCGATTGTGAGGCCGTGACACTGCTGTAAAAGCCGAATGGGGCTTTCAGATAGCCATCAGTGACAAAGAGTGGCGACTAGGTGTTAAATCCCTCGTAGATTAACTATATCGCCATTTACAGAAGACCTAACGCCACGTTAAATTGAGGAGCGGCTAAAGCACTCTATCTTATCTGCACTGCCGTTCCGGATAATTAACGAATCAAAGTATATCACGGCCTAACTGTCAATGGTGGGGTCTATCAGGAGCTACAAAGTAGTAGACTATCTTGATAAAGGCTATTGCTAGTATTAATACAGTATCCTGTGTCTCAGTATACTGTCAGAAACAATTGAGAAACTTGAAAATCACTTCCATGGGGCGACTCATAACCAGTGAACTCATAATTGAGAGTTCGCATCTCCAGAAAGTTGGATTTATTCCGACAGTTCATCTCGTCAATTTGAGAATGATAACAATTAAACCTTCTGAGATTCTGAGCCTATGTACCTACGCATTATACCTTGAATGAATTGTTGATTAAAGCCCCTTGGGCTCCAGTATTTTCCACATTCCCGACGGAGAGCAAGCCGCAGATCGCTGCAAAGCAATACATAATCGCAATAACGCGCGGAGTATTGAAAAGGGTAGGACATCTATCATTTATCAGGCGTTCTAGGAATAGTAGATACTTGTGCGTGGGAGAAATGGAAATCCCAGCCGAAGTCTGTGTCTGCCAGCAGATAGGCACGTACGTTTCAGTTATGAAACTGCACCTCATTCCCAAGGAGTGTGCGACGGAGTACACAATGAAAAAGAAACAAATTCCATCCAAGGAAATCAGTCATTCAGTAGGAAGATGTCATAAACACCAAGGAAAACACACCAGCTCAACAGACAAATCGCGGGAAAGCGCATACTCATGAATCCCAGATTGGGCCAAACGCCGGCACACCCCTCGTCTCGAGGTCATACACCAGCTTGGAGGTGACGGGCCCGTTGCTGATGATACAAACGCACTCGGCGTTGCTCGCCTTGTAGAGCTTGTACGCCTCGAGCGCCATGTTCGGCCGCCCCTGCTCGCGCGTGTTCCAGACCACCGCTTCGGGGTCCGTGTCGTAGATGGCGTCGATTATCTTCCGCCCGAATGTCTTTTCCGGGGCGGGAGTGGACCAGAAGATCCTGCAGGGGACTTTCTTCGCTGTTGAATCAATCTCGATTAGTATTCTGTGCGAAACAGTGCTGGTGGCTCTTCATTTAGGGCCAGGGGAAAGGAGGCGGCTTGAAGACATACCCATGATAACTGGCAAGCAAGGTCCAATACCTGATCCGGTGGCAACCAGCACGATCTTGTTGAAGAGCGGCGCCATGCGCAGGACTCCAGAGGCCGGAACACCGCGAGTCCAAATCCTCGTGGGCGGGTTCTCGATCGTGCGACCAGTCCAGTCGCCAGCCCGCGAGACAACGATGCTGAATCCCGGCTTTTCGGGCTCAGTCACCGTAGCGAACGCGTGCCACTCCCTCATGGGGTTATCCGTGATGCGGACAGCCCGGCCGGGAGGCGGCGTGCAGAAGTCAAAGTACAGCCGGACCGCGTGCTTCGACAAGGGCTCGACAACGACGTTGACCTTGCGCAGCCGGATCCAGGGCGCCGCGATGGAGAGCGTGGTCAGAGTGACCAGCCAGATCGCAGGGCTGCGCAGCAGTTCGCCGCCGAGCGGGACGCCCGCGGGGGTGAGGGAGGCGGTCGAGACGACGATGTGCGCCCAGACGAGTGCGAGGGTCGTCCAGCCGGCGAACCGATGGGTCCACTCGAACTGGTCGTGGAACTTGGGCCGGATCGTGGGGTACGCCATGACGAGGATGACGTTGAGCAGGAGCAGGATGGTGAAGGTGAGCCCGACGGTCGCGCCGTTGATGGGGTACTTCTCGCTGCCCTGGACGAAGTATATCGTCGACTGCACGGCGAAGATAATCCACCACAGCGTGGCGGTCACCGCGGCACCGGAGTGGATGCCGCCCATGTGGTAGCAGCGAGCGAGGTGGCGGCGGATCCAGAGCGGCGCTGACGTCGGGCAGCGGGTGGCGAGCCAGAAGACAAGGTTGACGACGTATTCCTGGCGGAAGAGGACCGAGGCGAGAAGGTTCGCAGCCACTGCTGTCGCGATGTTGTTGACCGGGAGGCCCTCGCTCGGCGCGTTGACGAGCATGAAGATGAAGCCGATGAGGTTGATGCTGAAAATGACAACAAACAGCTTCCTGTACGCAGAAAGGGCCTTGTGGCGGAACCATCTCTCGCCGTGGAAGCCGTTCTTGGCTGGCAACTCGATCTCCTTCTCGTTGACGCTCTCCATTTCCGTGATTGAGCCGCGCTCGAGGCTCTTCTCCACGGTACCCGGCTTGTACAGCCCCACAGTTGTCTCCTGGGAGTAGACCGTGGGTGGTGGCGTTGGGAGGTCCTGGACCGGCTTGGTGATCTCGGGCTCATTAGCAGCACCGAGTTCCTTGAGGGTCCTCTTGTCGATCTTGCCGCCGGGGGTCATCGGCATGCTCGTCATGTGAACAAGCTTGGAAGGCAGGGCATAGTGGTTAAGACGCGTCGCAAGGTGAGCCTTCAGAGCGACCTCGTCCACCATGGCAGCGGCGCTGTAGAACCCCCAAAGCACCTCGCCAATCTTGATGGCAGCGGCTTTTTCGACGCCCTGGAAGGACTCGATGGTGGCAGAGACACCGTCGAGTTCCACGCGGAACCCCTTGATCTTGACTTGGTCGTCCCTGCGGCCCAGGGGCTCGAGCTCGCCGTTTCCGAGCCAGCGGCCCAGGTCCCCTGTGTTGAACATCATGCTGCCGTCACTCGCGAACTTGTCAGGCCGATACCTCTGCGCCGTGAGATCCGGTAGGTTGACGTATCCCCTGGAAACGCTGAGTCCCCCGACCCACATCAGGCCGATCTCCCCGATTCTCACGGGATTCAACGAGTCGTCCAAGACGTACACATTTGTGTTTGGAATTGGCTTCCCGATTGTGAGCTTTGTACCAGGCTCGTGGAGTTGAGCAGTGTTCAGGATCGTGATCTCAGTCGGGCCGCAGATGTTGTAAAAGTTGACATGGGGAGACCTTTTCTTATGTGTTAGTGAAATTTTTCCTATTGAAAAGGCTGAAGGAATCGGCTTTGCAAATTCAACAGAAACATGTTTTCTGGGCTGGTGTAAGCCCCCGACATTGTAGTACATAACAAATGCATGCTGCATAGTCAAAGTGCTCGCTTATACTTCTGTTTCGAGGCAGGCCACAGAAAAACTAGGAGGGAAAGAAGAGAAAATTATGCTTACCATTCTTCCGCCAATGAGACGGGGCAAGGTTCCCCTCCCACGACGATGGTTTTGATTTGGGAACTCGGACCGCTTTGGGAAGTATTTCTGGGCCCCAGTCGGCGTGCTGATGACAACGTCAACGCGACCGAGGCATGCGTTCCAGATCTCACGGTCGCCCCCCCTGCGCGAAGGTCCCCGAAGGTTCAAGGTACCTCCGTTCATTAACGTCCCAAGAATCTCCCAAGCGCACAGGTCGAAGCTCAGCATCAGCACGCAGGCAACCTCGGTGCCGACCGTGATGCCAAGCTTGCCTGGCTCGTTGAGCAGGGTATTGCAGAGGTTCATATGGCTGCAGTCCACGCCCTTTGGCTTCCCGGTTGTGCCAGATCTAAGGTTTTGGTTTTAGTTTTCACGCTCGGATTCAATTTGACGATAAGGGTCAACATACGTGTAAATGACATAGGCGCCATCTTGCGACTGAATGTTGACATTCAGCCTCTGCGTGTCTCCGGTCGTCCAGATGGAATCCGCGGCGTCAAAAGCAACAACCTTTGCGGAGCTTCCAGCTGGCATGCTCCTCTCAACCTTGTCTTTGAAGTTGGAGAAGCAAAGCACAACGCTCGCTCCTGAGTCGTAGATAACACTGCGAGGATGTTAAAAATGGGCCTCAAACGCTTTAACCACTTCGGGATCAAGAAGGGCAGCAAAAGTGCACTCACTGCCTCAGACTGGCCTCTACCATAACGGCGCCGTCTATCGGGACGTACTGCGCCCCTGCTTTCAAGACACCAAAGATGAACGCGCACATCTCGATGGATCGAGAATAGACGCAGACAACTCTCTGGCCCGGGGCCACGCCATGATTTTGCACAAGATAGTTAGCTATCACGTTGGAGCGCGCATCAAGCTCAGCGTATGTCAACGTCCTCTCGGAGTCAAAACATTCGCGAACAGCTGTGGCGTGTGGATACGCGGAGGCAACTGATTGGAATGCGTCCCTGATAGTGTAGTGAGGAAGGGGGATTGTTGGTCCCTTTCCGTACTTGTTGAAGAGGAGTTGGTCCCCTTGGGACAGTGATGAGGTCGCGTGAAACGACATTGTGGGTGATGTGCAATAGTAGTATGGGGTGCAAGTGGTTGTCAAAGTGGAGAGATCTCAAGCCGACAACGGTTTGGACAAAGTCAGAATATCCTCATGAACTCTGACAAGTAACAATGAGTTGCAACGCCTTGGGATGGACACCAGGGGTTCCTCGGACTTCCCAGTAAGCTTTCTGCTCTCGACAGCGGGCCATGTCTACGTCTTATATAGCGGTTGGCTTTCCGAATCCGTCCATGAGGCCACGGAACACTCCAGATAGCTGGAGGCGTCCCTTCCGCTGCTCCTGCCTCAGAGCCCACCAGTGACAGGGAGGCGAGTTCCACTGAGAATACAAGCTTGTGATCTGGATAAGCTTGTTTTCGTGCTTGTAGTTGCATGTTGCTACATCACATTAACGATGGCGCTCCAACTTGGCACTGTGGTACAGTGACACCCGAAGCCTTGCATCACTTAAACGGGCAAGCATTGTGACAGTCGTGGTGCATAGCGAGGATTGGCGACATTCCGAATAGGGCGTAGACCGCGCTTAGCACATAGACATGGCGCGTTAATCCACATCTGTACATGTAACGTAACGGAAAACCGCAGCATTCTACATGATACAGGCTAAACACTCAAGTCGCTTGAAATAACACTGCTATTAACTAGAAATCAAGCAAAACTAAGGTAAAAATAATGTTCTTTTTTTTTTTAAAAAAAAAAGAATAAATAAATTTAGTATTATAAGTATTGTGTTTTTCTTTCTTTAAATAAAACCGTTTTTCTTTTTTAAAAGGAAAAAATTAATATTATTTTGATGTTGTATTTTCCCTGTCTAGAAAGCGTCTTTCCTTTTAAGGCTAGTAATAATTCCTTGAAATATAAATATCTGTCGGCATATAGCTATCTGGAAGTACCATCATGGTTGTGAGCTTATCCGGTGCGGGTTTCACAGTCTCCAGTTTCACATGTCGCGAAGGGCCGCAGAGACAGCTGTGTAGTCCCAAACAAGCGTGATAGTCGCCTCTATCTCGAAAGCTTTGCGCATGCGGGCGCAGCTGTTCATCCACTTTCCTGCTTGGCCTCGAGGACACGTTCCCAGGTTTACCCCCACGATCACACCAATGAGGAAGGTTGGAGGAAGGTCGTAGTGTCAGTCGTTGCCTTCACCTCTCTAAGTAGCTTGTCCCGGTCCGTGTCGCACTGCAGCTCGATACCGAGGCCGGGCTGTCCATGCCTTGCATGAGGATCGACGTCGACAAGGCTCTGCAGATTCGCAATGATCGATTGGAACGACTTGCACGTTGCCCGGCAGCAATGTAGTTGCCCAAACTGGTCGGGAGTGTTACATGGATTCTTGTGCCATACTGCTTAGAGATATTCTCACCTCAAATACGAAGAAAATCTCGGCTTACATAAGCCAATAGAGGGCACGGCCAGGGAGCTATATTAAATATTTTAAAAATGATTATGAATAATAGGTTAATATTTTTATATTTTTCTTTATGAATTATTATTTATTAAGTTAAAAATATTATAAGTTTATAATAAATACTTTATTTTTATTAGGTAATTTTTAAAAGTATTTTCGGTTTTTTTAAAAATTACAATATTAGTATAGAAATGGTAAGTTGCATCAATAATTGTATTCTAGCTCCCTGTGAATGGAAAGTGAGTTACAAGTTTGTTCTCCCCGGAGAAAATTCCTGTTCCAGCAATACCAGCACGTAAGCAGCACACGGAAGCTGGAAACTTATTGATCAGGTCCCCGGAGGGCGAAACCCCCGACCTGGCCGCTTAGCGGGGCTGGAGGAGCGCATCTGGGGTGGACCCATGGGGCCGGCCACATGCAAGTCGGGCTCAGGAGCCGAGTGGACGTCACCTGGATGGATGGATGGATGTATGGCAAGCGGCCCCGCGGCAAAGCAAAGCAAAGCAAAGCAAAGCAAAGCAAAGCAAAGCAAAGCAAAGCAAAGCAAAGCAAAGCAAAGCAAATCGCAACAAGGTGTTGAAACGAAAAAACATGGCATGCGGTGCGGAGCCTCCACACTCGCAACGATGGACGTCCGATCCCGCGAAGGCTGTTTTCTACGGTACTATAGCGATAACGGTACTATAGCGATGACTGGCGGCATAGAGGCGATCTCTTGGGCACACCGAGCACTCATCAATTCCCTCATACGGGGCGACTGTCACATGGTGTGGCATCGGCGTATGCGGGCTCGATGTGCGTATGCAGACAGTCGGGCCTTGCGTATGGTCCCTTTCTTCGCTGTTGACGTCGCTCGTCACTTCATACTCATACCTGAAGCCTATGACGCCTTTTTTTTTTTCGTTTTCCGGATCGAGGCGATGCGCTGCAGGGCGAGGAGGCCCGCTGGGGAGGAGGGTTCCTAAGCGAGGCTTCGACCGGGAGGAGAGGGACCCAGAGAAGAAGGATGGAACAACAGAAAGAAGCAGCAAGTTGCTCCTTGGTTGCATCGACCCAGACCTTCCGGGATAGTGGCAAGGGCGGGTATTGGCAGGCTAGGCGGACGAACAAGATGGTTTAGGAACCTGTAGGCCGGGGAACACCGTGATATGGGCAGTGGGTCGGAAATTGGGCCCAGAGATCACCGATGTCCTGGCGACATGTGGAAGGAAGTTGAGGGCGGAATGCGATGCAAGACAGGTGCATGTAGGCAGGCAGGTAGCCAAGGTACATAATTTGGTTTGGAAGGCGGGGGAGACGATTGTCGAGGCAGATTGGCCCCCTCGAGACTGTCGTCACGGCACATATGTGAGCTGTATGTGAGCTGTATGTGTGTGTGTGTGTGTGTGTGTGTGTTTGTCTGTCTGAGAGCTGTTGGGTCCTTCCATGGTAGCGACCGAGAGCGGCAGCGGCCAAGAGAGACCCCTGAGGCCATCGCGATGGCATCGGGCATTCGGGATGCGAGGGGTGCGATTGGGGGGGGGGGAGGCTGTGGTCAGCCCACGGCCAGCAGGACCAGGGCAAAATACGGCGAGCGAATTGTGGATGCGGTGCGGTGCGGTGCGGTGGTTGCATGTGTGCGGAACGGGGGACGGAAGACGCGGGAGGCGTCGACTCGGTCACGCTGCATTTGATTGCCCAGAGCGGTTGGCAGACGCGCTGAGACGCTGCGCTGCAGGCGTGTGGAAAAGGAGGTTCCTTGTTTTCCCTGGCTTCCCTGGTTTTCCTTGCCCGTGCTGGGGCTGGCAGCGTCGTTGGTAAGAGGTTTGTCATTCAGCCTGGCCATCGCGTCTCCGGGTTGCAAAACGCGCAAGGTGCGCAGTCCGCGAGGCATGGCGGCTTGGGAGTTTGACGCCAAGATCCGGATCCAGCAACTGCGGAAGTTGGAGGGCGTCCAGGCTCGCAGGCAGGCCCCTGCAAGTGCCTGGTGCCGTCGGATGTGATCTTCGCTGTCAGGCTCTGATACGGGTTTAACCTGTCCAGTTGTCAAATAAGCTTTTGGCCAGCGTTGGGCCCAGCCAGCCTGCCTCGAGCCTGCCAGCGCCCAGGGTGGCACACAGGAGACAGGGTAGCGCCAGGTAGCGCCCTCCCCACCCGTGCTTAACTTGCTCCTGCCTGATTCAATGTCCCTATCTGATTGATAATAACCTGCCACGATGCGACAATCATGAGTCTATCGAGCACCGAAATGTATGCTGCCATGTATGTTGACGCAACAAATATGCCGGCACCCTCTGCGCATATGCAAGCCAGCATCGCTATGCGTCGCCGTGCTGCCCCCATTGCCCGCGCTGGGGAAAAGCAGAGCAGAGATACCACGTATACCACATGCTCAACTAGGCAATTATGCTGGCCCTCACTCGGATGCGGACACTGCGCCCTGCACATCGAGCTGGACTCACATGTGCGCCCGGGGTCCTTCGCCCCGTTGCACTCGGACCAGCATACCTCTTTCTGAAACTGCACAACAGTTCCTGCCATTCCTGCGCACCAGTGCTTTGTTGAAAAGGGCAACCCTTTGCCCAGCTGAAATCCGAATTTCAAATTTTGCCCTGACAAATCACTGCCCTATGATGAACATGGCTGGAAATCTGATGCAAGATATCGTCGACCTCTCGACAGAGCACATCAAGGTGCTGGCCGATGACGACGGCGTGGCGGTTGTGCAACTGAGTCGCCCACAGAAACGCAACGCCCTCACCCAGACCATGATCGATACCATGGTTGCAGCGTTGGGTTACCTGGACGCACGAAAGGATGTTCGCGCGCTGGTCGTCACTGGTAGCCCCGGTGGCGGCCCCTTCTCTGGCGAGTAATTCTGACGACACGACCAGAGATGGGCCAGACAAGCTGACCATCGATTGACGAGCAGCCGGCGTTGACCTCAAGGAGCTGGTTCACATCTCAACCGCCGAGGCACACCAGAGAAACTTCCTCAAGGATCTCACCGATGCCTTTGCCCGCTTCTCGAAACCTTCTGTCGCCGCTGTGGCTGGCTTCGCGGTCAGTAACCTTGCCTGTTCAACAATACTTGACATAGTTACTAACTAGTGGACAGCTGGGAGGCGGTTGTGAAATCGCCTTGGCCGTAAGTGACCATAAAGATGTTTCGGTGGCGCAAGAGACCAAGCTGACAGCTGATGGGCCCAGTGTGATATCATTTACGCCGAAGAAGGTGCCAAATTCGGACTCCCAGAGATAACCATCGGGACCATTCCGGGTGGTGGAGGGACCCAGAGGTTTGCCCGAGCACTGGGAAAGCACAGGGTAGGTTCCCACACTCGCTCCCCTCCTGTCTTGCGCTCTTGACTCACATGGCCACGTAGGCTATGGAACTCATCCTGACGGGTGAGTCGGTCACTGCCGCTGAGCTTCAGCGTCTTGGTCTTGTCAACAAGGTGTTTCCAAAGGAACAGGTCGAGGAAGAAGCAATCAAGCTTGCCAGGCGGGTGGCAGCCTTATCCGCAACTGTCGTCGCGTCTGCGAAGCAGGCCATCTTGACAGGTGAGAACGCCCAACCTAGTGCTGACGACAGAGACGCTTGCTGATCAAATCGCGCGACTCTCAGCCGAGAACTCGCATCTTGAGGCCGGTATGATTCACGAGAAGGCGTTGTACTACGCGACCTTCAGCACTTATGACTGCAAGGAAGGGATGTCTGCATTTTTGGAGAAGCGCGCGCCGCGGTTCGAACATAGGTAGGACAAGGATCAGCATGTCATTGAACGGGGGGCTGGGACGATCGAGTCAAAGCATAGCGTTCGTCCGGGGACGGAGAAGCTTTCTCGGCTGGCATCGTAGCGAGAACTCTACTGTAAAGCTTTTCCTGACCTCCACTGCTTCCCCGCATCCTCACGCGAACAATCATGTAGATCCGGAGACGGACCCCTGGCACCTTACTCAACTCACGACTTCATTTCGTGGCCCCTAAAGTTTTGCCTCCAATCATGACAGTCCAGAAATTTAGTTAGCTATTCAATTACGAGCCTAATTGTGTCCATAGACTTGAAGTGAGCCTCAGGTGGGTGCAGCTCGGGATAGCTGAACGGTTGTTTCGGCACACCTCAAGGTGAATGCCGTCATAGTACATTTGACAATTATACAAATATGAATCCAATCTCCTCCAAAGTGAATGGGTCTGCGATATCCACCGGCGCAGTCACCTCTCTTCTACAGTTGCCAACATGATGTGCCTATTGAGCACCGTCCTGCTGAGTCTCTCCGGCCTCAGCTCCGCAATACTAGCGGCAGATGCTTTCGCGCCCATGGCCTCTCCTCGCAGCCCAGCAGACTCAGGAAAGACATGCACGCTCATTCCAAATGGAGATAACAAGGACGACGTCCCCCAGATTTTGGAGGCTTTTGAAGCTTGCAACAATGGCGGGACAGTGGTCTTCCCCGAAAACGCGACTTTTCACATTGCAACCAAATTGAACCCTGTAATCTACGACGTCACCATTGACTGGAGAGGAACGTGGTTGGTAGGTACCAGCTATCGCTCTTTGTGAAAGCATTTTTCTAGACTTTCAAAACGAGTTGTGCTCACAACTTACATGGCATGTAGTTCTCGGACGACCTGGACTACTGGCGCTCAAATTCATACCCAATAGCCTTCCAGAACCACGCGGCAGGGTTTATCATTTCTGGGGAGAGAATACATATCAATGGCTACGGAACAGGCAAGATCAACGGCAGTGGAAACACGTGGTACACTGCCGAGGCGGGTCAAACACAGCCTGGAAGACCAATGCCTTTCGTTTTCTGGAATGTCTCTGACGTTCTCGTTGAGCACTGTGAGTTAAATATACCACATACAGACCGTACGTCGTAATCACGCTAAACACAACACGAAGTCTCTGTGATTCAAAGCCCACTGTGGTCCGTCAATATAATGAATGGGACGTCGATGTGGTTCGACGACATTTATGTAAACAATACGGCTCTTGATGCTGCATTCGTGAGTTATCTTTTTTGCCCCGAATCTCCCATGCCAGAATTATAAGCTCTGCTGCCCACCGTGGAGCACGCGTCACCACCATTCAATACTTGTGACACATACTCTCTCGTGCGGCAAGGCGGAAAATTGAATATGCTCACGGGAGTACCCTCGGGTGTGGCACCTTTTGGAATAGACTCTTGCGGAATGCACTAACACGAACTCTACTTAGGGAAATAATTGGGTGCAAAATAAGTTCAGCCCTTGAGTTACATTACACACGAACGTGATAGGCTGACTTGAACTTTACATACAGATGGATTCGATACTATGGACGCCTACAACATCAGACTTACAAACTTTGTCTATCAAGGCGGAGACGACGCTATTGCGATTAAACCGCGGTCATACAATATTTTCATCCAGAATGTACGCCTCCCATCAAGCGACAGATCCCAGATTCCTGCTCCGCTGACATACTGTTCTCTCCATAGATAACTGTACACGGAGGCAATGGTGTCGCAATCGGAAGCCTTGGCCAGTATCTCGAAGATAGTTCAGTGGTGAACGTTGTCGTAAAGGATGCTAGCATACTGACCTACAATGACGACATGCACAATTCCGCTTACATCAAGACGTGGGTTGGGGAGCTGGTCCCACAAGATTCATACGAGAGCGACTACTTGCCAAGAGGCGGAGGGTGGTAAGTGAAATCCCGCTCATGCTTGTGGAGTTGTGCCAAGATACGGGCGCTGAAACTGCCTTAACTGTAGGGGAGTTGTACAGAACATTCTCTTCGAGAACTTCTACGTCGAGGGTGCAGCCGCTGGCCCTTCGATCAGCGAGAACTCCGGCAACAATGGTTCGTAATGATGCTTTGTTCAATTGATTTTTTGACCTGCCAGTGGTGTCTCTTTCAGCCTAGAAGCACTAGAAATCTGACAATGGGTATCTGAATAGGCTCATTCGCTGGTACCTCGAATATGCTGATCTCGAATATCGCTTATGTCAACTTCACCGGCTGGCTCGACTCCTCCAACAGTAACCGCACGGCATCAGTTTCGTGTTCAAACAGGCATCCATGTTATAACATTGAAATGAAGAATATTTCGCTCCAGCCGACGCAGAACTCTACCGCTCTAGGGGCTGTGGGAAGCTGTTCCTACATTGCTGCTGGCGGCGTACACGGCATGGAGGGGAGTGGTTGTTCACAGTGAAGGGGTGTCTGGCTTATGGATTGCAGACATGGATAGATACACGTGCCCCCAAAGGACACATTGCTTAATACACTCAAAATTCGTGATCTCAAGCTTTGTACGAGTTGCTTGTGTCATATCGTGTTCACTGAATCTTTTATTAACATCGTCACAGTCTATAGAACCATCATCTTGGCCCTGCCGCAAAGGTAGATTTCTCCCTCAACTTCTGCCCGTATTTCCACAACAAGATTGGGCCGGGCCAACCGATCACAACACCGATGAAAGCAAGCATAGTGTTTCCCCAGCCATAGTCCAGCCTGGCATATAAGCTGGGGGCGAAGAGCGGGAACCCAAAACCAGCGAGACTGCGAAGTACTGTGGCTGCTGCAACGGCGCTCGCAGCGTACCTGGTGTAAGAATCCACCAGAAAACCCTGGATAGCCTGAAAGCCAACGATGACCCCCATGGACAATATGACAACACCTACATCAGGTCCGATCCAATGAACCCGATACTGAGCAGTCCCTAGTACCTGTTAGTCACCTGCTACGGATCCCAAAGTGATACATTCTGGAACATTCCAAAGTAAAAAGATCGGGGATGTGTAGCAGGAGAAGAATGGTACTAACAGCCGTATATAACGAGGCCGACAGGCATCATAATAGCCCCAGGTACCATCATGGGAATACGGAACTCCGGGCGCCCCACGGACACGTTGTAGTGCTTTTTTAGACGGGCATAGATACGGTCCTGAAAGGGAGCGCAGATCTGGGCTCCAAGGAAGAACCCGAGCCCAAGTGCTATGTAGTTCAGCCCACCAATTCCAGTGCTCATCCCGTATGATGCCCAGAGGCCTGGGAATGTAGACAAGATGAGATACATCAGCCCGTAAAGGAACATCATGTAAATGGCAAGGACCTGGATAATTGGCTGAGTGAACAGCATGCGAAAGGGCCTCACAAAAGCCGTGGCCAACGTTCTGGAAACGGTCTTGTCCGGGTCGTCGAAGTCAGTGTGTAGGTCCGTGTTTCCTGTCTCTTTGATGAGCTTTTCCTTGCGCCAACGCAGCAGAACCGGAGTGTAGGTCTCCCTAAGAAGGAAGAGCCCTGCACATTGTATCAAGGCGTCAGCTATAGTTGTGGCGTAGAAAATCCAGCGCCAAGATGTGTTCTCGGATATAAATGCTCCCGCGATGGGGCCAATGGCTGGCCCAAGAAGAGGTGCGAGGCTGTAGATACTCATGGCTCTCCCTCGCTCCTCGGCTGTAAACAAGTCTGAAAGGATCCCACCGCCGATCGCGAGGGGAGCAGACCCGCCGAACCCAGCAAGGAACCGGAATACTATCAGCTGCACCTTAGTGTGGCACAGGCCACATCCGAGGTTGAAGAAGAGGTAGAAGAGGTTAGCAAGCTGAAGGACGATGACGCGGCCGTACAGCTCACTCAGAGGACCGAGAAGGAGAGGACCGATTGCGTATGCTAGATCGTATGTTAGTTACTGATATTTTCAAGTGCCCTCTAATCTCGAAACTACTTCTTACCGAGGACGAAGATCGAGAGTGAAAGTTGCTTCTCAAACTCATTTGTAATGTTCAATTCGCTGGCAATGGAGCCTAATGCTGGTGCTGTCATGGTGGATGATACGGGGCTGATCAACGTGAACGTCGACACCACAAAGACAGCGGCCCACTTCTGACCCGTTTCCCAAGTCTTGGGGTTCTCCGGGTCCTCGGTATTCCAGGTTACGAGGTTTGGGTCTGCTAGGTGCCTCGGAGTTGGCTGCTTCTCAAGTGGGAGCGCAGCCTCGACATCGTGTCGGCTCTCGATCCCATCGCGGACATGGCTGACTGTTCTTGCTACCTCGGGACGGCCAGAGTCACTCGGTCGTCCGGAACGGATCTCGTGTTCAGAGATGGACCCTGAGGAGCTCGAAAAATCATCATCTGTAGGCGAGCCTGGCTTCTCCACCTCGATCTCGTCGTCATCGCGTCTGATGTCCCCAGCGTCCACATCTGGTGATTCGCGTCGCAAGCGACCCCGATCTTGATTTCCATGTCTCAAGTTTCCAAAGTCTTGTGCCTCTGTCTCATTGTTCGTAGGTGTCCATGACGGCGAAGACGAAGGGCCAGCCCCTGTTTCGTTGGCGTCCTTCATTGAGCTTGGGAGAACAGAAGACGAAATATTCGGTGGAAAGTCGTCTAGTGCTCTTTATGACCAAATTTTTGTGGATGCAAACTGTCGAGACAGTGTATGCTGAATGGAGCAAATGATGCGCCGAGGTAGGCTTTGTCGATGTAACTAACTGCCTTATTTACAAAGTTGGACCGGACATGAAAGCGCGCAACTTCCAGGTGAAGTTCACATAGTCATCGTAGCCTCCTCCTAGCTGGAAGAAAAGGGGAAAGAGCATTGAACAAAGACTGCTGTTGGCGCAGCCTCAAAATGAGAGCGCACCCACGAGCGGTCTCCTGCCGACTGCCGGGATCCACAATCTTCGGTGCCGATTCGCACAATTTCTCTTCACTTACGACTAAGGAAAACCACACGAGGTGGGTAAACTAGGCGCAGATCTCACCGCTAGGGTGAAGGACCGGCTCTGCAACAAATGAGACGCCTAGTTTTGTCACCCACCTCGTAATGGAGACTGGGACACTCGGTGTCGGCCTTGGCCGCGTGCCGAAAGCGCACCCGGTTTCTAAGCAGCGGGACAGATGGGGCATGGACTTCAGGACCGGAGACAAATACTAGTCGCCGTTGGAAGCAACTAGTGTCTCAAGACTCCGTTCAAGAGGTCAGTCACATTGTGTCCGGGATTGCCATGTGTAACATGGCACAGCATAGCCGAAGACGGCCGTTTCTCAACGTACTCAAGTGCTTTGTCATACTGTAGTGAGCAGACTTGCTTTCGATTTCATCTTTCATCTTTTGAAGTATTTGGTTCGGACTTAAGGATTTGATTCTTAATTTTCCGTTTTATGTGGGTGAATACCACCGTTGGAAGCGAGTAGCTAATTCCACGCCGGCCCATTCAAATACGTATGAAGAGGTCCTCCCACAGTTCCAGAAGCACCCAGCTGTCAGAAGGGGACACGAGGGCCACCAGAGAGATCTTTCCCTTTCCCTCAAGCTCCACAAGCTTCGACTCGCCCCACCGCTCAATCGCGTTTAGGCGCGCAAATTTCGCCAGGTCTTTAGCGAAATCCTTATAGAATGCGGCGTCACTAAGTGCCTGTTTCGGGGCGCCGGTCTTCTCGAGACGACGCGTATATGCTGAACGCGAGGCGGAGCGCGAGCCCTAACTGACGTGTGGACTGGCGGGTTTGAAAGCGAATGGGGTCTTTGTGGGTGTTGCAAAGGGGTTTGTGTCTTGTTTGTTGTGTTGGAGTAATTTTAGGAGAAATCTCAGGGAAGCTGCGTTGCCTGTGCGTGCAGGTTGGAACTCTGACCTGTGTTGCAAAAAGTCTAGGAGGGACTGGGACTGGAACTTGTGCCGCCTCTTGAAATGCAAGAAAACCTATTAACATCCTTTCGTTTCAATCACTCCACTGCCTACCTTAGGCTTTATTCTCATTAGCGACTATGTTTATGAGGAAGACTAGATCTCAGACGGCCGCTACAGCTGATAGCGAAGGAGAAGAGTTTGGATCAGAGATGGCCACTACGGCCAACGGCAAAGGGCAGGATTCTTGGTACTTGCCTCAGACCGTATCTAAATGACTCCCAGTAGCACATGTATCTGGCACATAAATTCTGAGATATCTGGAAGTGGCTCACACTCTTGGCTTCTACAGTTGAACTTTTGACATTGCCTGCAATCGCACTTTACCCCTTGTCAAAATGTCGACTTGTTCTGCCTTCGCCTCTGGCCCAGCCCTAGGAAACTAAAAGCTTGTCCACAATATCGTCTACAAGATCCAAGGAGAACGGGCTCGTGAAGATCTTTCCAGCCTGCTTCTTCTGCAGAATCTCCGGGTGCCCATAAGTGATGGAGACTATTGTCGTGGGGGCCCCTAAATAAGCAATGGAATGGCTTGACACTAAATGAGTTGCTGAGTGAATCGACATCACCTTCGGCTAGCCACGAAAATATGACGAAGAGATAGAGAATGGCAAGTACTGTGCCCGGCAGGGTACAGGACGACAAAGCTAAGACCCCACAACCTTGTTGAGCAACACCGGGATGAGTCACCACAGGTGAGATTTTTAGTAGGCAAGTGTCATCTCCTTGATCAGTTCGACTGGTATGCCTATAGGTGGGGAGGGTGGTCGTGAGATACTCAGATGCCCGACAGAGCTGCCCATCTTTTTAGCTCAGCTTTCGTCTCAAGAGTGACATAACTTGTGATGGAAACACGTCACACAATGTGAACATTTAGCTTTTGGTTGGACGAGACGATTGGTGACAAAATTACTTAAAATTCTGCATAGAGATTACTTCACAAAGGCTCCAATCTTTAAGAAAATCTGGAGCTGGACATATTTGTCGGAAGTGTTCCCAGTACACACATTTATTGGCTGCAGCAGAAGGAATGCCTGATCCTGTAGCTTATCTTGGACTGAAAAGCTGCTCTTACATGTAGAGCGGTTGTCAATTTGCACTACAACATTCACTTGGAACCGTTCTGGAGGCTGAAGTTTACTGGATTTCTTTTATTCTGTGAGAAAGCATGCTCATGGTAGCCTGTCTATGCAGACACTTGTATGATGCACCCAAGTTGCCTTCCAGTGGCTATCACGCATATTGAAAACCATCTCAATCATCAATGACGAGGTCTGGATTGTGATCGTTCGAGGGGAATACACACATCCAACCTGATGAACAATGACCCAAAGCAACCGACCATAAAACGCCGACCCTCTCCACCGTTTTGAGTTCGCAGTCCTGGGAGTGCGAAGGAAACTGTTCCAAATGCCGAAGATATCGATCCGGGTATCACTCAGGAAGCGGACAGCTCGTCCTGTCCAAATCCTAATCCAAGACTCCTTCAAGCCTCCGCCTTGGTGTCGACCTTCTTGGCTGGGGGCTCCTGGGCGGCGCCGCCATCATCCTCGCGAGAGCGCTTGCCATTGGGCTCGCTAGACTTGTCGCCCTCAGTGGCGTCCTTGCGGTCTCCTGCAGCCTCGTCCCGATCACGCCTGTTGTTGCGGTCGAAATCGCGACCTCCACGACCACGGCCTCCACGCCCACGCCCACGCCCACCTCTACCACCTCGGTTGTTGTTCCTGCGGTCGTGATCCTTGCGGGCCTTCCAGTCATCCTTGTCGCCCTTGAAGCGGTCTCCTCCGCGACCACGGCCGAGGTCCTGGCCCTCCCAGAAGGTCCGGGGAGCTTTGCTCTTGCTGGGCTCGAGCTTGCCTTCCTCGATCAACTTGGATTTCTCGTCAACGTATGCCCGCTTAGACATGATCTTCAGATCACGTCCCTCGTACTTGGGCGCGGGGTCAAGGGCCAAGAAAGCCTTGGCCTGCTCCTCAGTATCGAACTCAGCAAAGACGGAACCCTTGAAAAGATGGTCATCATCTCGGCGAAGTCGAATGGCATTAACTGGACCGAACTTCGCGAAGAAGGCCTCAATGTCGAACTGGGTAGACGGCTGCTCGTCGCCAAAGCCCTTGACGTAGACCGAGACTGGAAACTTATCGCCGGGCTTGGAGGACTTGTAGGGGACCTTGCGAGAGACTGTCTCGTTGCCCTCTTCGCCAGAGATGACCAGGAACTGGCTGTCATTCAGAGCCTTGACGACAGCCTCGTAGGGCTGGAAACGGTGCATGCGACCGAAGGAGCAGATCGTCTTGAGAGGGACAGGTTTGTTGTCGAATCCTCCAGTCAGATTCCACATGTATTTGTCCTGGGGAAGGTTGTTGTCTCCGAAGTAGAACTCGACCTGAGTAGTTGTTAGCAAGAGCGCATATAGCCTCAGTGTCTCGGGATTGTGCTTGTACCTGGACACGGATCAGGTGAGGGTCATCCGTAACAGACAGAACGGAAGGGTCAAATTTGCGCTTGTTGCTGTCGTGGTGGCGGCCGTGCGCTCTGGTCTTGTGAGCATTGGCGTCATTGTCCTCCTTGACGGCATCGTCCTCCTTGGAAGTGTCTCCATTTTTCTCAGCTGTCGCAGCCTCCTTGGTCTGATTAGCCTCGATAGGCTCGTCTTTAGTGGTCTCGACAGCGGGAGCAGCGTCGGTGCGTGCCTCTGCGACGGGGGCAGACACTTCGGGCTGGGTCGCCTCAGCTTGGGTGGTTGGGTCGGCCATTTCTTCTGTAGTGAATTATTGAATGGCAAGGTGAGAGGGGGAATCGGAGTGTTCAATGCTGGGGCAATTGAACGGAGGCTGTGGAAGGTGGCGGGCGGTGCGAGCAGAGTGTGACTCTCCGCCGAGGTGAGTCCTGCGGTAGTGGGGTACAGTGCACAATGGTTGGCCACCAAAAGGGAGATAATGTTACGGCGAGGGACTCGGGGCTGCACAGTGTGCCCTTGGTAGCTGTAGAGGAGAGGGTGGCGATTGGTTTCAGAACAGCGCAAGTAATCAGACTGCCCTGGAGGATGGGGATGATGGGAAAAGAAAGAAGGTCGATCCAACGCCGACCGCTGAACTTTTCTGCGCCGATAAGAGCTGTGATAAAAAGCCAGCAGACTCGAGCACAGCAGCCAGGGTTTGGTGCATGTACCTGGGTACCCCACAGTCCAGCCCGCGCGCGAGGGCGGCCCTGCAGCCATCTACGGTCCCATTGTGTGGAGCTCCAGAGCTTGTCGCCCCAACGGGTTAGTGTGCTGGGCCAGAGAGCGAGAGCAGCCGCACGTCCTAAAATTTTGGAGAGTCGCGACTGCATAGGGAGAGAGGCCAAACGGCAGAGTTCGAGCCCCATTCATTCATTCATTCATTGTCCACTGTCCTAACCTGACATCGTCACGGACCCGGCCAACTCGACTCGAATCCCTTGCCTTCTTGTATATCGAGTCCAGTCTGTGCCGCTCGAACCCCTCCGCGGACCAGAATGAAGTTGAGAAGGACATTAAAGTTCCACAGTTTGAGACGGGGGGTAAGCACTGCACCAGGCTCCATCTCGTCTTGTGTCTCGTTTCCGCGATGATATTCCACGCACCGACGGCGTGCCTCGTCATGGCCCATATCCTCCTGCCCCTCCGTCTTTGTACCCCCTCCAGCCCGGCTGACCAGTGCTCCTCCGCCATGTAGAAAGTCCGCCAGACATGGAACAAGTACAACCTCTACAACCTGTCCAGGGTTGAGCGAAAAATACCCAACTACATCTCCAGGACCTTCTTCCAGCAGAAATGGAACGCCAAGGCACTGACCCGCGCCTACCACGGCGAGCACATCAAGGAGCGCAAGTGGGAGCGCATGTTCAACCGCCGCATGCTATCCGTCGTCAACATGGACCCTCTCTACATGGCCCACAACGATGGCTCCGAGCAGGCCGCGGGCAGAGGCTCCGGCAAGGACAAGCCCAGCTTTGAGGATGTTACGCCCTGGCATGAGCGCGGCCAGATTGTCAGTAACAGGGCTAAGCCCGGCTTCCAATCGCAGCCCGACCTGGATCTGGTCCATCCCGTGGAGGGTAAGGATCTCTCGCGGAAAGAGACAAACCTGCAACAGTTCAGCGGCCAGACACCATACATGAACATGGCCTACGCCCCGCTGGAGAGGAGGATCGATATGGCCATCTTCAGGGCTTTGTTTGCCAGCAGTACACGACAAGCGAGGCAGTTCGTTATTCACGGTGCGGTCAAAATCAACGGCCAAGTTGTATGTGCCGAGCAGGCCTGCTGACCCCTTCGTCGAATGCTGCCTACTAATCTTGAACTATGTAGATGACGCACCCAAGCTACCTCCTCAACCCCGGTGACATGTTCCAAGTCAATCCCGAGTTCGTTCTTCTGGCGACTGGCAAGAAGAAGCCACCGCCACCGCCCAAGGCCCCCAAGAAGAGCCGCAAAGCTGCCGCATCGACAGAAGAGGCGGCGGCCGAAGAGGAGGGTGAAGGTGAGGGTGAGGAGGCTGCCGCGGAGGGCGAAGATGAGGCCGGTGAAGGTGAAGCCGACCAAGTCGCACCCGGGAATAAATTACCAAATCTCGATGCATTTGAGGCAAGGCTCGCAAAAGAGGAGGCAAAACGAGAGGGCGCAGATTCTGCCGAGATCCAGCCCAACGCACCAGGCAGTATCCCCCGTGTGCTGAGATTCCTGTCGAAGCAAGCCAAGGACATCCTAGAGCAACAAAAGGGCGAATTGAAGGTCAAGAAGAAGCGCAAGTTCCGCAACTTCATCAAAATGTCCCGCGCGGCGCTCGCAAAAGCCGGCCGCGCGGGCGGCGAGGCGGAGGTCGCATCCGACCAGACGGTTATTGACGAAGTCAACGCCATGCTCCGCGACCTGGCCATCGCCGACCCCACAGTGGCCAAGAAAGCGGAGGAGTCGGGCGCGTTTACCGCCGACGAGGTCGCCAAGGCTACGGAAGAGACTCAGCAAGAGGGGCCGGAGCAGCAGGAGGGGAAGAAGAGGCCCGCGGCGAAGAAGGGCGCAGACTACGTCATGTCGGGCGAGGAGGTCTCGCGGATGAACAAGCTGCTCAAGGAGTGGGAGGACAACCCGGAAGACCTCTCCAAGCCGTACCTCACGCCCTGGGAGCCGCGGCGCTTCATGGGCGCCTTCGCCTTCATCCCACGGTACCTTGAGGTCAACCAGAACATCTGCGCGGCCGTGTACTTGCGACATCCCGTGGCACGACAGAAGTACGCCGAGGTGCCGACGCCGTTCCCACCGCACGTCATGCAGCTGGCATTCAACTGGTATCTGCGCCGGAGATGATATGAAATCTGGCAAGCCTTCCGATACCCGCTTGGTGCGATGTGGCATAGGATGACTAGTGACTATGAGTATTCAAGGGGCAATCATGATGTGGTGGATTGCTCAGTAACCTGCCTCGTATATAATGTCCAAGGCGGGTATTTATATGTCGGACGGCTAGACATAGACGAGATGTACAAACACAGGCAATTGTAACACACTTCATAAATCTCGCTCTTTTCAGGCAGGATTCGCTTTGTTGCCCTTTGTCGATACGAGGTACGGGCGGTCCTCCACAATAATCTTGCTGCCAGGACAAATTTTCCTGCTCAATTCCGCTGATGGCATGCAGTTTTGCCGCACGTGGGAGCTCCACCCCCAGCCATTACATGCCTCTGCGGATTAAGACATCAATCTCAAGATTCGCATCTGTTTATAGAGATATGGCCCCGCCGTTGGATTATCGGCACCAGGAGCTTGACGGAGATGGGGCCAATTGAGTCGCTCAGTTGTCATGTGTGTCTGCACTCGGGTGTAGAGGTAGTCATTGCTCGTCACGAGGAGGATCGCACAAGTATGTGATGGAAATCCATCATTTTCTGATCAGAACCACTAAACTAGAGAAGAGCTGCAGGGCGACGACAAGGAAAATACAGTAGTACTCGACACTAAGCGGGCCGGGGAAAAATAAAAGGAAGAAAGACGTGCTTAGGAGAATCAGGGGCATGAGGGGGTATGTTAGTAGAGTAAAGCCGTCAAATGCGATCCCAGATTCCAAACAAAAAAACCGGTCTTTGAGATACTAGATGCATCCACAAGACATCTACGCCCACGGCTCAACCGTCCACCTAACCGGCCTCATCCTCCATGATTAGGTATCACAGCCACTGCTCTCCGTCACACGTCGTCGCACATCCCACGACCCGCTGCCAGAACTTCTGAGGGGACGTAGAGACGCCTCGCCGAGAAGAAAGAAGGAAGTTCCCCGAAGTGTTGGTCGTGGGCTACCAGCGAAAGTGGACTGGTCCCCTGTGGCAAGAAGGGGTCTCAACGTCCGTCATAAATTATAGAAAGTCGTATTTCGAAATGTCGAGCCGACACGTGAGTTGCGAAGAAGAAAAAGCCAGCGCTGTGCGTACGCTCGCACCAGGAAGCCGTGCATTGCCAAACCAACTCCTGGTTCGATCGGGGGTGAAAATGTACTCTAGGCTGTTTTGGGAATCGCAAAGACCCAAGCTCAAGGTCCTCCACCAACCCATGGTGTATATTGCAGAGGGGTGCAGGAAGCCCGGGCAGGGTCGAAGAGAGCCGCTCAAATGCGACACGCCTTCTTTCTCCAAAGTAGGTAATCCTGGTCTTGGTCGAGGTGCCATTTTTGCCACGCTCCGAGGGACCGTTTCGATTAGCTGTACCATGGAGGACTTTTCGAGGATTAGATAGGACGTGATTAAAATGGTGACAGTGAAGACGAAATTGGAAACAAGCGGCAGGCTGGTAGTGCATGGGCATAAGGCGTATGCAGGCGTGGATCGTGGAAGAAAGGCGCTCAGGGAGTCGAGGCTTATCGGAGGGAGAACCCCTTCCTCTTGCCTTCCTTTTCGATTGGCCGCCCGCTCTCGACTCTCGACTTCTTCTCCTCGAGCTCCAGCCTTTGGCGCTCCAGCTGCTCCTTCATTTCTCGGTGCCTGGCGTACAGCTCCTCTTCACTCTGCTTCAGCTTGGACTCTTTCTCGGCGACCTTTTGTTGGAAGACCATCTTCATCTCGGCCTCCATCTTTGCGAGCTTCTGTTCGTGGAGGGAACGCTCCTCCTCCTGCTTGACGGCTGGGTTAACCTCCTTGAAGACGCTTGGGTCTTGCGAGACACCCATCTGGATGAGCTTGTCCGTTCGGTAGTTCTCGTAGAGAAGGTTGTTGGTGTGCTCCTTGAGCTCTTCCATGTGTGTCCGGATGAGCATCTGGCGGAGCTTGACGAAGTCGCAGTGTTCCTCATTGTCGACCTCGATGGCACCCCATGGGTACTCACGACCGCGCACCTTGCGCCCGTCGGCGTTTGTGATCTCACCGGTGGCACCAACGACAGCAAAAGGAACCTTGGACATTATCTCGTTGTTCTCGGCGATGGTCTCCTCGTCATCGAGCTCGTAACGAGGGCCTTCAAATATCTGCACGTTGTGGTGCTTGATGTCTGCTAGGACCTGTCGAATTGTTAGGATCTGGGTCGAGGAAGCGAATCTTGGAAACTTACTCTCGCCTTGAAAGCAGTGATCTCCTCATCTGTCAGAGTATCGGACTTGGCAATGACGGGAATCAGGTTGACCTTAGTGTGGAGACGCTTCATAACCTCAATGTCGAGAGGCTTCAGCGAGTGGCCGGTTGGCTGAATGAAGAAGACACATGCGTGGATGCGGTTGTCCACGATGTTCATCCGGTTGACTTTGTTCTCGGCATCCAGGTAAGCATCGAAGCGCTGCTCGATGTTATCCGTGATTGGCCGCCAGGACTCGTCGTTGTTGACAAAGTCACCGAAGCCAGGGGTATCGACAACGGTCAGACGCAGACGAACACCTGCTTCCTCAATATCTGCGCTGATAGACTGGATGGTGACAGTCTTGGGGAGAATGTCGAGACTTGGCCCCTTGCGCTCCTTGGGAGGGTACAGGGAGGTGTTGAACAGAGTGTTGACAAGGGTAGACTTTCCGAGACCAGACTCGCCTGAATTTTTTGTTAGAAGTGATGGACTAAAATGTGGCAGGATTTGGGTAAGTACTGACCAACAACCATAACGTTGAAGTTGAAACCCTTGCGAACACTCTTGCGGTGCCATTGGTTGGGAAGGTTGGCAAAGCCAACGTAGCCCGTCAGCTTTCTGCGGACAATGTTCTTGTTCTCAATCACGCCAGATGAGACTGTAGGTCTGAGGTTAGGACTCTGCTCATATTCCGCTTGACCCAGATCCGCAATGGGAGAGGAGGGCTTGCCGATAGGAAGCTCGGGAGGGGTGGTGACAGGGGCGCCGTTGGAAGCTGCACACGAATTATGTCAGTTAATAATTCCATGATTGGGACTGTGACGCGAGCCTCAGAGCAACAAGGAAAAGCAGTTGTTAGGAGCCAGTGCAGAATCAAGGAGCCTGACACTCAGACAGCGGCAAGATCTCGCGCTGGAGCTCGCCCAGCTCCATGGCTCTCAATGGGGCGATTTTCGGAGGAGTTTCGACATCCAACATGCTGCGATAGCTGGGAGGTGGCCTCTCGTTTTCGCGGTGAGCAAGGCTGCTGGACCTGGTGGCAATTGCCGGCGGTGGAGATGCCGGTGTTCTTCTGCTGGTTGTGACGACATTGTCCAGTTGAACACTGCGTGACCGTGTTTTATTCGGATGGATCAGGTCGAAAGGCATGGTGATTTGGCAGTGCATTTGCTGGCTGCCCTGTCTCGGTCCCGAGTCCCGATCGACCACAATGGCATTTCAGAGACAAGCCCAATGATGTTGCACAGAGGACTGCCGCTGATGGAGGTAGGATGGTTGGTCGACGGAATCGCAGTGGCTAGGGATTCGACGCGCCGGGAGTTGAGGTGGTTGGGATGAGTTTGGTCGTCGCTCCGAGTCCAGAATTGATTCTTGCATTGCTCCCGCGACTGCTATCACTGTTCGAGGCAGGAGTTTGTTTGCGCTTACCCATTGTGAATGTAAAATTGGCCGAGGTCGGAAAATGAGGGAAGGAACGAGTGACTGTGGTCGGGGAGGACGACTGTTAGCATCCGCGTCGTCAGGAGTAGGGAGCTGGGCGCCCAATGACCGAGCCGCCCAGTATTTGCCGGGCAATTCGGAAAGGACGTCAATGGGCGAGTCCCGTGAGGCGTGCATAGATAGGAGCCAAATCAAGCAAGATGGAGGGCAATGCGCTTGTCCAGTTGCAGATGAGGCAGGAGCCAGAAGCAGGGCAGGAGCAGGAGAGACGGGCTGCCCTTCTACGACGCATTGACGAGGGAGGGAGGGGAGCCAGTGAGGATGGGGAAATGGACGTACCAGGAAGGGACACGCAGCTCTGGACGAGTTGGGTCGGGGCGAGTGGTGCGCGGTGGGAAAAGGCCTTCGTGAAGGGGAGGAGAGAGCGATGGCCGTTGGCGTCAAAAAAGAATACTATGAAATAGGACGAGATGAGAAGATGAAGGAGAATTGTCGTGTCGTGGGAAGTTCTGCACGGCACGGAGAATGGGCAGATTTGGGAGAAGGTTGAGGTGATTGCAAAGGGGCTGTAGGAAATTTGGGCAAAAGGGTACTTCCCACCGGGTGACAGTTGGTCCGTGCGGGGAGCTGTGGAAAAGGGGGCTCGTGCTTGCTCCGTGCAGGTGCAGGTGCAGGTGCTGGGTGCAGGACAGCCCAGGTGCAGGCAGGTACGGGTGGGTGAGCGTGGCAGTTGTGGTGGATGTGGCAGAAGCAGCAGCTCGGCCAAGAGCCTGTCACAGATTCACAGAGGGAGGGAGGAGCGAAGAGCTGGGCTCCGGCTGATGGGCAATCTGGTGGAAGGTGGAGCTAGGACGGGGACCCCCAGAGGGTCAACCGTTCGTTTAAGGTCGGTTCACTTGCCAGCACTAGGGGAGGAGGCAGGGGTTGTGCCACGACCAGAGTGACGGGCAGGGGGTCCAATCTCAGATGGTGCTCTCAATTGGCTCCACGCCTCTGATTAGGATGCCGTTTCGTGCAGCGCCGATCCACATCAGGCCGTCTTCATTGAAGCATTTCATCTCCAGCCCGTTTGTCGCCCCGAACTCTGTCTGCCGTCGGCGCTGTTCGGTCCTGACACGAACCCAACGGCAAGAGTCAATGGGGCAACACGTGGAATCGTCTGTTCTTTCTCTCGTAAAACACCAAACATTGTGAGATCCTCGCGGCGATCCTCGTGGCGCACAAACTCAACCCATCTTTGCAATGTCACGGCAAAGCTTCTGAGTATACATCCAGGTAGATCAGATGGTTCGCTGTCCACAACAGCAGCCGCAGCAGCAGCGTGTCGTGTCTGTATCTGTACCTGTCGTCGAGTTCGTCACTGAGCATCGCATGACTCCCTTGAGTTGGTGAAGTCATCACTCCAAGCCATGTAGCCTCTCCATGTTACTTTGCACACCTCCATCTGGGGTTTGACCGGCTACAGATCCCATCTAAACTTCCGGATCTCAACCCGCAGCCGGCGAAGAGACCCAAGCACTCACTCTTGCGGCTTGCCCGGGTGTGACCCATCTGCAGATTCTAGGCCTGTGGAAAACTTCCGGGGGTGCTGCACATGGCATTGGACGCCATATGCTTGAATTCGCGGGAACAAGATTATAGGGTCGGACGGTTGGGTTAGGTACACCCCATGGTACTGCCCCCAGCCACCTCGATGTTAAAAAGGGAGCGAGGCTCATCACTGCAATGCCTACCTAGGGACCTAGTAGGCGTTGAGAGAGGAAATCTAACCGTCATCAACGCATTCCAGTGGAAATTTGCAGGTACACAGTCTTTTGCCAAGTCGTCCGCAGAAGCAAACCCGCCTCAAGGCGTTGGAAGAAGCCTCGCGCAAGGTTTGGCATGGCGGCGCCAGCTTGGAGCGGGAGGAAGCTTCTAGGCGTTAGTGCTCCGCGAACCTGTTTCCCGCCACCAAAAAAAGTAGATGATATCACACTCACCTCACCCTTTCGCGATGCCCTTCCTCAGCCGTATTTAGCACGGATCAGCAGCATCAATTCATACATTTGAGCTCATGTATCTACAACGTCCATGCGTACTGAGACCAGCCAATTGATACGCAAATCCCCTCAACCTTGGGCCTGGCCCGTCGTACCCAGGTATCTATCTGACTGATATGATCATTCACGCGTGGCTTATGGGAACACTCACCTGGCCGACAATCTAATTCCCTCACCTGGGCGACGTATTTTGACTTCACGCCCACGACGCAATGAGGTTCTCTCGACAGGCCATACCCAGGGCTTCGTTTCAGGCTGTCCGCACCTGCCAATCTATCCATCGCCGTCAGTTAGATCCGACCAGGCTGCATCAATGGGCTGCCAAAAGGGCAACCGCTGCGCGTCAACACGCCAGCCCTCACCAGCACCAACAACTCCGACATGGCTTCTTCTCTTCCGACACCAAGCAACGTAAATCGAAGCGCACCTTGCCCGCCACAATTTTCATCGCCACCGTGCTGATCTGGTCCCTCTACCCATCAGATGTCTATCAGGAGCTGCAGCCATCGGCCAACCAGGCAAGACAAGCCACCACACACGGCGACGACTCACTCCCCAAGGAGAGCCCACCAGAGGATGTCAAGCAGGGAGACCAGGTGGCCCAAAGTGAAGCCTCTGGGGCTTGGTACGACTTCACCACGGCCTTCCAGAATTTCAGCGTAATTACGGATCAGGAATGGCGCGCAGTCTCGGACAAGGTTATCGACTTCCTGCTACCCGAGTGGTCGAAATTCATCCCAGGATACATTCGGAAACTTCAGGGTGAGCTGTCCATGGCCCCTGGGTCTTTGGCCGATGAGATCTGGAAGGAAGCGCATGACCCTGAGATTAATCCCGAGATCCGTTATTCTGCAAAGGTCCGCGTGTCAAACGAGCTGTGCGACGAGGAGAAGGAGTTCTTGGCTCGTAGGAAGAAGATCGTCACGGTGGCGCTGGCGAAGTATCTGGGTCTAGAGGAAAAGGAAGTCCACGAGGATGACGTGCCTACTATCGCAGTGTGCGGCTCGGGCGGCGGCCTGCGAGCTCTGGTCGCAGGCACTGGAAGCATGATAGCAACAGGAGAGGACGGCCTCTTTGACTGCGTTACCTACACCTCTGGTGTGAGTGGCTCATGCTGGCTCCAAGCTTTGTTCCACTCGAGTTTCTCGCAAGGCAGTCTAAGCCGCGTCCTGGATCACCTCAAGGCGAGAATCGGGGTCCACATTGCCTACCCGCCGGTAGCTTTCTCGTCGCTGGCATCGGCGCCCACCAACAGATACCTACTGAGCGGCCTCGTTGAGAAGCTCAGGGGAGACCCCAACGCAGACTTCGGCCTTGTCGACGTGTACGGGACGCTTCTGGCTGCGAGGCTACTCGTCCCCAAGGGTGAGCTTGGTGTTGATGCCAGAGACTTCAAGCTGTCGAACCAGAGGCAGAACATCAAATACGGGCAAAATCCGCTCCCAATCTACACGGCAGTCCGCCATGAGATCCCGAGCGCTACCGGTGCGGCCGATGAAAACCGTCATCCTACTGAACAAGAGAAGGAAAAGGCTGCCAAGGAAGCATGGTTCCAATGGTTTGAGATTACTCCCTACGAGGCGTTCTGTGAAGAGTTCTCCGCCGGCATCCCAACCTGGGCCCTGGGACGGAAGTTCGCGAACGGCCGAGATATTCCTCCAGAAGAGGACTTCCATCTACCCGAAGCTCGCATGCCGCTCTTGCTGGGTATATTCGGCAGCGCCTTCTGTGCAACCCTCAGCCACTACTATCGCGAGGTCCGTCCCCTGGTGCGGAGCCTGACGGGCTTCTCCACGATTGACGAGATGATCTCGGGTCACAACGACGATCTGAGCAAAGTCCACCCCATCGACCCTGCCATGCTGCCAAATTTCACGTATGGTATGGAGGGCCAGCTCCCGCGCACGACGCCCACAAGCATCTACAAGAACGAGTACTTGCAGCTGATGGATGCCGGGATGTCGAATAACTTGCCGATTTACCCTCTCCTGCGACCTGGCCGCAATGTCGATATCCTCATCGCGTTCGATGCCTCTGCGGACGTCAGGACAGACGACTGGCTGTCAGTCGCAGACGGGTACGCACGGCAGCGTGGGATCAAGGGCTGGCCCATCGGCGTGGGCTGGCCCAAAGCCACCGAGCCGGACAAGCGAGTCGCGAAGGAACTGAGCGAGGCCGAAGCCGCGTCGACCAAGGAGGCATCGGCCAGGCTCGACCAAGCGAAGGCCGACCAGGCTGCCCGCCGCCGTGAAGCTGGCGTCAAGCCGGAGGAAGCGGAGGGTACGCACAAGTTCGAAAAGGGAGAGGCCGAATCCGGAGAGCTGGGCTACTGCACAGTGTGGGTTGGCACCACTCAAGAACGCTCCTCTGAGCCGCCGCCACCCTCCAAGGCGCTGGATGATAGTACAGCTTGGCATCTTCAGGAGCCAGACGCAGGTATCGCGGTGGTCTACCTGCCCTTTCTTAAGAACGACAAAGTTGGGGGCGTAGACCCTGGAACTAGCGATTATTTGAGCACATGGAACTTTGTGTATACTCCGGAGCAGATTGACAAGGTTGTTAAGCTGGCCAAAGCGAACTATGACGAGGGAAGGGAGAAGATACGCAAGACGGTCAGGGCGGTGTATGAGAGGCGGAAGAAGATGAGACTTGAGAGGGAGGGCAAGGAGAAGTCCGAGAGGAGGAGGCGCAGGGTACAGTTGGGGGTTGATGGCAAGTTGGGCGAGGGCGATCATTTCAGCTGAGCTGAAGGGGCGCGAATGATTTATAATGGTCAGGCGGAGGCCTACCACAAGATGTAGAAGATACCCCAGCAGTATAGTAGTAATATCACATAGAGCGTCAACACGGCCACTTCCGTCTTGATCACTGCTGGCTATTTGTCCGATTTGCTACATGATGGTAGCTGGGTTGCGCATGGTGCTGTACAGTTTGGATTTGTGGCGGTTGGAGAAGTTGGGCCCTCCAGTACTCTTGTTCTTGATTTCGGCGTTTTTATTTTAAAAACAGAATATACAACTCCCGGGGGAGTGAGAGGCGAGCGCCCACGAACCACACCTGGGCCATCCCCCAGGGGTCTCTGGTCATCATCATAAGCTCTTCGTACACTCGCCGAGTCTATAATGCGCCGCTGATGCCGCCCGACCTGCCCAATATTGACCTGAGATTTTCTTTGGCTTGACCACATCATCCGACTATCTCATACCACCTCGCCGATATCCACATACACGGGCTCCCAGGGCTTGGCACCCTCCACCAGCGCGTCACTCGGCACCCGGACGTCCTCGCCAGGGCTGTACAGATACCACGCCTTGAGCGCGTTCATCGCAGCCTTGAGACGGGCCTGGTGCAGGGAAGCGGCCGCCCCCTCTCCCAGCTTGTCGTTCCCGCTAAAGATTCCGACCACGAACACCGGCGTCCTGGAGAGACGTCCGGTCTCGGACAGCAGCCTCGCCACTGGGGGGTCGAACTCCTCCCTCGCGCAAAGGCGGGACAGCTCTCTTGTGGGTTGCGAGAAGGAGAATAGCTTTTGCAGGTCGAAATGCCGCGAGAGTATGTGCGCCTTGATGAACGACCGCGCGGTTTCCCTCCCGCAGTACGTGTAGATGGCCCCCACCACAGCGCGCACAAACGTCCCGTGGATGTTATATGCCTTGTTCATTTTCTCGTTCGCGTCGCCCAGGGTCAACTGCCGCTCCACGGGAAGGTCGATATCTGCCTCATCATCACTCGGCTCGACCTGTTTCTCTTGGTCTGGCTCCGTGTCCCTCATGCCCTTAAACATGTCGCCAAAGTCGTCGTCGTGAACAACGCTGCTCGAGATACCCTTCCTGAACCTTTGATTCTTCGTTGGGCCCCATACAGTCTCGGCTCTCGCGAAGCCCCACTTGGTGTTGAACGACCTCTCCTTGTCCAGCGAGAACTGCAACAACCCAGGGTCGACCTCCGCGCCCGGGGCGGCAGCATTCTCAACGCCCCAAGACCGCGCGACATGGTAGAGGGTCTTGTCGCCACCGTATGTCTTCATGGCTGAATGTAGGATCTGCATTGGTAGCCTGGGGAAACGGCACATGAGGAGTTCGGAGGTATGGTAGCTGATAAGCGTTTGGCCCAGGAAGGCGAGGTTTGAGTTGTTGAACAGCGGCGCTGGGTCGGCGGAGGCGTCGACGAGGGTGCGCGCGAGGGTCTGGATGGGGATCCTGTCGGAGAGAGACAACCGAGCATGGAGAGCGGCCAGCTTGGCGGACTTGGAGGCATCCCGGGGTAGGGGAGAGGGCACCGGCCCTATAGGTTCTTGGCCGGATATTGAAGGCCACAGCGGCGGTTCATCCGCTGCAGCCTTTGAGAATTGGTCTGAGGAAATAGGCTCGCTCGGCTCGGGTTGCCCCTGCCTGATCTCGGCCTCGATGTCTCTTGCTGCGGCTGTCGACTGGCATCTTGGTGAAGAGGTGAGCTGGTTCGGTCTAGAGAATTGTACTCGATGCTGTGACGAGAGGCTTCTTGATGCGACCCCCGGGCGAGCTGTGAGCAGGTGCCCGGACCATTTTTCCAGCCTTAACCTCTTCATGGGGAGAAAATGTGCAGGCTGTGCTCCCAGGCCACTCAATTGGGATACAGCACCTTTACTTGGACAAGGGACGCGGAGGGGGTTGTCGTCATGGGAGGTCGTGGAGGTGGTGGTGGTCGTGTGGATGGGCGTCGCGTGGAGCAGAGCGAGCAGCCGTTGCGAAAAAAATGGTGAGCTCAGACGCACTATCAAAGACGTCTGCGCATGGCGCTCGTGTGAGCTCTGGATGCACCCCTGCCACTGTTAGCTGCCCACTGCGTCGAGTTTTCGCTGACATAATTGCCCACGGATGGACTGCCCAATGCCCGTTCGCTCTCCCGGCCGGCAGAGAAACCAAGCGTTGACTGATGTCCAGCCAATCCGCGACCAGCCGATTGACTGACCTCAAGTCAAGCTCTCGTCGCCCGCAGACATCACCATCCCCCGCAACAACCCATCATTTCCCATTGACGAAGAGACAAGTCACAATGGTAAGCACTCCCAGGCGGACTCTTCCTCAATCGATTCATGCTAACATACTGGCAGGGTGGTGGTCCCAGAGTTCCGTTAGTAGCCCACGCACAACCCCCTTCGATTCGACGACACCCGTCTCTGCCCATGCGACCATGCGAACTGACAGTTTACCCGATAGCTATCCCAAGCACGTCTGGTCACCAGCTGGTGGCTGGTATGCCCAGCCGTCTAACTGGAAGGTCAACACTGCGGTCTTCGGAGCCTTGATTTTGGGATTCACAGCCCTCACCTGGAGGCTCAGCGCGGACCGCGAATTCAGACACAAGATGCCAGAACCAGGCCGATTCTACCCAAGCCGATAGTACGTTTTCCCAAAGAAATAATCCATCAGGCAGATCGGAGCCACGGAGTACTGACTCGAATCCAGCTGGACCAAGCAAATAAGGGAGCACGAGAAGGGCCAGAATGCAGGATCAGCTGCAGCACTGAGTGCGTCTTCAGAGGTGCAGACGAAATAGGGGTCAAGTGTACAATATTTGGAGACCTGGGTGCTGAATTCAACCCACCCAGAAAGGAACCAATGCGAGTCATCACAACAGGCTTGCTGTGAACCTTCATCCAGATGCTCTGTCCAGAGCGGAGCTGTGACCTTGTCGGATTCGCTGAGGTGTAAACATCTCAAGAAATGACAAACATCAGACACATCCTGTGACTGTTGTGTAGGCCAGAGAGATTTTCTTCCAGCTCCTAACCCATAGCATCTTATGCTCCTTGTACACTTCCCTGGTCAAGGTGAAGAATCGGGAATTCCAAGGACAATCTGTTAGTCTATACTCGCGCTATGGTTCCCTGTCGGCTGTCCTTCGGTCTCAACAGATTGTATTATGAACAGCGTTGTGATGTCAGAATTGACACATGCGATTGAGTTGTTTCAGGCCGTTGCGATGGAGTACTGTAATCCGATCTTCCTGTATTCCTGAATGTTCTGCTGCTCAGAGTGCTCGCTTCGCCACGGTGTTGCACTTATCCAAGCTCTCCACGACCAAAACATGGCCCCACGTCCAACTGGATCAGACACCGAGTAATATCCAGGCACGCTAATCTTCCCACGAAGCAGAGTCTTCGGATCAAACTGCGTTCAGGAATTCGATCAAGAAGCCGACGAAAGTGGCCATGCCGCCTGTGCCGGAAGTCGCAGTCGCAGTCGCAGTCGCAGTTGTTGACGTCGACGCAGCAACTGAAACAGAGGTGATTGCTATAAGACCAGATAAGAAAAATCAGCAATTATGTAGCGTCAACACGGAGTTCTATTCCTGATGAGAATGCTGACCTTGACAGCACCTATTGAGCCGGTTGCCGCAGAGCCTGTTGCCGCACTCGGCACCGCAGCAAGCCGTGGGCTGTTTTGAAGTAGTTTCCCGGACAGTGGATGGGACCGCGTCTGGTACAGAGGTGGTGACCAGTGACAGGTCGTCTGTAGTTTGTCCAAAGTCAGTACCAACGCTTTGCCTTGTTCTGTTTGCTGAATCCTCCACATGGACACAGACGTTTACAGCAGAGAAGCGAACGTGTCCTGCAGCCGTCGTTGCAACAGCACCAGTCCTCTGTCCTGTCGAACCGAGGTGGTAGGGCGAGGACGGGGCTTATGAGCAAAGCCATGGCCGTGGCAGAGACTGCGATAAGTGAAGTGGTTGGGAAATGCATGATTAGTGAAAGTGCGTATGTGTGTTCCTTTCTTTTTGTAAGGGCTGCTTCTGTTTGTTGTTGTGCCTGTCAATGTTCTGCGACTGTGAGACTGATCGTTCACAGGCTCGCCAGCTCGAAATAAGTGGTCAACTTGAAATAATCGACCTCAACCTTACGATGGTGTTGAGACTTTTGTGTAGGTTCCTTAAACAATCAAGTGGGAGGTAGTAATGAAGACGAGAATGTGTTACTAAAGAGCGCCTTACTTTTTGATGAGACGGCATGGCTATGCGACACTGCCTCCACGGCCTCCGGGCCTCCTTGACAAGCGGGCCGGCCCTACGTTGACTGCCAGTTGTTTGTATAGTGCCACAGGTAACCCCAAAGCAAAATATACTACAGCATCAAATGCATGTGCAAGATTCGTAAGGATCACTTTGGGCAGCCCGAATATCTTCTGGACAGCCATCTCCCTCGTATTAATATCTAGGCCCCTCGTGCCAGTACGTGTCTTGGGGAGGAGCAGAGTTTCCAATATCCTGAGCCATCGCCCACTCCGACTTCCCTACCAGTACACTCATCATAGTATCGTTTTCACATTCACAACTCGCTTCAAAAGCTCCCGAAACAGCCAGCACAGGGTTCCAATATCGCCGTCGGCGATATCCTGCACTGCTTGGTCACCGAACTGGTCGAGACAAGCCGATGGCTGGTTTGGGTACAAAAGCACTTGGTAAATGAGGCTGCGCATTAGGCCGCCTGGGCCTCTCACCGGGTCGTCGAAAAGGCTGTGCTGCCCGACGAAGAAGTGTAAGACCATGATCGCCGGATTATTTGCCAGCGTCGCTGCGAGCGAGGCGCAGAAGACGGAGATGGGTCAAACCTTGCCATCGCACTCATCCTGACAATGGCCATCGACGAGGAGGACCCCGGAAGTTGGGGCGGATAAGAACTGCTGGAACTGAGGCGTTGCGAGGATGTAACGACCACGGCCGAGGAAGACTGGCGACATAGTGCGGCCTTTGCGGAGGACATCATCACGATCTTGGTAAGGAGAGAGGGGCTGGATCTCCATGAGCTCGATGAGTCGCTCGGTAGGGACGACCATAGTACGATGCTGTACCATGGGCTGGAACACTGCAACAGCAGGTACGGGCTGTAGACCTGTCCAGGGATGTCAGCGTGGTACCCCCGGAAGCAAGCAGTGGATGCTCACTTCTCTTGTATAATGCTTCGATGGCCACACGATACAGGGACGTATGATAATTCTCCACCATCATCATGTGTTCCATTTGGTGAGTAATTATATCATAAGTACCCTCCCATTATCTGCTTCTGAACATCCTGTTCAATGCTATCAAGTTCCGACTTTATAAAGTGCTCCATTTGCAGAGGACCACTGGAAGAGCCATACCGAGGAGCTCGGCCGCTGGAACGGGAGGCAGATTCGCAATGCGTTCTCCATCGCCGCATCGCTAGCACATTTCGACGCGGAAGGAAAGAATGGAAGAGCAGTGCAGCTGCGACAGTGCCATTTTCAAGAAGTCGAGAAGGCTACCGTTCTTTACGACAAATACCGGCACTTGATCCTGACTGCATCTGACGGCTTCAGGGCGAAGCAATCCGAGGCTCGCAACAACGACTTCAATAAGCACACTTTCACGCAGCGCGGGCGCGGGGCTGTCAAGGGGAACAACGCATATTACCCCGGGTCAAGCGTTCAGAATACACCGAGCCGCGCCCAAGGTCCATACGAACAAAGAGGAGGCAGCCCCCTGCCACCATTAGCTAAGCCTATGTTTACTCCCAGAGCTGCACCCGAGCCGACTGGCTTCTCCCAAGCCCAGCAAGTTGGCTACAATACACCACAGCAGAAGCAACACGGCCTGTACTCTACGGCTCACGCACCCCCCCCCCCAAGACGCAAGAACGACCGTTGGGAGGAGTCTACCCACCGACCCCACAGGATTTACATCCTGCGCATCAAGCGGGACAGACGTTGCAGCAAGGAGGCCAAGGCGCCTGTCTCAGCGCAGGAAGACAAGGTCTACTCCCGGAGGTTGAGTTTGGGTCGCATGAGGAAGCATTTGTAATTGTCGTCTCCTGAGCCAAGTTAGATGAGCCGCATATAATATAGACTGGAACAGTCGCAATGACAGTTGCTTCTGATGTGAATTAACTTACATAGCTCCAGACACAAATTCAAACTTTTCAAGGTCACAAGATTCCCAGATATCTGTCACGAGAGGGAATACAGAGACAAGGCAGCTATCCTCAATACGTCAATTCCAAGCAAGACGGCGCTACCTTCTATGTAAGGAAGAGAGAGGTCTGGTAGAAATTGTAGTCGAGGGGTTTTATGCCTGAAGGGTGTGAGGCCCAGAGCCTCAGTGAATGCTAGCAGTCAATGGGGCCCAGTCACACACATACTCACAATATCCACACACAACTCAAGGAAACAAGTGTCCAATGAGATAAACTTTCAGTGGAACAAGTAGAAAGAACAAGTTTGTGTACAGTCTTATTATCAAGAATGTGTTGAGACCATATCTCAGTATCCAGGTGAAAACCAGCACCTGGCAAGCTGATACGATTTCTGCAACACATGCAAAGGCAAAGCAAAATTCAAGGAACACCGTTGAGACATCATATTGCCTATTTGAGACAATAACCTTTGTGCTTAGGGGCAAAAAACGATCCTCCACGGACTCGAACCGTGAACCTTTACCACCGGAAAGTAACTATGATGATGTTAGAATATGATTTGATACCGTTTCAAGGAGGAATAAATATTTACCGCGCTACCATTGCGCCAAAGGACCCGCAATAAGATTTTGATCCAAAAGATAATTCAAGTTGCTAAGATGGAACGCGGTATCTGGCGGGCGGAGGAGGTTGGGCGGGGCCGGGACAACAGCATAGCTCCCGGAACACACGCAAGGGCAATCGGGAACTAAGACTAGCTCCTCCGTCTTGCGAAGATGATGGAGACGTCGTGTCGCAATTTCAAGTTCATATCAGACAGCTCTCGGTAGCGGGACTTGCACAATCCCAAACTGCCCCCATACCTAGGACAATATGTTCGCCAACCTCGCAACACGCCACACAGTAGCACTCATCGCGGTAGCTACACCTACCGTGTATCTATTCCTATTGAGACGGTCGGTGATGCGGAACGTCGAGAGTTGCAATACCCAGCAGTATGGGCGAGGAGCCCAGACCGGGAAAACAACGCAGCACTGGCAGGCCGCCGCATCACCTCCATCCGAGCCTCCATTACCAAGGTCACTGCCGCAGTCGGTGGTGGCTGATGACACCCCCGGGTACGTTCTATGGAACGAGCGCGTGGTATCCAAGCCAGTGGCTTTGTCTGAGCTCCGCTGGTCCGGCGGGAGCCTGGACGAGCTTCTCACACGCTACGTCAGGGCTACGATGGTCGCCTTTACGTGGACACCACAGGCATATCTCATCCGGAAGATGCTCCCTGCCGGCGTCGGAGAGACCTTCGAGGCCGACTACATCAATACGATGGACTTCGCAGAGCTGGGTAAGCGTGTTGACGGCGTGTACACGGTGCAGTACCGGGGCACAGACCCTGGCGGCGAGCGCGTGGAGATGAGACTGAGCCCACCGGAGGAGTACACAGGCCCGAGATCCGGTGGCATAATCGTGGCGGCGATCGAGCCTGTGGGAGCGGGCGCTCCCGACGAGGTCGTCTTCGTCAATGAGACGTGGCTGTGGCGGAATCCGGACGAGAAGCCCACGCTGTTGGAGGGCTCGATCGGTCGTTGGTTTCACTCTCTCCTTGCGGCTTGGCTCATTGGCAAAGGCATCAAGCCTATCCGACGCGAGGAGTTTTTGGCAAAAAAGTAATGGCCCACTGCTCAAGTGGAACGCGGGGAAGGAATCGTGCTCCTTGACTGGTCGGTTCTGCCACTTGTGACGGATATGCTCGCTCCGGGCTGAGTGCAGCAGTGCAATGACTGCTGCTCGCCGATTCAGCCTGTGCACTGCCGGTCGATCAATATCGGACTCTGCTTCTGCATGCATGCAGAAGCACAACTGCTCGAGGTTGCTGATTGACTTTGCAGCTCAACTTGCGGTCTCGACTTCTGCAAATTGCAGCGTTAATTGTCTTCCCCACACCCCGGAATCACAACCCTTATGCGTCTCAAGGCGCCGCATACCTGCATCCGCCCGCATCTAGTCTACTGTTACTTCTTGCGCTTTCGGCACACAAGCTATGCAGGGGACCTGTTTGAGGCGGATCTCATTGTACGGAAGAATTGCGTGCAACAAATACGAAACTCGAGTACGCCGTCTCCTGCCGGTCGCGTGCCTACCAACATCACGGGCCGACCCCCAGGATGTCTCACTGGCACTCGTCTACGGAAGACAGCAGGCAACATTTGGGCCACCACCAACCCCTCCAGCCTTGAACTTTGGTTCCGAAGAAGCATCCTTGCATCTGCCCAATCTATGCAACAGCTTTACTGTGCCTTCTCATCCATTCCTGCTTTTACTAAGCGCATGTCCACCCACCAATGGCCTATGCTTTGACCGCTCAATGAAGCCATCTGGCCCTCACCGGTGCCCTCAACTGGCATGGGGTCCTGGAGGTTAAGCAGTGACTGGAAGCGAGGCTCGAACAAAACCTTGTCATGGTGGTCCCAGCGTGACGTTACACGCTTATTCTGCGTCGGCCAGAGTTCGAGACCCCTCGCCACAAGCAGGGTCAGAGGTTTGTCAGAGCCACCCAGCTGGGTATACCAAGACATGTTGCGTGCCGCACGCGTCAATGCACAATTATTGCCGCGTTCTGCGGGCCTAAACGACGTAATTGAACAATGGAGAAATCGCAATTCTGTCCACGGGTGTTTCCGTGTGAAGTTCTTCACTCCTTGGTTCGGATGCCTTAAAGCCCCCTGCTCTCGGTGCCCCCCTAACCATTAACAGCCACCACCGAGCCAACAACCACAGAGATCGCCTTGACGGGCCGCCCTGCCCGTCAGATTTTGGTGTGCCACACCCAACCAAACTTCTCGCTCCTCGGTTACAAAGCCATTAGATAATTCAATCATGTTTCTTGTCACAGCGCATGAAATCTGGGGAAGCTGTAGACGCACATCTGGCCGGGCTGGCAGATCACCCAGGCGGTGCTCTACCACGGGTCTCAAGATGGGACGAACCGGTCAATAACTCGAAACCCCCAGCTCTGCTATACCCCTCGGCTACGACACCATGCGAGACTGGCAGGTGTTCAGCGGTTTTTCGTAAAACTGGGGGCCCTCCTGCTCTCCCGGTCTGGACCTTCTAAGAGGAGATGACATGGAAGAAAACACCGAAAAGCTCCCGCGGCGCCCTCCCTTTTCATGAGATCCAGATCTGTCTTATCCGTCACTTTTTGATGCCAATTCCACATCGCCATGTCGACTGATGGGCCCTATCCACCGCTGCCAGATCCCTCGACCCCGCCCCACGACTCTCTTGTCCCCAACATCATAGCGTGCGCGGTTGTGACCTGGGCAATCGCGGCTGTCTTTGTCGCGCTACGCTTCTACACCAGGACCAGGATTCTCAGCGTGTTAGGCTGGTCAGACTGGCTCATCCTCATATCGTGGATCTGCTCCTGCGGCGTGACTGCAAGTGCTATTGAGCAGAGTCAGAGGGGAATCGGGAGGCATGTCTACGATTATGACTGGCTGGCAAGCTTCACACCGTTCCAGAAGGTGAGCCCTCACCTTTTTCAGAACTCACGCATTCAAAATGATGCATCAGCTGACCAGGCCCCGATAGGCGGCGTGGTATGGCGTTTTGTTTTACACACTCTCTTTAGGCTTTTCCAAGATTTCCATGCTGTTGCTGTACCTCAACCTATTTTCGTACCACTGGATAAGAGTCGCGGGGAGGCTGGTCCTCGCTACGGTCATAATAGCGACATTATGGATGCTTTGTGTTGTCTTTACGGCCTGCATACCTCTGGAGGCATACTGGGTGTACACCCTCCGCGCCCAGGCTTATTGTCAGCCACAGAGCGCTTGGTGGGCAAGTGTGTGAGTAACCTCCGCAACCTACGTAACCTTATTCTTTTCCCAGTTGCACTCCAGAATCGGCTTCATATAACTTACCTTTCAGCGCGAGTAATGCTTCGAGTTGAACTTGTAATAACACCTCCTAGGGGACTTCACATGTCAACAGACTTTCTGATATTCGCATTACCGCTGCCGGTTCTGCCAACGCTGCGCATGCCTCGGCGCCAGAAATGGATGCTAACTCTAGTCTTTTCGTTGGGATTCTTGCAAGTGGAAACCACCCATTCTTGCCGTCAAAAGACCAATACTGACCTGAAGGCCCACCACAGTGTTTGCATTGTGTCAATCGTTCGGCTAATGAAGCTCCTTCAAACCGAGAACCACCCGTCACTCGACTTCTCCTACGACAGCGCTGACCTCGTCTACTGTAGGCACCATTCTTCTCCCTTAACGGTTCCCCGTCTGTCGTGTTTTGGAATGTTCGAGAACATCACTTTAGGACCCGCAGCAGGTGGTTAACAGGTACTAGGGACCTCAATCGAAGTACATGGTGCCATTGTCTGCGCATGTGCGGTCACCCTCAAGCCTCTCTTGAACCAGTTGATGCCGCAGTGGTTCTCTGCCCACCTACGGGACAACTCCCTCGGCCGGGACCCAGTACCCCTGACCATCGGGCAGAGGGCAAGCAGAAGGAAGTTCAGCAAATCGGATCAGCAGACCACCGGCCGAGACAGCTGGACTGCCGACCGGCCGAGCAAAGACCTGGAGGCCGGGTCGATGGGCGGCCGAGACACCGGGGGCTTCCTGAGTCTTGGCCCCGGGTTCGACATTTCTGAACAAGGATATTCAGGGGACGCCACGCCGTCTGTTCAGCCGAGCGATCTCCCTCCCGGAAGCATCAGGCACGCCGGCGCGGACCGTGACGCCACGCGCTCTATGCCGCTGCCACCGCCGAATGTGCGCACGAGCTCGCTCTCTGCGTTACGTGGGCTGGCGATCGGGGCCTACCTTGACGACTCCTCGCTCAGAAGGCATAAGCGCAGTTCAAACTCTGGGCGTCAGAGGTCGCTGACAAGCCCGGACTTCTACTACTCGTCCTCTGAGAGGCTAGACTGGGACTTGGAGAGAACAACATCTGATGGTTCGACCCCCTGGAGGGGCTGAGACTGTGACTTATGATCAAAATAATGCATTGTCGTACGAAACTCTTTAATGTAATATGTCACTCACCAACTCTAGGTATTTGTGCTGCATAATCAATTCAGAGCATGGAGCTTCCGCGAAAGTGATCTAGGGGGTTGGACAAAAACAGGTTAATCATGAGACACTGTATATACGATGTGCTACTATCGATTAAGCAAATTCAAGCGTTTATTTAGTGGATGTAGGGCAGTTGTCTTGGTTATGATGTGCTGAGAAGCAGTCATAAAAGTCTGTCATAACACAAACCGCAGACCTGATCGCCAAGAAGACAACACTTGCCAATGACCTTCCTTGGAATCTATGTATGTCTGCTCCGTCTCAAGCAACTAACTATTACTAATGATCGTTGAGACCGTGAAGTCAGGCACTCAGGGTATTTGGATATCGGAGTTTGATAAGTGCTACCAGGTAGTATTTGTAGAACAAGACTGCTTCAGTCTCCTTAAGAAGCTACAGAGTCCTGGTCATGCTCACCATCTGCTCAACACTGGGACACGAATTCAGCGATTTCCTTGTTGAATCGCTCCGGTTCTTCATAGAACATCCAATGGCCACTGTCGAACACGGACCACTTTGCCAGTCCTGGCTTGTCACTCCCCTTATTCACCCTCTCGACTGTCTCCTTCAAACCCTCGAGTGGGAAACAGCCCGTGCGGCGCCCGGCCACGACGAGGGTAGGCTTGCGGATAAGCTCGATAGCCTCCCGATGATCGTACCTCGTGTGGTCGGCCAGGAGCCTCGCGAGCCAGCGCCCATCGCACAGGCCGCTAATGCCCGTAAAGAAAGCCTCATCATCTGCGGCAGTCTCGGGGCTAACCTGGTCGCTCTCCTCGGGGGCGAAGCGGTAGCCAAGGCACTCGCTGACGAGCCCCTTGTGAGCCGCTTCCGGGGTGTCTATCCACGCGCGCTGCGCTCCCAGCATGGTCGCCTCATCATAGCACCCGAGGTGGGCCCTGGAGGCGTCCCAGTTGTCGAAGGCTGAGCGGTCCTGCAGCGGGGCCTGGTCGGCGAAGACAAAGCCCGCGAAGTCGCTGTCGCCGAAGAGCTCGACATACGTCCACAATACGGCGGCGCCGATGGAGCAGCCAACGGGTACGATCTTGGTGTTTGCGTGGCCTTGGCGGAGAGACTCGACGACCGCCCGCAGGTCGGCGGCCAGTCTGGCGACGTGGTAGCCCCCCTTGGTCCGCCCCGAGGCACCATGGCCCCGCATGTCTGGGGCAATGACCCAGTGGTTCTCTGAGAGCGCTGCGAAGTTGCGCGTGAAGTACTTGGAGGAGCCGCTGAAGCCGTGCATCAGAAGGATACATTTTCGGCGGCGAGGATCGCTCACCGATCCTGGGCCGGCTTCAGGGATGTCCTCTAGAGGCAGAGATGTCTGAAAGGCGATGGATACACCGTCGTTTGTTCCACAGTAGGTGTATTGCATGCCTGGCTCGGCAAGGAACTTCATTTTGGCGGTAGGTTGCGGTTGTGATATGCTTTGGGTGAGGACTGAAGTTTGCTCTAGGAATATTTGCAAGAACTAAGATGCTGGCTGATTCCATGTGGTGAGCTCAATCTTTCTCAGGATCTTCGAAACAGGAACCTGGGTTTTGATCGGTCTCAGGGCTTCACTGACGTCGAAGAGAGAACAAGTGAAGGTGTCATTCTGTCTTGCCGAAAAAGGCAGCTGCAACAGAATCATTACAGAGAAGTTTTGGTCTGGGGTTAGGGTCTGCCTTTCCTCGATTTGCTGTTGATATTCTATTTCTCATGCTCGTGGTGATCAACGGCATCAGCAACCGAGTCTGTTTATCTTTTCAAGGAGTATCACTGATAAAGACAACACTTGATGCGCTTTTGAATTTGTTACGCTTATAAATTTAGGGGAGGTGGAAATCTTCCTCTCCTGGGTCGGTCAAGAGAGCCAAAGGTAGCGCCCAGTTGAGAGCAACCATCACCCACAATTACTCTATCAAGTTTGGAATGACAATATCAAATCCTTTGGTAAGCATCCAAAGTGCGATTTGAAGGGTCAGAGGCCCAGGGAAGTTGTCGGCGTAAATTTCCATGTTCAGAAAGGACGCAGCAGGCATGTACATTCGTTGGGCACGATGAGGCCTACACATCCATATCTTTGCCCTTTTGGCCCCTTTCGGTCCATTCTGAGCAAGTTTCCGTGTCTATTTACAATGTTCTAGAAGCGTGTCTGCGTAGTGTCGTAAACATCATGCCTTGCTGGATGGTAGTATCTACAACAACGCCACAACTCCCCTTTCCGACACCGGCGTCTCCGATAGCCTGGATAAAACAAAAGCCACCAAGATTCAGGATTCTTGCCTGTGTATCCAGATAGCCTCTTCCGGCACCTTGAAGGACAGTGCTGGTATTCACGGAGCCTCTCCAACCATTTTGACAACACTCAGTTAGCGGCAGAGACAGTCAGATCCATGTGCTCGTTACTCGCCAGTCCTTCTGGTAGTGCTTCAGTCGACAAAAGGGTCATCAGGCTGCACGCCCTTCAGAACAACTTGAAACTTGGGTTCCTTGGTAGGAGTCTCAAATTGCTCAGCCCTACCAACAGGGCCTGTGGCGAACGATTTCTCAGGTGCAGTCCGTGCAGTCCTAGGCGTCTTGCGAGCACGGCTCTTCGGAGTCAGCAACTTGCGCTTTCTAGGCGTGGCGAGGCTGAGCGACTGGCTGTCCTCCAACTTCTTCTCAGCGTCGGCCAGCTGCATGCTCAGCTCGCTGATCTGAGTAGTGAGGCTCTCAATGTCCTTGTTCCTCGCAGCCAGCTCCGCATTGTTGTGCGCGAGTAAGCCCTCTCTCCGTATGAGCTGCTTCTTCAGCCACTGGGCGTTGCCCTCCGAGACCACGCGGTGCGACTTCTCGAGCTGGGTGGCCGGGTTGGCAGGGAGGAAGTCCTTCCACTCGTCGCAGCAAATTTGGACCCTCCACAAATTCACCACAGCGCTGATGTCCTCGTGAAGCGCGTTGGGGGGCAACTGGAGCCACAGTTTACATGCAGTATCCTCCTGGACGTGATCGACCGATGTCTGGGTCACGATGAAATGCTTCTTGACGGACTTGTTGTAGAACTCGCTGAACTTGATGTAATTGATCACATTGGGATTGTTCTGGTCAAAGTCGATGGTAAAGATGACCTTGCTGACCCCATCCTTGAGACCGCACAGCGCGTCGCTCTTGGTGTCGATCGTGAAAGGTGAGGTGGCGTCGCTGAGGACGGCTATCTCGAACTTCCACTGAAGCCAACAGTGGGTCATGCCGTTTTTCTGACAGATCTCTGCGAAAATACCGGCGTTCTGGTCGCCAAGGGCGAATTGAGGCTTGGAAGGCATCTTGAAGACTAGATATGGTCTTGTTAGAGTATGAGAAAGCACTTCAGGCGGTATTGCCTACCTTTTTGAGGGGCGAGGCACCTGGGCAGCGTTCAGGGCACCCAGAGCGGCAGGTTTGTAGTAGACAGCAGGTGCGGCAACGTGATCCTGAGGTGACTCCCAAGGTCAGCGAGCGGTTCTGAACGGGAAGGAGCGCGATCGACGCGGATAGATACAACCAATGGCTTCGCCACTTGTGTCGCGGGTGGGTGACGGCGACGTGTGTGGGTATCGCTGGGGCACATGATGCCACTTCACCGACGCGATGAGACAACAATAAACGCAAGGCCGTCAAGCGATCAATGACAACTGAGAAAGCAAGAAGGGTAGATATGTTGCCACAGTACTTACCCAGTTCAAAATGGACGAGGTGTCACTTGAGAGGTCTGTGTGTGAGGACAGGGTGGATAGAAGGCGCTGTCTTCAGGAGGGGGCTGACAAATGTGAAAATCGGGGAGCACCAAGCAATAGAAAGAGGTCAGATTGATGGCGCGTTGCTGTTCAGGGTATTTTGTTGGACGGTCTGCACTGGACGGCACCTGGGCAGCCTCGTGGTTGACTGTTCCCTGTGGGTGCAAAGCAGAAGTGAACAGGTGGGGGGGGGGGGGGGGGGGTAGCAAGAACTCGAGCAGCCCGAGTGTGGTAAACAAAAAGAAGCCTTTAATTTGGAGTCACAGTCTAGTCAAACTTGCCTCTGCTGAAGTTCAATCTATCTGATCTCCAATTGGATCTTGTAGGCGCATGACTCTGCACCCCTCCCAGGACGTCTAAATAGTCTACGTTCTATAAAGTCGAGTTTCTAGAGCCCTCCCGTACTTATTGTTTCCTGATATCTACCAGGCCGACAAGGTTGTAGCTCTCCTGGAAAGCCTGTCAGAATCCTCGGGGAAATGACTGTGTGCCTGACATCAACTCTGCTGTGTCGAGACTGCTCGTTTGGCTCCTTTCCAACCCTCTTTCTGTGGTAAAAGAACAGGACCACTTGTTTTCCTCAAATGACCATGATGCCCGAGTAACGAGTCAGTGGACTTGGAGAACAAGCCTGCGTTTCACCCTCGCCCTCCGTGTGACTTGCTGCCAGAGAAGTTGTGAGTGTCTTGGTATCGCAGCGCCCTCGAGGTGCCCTGACCGCCTGATGACGAGCACACCCACCACCCCAAGGCGACATTTCCGATTAATCAGAAGCTAGGCTCTCTCGCTATCCTCCATATCCTCATGAACTTGTCCATCAAGCCTCAGCTATCTTCGACTCTTTGGTCGGGGTACACGGTGGGTCGGCTGGGGCGCTGAGAGGTGCTAAAGAGCAACAAGCCATGGTATGGACAACGTCCAGTGTCGAGAGTCTCTAAGGAGGTCAGTCATCAAAGATGGTTCGAGCTCCGAGGGACAAGCGTACCGAGTCCCAAGAAGGACATTGGCTCATTATGTTAACCATGCCGCTTCACGGCCGCGGCATGATGACCTATGCCAGACCAGGGGATGACCTGTCGAGAAGTACCTGGCTGGGGTATCACTCATTCATGTATCGCTTTGGATCCTCTGGCTGCAATCAGACGATCTCCTGCCGTCTTGATGTCCGATTTCAGCTCCCGCAATGCAGTGCGGTCAAGAGACATCTTCATCAGCAGGGTTGATGACATCCTCGTCGAAAGCATCTTGACCTCTTCGCCCAGGTTGGACTGGCTGATGACCTTCCCGTTGCAGAGTTCCACGACGAGGGCCTCGGCCAGGTTCTGGCAGTTGGCCTCGAACAGATTGTACCGTGGGTGCTCGGAAATATATCTAGATGCTGGAGGTGCGGTCAGCGAGTCAGTCGCTTAGTCGTTGAGTACACCGGCAGCCCGAGAGGGCGCTCAGCCAGTGGCGGCTCTACGCAAATCCATTGACTTACCGATTTCCAGGATTTCTTCGTGTGTCCGTGTGGTCTCTCCAATGTAACTTGCACCTGTCCATGTTTGTACCATCTCTTCGGTGACTGGGAAACATCTCGCTGCATGCCTGTCAGCTGCGTGTTTGGGGGCCTGAGACGTGGATGGACGGTTCTGGAAGGATTGATAAAGCAAATGGAAATGCATACGGTAGTTTTTCATGATTTTGGTCGTGGGGAGCATCTGATCACTCATGAGGTCGTAGAGATAACACGTGCCCTCGCCCCCTATCGACGGCCACCAGAGCCCAGTGCGACAGGCTGTCCAGAGACAGGCCCGCACTCTTCATCAGCAGCTTGGACGCCAGCTTGGTGACCTGAATGCCGTTGATGTCGATAGGACGTGACAACGAGAACGGCCCTCGTCTTGCATCTCGAGCTGTACTCCAGGGGCTCGTCCAGTTCCGAGGCGGTGTGGTTGCCGTTGAGCTTTGAGCGGATGAGCTTGAGGAGCACCTTTTTGTCGTCCTTGACCTCGCCGTGCTTCCTGCGGGGGAGTCAGCCAGTGTTCCCCGATGTCCGTGCTGCCAGTCTCTTGCTGACGCCCGTTCGAGACGAAACCGCCCGTGAACAGCAGCTCTAGAGACAAGGCCTTGTGCCTGCTGGGAGACCTCACTCACTTCAGCTTTTCGTAGTATTCCCTCCCTGCAGCGATCAGTTGCGTTGCGCTGATCCCATGGATAGGCATCCTGCCTGTACGAAAGCAAAAGTGAAATGAACGAAAGTATGGAAATCAAGTAAGTCTGGCAGACGATAACGCCCGTAGGCTCCGCAGCGGTTGACTCCAAGACAAAGGAAATCGGGCAAAAAAAAGGTGAAAGATTGAAGGAAGAAGACAATTCCGTCGATGTGGTGGGGGTTTCAAGGAAACCTCGGAAACAAGATCCTAGGATCCTTGAAGAGGCACAGCCGCACAGCCGCTGCGTACCGGGGAACGCCCGGGAACCCCCTGTCTAACGCACAGGTACCTCGGTACACAGCACTAACCGTTTTTTAGACCCCAGCTGACCACAGTATCAGCTATTAGTTTTTTTTGGTTCTGTACTCATTAGGTATTACATTGAAAGCTTTCATTAAGAAGAAAAGGAAGAAAACAAACAAAGATTTATTAAAGCTGTTACTGCCACTAAGCTCTTTAATCCTCATATTTAAAAATGACCTAAAAATGCAGCTTAAAGGAGTTGCTCAAGCTGTTGAAGACCACCAGCCTGACCCTGAGCCAAGCTAGTCCATTCCTGCAATTGATACACTCTCTCCAGCGAAGAAATGTATGAACGCGAGGGTGCATCATAGGGCAGCTCAGATTTAGTCTCAGGATACTTTAGTGGATACGATTACTACCTAGGCTCTAGTTCAGGTCAAAAGCGGGAAAAGGGCATTCTGACCATAGATTGATGGCTCTGAACGCAACAAAGACCACTTGGGACATGCCCGAATTTGCAATTCTGGATTACAACAACTTCCAACAGTCTCAGATCTTACCTAAAACGGGTCTATCTTAGCCTTTTCAGGCGCATCCTTGTCCTAGACAGCGTACAACTTTGTGTCCAATTGTTATGTTTTGCCTAGATGCCTTTCAATTTACCATTATTGCTGGGAAGCTCACCTTGGGTTCAGTCTCCACATCAAACCCGTTCTCTAACAGCCATGATCCACGAACTGCTTAGGTTTTAGTCGCCCGGGGGTTTGTTTCCGCCGGACAGGCCAAACACGTACTTTATAACGGACTACGATGAACGACGTACAATTTCAGTAATTTTGTTGGGGGATGAAAACGACGACCCTGACACATTCGCTGGTACGTCAGATTGCGGAACTGAACTGTTTTCTCTTGGGACGCAGTTCAGGGGGACATCCCTCGCCTTTTCAATCTGTACAGCAGCTATCTTCGCACCGGTGTTCGGCTAATGCGTGTACCAGAGCACCTGGTAGCTTTGGGCCCAAGTTTATAAAATCGAACTTTCCGAGACAGGAGAGCTTAATTCCGTCTATGGCAACGCAGATGACCATGAAACGCTGTGTGTTCACTATCCGCCCCTCCAAGAGCTCAAAAAGCCCGCCAGAGTTGGCATAATTGCGCGCTCAGAACTGGAGGAACTACAGCGTTTGGCGCCCAATGTCGACTTAGTCTCGTATGACGCAGATGTATCATCATATAATGGAGCCAAGCGCGAGAACCGAGAGGCAGTTTTCAAGTACTACTTTCAGGAGCACGACTTACATGAGAGACGGGACGAAATTAACCTATGGGTGCGTCTTCCACCGCACTCAAATATTGTCCCTTTCGATCGACTTGTAGTGGAGGAGTTGCATGGTCAACAACTTGTAGTTGGCTTTACCAGATTATACATGCGCGACGGTTCACTCCACGATCTCCGCGTGAAACCATGTAAGCGGATCTTCAAGCTGAAATGGGTCTCACAGCTTGCCAACCTTGTCAACGACTTAAGCCTCAGGCTTGGTATTGAGCGCCAAGATATCGCTGCAAGGAATCTTGTAGTAGACGAAGCAACAGATAATATCATGCTATTCGATTTCAACTGCTCAGCTCGCATCGACGGCCCGCTTCGTAACGGTAAGAGTGTATACGACTATGAAAATAGTGATGTTAAAGGAGTCATCTTTACTGTGTATGAGATCCTTACTCAGGATTACTCTTACCGCAGAATTCTTGGTGAGCTTCAGCCTCCTTCCAGAGTTTTAGACTTGAAGGACTGGAAGAAACACCCGGATATACAGCTTGACCATTCCTTGAACGATTATCGGGACGCACTAGATACCTGGTTGAAAGCAAGAAAAGGGCGAAACCATGTTGTTGTCTTCACAGATGCCCCGGAATTTATCGACTGGCCGCCAATGCGGGAGCCTTTATGTTTCCCTTGTGAAGACCAGACACATCCAGTACTTGGCGAGCACGCAAAGTCTGAAGGTGACGAGGGCGGGCATGTCGAAGTGGTTGGTCAGGTGGCGCCGCTCCAGCCGTCGCGATGGGTACACGGTAAGTCAGGGTGGGAACAGCAACTTCTTCTGGTCTCGTTGTGAGATGGTTCTCTCCTGACGCTCGCCAGTGCCTAATTCTGCCCCACCAGGCCATTCAATGCGAACCACTCGAGCAGCATGGCCCATATTAATGAAATATTGGGAGAAGTATTCAGATCGTCTTTTATTGATGTCTCTGACTCTGATCCATTTGGCACTTTTCATCCTTGTGGCAAACAGGAGAAAAAATGAGTGTGGTGAGGCGAACGCTGATGTGTATAGACAATGGGAAAGAAAAGGCGCCTTGTTGAGTCGGGCCGTTGCTTTCCAAGATCCCTTCTGATTGTGCAGCCCCTTGGGCAAGCAAGCAAATGCAATCGCGTGAGAATCGATGCAGAGCTCATACGGCTTGGAGATAGACTGACGAGACAAACCGTCGAAATTGTTCGCGGCATGACATAGGCCGAATTGTCATGGCCGTTCGTGTCCTCAGCAAGGAATCGACCTGTCCCAGCGATCACTACCCAGCACGACGAGAATTCTGAAGCAAAGTTCAGCGACTATTTCCCGCTGGGCTTTCATTGTCAAGCCAGCGAGGCACACTTGCCCCAGTAGCTTGCATTATCAGCAGTGTGGTCTCTGGAGGAACAAAAGGAGCCAGGGAGACCCCAACCATATCTCGACTGGGAAACTCACGAATTTCAATAGGTAAGTCACAAATAGTACAAATATTGATTAATGTGATTTTATTGACAAATAATATAAATGTTTAAAGATATGAAGAGTATTTCCACTTCAGTATAGGATTTAAAGCAGTTGCTACTATAGACTCTGCCGTTGTACTCGGTAGTACAGCCGCCGCAGTTGGCTGTCCTGGACGCCCCACTGGCAGGCTGAGCCCTGTACTCAGCCTCAAAAATAGCAACGGGCTCTCCGATGCCACGCCACCCCCGTCACTTACGCAAAAGGCTGCGGGACTCGTCGGCTGTGGCTCGGGCTTTTGGGGACTTACACCGTCACTACCCAATTCGGACGGCCGCCTCTGATTTGGGACATCAGGCAAAACACCGAGGACAGGACGCCGAGGCTTCCGTGGCAAGGACTGCAAGGTACGGCGTAGTTCATTGGCTGTATACGTGTAATACAATCCTGTATTAACGTTTTCGCCCGTCAAACCACAGGAATCATGGACAACTATACAAGTCTCAGAATTTTGTACATGCCTGAAAAGAGATGGCATGTAAGACGATTTCACGTGATGGCGCAGGCACCTGTCTCACAGTGATGGAAGAGCTGTCAACTGAGGTAGTCTCATTGAAGCGGTGAGACAGGGTACCTTGTGTCGGAATCTCTTCTCGATCAATTCGTGACTTCAATCGTAGGGCTGCCCTTCCGCCTCCTGGTTTTGGGTGACTTGGGTCCTAGATTTCTTCTGCCGTCAGCGCCCATCTCACCCTCCGTTTGCGCACTCCTCTTCTCCTGCGCCCTTCTCAGGTTCTCCTTGTCAATCTCCTCCCTCCATGAGCATATCTCAGCGAATTCGCAATAGGAGCATTTGTAGGCTTCTTCGATCTCAACCCCTGTCGCCGACCTCTCGCCCCTCCACCATTGCATGTAATCGGCCAGATATTGGTCTAGTACCTGCGAATCGACAGCAACGATGTTGGTTCCGATACGCTCGCCCTCTTCCCCACGTAGTCGGTAATCCACAGTCACCACACTCCCAAGGCTGTCACCACCTGCGGGGAAAGTCAACCTGAGCTCATCCCTAAGCAACGGGACCAGCTCCTGCAGCGTGCGGTACCTCAAGAGGTCATGCATGTCCGAGTCTTGTGATGGAGCTGTGGTCGAGGACAGGACGGAGCTGGAGTCGTGAAACACGTCGTCGTGTAATTCGCCGATCTGTGCGAGGAAAGCGTCGGAGAAGGCCGCGTCCACGTCCAAGCCGTACCTCCTGAACACTTGCAAGAAATTGCATTTGTCTGATGCCATATCAGACAGAAAGCGGTGGTAGAGATAGAGCTGCACCTTGGTCGGTCGCAGTGCGGCACCTTTCGGCATGCTCTTTGAGCCTCGTGTTTTCACGTCTGTCAGGTAGACTTTGCGAATGTACTTTGGCTGAGACTTCTCGGGTCGATCCGACGGGAAAAAGTTGGTGATTTTGTGCTGCGACTTCTCCTCAGCCGCGGCTTGGCTGCCTTGGCTGCTGAGCCATTCCTCCTCGAACTCCGGACTTGGGTTCTGATAGCTTAGAAAGTCTATCAGGCCGTTGACGACGTTCCCGTCAACCAGTCCCCAGACCTCGAGCTCTCGTGTCACACCAGTATCCCGAAGTGTCCTCAGGCCTTGTATAATGTTCCAAACTTTCAGGCCGAAAGCGTCCTCCTTGCTTGCTATCTCGACCTGCACTGTGGTGTGCACTTCGTCTTCCAGTTTCTGGTGCAGCTTGCTGCCCTCTTTCATGGCCGTCGTCCGCGTCTTCTTCCCGCCCGGCAACCGCGTTAATGTGTACTCGTATTGGAGCTCGCACCACGCCCCAGCGGTCAAGTCGGAGACAGAGAGGGGTTTTCGGGGGAAAGTTCGAAATCGCAGAAGGGGCGATCTTGTATCTGGGGTTTCATCGGCTAGAGGCCCAAGCTGCTCGCAGGCCTCGGCTTGTTCCAGGCTGGTCAAGGCTTGAGTGACTGGAATCTTGCAGGTCAGTCAGGATTGCAGAGGCCATGATATCGTGATGAGCGACAATGTACCTACGATCCGGGTATTTGACGTCGTCAGCCGGGATGACTGATGGCGTCGATTGCGGCTGGGTCTTGTAGACAAAGGCGTTGACACTGTTGGTGCGGCCGATGCCGACCAGAGCAGCCCTGGTCTGCGAACTGCTGGAAACGCTACTCGGCGCATCGTGGGGGAAAGCAAAGGCATTAGCAGGCTTGGGCACGGCGTTCTCGACGAGAGATGCGAGCAACTGTTCGTCTTCTAGCGAGAGATTGAACTCGCTGTCGGTGTCAGACGCCATAACGGCGGCTGTAGCAGTGTCTCATGCCTCTTTTCGCATCAGGATGCATCATTGACCTGCTCGGGGCTGCGTCATGACTTTTAGCACGATGATGGTTGGTCGCGCGAGACGAGACGAGCGGCGGCCTCCTCGTCCCCCGCCAGCACTACGCGCTAGTGGTGCGGGAGCACGTGGTATCCTGGGCAGGACAGGGGGGCGACTACAGGTGCACAGCGCCTGCCCACTGTACCTACGTACCGTGCTTGAAAGCGTGTCTGCTCTTCAACATGTGCGTTGCCTCTTGCCACGATTTTGAGCGAGCCTCGACTCACCGAGCAAACCTGAACTGTCGAAGTCACTTGGAGTCAACTGCCATTCAGTTACGAGGGTTGCTTGACTGTTGATTTCATGAAATACCGTCAAAACAGTTCGATACGTGGACGGTATACTCCACCTTTGGTGACCTTGGAGGGCGTGTGCAGTCTCAAATCTGAAGCGATATCGTTCCCAGCTTTATGCCGGCATTACATCAACGCTTCTTGGCTGCCCAATTACTGTATTCGCTGCTGATCACTTCGTGTCCTTGGAGCCAAAGCCCCGGGAATGCGGCGGAGGTGCTCGTGTGAGGTCTGTCCTTTCCCAAGGCAACCACATTTCGTCTAAATTTATCTGGGGGAGAATCCCCCACCCCTTTTCCCAATCCATGCCTTTTCACCACTCAGACTAAGACAGTGCTTCTCCCTCGTCGACCATTCCATTGTTGCCCAAAGACTAGATCACTTTACTACCTGAAACCCTCAGCTTTGAACCTAGTGCATCATGCTTTCAGTGCCGCGGGGCCGTCGCTCCGTTCCGGCCACCAAGCCAGCGGACTCGGAGCCTGACGCGTTGGTCGCCGCCGGCCACAGCACCGAGGCCTCGACACAGAAATCACAGACCAACTTCATGGATCTGCCAACAGAACTCCATCTTCTCATCAGCAAGGAGCTCACCTACCCCGATGCGCTCTCGCTAAAACATGCCAGCCGTTATTTCTACAACCTGGTCGACACTGGCGTCCGACTCAAGGTAGCGTGGCTCATGGAACGACGGATGCTCCACCTCGACTGCCCCAACGACCGAAAGTGCAATCTGCGCACCGACCTCGAGTTCTGCAGGGGCAGCGTAACGTCAGTACCACCACTGCTTGATTCTTCTCACTGGTCCCCCAATGTTGTCCCCCATGATTACAGCAAAGAACGGGCTTGTGCAAAGGTCGCTGACATATCGAGTAGTCTCCTCATGCAGAGGCGTCGGGAGCACGTTGAATGCGAGTCTCGGCCTGGCCTAGGCTGCCTGGTCTATGCCACTCCCCAGTGCGCATACCGACGGGACTGGAAGACTGCCTGGAGGCGCTGGATGAGACGGCAGATCACAGTCGAGATCTGGTGGATTGTGCTGGCGGTGGTCCCGCTGATCTTGGGCTGGCTCTGGATGGCTGAGCTCATGAAATGGGCAGTGGCTTGAAGGGCATATTCCCAAGGCTAATCAACAGTCCGAACAGACTGAAAGCAGTCAAAGTAATAGAAAGCAAGATCCCAAGTATATCAGACTTGCAACTATCTGCGCAATTCGGTCCCGTGGTAAAACCCAGAACGCCGTGGTATCACTTCGCCGGGGTGCCAGGAAACTCCCCGCTCGTCCAAGTCATGTCGAGAAAAAGGAACGAGATCTTCCATTCCTCGTCAACCTTGCGAAACGACCAGTAATAATAGCCACCTGTGAAGAATCCCTGACCAAGGTCTGTTGCATGGGATCCCGTCGACGACTGCCACGTGGAGCGCCCATACGCCACATTGCTGGACTCAAACCTGACGCTGTGGTTTGAGGACAGGTGCTGATAATGAGCGTCAACCGTTGATCAACATGCCAGAGACAGACCTCACTTACAGACATCCGGTGAAACTCTGAGACTGGCGACAACAGCCACTCTGCCAAGCCTGCATTACCCTGATACTTCCCACGAGGGGAAGTCACCTCCGCATCGTCGGTGAAAAGCTTGTTTAGATCCCCGTAGTTGCGAGTCTTGGCCAAGCTGGCATCAACTCTGTAGCTGTATTCACTGGTGAGGTCCTCTATCATCCTCCGATCGTACAAGTACGCTTGGCGTTCTTCCGCATTTGCTGGCCTCTGCTCCTTGAAAGCCGAGTGGGTATAATTCATTGGGTGGTTAAGCTCAGCAAGAGTCTTCCTACCGGCTCCCTGAACCTCCGCAGGGGTGTTGGAGTCAGACATCGTGACAGCGCGATATCTCAACCTACTAGTTGAGAGTTTAAACGCTTATGTGGGTACTCGAGACGCTTGTGTAAGGAGTAAAGTTGATTGAAATTGGTCCAACAGCAACTGCGAACTTCGTAAGCTCGGCGTCCCGCATTGAGGCATGTTATGTGTGACCCCCAGCGGACGTCCGTATGACTTACCGTGGCGCCCGAGTGCTTGTTACACAGTCTTAACTCCAATAACTTGCCAAGTGGTACTGAATAAGTAGCGAGTAGTAGCATCAGACACAAAAGTGTTCCGAGCGCATACTCAACATGACTTTCGAATATGTGTAGAATACTCACCACTCTCGGCAGTGAGCTCATTCTGAGTGAGATCAACCTGAGAGTCTTCATCACATAGTTTGTTACCGGATGCGGGACTTCATGCAAGTCAGATGATTTTTTTCGTGTCTGCATATGAGTAAATTACGACTGAACAACATTCCAAGGTTTCCGACTATCACACATCACCAGCGTCGGCCCCCAGGCCTTCTGACTTCAGCGCCGGACGGGAGTTCCGCCTTGGTGACATACTCAGAATGAAGCTCAGACCTCTGCGCACCGCCGAGCTCGCTATATACCGGCGTGTTTTGAAGCTCAGAGTAGTCGTCGCGACTGCCACCGCCCGCCGCCTCGAGTCTGTGGCTCGGTGCGAGCTCGGGCGGTCGCCATGTGCGTGCTACCAACCCATTGGTCAACGAAGCCCTCGTCCTGCTTGAGATCCTTGTTTGCGTGGCCGGCGGTCGCCGCCTTTTTGCCACGCCGATACATCCACATCAGCAAGACCCCGAGCAGAACGACGCCGACGACGCCGACTCCGACATCAACGCCAATGGCTGCGTCTGTGCTGAGGCTCGCACCGTCTCCCGCATCGCTGCTGGCTGCTACCGCTGATGTCGTTGTCGAGGCGGAAGTCGACGGGCTTGTTGTCGGTGTCACTGAGGACGACAGTGTTGAAGATGAGGGAGAAGATGTCGCACTCGATGATACCGAGGAGGTTGTCTAGGGCAAGGTCGATGATCAGTGCCCTTCCGTGTGATAATTTCACATAATCCCTCCGGGCAAGGACTCCGAGTGGGCACCACTCACCAGATGCGGATCCAGGAGCGTGTAAAGAGGTGACTGTGCCTCTCCATCGTCCGAGCCTGTCGTCCGGACCACAAACGCGTACGTCCCAACATCGAAGTCATAGCCAAAGTCCCAGTCTAAGGAGCTATCTGTGTTCCCACCTTGTCAAGGGTAAGAGGTCAGCATTTGGGTTTCAAGCACGCATCCATATAGTCACAGATGCTCTTCCTCTCTCTGAACCTACCGCTGAGCAGCACGAAGCTCCCGTTCTCACTCGCCGACTGCTGCTGCACCCCGACGTCGTGAGAGCTATGGCTGTCGCCCGACCATTCGATCAGCAGGCGCTTCTTAAATCAATCTCAGACCCGGTGATGTTCGTCGTGACCTGGAGAGCCCCCGCGCACCGGCGGGCGCAAAACGAGAGCGAGAGAACGGCGAGGGGACCCAGGCCCGAGGAACGCAGCCACATCTTGCACCGCATCTGAGAATATGTATTGCGAGTTGGCGGTGTCTGAGGAAATCGATTTCCCCCTTCCGCCGGCGGGTGCCAATGCCTGTTTCTAATCATTCTTCGGTCTATCCACCCACCCATCGCAGGTGCGACATAGATCTTCCTGGCGAGCTTGTTGGTTCGCTGTGGCCAATGTGAACCCTGGCTGCTGTGGACATCCGCACGCAAAAGGATCACGACGAACGGGGCCTTCTGACTCTCAGCCGCCGGTGCGGGGCGGGCGAATTGTGCACCTCACAGAGGCTCTGGAATGATCACCAAATAGACTACATATTCCACAGTGTAACAATACAGTACAGCTGGGACTATTTATAAATTATTCGTGGTCTTTATACAGTACTGAGTAGCGCTTCTCCATTGGGGCTCCCGGCCTCTACTACTAGTAGGTATAAGCTGTAAGGCTGCCCTCCCGACGCCCAAAAATTACCCACAGTCAGGGTTGTCCCATCGACTGCACGGCCAATTGGTAGATCTCACACCTATAGACCCGGATCTACGAGCAAAAATCGAGTTTTGGGTTTGTCAACTGTGAACGCACGACCAATTGGAGGCGCTGTTATCGTTATTCGGTCATCTACTTGAGAGGAAATCTGTACCCCATTGATTTGTGACTGCGTTTTGTACGGAGCTGGCTAGGTTCAAAATAATACGCAGGACTGCTTCAAAGGTGTCAATGTGTAGTTTCACCTCTGCCGTCCTAAAGAAACTAAGCAAGTAGATTCACACCTTTGCATGGGTAGTTCAACTCGAACGGATTGGAAATGTGCGCGTGCGGCTTGTAACCTGTGGAAGCATGGTTGGGTTTTGGTCAAAACTGATGATTTGAAGTCGACGCGGTTGCTGGAATCCTGACTGTATATGGCTTTTCAGCGTGTATGTAGACAGTGTATAACCTTTGAACATTACCACAGTCATTTTGCACGGAAGAAGAATGTTATTTGCGATCAGCTCAAAGGAGAATTGAAGTATTGATGAGTTTGGCTTTGTAAGATGTTGCTACACACTCACGGCATTACAGACGGGGAGGAATATCTGGACGGGAGCAGGGCTTTAGTGGCAGCTAGGCATACACTCTATTTGAATTAGAAGACAATACATTAACACAACTATAATGCTACTAAGAAAACCGGAACACGTGTATTGCAATTCGGGTACCCAAATTGGAGTTCCTATATGCACCATGTTTGATATCATTTGTGACATTGTCTCCACCTTGTTGGCGAAGAGAAATATGCGGAAAGGGAACTACAGGCTGGGCGGGACTCTCAGACGTCTGACGATGAAAACGAGGTGCTCAATCGCTTTATGGGACGTTCGGAGTGGGTCTAAAACAAAAGCATGAGATTGCGAGGAAGGAAAGTCTAAAGCTTCGTCGCTGTCTCTCAAAATTCCAATCATGTCGCAGGTATAATTTCGCTATTGGTGGTACTCGGCTGTGAAGGAAGTACGTCCTCCCGATCATCGACATTGCATGAGCGTCGGTCCCAGCAATCTCTAGCAGAGAAAGAAGAACAGGAGGATTCCGTGTAAAGTGCCGATGTGTGGCTTACCTAGGTAGCCTGGCTACGCTCAAGTGCTTATGTAGATTGTGCTAGGCGGACGACTGACTAAAACATTCACCCGGCGCCGTTGTCTTGGCCAAAGTATAGTGAGCCGATGGAGTACCTGCATCGCGAGATTGCTTGTTGCGAAAGTTGGCAGGGGTCACGCCTGACGCAACTCCGTAGACACCTGGTCAGACAGGGTTCTCCGCCATCGGTGGGTCCCTTCCCTGCACCTAGCTACGCCGTCGCCCGAAATCATGCATGCCAGGCACGACTCCTCGGCTGTACAAAGGCCGGCGCGCAACGCCTGGTCTGCGCCATTGTGATGCTTGACGAGACCCTCAGCAACAAGCAGGCCGCCCCAATTTCTCCGCTCGTGAAATTGGCACTAAGACCCAAGAATATCTATGACCCCAGGATGCCCGAGGCCCACCAATGACCGACAATACACACGTTCGCACGCTTGGCGTACGTCCTTGCTTGGAAAGCAATGCCTGCAGCCACATCGCGTTACCCGCCACGCCTCAATGAAAGCCCGAACGTGTGGAGATCACATCTACGCGCACCAGTTGACGGACAAGCCGCAGCCAGGGTCCTGAGTAAATGCTGAAATGCAAAAGACAAGATGATATATAAAGTCCTTGGAGAATGTCGAGTTAGACAGCTTGAGATGTTGAGGGCAGCCCTGATTGTTAGCGGCCAAACCTCGAATCGCGTGGCAAAATGGTGTTCCTGAAGCGGGCTCTCGCCGCTGCTACCTGCGTTACTTCCGCAGTTGCTGTCGATGTCCTTGTCCAATCCTCGGGAGGCAATGTGACCGGGAAGTTCGGACACCCATATGGATACGGCTTCCTGCACGAGGTGAGCGAGCACACGACCGTTGGGCTTTGTCCATGATACTAATCACCCTGACTCAGGACATCAACAATTCCGGCGATGGCGGCATCTATGCGGAGCTTATCCAAAACCGCGCGTTCCAGTACAGCCCTGAGTTTCCGGTCTCCACGGCACATTACTTCCCTGTCAACGGCGCCAACTTCAGCATCGAGTTTCTCGACACCCCTCTCTCAGAGGCTCTGCCGGCATCGCTGAGAGTTGCGGCGGGCAGCAACGGTACGGGGAAAATCGGCTTCAAGAACGATGGGTACTGGGGCATTGCTGTCAGCCAGCAAAAGTACACGGGAAGCTTTTGGGTCAGGGGAGCCTACAACGGCTCCTTCACGGCATCGCTGCAGTCCAACCTGACCGATGAAGTTTTCGGCTCGGTCGAGGTTGCGTCCAAATCTGTCGAGGGTGAATGGACAGAGCATGAATTCGAGATTGTGCCTGAGAGTGATGCCCCAAGCAGCAACAACACCTTCTCGGTCACCTTTGACGTGGATGCTGTTCAAAGCGGTGAACTGGATTTCAACCTCATCAGTCTTTTCCCGCCGACGTATAAAGACAGAAAGAATGGGCTCCGAGTCGACATTGCACAAGCCCTCGCGGACCTGAACCCTGTAGGTCATCAACTCATGCTTTCCTGTTGTCCTGGGCTAACAACCGTAGACCTTCCTGCGCTTTCCGGGTGGCAACATGCTCGAGGGCCTCACGAACGATTCCTACTGGGACTGGAAAGATTCTCTAGGCCCGCTGAAGGACCGTCCTGGCTTCCAAGGCGTGTGGGGATACCAACAAACACACGGCCTTGGTCTTCTGGAATACCTCGAATGGGCAGAGGACATGAATCTTCAGATAGGTAAGACGCGATTCTGCCAGATTTCCTGCGAGGTCCGATAGAATTGGTCACGCTGACATGATTTTAGTGCTCGGCGTCTGGGCCGGTCTCGCACTCAACGGTGACGTGACGCCCGAGCAGGACCTGCAGCCTTTCATCGATGACGCCCTGGACGAGATCGAGTTCGTCCGCGGACCGGCAGACTCTACCTGGGGCGCACGACGTGCAGAGCTCGGCCACCCCGAGCCCTTTGAACTCAACTACGTGGAGGTGGGCAACGAGGACTGGCTGGCTGGCTACCCCGGCGGCTGGGACTCGTACAAGGCGTACCGATTCCAGATGTTCTTCGATGCCATCACAGCCGCGTACCCCGAGATCCAGGTCATCTCTTCTGGTGCGTCCAGCGACCCAGCGCCCGAGGGCGAGACCACGGGACCAAACCTCACTGAAGGGCTCGATTCCACCAAGACCCCCGGTGCTATCGGCGATTATCACCCATACCGCGAGCCGGACGAGCTGGTGTTCGAATTCGATCGGTTCGACAACGACATCGGACACATCATTGGCGAAGTGGCCGCAACACACGTGAACGGCGCCACGCCTCCCCGCTGGGAAGGTCAGCTGTACAAGTACCCGTGGTGGATCGGAGCCGTCGGTGAGGCCATCTCTCTCATCGGATACGAGCGGAACTCGGACCGTATCCCCGGCACGTTCTACGCCCCGGTTCTCAAGAACGAGAACAGGTTCCAGTGGCCCATCACACTCATCCAGTTCACCGCGGACCCGGCGCAGACAACACGCGCCGTGACGTGGTACTGCTGGTCCCTGTTTGCACACCACACCATCTCCCACACGCTCCCGACGACGAGCAACTCGACCTACGGGCCTCTGTACTGGGGCGCCGGCAAGGACGAGGCCAGGAACGGCGCGCTCGTCTGGAAGGGTGCCGTCTACAACACCACGGATGGCGGCGAGGTCCCTGTGTCCGTGCAGTTCGACGGCGTCGAGGCTGGTACCAAGGCACAGCTGACCGTGCTGACGAACGGCGTCGGCGATCCGTTTGCGTACAATGATCCCCGGACGGGTGTCAACATTGTCAACACCACAACACAGGAGTTGACCTCAGGTGCGAATGGGGCCTTCGAGTTCAGCCTCCCGCAGTTGAGCGTCGCGGTTCTGGACACAGATCTGGGCGTTCCGGCGAGTGGTAGTGGTTAGTAGTACATGCCGAGACCGTGGTAGAGCGAAGTAAATAGACAGATCTGAGCAGTACATAAATCTATTCTCTTATATCATGATCAAGCTGGAAGACGTGTGGCCCCTCCAGTGAGTGCTCCTACTGCCATAAGACATTCGGCCTGCAAGATCAAGATGATGCTGGTTGAACTGCACAGGCGGAAAAGCGAGGCAACAGCACAAGAAGCAATTCTATCAACACGATGAAGTGGGAAAGCTGCAAAGAGTTCTTCAATTACTTTGCAAGACAGAATAGCCCGAAAGGCCACCAGGACTGGTATCCTTCTCTCAGACTGGATCAACTAGTCTCCCTGTTCCTCTGCGCCCCCAGGTGGCTTCTAAGGCATGATGAGCCCGTCTAGCCTCGCTGGATCCGTCGCCAGTAGATCTTCAAAGAAGGGTTTTAGACACTCAAACCAACCCTCAGATTTGTGACCAGGTCGCTGTGTGCCACTTGAGACCCGGAGGTATTCTCTTCCGACTACTTGTCCGTCGTAGCTGCAACCTCAGAAGCATTCCTTCGGCCATCCTCCCCACATTCTTTTTTTATTGGGCTTCTACTTCAATGTGATGACACTGCCCCTGATACCTCACATGGCCAAGAACAGCAAAGCCGTGCTCGTCAAGCCAAGCAGCATCGCCCCGATCGCGGACCGTGACGCCGCCTCCCCAGCCGCCGGCGCAACAGAACTTCCCGTGCTTGTCGCATCTGTCGAATCGCCCGTCGCCGTCGCTGTAGCTGTGCACACGATGGTCTTTGTCGTATCCGCCGACGGGAACCAGCTTGCGAAGGCGGGCTGGAAGTCGTAGGTGAAGCCCTCGGGCTCGCAGACGGTGCCGTAAGCGGTGTCGAGCACCACGCTCCACTGTCCCGAGGCGCATCGCTGGAAGTTCGTAGTCATACAATTCCATATGCCTTCAACGCCGTAGCAAGACGATCCGACTTCCATCTCGTTCTGGCGAATGATGAGAGGGGCGATGTTTGTATGGTTCGTGCCGCTCTGATCGAGGAGGGACGCAGGTCGGGAGTTGAGCGATGTTGCTGTGATTGTCGCAGGGAGGCCGGATGGGGCGGCCGCGAAAATGGCGGACAGAAAGATAATTAGAGATGTCATTGTGGGAGAGATCGAAATGTTTGCACCCGAGTCCTCGTGAGGGCGTCTTGAAGAACTGGATGTTGATTGACTCGTCAGCTGGTCGTCAGCAGGAGCTTTGCCGAAGCAGTCGTGGTAGGTGTGTCTTGAGTGTGGATGAATGACCGCAAGTGCTGCTTTGCTTCGTGTTTAGGAGCTGCAGGGAGACTACAGAAAAGTTTAGTTTCCTCAACTGATCGGGTTGTAGTTGGCGAGCTCTGTGTTTGTGGCAGTTCAACCTCACCTGGACATGCAGTATGAGTGTAAGCTCTACCTTGAGACTTCTGCCTCCAGCCCGTATGGTACAAAATTCTTCTCAACGGCTCCCACCCGAGATTTCCGACTGGAATGACCGAGACTCTTGGGCATTAAAAGCAGATGGCCTGTCACTTGCATTACGAGTCTTGCAGCATCCTTCTCAGCTCATTTGGGGATGTTGTCCCCATCGTGCCACGAAAAAGTACAGTATCACTACGTGCAATCTAGGTACACGTGATCATGTGTCTTTTTTCTTGGGTTTCTGTTGAAAGTTTTGGCAAGCTGCGTCTTTCATGCAACACCGGGTGACCACACGTGCAACAACGGGAACGAGCACCATTGCGCTTGTGTCTCCGATGGCGTCTGGTCATGTGGATTTGAAAACTTGGTATCGATTCAGAAGCTTGTACCATCCAAGGACTGTATTCACTCGATGAATTGATCGTATTCACTGGTTGATTTCTGAATGCATATCACGATCAGTGTAGCTGGACTCTTTCGGATTTAAGAATGAACTTCGCTGGTGAGTGATTTGCTGGGTCCTTCAATTCAGCGGTCCTCTATTCGGCAAGATGGTTGCTTGTGCCGCGTGTCATAAATTGGTTGTCTAAGTAATTTGGGCATACTTGCAACAGAAATGTGTGCGGGCTGGAGGACGTCAGTGGCTTGTATATTTATGGAAGCCACCATTCAATTCAGATAATGCAACGTCTGATTTCAAGGGCGAGTCGGGCCGCTGGTGGAGACCCGGGCGCTTCCCATTGCCTGACATTAATTAACTTGCCCTCCTCTGGGCCAGGCACATGCGTACGGAGCGTCTGCTCCCGAGGGAGGCTCCGCTTCATTTTGGTTATAAAGGACAATACCCGCGAGCTGAACATGGCGAAAATAGTCTTGGGCCAATTTAGCCAACGTCTAATTGTGAGCGCCCAAGAACCATGCTCTTCAAGACTATCGCTTACTATGGCCTGCTGGCCTCAGCCAGCGCCGCCCCTCAGCCTGATCGAGTCCAACCCCGGGCTCCCACGCCCACGACGCTCCAGCCTGGGCAATATTGGATCCGGGCAGTTGCATCGCCCAATTTTCACAAATATCTACAGACAGTCCCGGCCAATCAAGCAGGAACCGCCACCCTCAACGACTATACTACTGCTGGACAGTATAATATCGTCGATGGGCAGCTAGTCGATTACACCGGCACTCTGTATCTCCACGTCGAGAAGCCGGCAGACCTGGCCAGCCCACCGAGGACGTTGGCGACGTCGTTCAACGCGACAAAGAACAGCTTCGGGACCTTCGCATTCCAAGGAGACGCCGTCACCTGGTCTGCGCCTGGCTTGCAGAGACAGAATTTAGCGGCCTGGCTGGTGTGCCAGAATCAAGCTCTGTTCATCAATACCGGAGCCTATGCTTACCAAACTCCGGCAGGTTGTGCCGACCAGACGGTAAGATTTGATGAGTGATTTCAGCTTTGCCCTTTGAAATGGCTTCTAACTGGCGACTCTGATGGTTAGATCCACTATTACAACGGTGCAACTGCAAATAACTGAGGGAAGGAGGCAGCGGGCTGACGAATATAATATTGACCGAGCGTTGTGTGGCTCTTCCCAATGCATCTGGAGATGGGCCCATAGATGACGAATTGACTATTCTTACGTTTTATAAGTTTTTGATGTGTTTGCTCGCGCCTTGTAACTCTCAGAGATTGCTCACTGGTCACCGTTTTCCAATTTAAGCACGCTTCTGGAGCAAGCAATGCTCGCCCCATTTCCTTTGGTACTTTTCCGGAATCCAGCTCCAGCTCGGGACCCATATCATTCTAGGAATGAGTGAAGTATTTCCAGCATCCAGGAATGGGATGCACTTGACTACTTCCCAATTTGCCGTGTCTGCAATGTAGTCGGGTTCGTTGGGTGGCAAACCCAGCCCCTTCTCCGTGTTCAACGGGTAGCGAGTGTCCACCAGAAACTTGCATTGTTCGATGTCGGTGTACTTGCTCGGGTCTTCCTTGTTCTGGTCGTTCATACCGCTGGGGAGCACATAGGTACCGCTGAAGCCCTCAAATAGGCTGCTCCTCTTGAACTCCCCAGGGAGAAGGCCTCGAAACTCGGATTGAATGAACTTGGCCTGCATGTCCCTGGGCAGAAAGAACGAAGAGGGAAATCGGTACCACTCCTTTCCAAAGCACACGAAGTCGCCCTGTCCACCAACCAGCTCAGCGTCTCCAACGCGAGTCCCAGCACCTAGGGGGTCGTAGAGCGACAACGGGGCGCCATATGCTGAATAGAGACCAATGACTCGCAGGAGGTACAGCGATACGACAAGCAAGAAAGGGACGACCACGGTAAGGACAAGCCTGACAGATGCGGGGATCTTACCCACCACCGTGTTTTTGCTGACGTGGCCGACAGCAGTGAGGACGATGTGCGCTGACACAGCCGCATTGAGAGCCAGGAAGGGGTAGGCAGGGTACATGAAGCGCTCTTCCTTGTGGGGCTGCAGGGTGAATATAGTGAACCACAGGTAGAATGGCGAGAGGAAGACGATAGCCCGCAGGGAGGAGGAAAAGGCACGGCCACTCGGAGCGATGATCTTCTGCAAGAGGAAGAGCGGCAGTGCGACCAGAGCCAACACAAACCACAGGTTGAAGTTCAGCGCCAGGTTCTTGAAGTAGAAGGTCCATGGCTCAGTGCCGTACAGTTCTGGGCCACCGCCTTTGGAGAAAACGTTGTACTTGACGATGTTCCATGACACGACGATGCCCCATACCCTGTAGAAGTACGAGTTGACCAGCGAATCAACGACCTAGCCCTGTCAGATAGATATCGGCTGATTTCGACCAGAGATACTCACAAGGATACCGACTGCGGCCAGGACACCACGTGTGACCCGTCGAACTGCGTGAAAGAACTGGTCCAGGTTGCCGAGGGCCGCTACGGCAAGCAGAACCTCCTCCAAAAGGAACGGGGCAGCAAGAGCCATGGCGAACGGCCAGCCGATGATACCGCCAGCCGCGAACCAGGCTATACCTGCGGCCGTTTTGAATCCCCCAGTCCAGTTCATGAAGGCTGCAGCTCCCAACATGCCCGTGTACATGGCAAAGCTCGAAGGCAGGTATGCAGTGCTTGCATGGAAGTTTCCAGGACTAAGAACCAAGGCCAGAATGAAGAAGACACCGATCCGCGGGTGGACTGTGAGGCTGATTACGCGGTAAAGCAAAGTCTGGCATAGTGCACAAACCAAGGCGAGGGTATAACGGATGAAGTAGAACCCGCCAAGCTATTCAGAGAGAGTCAGCACTGATCGCACACATGGTCTTCCAGACGAAAGAATCTCACCTTGGTAGCTTGTGGTAGCAAGTGCCGCACGCCGGCGACTACCGCGTGAGGGAGGACATAGAGCCAATCCCTGATGCCGTAGGCAGGTGACCATTCCCATGTCTGCAGGCCGTAACCATGAGTTAAGTAGTGGGTAGGTTCCAAAAAGTTGAAGGTCTCATCACAGTCTTGGATTGGATTGAATAAAGCCGAGACCAGGTTGGCGGCCAGGAACATGTAGAACGCATAGATGGGTTCTACCGCGAAAAGACTTGGTTTTCTGGAGGAGCTGTCAGCACCCGTAGCACCACACCACTCGGGACACCTATGCCGAAGCTCGGCTCATGGAGACGTACATTTTTCGGGCATGCGAGGCCTCAGGATGTATAAATTCCCTTGCATGGGCGGCCTTGGGAGGCATTTTGTCTCGCGTGTGGAAGAAGCGATATTACAGCTGAGACAGGACGAGGGGGCGTCGATGGTGGTGAGTGAACTGCGGACCTGGAGCTGTTGAGAGCTTTGTCGGGACGGGTCGTGCCTGACAGTGGTACCTGTGACGGACCCACCCCAACGGCCACTGCATGACAAGCAGACGTCACCTCACATCCCATTGAATCCCATCCCACCTCGCCTTATCGATAAGGACCCAGAAAAAAGATAACCGAAAAGTTCGAGATTGGACTGTTTTTTCCCATTTCCTGCCGCACATTTAGCCCTCGATCTTGCTCGATATTCCCGAGTCTAATCCTTCTTATGTCTTGAATTCTCCATGGGACACAAGAACTTATGACATTGTCATTCAGCTACAAGCGCGAAGTCTGCAGCTGTTGAATACTAGTGTTCAGCATCGAGACTCGAAAACATCCTCACAACAGGCCTACACGTTTTATCGTTCTCACAGTACCACACCCGTTAGAGTCAACTTCCCCATGGATCATTCATTCAACATACCTGGCCTCGGCGAGTTACAGACCGAAAATGCAGCGACAACGCCCAGCATCGAACCCGAAAAGCCAAGCGCCTCCACAGATGTCCAGGCGAGCACCGATACAGAAATGACGGATGGACACAGGTCAGGCGCACAAGAGCAAGAGCAAGAGCAAACTGCCCAGGGAATGGACACTTTCATGGACGGCCCGGTCACACAAGAACAGGAGCAAGCTGCTCAGAAGCAGCACGCTGTCATTGGTAGCACCGAGCCAAGGGCTCTCGAGTCGACCAACGTCCAGCAAGAGAATGGCGTAGCGGTGCAACTGGACGAGAAGATGGAAGATCATGACTCCCTCAAGCAAGAGGTTGCGACAAGTCAAAATGAAACAACATCTGGCACAGGGACACAGGAAGCGCCCGTGGATGTCTCCTCTGAAGAGCCTCAGGCCCAGTCGGCAAAACAGGAAGACGGATCGGCACCTGGGTCGCCCAGTGTCACGCATGCACTCGAAGCTGCGCTTGACGGTCTTCTTGGCCCAGTGTCAAAAAGCGAGGAGCAAAATGAAGAGAAGCCCACTCCCGAAGCCCACATCAACGGCCATGCCGAACCAACAGAGACGGCGCCAGGCGAGGGCGATGCCGATGCGAACCCCGAGTGGGAAGTAGACTCCTCACCCTACGAATCCTCAAGCTCCGACAGCAGCTCCGACGATGACGATGACGATGAATCAGACGTGGACGAATCCAAATTGCTCGGTGTCGAGGAGACCGCACGGTTGCTAATGGAAGCAGACGGTGGGAGCGATGATGAGATGGACGGTACGAGGGCTGCGAAGCAGGCCGCCGGGGTGCGCACTAAGAACGAGCTCCCTGACGAGCCAGAACCAACACCCCAAATCAGCCTCAGCCCAGAAGATGTCATTGCCCCTCTTGGAATCGTACAACATATCGTTGAAGGCACCCAAGCCGTCATCGAGGCGCTTCAAGTGGGCGCTGCTGTCACAATTCTGGATCGCGGCTCGGTCCTGTGTAAAGAGGACCGCACCGTTCTGGGAGTTATACACGACACCATTGCGACTGTGCACAAACCCATGTACATTCTCAGGTTCCGATCAGAGGAGGAAGCGAAGTCAGCTGCTCTGGAACGAGGCGCCCAGGTCTGGTATTCCAAGCCGCACGCAAACTTTGTTTTCCCCTCGCAGCTCAGGCAGGAGAAAGGATCCGACGCCAGCAATCTGCACGACGAAGAGGTTGGTCCGGACGAGATGGAGTACTCGGATGACGAGCAGGAGCAAGCTCACAAGAGGGAGAAGAAGAACCGCAAGCGTGGCGGCAAGGGCAAACCCAATAAGGGCGATGACCGTGGGTCGCAGGCACCTTCTGCTGTGGGTGACTCGAATCTCAACTACGGCGAGGACGATGACGGCACATATCGTAAGCTACCACGCCCTTCGAATTTCGGCATGGGACTCCCCCCGCCGCCACCCCCTGGAGTGTCGGCTTTCCCAGCAATGAACGGCGGCAACAGGGGAGGTCAGAACGGCGGGCGACGTGGAGATTCGAGAGGTCGTGGTCGAGGAAGAGGCTTTCAAGGACGAGGCCGAGGTGGCGGCCAGGGACAAAATGGCCGTCCACAGCAACAGTCACACGCGCAACCTCAAAACCCTCACCAACCGCCGCCTCCGTTCCCTGTGGTTCCACCACCTGCACCAGGCCAGTGGCCATTCCCAATACCGCCTCTGCCCCAGTTTGGAGGAGCGCCTGGATCTTCCACGACTCCTGCCGCCCCAGCTCCTAGCTATCCGATGCCGAGCTGGAGTCCAGCCCAGGGCAACCCGTTTCCCTTCCCTCCCGTACCTCCACCAAACTGGTCACCACCGCAGCAGCAGCAACGGCCAGCGCAGCACACAAGTTATATGCCACCCGCTGGAAGGTACAGCGTGCCTGGGCAATACCCACCCAACAATGGCCCGACCCCTCCCGCTCCGGCGCAAAATTATCAGTACCCCAACTACTATGGCGGGCAGGCTCAGAACAATCAACAGCAGCGTTGGGGATAGAATGCCCAGCAGTTGATGCAAATGAGACTCTTGCTAGCCGCATACAATGTCTTGAAAGGAGCTCAGGATGCAGGTCAATGCCTAAACCCAGACCGAGGCTCAGACCTGGACATGGACCTGGATCCGGATGACCCTGCTTTCTAGGAGAGACGGGTATGGTCAAGTTCTTCCTGTAGAAGACGATGAACACCACAGGGAGAGATCTCTACGAGATTCAAGGAATGCATTTGCCAGGCGTTAGGATAGGAAAATCATCATTGGAAGTGATGGCAGAGGCTGTAGAGCCCTCCTTGATACCATACAGACAGTTTTATGGTATCTCTCATCTCGGGTCTTATTATGCAGCTTAAAAATGCAGATGCGACATGAAGTGGGAGAAATGAGCCCGCCAGAGTCGAAATGGTTACCTCAATTGTGAAACATAGCTTCGACGCTGTGACCAAGTCTCCCAGACACGGACGAGGGCAGCTACCGCGTGGAAAGCGCCACGAGAAGGACTACTAGCAGTAGCTCAACGTGCCGGGTTTATGACACGGCTCTCCCGGGGGACCCGCGCTGTCACGGTGACTCGGCTCCCCACTATTATTAATGTGGTGCCGTAGATTTCACTCAGCGAATTGTAACGAGACCGGGGTATCGATGTCGGGCTCCGCAGTCAGTGCGGTGAGAAAATCCCCGTGTGGACCGTGGAAATCGAGATAAAGATTGCTTCATTTGCGATGCGGGCAGGTGGTTCGTCACTTATCGCATGACGGGAACCAAACCCGGCTCATCGGCATGAGCGTGATGGCGTTGTCATCGGCTGGGGTGGGAAGGGAGATTTCCGCGCAGGCTGGGCGGAACGGAACCTACGCGCAAGTGATGTCGGTGGCTTTGGCCAATCTCACCACCAGGCTCGCCGGCGGGGCGGCGATGGCGAGACTGGTTGCTGATGAGGATCGTCGGGCCCCAAGGCTGGCTAGGGCTGCTTGCTGGTCGTGGGGTCCAATACTGTACGTACAGTATTTGGGTCTACTGGCGGCGTGGTAGGACTAAGACTCAAAAGAGGGCGGATCGACAGGCGGATAGCGGAGACAATGGTGAGTAGAACAGAAGAGAAGAGGAACGCCGGATGAGGCTGAAGCTGGTCGGGATTATTCGTCGGAGTCGACCCGAAAAGCCCCAAGTTAGCACACGAGAGCATTCTTGTCATCATCGAGAAGATCATTACACTACGCACAGAGTTTGGATACGACAGCAGTTCGAGCAGCAGCAAAACAGAGGCATTTTCCGAAGCCAATCCAGGCAGTCCTTGGGCATTCGTCGCATGAAGATTGTAAGGGTGTGATTGACGTCCCCAAAGAGGAATCCACTTGGGAGATCACTGTTAAAGTTTCACCCAACGGCAAAAAAAACAAACCAAGGTGCCAGCAAGACAGTAGAGAAACGGCAGAGACGAGACGAACTGGCCAAGGGTGAGGCACAGGGAGCGGGCCTGCGGCATCCAAAGATTACCCCAACCTGCCAATCAAAGCAGGAGGCAGGATGTGGCCCCTGCTGGAAACAAATCTCGCTTCGGGCAGGTGCGTGACGGGGCTGGAGGCCCCCAGCCAATGATCACCCTGGCGTACCTGGGAAAGTGGGGATCGCCTGCGAGGACATGGGAAGGAGTGGAAGGAGCTTGGCGCGTGCGGTAACAAACGCCGCGGACCCTGGCACCTGGGTTCTGGTTCCGTTGCCCTGTGCCTCCTCGTGCCCTGTGCCCACGCCTGCCACGTTTGTTTGAGTCGGCCTCTCGCCTCAAGACTCGGGACTTGAGAATCGGGGGTCCCTTGGGCGGTCTCGTCATGTTGGTCTGTTCATCTGGTCGCCAAAGGAGGCCGCAGATGCCCGTCCTCGAGGCCTGGGGACGATCAATGCTGACAATGACGCCTCCTGGGAGTTGGAAGGTTTGGGGGGGAGCTGCGAGGCCTACAAGGATGGGTGGACAACAAGGAAGGAGCGAGGAGTAAGTTAAGGCGTCTCTCGGGACTTTCTTGGGCCACCGCTGCGTCGTTTTCGGTCCAGGAAACAAACCCCTGGGCTAAAATCGCCCGTTTGGCAACACCGCGCAGTGTGCATCACGACATGTGCCGTGCCCCCGCAGACGACGCTGTCAGCAAGCTGCATCCTGGACTGCGCGTGGTAGGTAGGTTGTCTGCTGCCTGGGAAGTCTTTCTCTTGAGGGACCCCAGCCGGCCCAAGTCCCCAAGAGCGTGCTTGCCAGGCTTGCCCGGCTTGCTTGCCCAGCTTGCTTGCGTGTGTGCTCCGTAGTCCCCAACCTTGACCGGCCCACACCTCCTCCCGAGGGCCCCTCCATCCCACAGGCCCCAGCCCAGCCCAGCCCGGGCCCAACCAGAGCCTGCAGGTGCGGGTGCAGCTGCAGCTGCACCATGCCACGGGCATGCCCATGCTCACCAACAGTCACTCATACACACGCTACTACGCACAGCCTCTTTCTGTTTCTCACTCCTTCCTTCCTCCCGTCTCTCTTTTTAGACCTCCTCTGCAGGTCGACCACTCCTTCTCAGCGGCACCTCACCCTTCGCAACCCACCGTCGCAAGCTGGCGAGAGGAAGACTTGACTGTCTTCGTTCCTTCATTTGGCATACCCATCCTACACGCAGAGACTGGTTCGAATTTAGCCAGTCATTTGCAGATCCCAAGCTCAGACTGCTTGCCACTCACTCTTTTCTGTTTGCAACCCAAACCGATAATCATAATCCTGCCGCTGGATCTGGATTCGGACCTCGTCGCTCGCCTGTACCCGTCCGTACCCATGCAAGATAATTCCACCACAGATTCCTCTGCGCAGTTTCCACACGACGCCCTAGTCAACAAACAGTCATTACTTTTCTTGGTCAGAAGCGAGCAGATTACGAACATCTAATGTGCCACGGCAAACCCAGTAATCAGTCAACCTTGATGAAATAGGCCTCTTCGTGCGGCCTCGTTGCGCTTGCCTTGGAGTTCGCGGGGAGGTTCGGATCTACACACGACTATCGACATGTCTTTCAAACGCAGTCATGTCCATCGGCGAGGACACAATGATGTGGTGGACGTTGACTTCGATTCTGACTTGAACCAGAACAAAGTTCTCGGCGATAATGAGGGCGCCCTGCCGACGCTGAGCAAGCGGGTAGTGACGGTCTACGAGACGCAAACCCCAGATGGCTGGGACGGCCTTGGTCTCTTGACGACTCTTGAACGTGCGACCATCACGCAAGTTGTCCAACAGACAGTAACGTCGACTGAGGGAGACGAACCAACTCCCACTCCGGCTGAGACGTCCCCGAGGATTTCTATGGGCGCTCCTGCTGTCAAGGGCACTCCTACGAGCAGCAGCGCCATCGCCAGCAGCACCAGCATCAACCGAGGCGGCAACGACGATGATACATCATCGTCACTCCCCACGGCCATTATGGCATCCACAGCATCCGATGCGAGCGCTGGGGGCCCACTGGCGTTGGCCACCGAAGCGTCAAGCTCTTCCAGCACCTCCAAGCCATCAACGGCCGCAGACTCCACGGCTGCCTCGGCCGCATCAGCAACTCAGTCAGAATCGTCCGGTACAAGTTCCGGCTCAAGCGGCGCAGCAGCCAAGGCAGGCATTGCGATCGGCGTCCTGGCTGGTGTTTTCGTCATTCTCGGTTTGGTGTATTTTCTGGTCGCCAAGCGGAAGAGGCAGATGCGAGAGGAGCAACGTCTGGCCGATGACGAGAAGCTCAATGGCCCATTTGGAGACCATGCTCGTGCCCCTCCGACTCCAGCGAAACCCCCGCGCCTCAGTTTGCGGCCGATGACCCAGCTGTTCCTAGGAGGCCCGAACACCGCGGAGAAGCGAGCCAGCAAGGGGCCTCAACAGAACATCGCCATGGTGGCTAGCCCGACCATGAAGCGGGCTCCAGGTGCCAGCGCTTGGGAAAGGCCCATGACCGGTGACAGTCAGGATGCGCGCAACCCGTTCGGAAACCACGCTGAGACTATCCTGGAAGAGCCTGCTACGCCTAGAAACCCTGCCAGCCCCATGACGCCAATCAGCGAGGTCAGCATGATCGCGTCGCCCACGTTGACACCTGGCCTCGCCCCTGCTCCTCGAGCTTCTGCTATCACGACCGATTCTGCGGTTCTGGCCCCGATTGTCACGCACTCCCCGCCGCTCTCTCCGCATCCTCCGCAGCAAGGCGCTCCCGGCGGTGCTGCTCCTGCGCCTTTGCAGATGCATCCTGCTGGTCCTGCCGCCTCAACGCCTGCTGCGTCCGAAGCTGCCGCTGTACCGACGGCCGCGGCAGCAGCTGGCCCAGCTGGCGCAGTTGCTAGTGCCACAGCTGCGACTGGGCTGCAACGCAAGCAATCCGTACGGAAGGACAATGTTCCCGCGCCTCTTGATTTGACTCTACCCCCGAAGCTCGGCCCTGTGCCCCCTAGTCCGGCTGGCACTGAGTTCAGCGTGCATGAAGTCGAGTCTGGCCAGGCATCAGAACCATCAGCTGGTGCTGCTGCGATCGCCGCTGCAGGCGGACCTGCAGACTCGTCGGTTCACCGTGTCCAGCTCGACTTCAAGCCGACTATGGATGATGAGATGGAACTGCGCACCGGCCAGGTCGTGAGACTGCTTCATGAGTACGACGACGGTTGGGTAAGTTAAGTCGGTCGTCCATTATGTGACGAATGCTAACAAGGAACAGGCACTCTGCATTCGCCTTGACCGATCTCAGCAAGGAGTTGTTCCCCGAACTTGTCTGTCTACTCGTCCCGTCAAGCCCAGGCCCCCACCTCAGCAAGCGGGCCCCCGAGGGCCACCGGTCAACCCTCAGGGACGACCCCGAGGCCCTTCTGTGAGCAGCCAACGCGGTCCAGGTCCTAATCAACACCCTGGGAACCGACCCATGGGCCCTCCTGGCGGTCAATCACACCCGCTCGCACCTGGGGCTCGGGGACCTGGACCAATGCGCCCGATGGGTCCTCCGATGGGCCCACCTGGCCGCCCGGGCCCGCCCCGCCCCATGGGACCACAGATGGGACCCGGACCACGACCCCAGTCACCAGCAGGGCAACGACCTCAGTCCCCGGCGCAGCGATCTCAATCTCCGAGCAGACAGGGCCCACCCAGATCTCAGTCCCCCAACGGCACGGGAAGGAGACCAAGTCCTCCCGGGCCCTCTGGAATGCAGCAGGAATACCGACCAAGTCTTGATGGCCCACCGCAGAATCATCCTCAGGGCACTCCCCAAGGCCCTCCCCAGGGAGCGGTTACAAGGAAGCCAGTGCCTGGTCAGGCGTATTGAGCTAGTTGCATGGACTGCGCACCAGGAAGCAAGGAAATCTCTGGGCCACCTGGTGAACATGAGACCAGGGGCAGGCGTTATTTATGAGTTTCGGAGGCGATAGGGCATTATCGACCCCGATTTTGGTCATGACTAAAAGACTGGCGCTACGAGATGAAATCTTTGAACGACATTCGTTTTTCTCTTCTATTCCCTTTTTTACACATTCAAGAGCCGGGCCCCCTTTTTTTTTTTTAACCCCACGACCTTTTGTACAACTCTTCGCAGATTTACAACCTGCCGACACCTGGGCACTACATAGCCAGCATCAGCGAGGGGAGATGGATATGCACACAGAGTCGAGCAAGCCATCCAGGCATGCCGTGGACATGCTGTTAATTTCTTGGTGGTAATTTCTTATTACTTATTCCGAACACGCCCGGGCCGGCGTCTGTCTTGCAGAGATTTGATGCCCGGCTCGAGCCTCTGAACCAATACCATTTGCGTGAAATTTTGGTCACTTCTGTTCTCCTACCTGCTGTCGAAGGTGATCGTGACCTCAACATGAACACTAACAAAGTTATCTTTGCACGAGAAGTACGCTTCCTCAGTTTTTGTGAGCTCTTGGATGATAACGTTCTACCTAGTCATCATTGCCAGATGGTGGGAGACTATCGCCAACGCCTGCCTCCTTCAGCCTCTCCTCCCCGACGAACAGGGGCTTGGAATCCTGCAGGCAAAATAGCATGCGCGCCCACTCAGTGTCGCTCGGGTTCTTCCACGCGTGCATCGTGGCTCGCTGGACCATTATATCGCCCTTTTTCATAGGGTGCTCCTCGCCGCTGTCCAGGACCGCCACCACGCTACCCTCCGTGACAATTCCGTAGTCCAGACTCTGCGTACGGTGCATCATGCACTTTGGCGGGAAAGTCAGAAACAGTGCGTCTTAAGCCACCAAGGAAGGGGGCCTATTGAGTACTGCTTGCCCTAGGGGCTGGGCACAGGGCATAGACGTACCGTGTACCCCGGTGAGAACTCGACATATCTCAACACGGTACCTCCCTTGAGTGCAAGCCCCGTCGCCTCGGGGCCCTTGGCCACGCGGGACTCGTGCAGCTTGATATCGGCCTCGTCGTTGAGGTCGGGTGGGAATTGTGTGGTGTACAGCACTGACATGACAAGCTTGTCATCGTCGTACCGGACCCACTGGCGTAAGATTTGTCAGTCGGCCAGGACGATGTCAGACCCGGGTTCGGAGAAGGGAGGGGTGAGCAAGGGGCGGGGCACCCGCCGAGGCCCTTAACCATGGTATTCATCCACCGATACACATACCTTGACGGGTGTGGTAGATTTGACTACGGCCTTGCCTTCATTATTGTGGGTCGTGACTTGCACCTGCACACCTGGGTTTGAGGAGAGCTGGTTCTCCGTTGGCGGACGGGCGGAGGAAGGGGATGCCATGATGATATTTAGGTTGGATATGTGTTTACAATAGTTGTCAATGGGATAAATGGATTTCCAGTGGTCACTGCGAGTTTTTACCTTGATATATCAGTCGGGAGCACCGGGGTGGGAAATGGTCGCCTGAGTCGAACTCGTCTGGGCATCCGCGAGGAGATAGAAGAATAGGGGATAGGTGGAGGTTGAGGTTGAGGTCGATTAAGGTTCGCCCTTGCCTACGTTGGGGTGTTCGTTTTACCGGACTCCGAAGCGAGCCTGGTTACACGAGGGAAGCTCAAGCCACTACTGTTGGTGCGGAATTGACGGCTTCGAACCCCTCGCTAAACATGTAGTCATGTTCGTGTCGCACAGGACCATCCGTAGATCGCGGAGCTGCTGACACGGTGCAGCTGGCGAGCACCTCCGGGAAAGATAGTCCAGTGTGGCTGACCATCCCCAGTTGTCTTGGGGAACTCCGGCAATTGTGATGTCTAGATTTGCTGAGAGCTCGCTCTACACTTACGTGCATGATAGTTCACCAATGAAGCATCATCTATTGTTGAGCTGGCATAGCACCAAAATAAGCCGCGTTGCAGCCACGGAGCCAAAGTTTGGTAGAAATTCCCCGAGGTGCAGGAGCAAATACAGGCTTTCGCTTGTCATTATAGGTGTACCGGCTTTGCTGGCCACCCTCGACCCTATCGAAATAGCAACAATGCACATGCAAGCCAGGTGCACCAGCGATGCCCGAATCGAAGCCCGAAGGGAAACCCGACCGTGAGTGGGTACCGGAGCCGAGTCCCCGCTCGACATGGACAAGACCTCCGCCGGTAGCGTCCCCGAAAAAGCATGCGCTATCAACTTCGCCGTACCTCTTCTCCGGGGAAAGTACCCGATAAAGGCGGCCAACATGACAAGCAACTCATTATCCGAACCCAAGCTCATTGAGCTGTCCCCCGAGGAGCTTCGAACCAAGAAGATAGGCTCGCGTAACCTCCAGGCCGCCGTCGAGGCGCTCCACCAGGATGGCCTTGTGGTGCTCAAGAACGCCGTCGATGTCGACCACCTCGACAAACTGAACGCGCGGATGGTCCCAGAAGCCAAGGACTTGTATGCGAGGCCCAGCACGCACCGCAATTTCGGCCAGACCACGGGTAACATCCAACAAGAACCAGTCCTCGAGGACGGCTACATCTTTCAAGACGTCATCGCTAACCCATGGGCTACCGATGTGATACAATGTATGCTAGGCCCCAAGACAACGCTACGATTCTACAGCGCAAACACGGCATTTAAAGCCACGGGCCGGCAGCCTCCACACATCGACGTGGACTTTGACTTTCCCAAGGTCCCGTTCGGGTACTGCGTCAACATCAACCTCGTGGACGTGACCCCGGAAAACGGGTCCACCGAGGTCTGGCTGGGGTCGCACGCCGACACGGACGTCGGCGTCCTCGACCCGGAGGAGTATCAGATCCGCCCGAGCCTCCAGAGGCAGCGGAGGAAGACGCGCCCGCCCACCCAGCCTAGTCTGACCAAGGGGTCACTTGTCATCCGGGACTTCCGCCTCTGGCATGCGGGCATGCCGAACCGGACTGACGACCCGAGGGTGATGTTGGTGACTGTCCAGTTCCCATCTTGGTACAGGAGCGAGCTGAAGATGAAGCTGCCGAGGGCCGTGCAGGACAAGATCGAGTGGGGAGACCTGGTGCCTTGCGTTGAGTGGATGGACGAGGGGTATGACTACCTGCAGGGGGCTCATGATCATGATTTCTCGCTTCTTCCCTGAGTAGAAATCGCAATAAGATAACGACCTACCGTGAAGGAAATGATTTCCCGTCATGGGGGGGCGCCTCCGCGGATTCAGGACTCCGTTATTGGGTGTGTGACATTTCAGTCCTGTATCAATAGACGTTGTTTCCGGAAGCGAAGCCGGTAGAACCATCATTTATATATTTACATAGATCCGTAGCGCTCACAATCTCTCAACTCATGGCCACAGCACCCGATTCGACAACTTGCGTTGAACAGTTCACGTACTATACGAAATGAGGTAACCGTCTTGCCCTTCTGTAGTAGTCGATGAACCCAAGGGTAACCAAGATGAAATGGATTCCACTATTTTCGAGGCACATCAGCAAATGAGATTTTTAAAACAAAAAGCTCGAGGCAATGTTGATGTGAGCAAGGTATCAACGAAGGGAAAAAGACTCACGCCAAAACAATCAGCAGGACCCACGTCGCGAATGCAGCATTGAGAGTCTCGGATCGGAATTGCTCTTCCTCCTCACACTGGTCCTGTGGTAGGCCTCCACATTCCCACGACAAACTGGTGGCAGCTGGGAGATTCACAGCTGGTAGGATGGCGTTGAGGAGAATGGTCAGGAGGTCAAGGAAGCCGAGGGATCCCTCCGTGCAGCGATGAGTGCGCCGCGTGTGGTCTGTCAGCCCGAAGATCTCTGTTGTATCTACCACCATCGTCCACACGGACTGGAATTACCAGATTCGTCATCAGCCATCTCGAGGTTCCAGCGTTAGCAGAAAGAGAGGGAAAACATATATACCGCAATGAAAGCGCCGACCATCGCCCTGCCGTATCCATAATTGGCTGCGGTGTAAGCTGCGCCGAGAAGTGCGGAAACGCTGAACGCCAGGGAAAGGAAGCGGAGAATCAATAGGGTCACCGCGAATGGCGCCGGGAACCTCGAACGCGCCATGCTGGTTTGGAACGCGAGCAGTGAGCTCGTCCAGAGACTGTAACGGCACTATTCCGAGCATGCACGGCGAGGGAAGGTGGAAACGAGGTTGCATATAGGCCCGGGGGGGGGGGTTGGTAATGGGCGGTGTCGCGTGCCCAACCATACGAGTTGGTGTCCTTTCGCAGCATGCCAGAAGGTCTGGTAGCTTCGGCCACGTCTTGCTAACTAATATTCAGGGCTTGATGCCAACCACCGGCCGAGTCGAGATAGCAGCAAGATAAATAGAAGGCCGGCTTAAAGAGACACATCGCTTTGGCGGCCAGCACTTCCACTACTACCTAGGGAGAACCTTAGAAGGCCTAGGTTCTCACTACTAACATCTGAAAAGACTTGTCTTACCTACGTGGTCGCTACAGGGCAACACCAAGATCCTAGCCTCACAGCCTAATGGAGACGGCGCACTGCGACCACTACACTATAGCCACAGCCACCAAAAGGTCAGATTTGTCCAAAACGCTGTGAAAAATACAGTGCAGCCCACAGTATGTACCTGTGATGTCACAATAATCGAGAGGTGTCTTCTATAAATTACGTTGTTGCAGCCTGCTCCTCATGGTCGCGCGAAGGAAGATGCTAGAAAGCAAGCACTTTGAGTGCATGTTTTTAACACTGGGAAGGACAAATCCAAAGACATTGGTAGCTTCGCAGGCAGACGCATTGGGAATTTTCCAATAGCTGGTCGGCTGTGTCATTCAGTTCGAGCAACTGTCCTTTGCCAACTGTATTCCATTCTCTTCTGTCTTCCAAACTCACACACGCGTTAAAAGGGTTACCTTGAAGTCTACAGAAGCCTTTGACAGAGGGAATTCCTTCTGAAAAAAATCTTGGCAAAACTTTTGATGCTATTTCAAGGAGATCTGAAGCTCAGTCATTTTTCGCCGTCTGGTTTGATCAGATCTGGATTGAGTTAATTGCATAGCGGATACGTCAATTTGGCTTGTGAACACTAGAAACTTGGGGTTCTCAAAAGACATCTATAGGCAGGGAGATTGTATTGCACTGGAGTGGATTACTAGCTATTACTTGCGGTTCAGGAAGTCACACATCGACCCATTTCTGGCGAAATATGAACCCTTACTTTGCCCGGTTCATGGCAGTTGCGACTAGAACGTCAGAAGCACTTGATAAATGGCAGCGCAGACTCGTTCTGTATCTGCCAGCTATCTGCCGTTGGTCCCAAATATGCCGCGGTCCTTTCTCCAGTCCAAAGAACACCTCCCACGCCAGGTTCAGGACAGCATCTAGGAGATGGTGATGTTGGCGCTCAGAATTGTGAAGTCGACCGACCGGATGCCTGTGGCACTTATCAGCCGCTATTCTCTTGAGAAACCTGGGCCGAATTTCAAATGGGATATGACTTACACCGACAAGGTGGGGAATAGCAGCACGGAGGACATAGTCGCCGGTGAAGTCCTCGGGCACGGCGACATCTGCCGTGAATGTGTAGGGGTATTCGAGACCCTCCTTTCCGCTAGTTCAAAGCACGAGAGGTCAGCTGGGGCCCGTTATACGAACACGGTCTGTTGGCTGCAGAGGAGGTGGTGTATGCTTACGTCAAAGGTGTGTACCCGACCTGGGTTCCGACCGTGTTTCCCCAGGCGTGCTCGGGCTTCGACAGACCCCAGACAATGCCAAAGTCAACCCAGTTCTGGGAGTAGATGGCGGTCTGCAGGGTCGGTGATGTTGCTTCCGGCGGCGGCCTCGGCGGGAGCGGTCAGGTTGGTGATGTAGCCCATGGCGGTAGGGGCGGCGGCCAGGGTGGCGACAGCGAGGGACTTGATGGAGACCATGTTGGCGGATTTGTGCTGAGTTGAACGAATGTCTGGCCGGTGGGAAGATGCTGCTGGACGAGAGAGGAGCGGCAGGCCGGGCCAGTGGCAGATGGAGGTTGGGCTGTCGATGTTATATAGGCCTGCCTACGGAGGTTGCCCCCAACCTTGACCTCCAAGCATGCGGCCGGGGTAAAGGTAGTATCCGTGATTGCCAAGGCGGCAGCCACATAGGGAGGGTGTCCACCTGCGATGGCTGGCTGTCTCCACAAACACGAGAGCCCTGCTGTGTGGAAAGGCGGGCAGGTGCAGAGAGCGCCGATCCCTATGATGCTATTCCAGGCCTTCTAGAAACTGCGGGTCCCGGGGCCTCGATTGCAGCTGCTGATGGGATGAACCTGCTGTCCGAACCTCCACTTTGGCTTTAATGGGCCCGTGGCGAGTAAAGGAGTCTGCCCCCTTTCCAAACTCTAAATCCTCTCGCAGACCGATGCAACGGATGCGATCCTCACAACATTGAATGGCTCTCGAGACCATCATAGGGCTGATGATCACTGCATTCGAAGTGGCGTCGGGTTTTTGGTCTCTCGGTCATAATCAGACGATTGCAGATCTTTGCTTGGCTGCCCTGGGGCTTGGGAACTGGCCGCAGGTGCCTCGCATGAGCCTCCATCAACGCACGTCATGTGCACACAGCCTAGCATCATTCGGCTCTTTCGGACAGCCCGCCCTGACATCTCGTTTCTCCTGTGGCAGAGAGTTGTGGTGAGTAAACATCGCGAGTACATGCACCGAGAAAGTATTCCTGGCAGGCCCATGCCAACGCCGTGGAGCATCAGGAAGTACATTGGCATGACTTTGACGAAGAGGTTGCGAGTCCCTGCTGTTGCGACCGCTGCCGCCAGCCGCGCAGACAAGGGGCTGATTCAGGACCAAGAGTAGTACTAAACCGGGGATGCTCGTATACACTTTCTTCCATGTGCATGTATCCCAGCAGTCATGCAGCAAATACGATGCTGTGTCACGGTACCTTGATAGCGGCCGATCCCCGCGGTAGCTCGGCCAGCTATTCTTGGAGGTCACCCGGGTCTGGCATCAAACTAACATGCTCGCATCTTGTCAGAAAGCAAAGGCTACTGTAGGTTCACCCCCATTTCAACGCTGAAGCACGCCCCTTAGACGCCCCTGAACTCAGTGGGCTCTCGGCCGAGATTCGTCAACGATTGACAGCGCCTGGGCCTCGGCTCCCAACATAGCGGTGAGTTAACGTGGTCCAGTCTACGCTTCACTCATTAATTGCGCCAGACAGAGGGTCTGTCACATATTCCACGTTAGATGGAAAAATAAACAAAATGTTTTTTTTTTTTTTTCAACCAGAGAGGTACTATACGAATTCCAGCTAATAGAATGTCTCCAAGCTATGGAACTCCCAAAGATCCTCGCATAACCTCGACTGATGTCCCACTGAGGGCGACTTTCTCCACGGTCCCTTTGTCATCGAGGGTGATCTCCACACCTATAACACTTTGACGTCCCATTTCAACTCCTTGTGTTATCTCGAACCTGTGCACCTTCTCTCCTGCATCACGGGACCTAGAGGCTTGAAGTGCAAGCCATACGCCTAGGGCCGATGAGGCTGAGCCCGTGGCCGGATCCTCTATAGTCCCCAAAATCATCCTAGAGCGAATCTTCGTCACAGATTCATTCTTCTCTGTAATGTGATAGAACAACAGCCCACAGGGCCCGTCCAAAGCGTATTCCGGGTCCATCCCCTCGGTTCCTAGCTTCTGGTAACCCGCTGCCACATAACCAAGAGCATTCAACGACGAGAGCTCGGTGAGACCAAAAGTCATTCCCTTGACAATCGACACGACGGCAGCAGGGCCGGTCATGTAATCGAATACTTCGCTTCGAACGCCGAGATTTCGAAGGGCTTGCGGCTCGAGTACCTTTTGATGGACATGGCTGTCATTTGGAACTTCAGCCGTCGCAACTTCGCTGCGTGTGTCGTATGTGAACGGAAGCCGTCCTGCCTTGGCCAGCAAGGTCCCGTTGATCACCCCGCTGGCGCCCGAATTTTCGAGGACTTTTCCTAGATAAACAATTGTTCCGATGGTCGGGTGGCCAGCGAATGGGATCTCTCGGGTCGTCAAGAAGATGTCAAAGACCCATTCCAGCTTCTTGTAGCTTTCCTCATTTTCGTGGAGTATGACTGTCTCAGAGAAATTGAATTCCCTAGCAATCTTCTGCTTCTGATCTTGTTCCAGCGGTTGAGCTGTTGGCATGCGGATGATGGCTAAGGGATTGCCTTCATAGCGAGTGCTGGTAAAGACGTCGGTAGTGACGTACGATAGAGTTTGAGTGCTCATGATTGCATGCTTAGGTTGGATGATGTATGCTCCCTCACAATTGAGATCCTCGGACCTTTTTGTATCCTTGGTAAAGGAAAGAGAGGAAGCGCGAATGTCTCTAATTGACAGCCTGTCGATTGAGTCACCACGTTTCCCCAATATCAATCCCGTTCGACAAGCAAAATATGCCGATACGTGCCGTGCAAAACCGAGCTATAGTCCGAATATCGGGTACAGTAGAGTCTTGAATCTTCTATCTTCTCCATAAATAAGAGTGAGGAAACCGCAAAATGTTACATTTGACAGCCCATTGACTGAGTCACAGAATGTTGCCAAGGTAGCTCCTGTGTCACCAGCACCATCTGCCGAGACTGACCGTAATAGAAAGCCGAGCTGCATTCCGAATAGCGGACGCTGTACAGCCCGCAAAAGCTAACACTAGCAGCCAAAGACAATTTTAGCAGTGCGTCTCAGATATTCCCATGCAATTATAAAGCTAGTACTTTGTGAACACCCGTTTGCGCCGAAGACCGGTCCTTCAAGTTCTTCAGTCATGCGCCCTTCAGTTGACATGCGACAGTAATGTGTATGCTGCCGCTTCCCACCTATCTCGCCTCTCACCCAATCGGATGATTGGAATTGATACACATCTCAGAACGAATTTTGGTCGTCGAACTACAGCATGGTCCACATCGCGCCTTTTGAAGTGACAGCATGGGTCGATGAGCACGCACACGGTGTGAAGCATGACCTGGCTGGATCAGTCTGCGCTCCGCTGTCCATCAAGGATCTTATTGAGCTCTCTAAACAGAGAGATGAAACCAGAAGAGCCCTCGACTTCAATTTAATCGACTTGGACTACAACAGCCCTATGCAAGGTGGCTACAAGTTGAGAGACAATCTGGCGGCGCTCTACTCAAGACCGGCTCACGGTGACCGCCAACACACTGTGACGCGCGAGAACATCCTCACCTGCAACGCTGGGATCGACGCCAACCACATTGTGATCGCGGGACTCATCGGACCTGGAGATCATGTCATCTGTCACTACCCAATCTATCAACAACTTTACGAAGTCCCTCGTTCCCTGGGCGCAGAGGTCTCGTTTTGGAAATGCGAACCAGCCAACGATTGGAAATTGGACGTCGGGGTGCTTAGATCACTGCTCAAAGACAACACCAGAATGATCATTCTCAACGTGCCCCAGAATCCAAGCGGGGCCATCATTCCTCAATGGCAACTTGAGGAGGTCGTTGGCTTGGCACGGGAAAGGGGGATTATTGTTTTTTGTGACGAGGCATTTCGACCGTTGTTTCATGGTATCTCGTCCTCCCATCCCGACTACCCCGATTCCATTGTGAACTTGGGCTACGAGAAAGTTGTTGCAACGGGCACCATGAGCAAGGCATTCAGCCTGCCCGGGATTCGAGCAGGCTGGATTGTATCTACAGATTCGCAGATCGTCAGCACTTGCTTCAAGATGCGATACTACACCACCACGACAGTTTCGCAACTCAATGAGGCTGTTGCATCAGAGGCTTTGGATGACAGATGCTGTTGGTAGGTCTCTCGTATATATAATAATCATATGGGAAGCAATTATGTATTGGTATTATTCTGTCTAAGTTTTAAAAGGCTATGTACCCTAAAGGGGATAACTAAAGTAGCCTTTTAAGTATAAAGGTTATACTTGCTAATACTTATAGTTTTTTTCTTCTTTTAATAAGTATATATAATCCTTATTATAATTAACAATTCTTATTATAATTAGCCTTAAAATTATAATTTATTATATATTAAATATATATAATCTTTATTATAAAAAAGTATTATTAAAAAGGCTTAAAATTATAACTTATAAATTTTAAAATAAATTTTATTAACCTTTATTATTATATTACTTTTTAAATTTATAATCTTTATTATTATATTACTTTTTAAATTTATAATTATTATTATTATATTATTTTTTAAATATTATATTTATTATTTTTAATACTTAGCTTTTAAGGTTATTTTTTTATAAAAATTATTAATTTTTATATAATAACCTTAATTTTAAATTTCTTTTTTATAAAGAAAGTTAATGCTTATAAAGTTAATATTAAACCTTTTAATTTATATTTATTTTTATTATATATTTTTATAATATAAATATTATTATTTTTATCTTTACTTTTATTATTAAAATATACTTAATATTACTTTAAATTAGTTTTTTTTAGCTACTTTTTATCTTCTTAAAATTAAGCATTATAAATAACTTAATTATTTATTATTTCCTTTTCTTACTTTTTATTATTCTTTTTAATTTTTTTAATAATTATCTTTTGCTTAAATTATTTAAGCAATAATATATATTTCTTAATAAGTTTTTTTATATATAAGCCTTATATATATTTATTAATAATTTAATATAAAAAGTTTTAAAGTTAAGTTAATATAATAATTTAATTCTTTAATAGCTAAATCTTTTTAATTTAATATATATAAAAGATACTTAGGATTAAAATTCTTATTAAGTTATTTATTATAAAAATTATAATAATTTAATATTTAAAATAGTAATTATTTTAATGATTTTTATTATTAAAAATATTATATAGTTTTATATTAAGAGTTTTAATACTTTTAATATAAATATATAGCTTTTTAATTATATTATTAAAAAATATTTATTTATTTTAATATTAAAAGTTATTAATAATTTAAATAATAATTATTATAATAATATTATTTAAGAAAAATATCTTAACTTAAGTTATAGCTATAGCCTTTAGCTTATTAATTTTAATAATTTTATAAAAATTAACCTTAATAAATAGCTTGCTTTTTTTAATACTTAATATAAAAGTAAAGTTAAAGGTAATCTTTATAATCTTTATTAAGGTTTTATTAATTTAATTTTAATTATCTTTATTATTAGCAATAATTAAATTATTATTAATATTAAGTAAATAAAAGTCGTTATTATTAATATCTTTATTAATATTTATTAAATAAGCGTTATTATTATTAATATCCTTATTAATATTTATTAAATAAGCATTATTAACAATGATTTCGCTATAAGAATTAGCAAAATTAATAAGCTTATTTTTATCCTTATTAATTAAGGTAATTTTAGCTTTTTTTATAACCTTAATAATAATTTTAATTTTTATCTTATTATTTAATAAAAATATAATTATAATATTTATTTTATTAATTAAGATTATAATTATAATATTTATTTTATTAATTAAGGTTATAATTATAATGTTTATTTTATTAATTAAAATTATAATTATAATATTTATAAGGAAATTTTAATTTTAATTAAAGATTGCAATAAGTTTACCTTTAATATTAATTATATTAATAGTAATTATAATAATAATTATATTAAATATATCTTTAATATAAGTAATAAATACAATATTTACTAAATAATTTTACTTATTATTATTATTCTTATAAGGTATATTAATAAAAATATTAAATAACTTTTATAAGTTATTATTAATATTTTTTATTATAATAAAAAGAAAAAGATTTTATAGAAATTTAATAATTAAAATAAATATTTATAATGCAAAACTTTACAATTATTATATAATAATTATTAATTTATTCTTTAATTATAAGAAAAGTTAATAAATTATAAATAAATTTAATAAAAATTAATTTTAATATTATTATTAATAAATAGCAATAAAAAATAATAATAATAATAAAGTTAACTTTAAAATAATAATTATTAATAATATTAATAATTATAAGGTTATCCTTATATATAATAAGGTATTAAAAAGGTTTTAATTAAAGTATAAAAGGTTAAAGTTTATATTAAAGGTTTAAGTTTAAAAAATATAAGGTTTTATAGCTAATAACGATAAGATTAAAAGGAAAAGATGCTAATAATAAATTACTCCTTTCTTAATAAAAAGGGGCTACTTTAAGTCTTTTAATTAATTTATTTATTTATATATAAAGCTTATTATTATTAATAAGCTTTTATAATATAATATTTAAAGTTAGTTTTATTATTATATTAATAAGGTTATCTTTTTTATTTATTTACTTTATTTTAATAATTTTTCTTATCTTATATAACTTTTATAATAATATAATATTAATTATAAGGCGCTTTTCCTTTATTATTCTTAGCTTTATAAGGCATTTATATAAGTTATATAAGGTTATATAAATAATTAAAGATATATTTAATAATAAGAATTATTTTATAATTATTTTAATTATTATAGCTAAGGAGATTTTAATATTTATTTTATTTATTATGCTATAAATTTTGCTTATTAATATGCTTTAAGTAATATATTTATACTTTATTAATAATTAATAAAAAATATTACTTATTATTATAAATCCCTTAATTTTCTTATAAGTTTTATTTATAAAAATAATAATATATTTAAATTAAAATATTAAGTCTTAGTTATTTATAAATAATTTATTTATAAATATAAAAAGTTTTATTATTTTAAGATTAAAGAATATATATTTAATTCTTTATATAGCGTTATTTATTTATTATAATAATTATATATTTAAGCTCTTATAATTTCCTACCTTTAAGTTTTATATTTATATAATTATTAAAAGATTATATAAAGCTTTTAATTAGCAAATTAAAACTATATATACTTTATAAGCTCTTTATTTAAGATATTTTTAAGGAGCGTCTTTAATTATTGCATTAATAAGGGTAAGTTTATTAACCTATTCCTTTTATTAAGTAATAATTAAGCTAATAGTATTTATAATTATGCAAGCCTTATTATAATTTATTAAGTTTTTAAGCATTAGCTTTTATTTTAATTTTCCTTATAATTTTATAGCTTTTATTTTAATTTCCTCCTTATTTTAAAATTTTAATATAAATAAAATTAATATATTATTTATTTATATATTTATTATTTTAAAGGATTATATAAGCTTTATAATTATTAAGCAAAGATTATATATAAAGCAGTTTATTTTAAGCTTTTATTAATAATATCTTTAATATATATTAAATTAATAAATGCTAAATTTTGCTATATTATATAAGGGTTAAATAATATAAATAATTATGCTTAAAGAGTATTTATTCTTTAATTCCTTTAATAACTTTATAAAAATTATTTTATATAATTTTAACTTTGCTTAGGAATAAATTTAAGTAATATTTTAAAATATAAAAATTATACTTTTTTCTTAAATTAATAAGGGGGTAAGTATAAGGATTATTTATTAGCTTATTTTTTAAATAATTAAGCTTTATATTAAGATTAATTTCTTTTTATTATTATTATAATCTTAAATAATAAATTAAGATTTTTTATAAAATTTTATAATTTTATTTTTTACTTTTTATATTATATAAAACTTAAAAAGATAATATTTATTATATTGCTTTATTAATTATTTTTTAATTTAAAAGATATCTTTAATAATAAGGTTATTAATTTCTTTTTTATTAAACTCTTTAAATAATAAGCTTAATATTATAATAACTTTATTTTATTTTAATTTAATTACTAAATTATAGTTTTTATTTTCTTTTTTTAAGATATATAATATAATAATATAATCTTTTATTTTTAATAATAATAATTATATAATAAGTTATATTTAAGGTTTTATAGCTAGGTTTTTTGCTTATAAGGGTTGCATTTCCTTATTATTATCTTAATAATATAGTTAAATAACCATTAATTTAAACGTTATAGCTCTATTTAATATATCCAAGGTTATATCATAGCCATCCATAATAATAACCTTATATAAACTCTTTTATTTCTTTCTTTCTTTTTATATATAAATTTTACATTATAGTAAATATTCCATATTAAAGATAAATCCAACCTTAATATTTAATGCATCTTATACTTATTATTTAGCTATAGTTTTTTATAATATCTTTATAGCCTTTAAAATAGCTTTTACTTATTTTTATATTAATAATAATAATAATAACTTATGCAATATTTATAAATAAGTATTAAAAATTAAGAGTATAGGAATTAATTTATTTAATTTAATAATATTATTAATAACTTTTATAGCTATTTATAAGATAGCATTATTATTTATGCTATTATATAATTTAGTATATAAGATTTTATATACTTATTTAAAGGCTTAATAATATCTTTTAACTTTCTTAATAAATTAATATGCCTTTATAAGGACCTATTTACATTTAATTCCCATTATTTATGCCTTTAAATAAAATTCTAAAAATATAAAATTCATTTCCATATCATATTTAATAATATTTAATAATCCTTAATATATATTAATTTAAAGCATTTATAATATTTACCATGCAATCTTTATAAATATAAATTTTAAGAATTTTACTCCTTAAAAAGCCATAGCTTAATTCATAATATAAAGAATTAAGCATTTATTTAAATATATTATATTAATTAAGATTTTATAATTAAATTTATAATCATTATATAATATAAACTTAAAACGCTTAAGCATAAGTTTATTTATTTAATAATAATAATATATCTTTTTAATTTTTATTATTGCTTATTTATTAATATTTAAATTACCAGCTTTTTTAAG